GTGTGACCTCCCCCCGCCGGTAGCATCAAAGCCCACTGTAGTTTCCCCTCCACCGGTAGCAGCTAGAGTTACATTATTCATCTCATCCGGCTTCGGCTCATAATGCCTCGAATGGGCGGTGAAGATATCTCCAAAAGTCTCCTCGGCCTCGGGCCTGATAAAAGGAACAAAAACCTTTCTCCCGTCATCGACATGCAGGAAAACCTTGCTCTGCGAGAAGAGCACATCTCCCATATGCGAGGCGATGACATCGCTGCCGATGAATATGCGGATCTTCTCGCCCTCCTTCGATTTCGGCGCGCGCACCGGGAGGATCGTGAATTCTACCGTTAGACGCGGAAGTTTGGAGGGACCAGTGATCCGGGAGTGCTGTTGGACTATCGCGTCCGGGAGAAAAACCGCAAGCTCGATCTTGGAGTCGCCGGAGGATGTGCGGATTATGCGGTCTTGTAGGCCGAGATGGGCGACGAGCGACATCTCTATGGATGATCTAGCTGAGCCAGTGCAAAACACGGCGTATAGAAGTGGCTCGTGGGAGGATGGGGCATCTAGCCAGCAGCGCACCACTGCGGGGGCAGGGCCTACCCGTGGGGCAGATGAGCGATGTAAACACGAATCCAAGATATCGGAGCCTCTCGTCGGAGGTCGGAATACCGTGCCGTGGTCCCCCTCATACGAGGAGCTAGCTCCTTCGCCGAATGACCGCAAGCTCTGCCTGCCGTCGGACCGATTGTCCGACTTGTGTGAGGATGACCTCTCCGTCAGGGCGTACCCGCCGATGCCACCCACCGGCCGCTGGAAGTAGTCGCTGGTACCGGGAGAATCGTGGATCCAGTGATTTGTAGTGGCGCTATCATCAAATCGTACACTGTTTGCTCGAGAAGCTCCCCGCCTCGGAACGTCGACCTCATCGAGCTGTAGCCCGGACAAGGCAAGATTGTGCTGCTGTTCGTACACGTTGAAGTTTCCCGGTTCGGCGTTAGGAGGTTCTAATCCACCCCCATGTCAGTCCACCATCGACCAGTCCACCCTCCGCCCCCCCTTCTCCTGGAGGTGATACGCAGCACCTACGTTGAGAAAAAGTCGAAAGCGGAGCCGGAAATGGAGACGCCGAGCTCCACAGCGACCTTATCCGCGAATCGTCATGTCGTTTCTCCAGTTTGCCCAAACGCTCGGAATGCTGCGAGAGACGCTCTGCATGCTCAAATTGCGCCACCTTCAATAATCGGATCTCCTCCTGTAACCCCCAAGGGTCGTATACTCCAGCGAAGTGCGGAGGCTCCATCCCCAACGCCGCCGGCGGACCATAAAATTCCCCCCCCACTCCGCGCCGAGGGACGCCCTAGCTCTGCCGTATGCCCGCTGGATGATGGACCGAATCGGAAAGAGCTTGCGGATACGATCGGCGGAAGTTAGATGAGTAGTAAAATCGTTCGTAAAGCCAGCGGGGTCTTCGATCGGGCGGCAGCGGCGGCGGCGATAGTTGGTCCGAAGGTAGAGTAAGTGGTTAGTAGCTCAGTACAAACGAGCTCTCTCTGCACTGGCGAGCAATGGACGAGATCCACAAGCGAGGGGAGCTGTCGATGTTCCGTTGATCAACTGACGAAAATTTGGACGTAGTCAGTGTGTATCCGCGAGAGGAAGGCGGTGACGGTAGCGAAGGCAAGAGGTTTGGCCGAATGGACAAGACAAACTGGTCGCTTCCGGGGGCAAACGAGGTTGTGAAAGAAGGCGCACGAAGCTGGTTTCAAGCTCGGCGCGGGAGAGGCACAATGGAATTCTTTTCTTTCTTCTTTTTTTCTTTCTTTGGCGGAGACAATATCCAAGGTATGAACGAATGGGAGCCAGTGCCAGTGTCAGTGCCAGTGTCGAGTACTGTTATTGCTATTGATTGTTGGTGTCGTGGTTTATTATTGGGCGTTTGGCACTCTGGGGGTGATGGTGGCCGTGGTGAGGGAGGGTTGTGGGGGAAGGTACAGGGAAGTTGGTCGGTCTCTCCTACTCCGACTTTCTGAATTCCCCGCAGGGTCCACCTAGGTTTGGTTTCAACAGCTCGCCATGTTCCGAAATCAACAGGCGTTGGCTACGAAAATGTCTATAAAAATATCCCGAACACGAGCATTCCTCATCTTTGTTTTTCTTATCATACGGAAAACGCCCAGAAAGCAGAATGCCATCTCAACTTGCCGTCCGGTCACTGCAGTGGGGGAGTCCTTTCGGATGGAGGGAACTGCAAAGGGGAGTCTCGTATGGAGCGAGAATGCTCTCATCTCTGTCCGTTCGTCTTCTCGACAATTCCCATGCCGTCGTTCATTGCTCAAGTCCTGCCCAATAGGGTCGCCATATTCGCAACCCCGCACTCATCCGCGCGCCCATCTGAACCGGTTCCTTTGCTTTAGAACCACATCCGCCTTTATATCCAGCGCCGACTGGGCTCCAGTGATGCCAATTGCTGGAGGTCGACATGCATCATAATATGGAGTGGCCCCATCATCGCGCGGTTCCGCCTTACCAAACGATGCGGTCCTCTTTCCGCAGAATCTAGCTCCCGTCGTTGCGTGCTATCGATTGTCGATATCCTACATCTTGTGGGGTTTGTGGCGTCCGGTAGTCTTGCTAAGCTGGCTGATTCGGGTTCTTTTCATGCTCAGACCTTCATTTTGTGTTGGTGATGAGAGCGATCATGACGGAGCAGAGAGACAAACGGACAGCCGCACACCCCATCGACGGTCGACGGAACAAACCTTCTTTCTAGAATAGCCATCCAGAGATTCCAGACCCTAACCCTGCGGCCAAGCCACCCGTTTGGATTCTTTCTCATCGTCATCAACCATCCCACTTCCACCAACCCTCCCGTACTCCTCCACCACTTCATACTCAACACCACCGAAACCATGGAGAACGTATCCGGAATGTTCGGGCTGAACGGAAATCAGTCCAAGGAAGACAAGAAGCAGGTACTTTGGGGACCTACCTCCATCCGGGAGTGTGAGCATCTACATTTGCTAACCACGGTTGGTTGCGACACAGATGTTGATGCAGACACTGCAGCAACAGCAGAACATTGAGAACGCCCGTGTTCTTATTGATGTGCGTCTCTATTCCCCGCCAATCCCGCCATCCCCACTACTGCAACCGCCCCGCTGAGATCCGACAACCCAGAAAATCAACTCCAACTGCTTCGAGAAGTGCGTGCCAAAGCCCGGAAGCAGCTTGTCCGGCGGAGAGACCGTACGTCCACTACATCCTGTTCACACCGGGGGCGGTCCTTCTAATGTGGTGTTGGTTACGGTAGACGTGCTTGACCAACTGCATGCAGAAGTACATGAACGCGTGGAACGCTGTCAGCTCGGCCTACATCTTTCGGATCAAGAGCGACCCGTCTTCCAACTAGAATATATAGAAAGTTCAATTCGACCATTGTCCCCTTGTGGGCTTAATACTGTACCATTGTGCCCGGTCATTGGGATTGTGTAGGGAAAGGACACTGTGAACGATGCTCTGTGACTTCACATCTGTCCACGCCTATTTGATGATACATCAGCACGGACCCGAGTCTGCTCAGGTATTCTTGCTAGTTGAGTTCTCTAAACATTCGTCCGTTTCTCCGGACGACATTGCCCTCCGCCAGGTACTTGAGATCTCGATGGGCTCTATTAGGAATATGAAGCCAAAGCTTCTCCAGGGCTACAAGCAGCTCGGTAACCCGTTGACCCAACACATTCTTGGGTGAGAGGGAGTGAGGGAGAGAGATACCACCAATCGGTTTCGCATACTGCCTTCCAGACCAATCATCACCAGGATCGAGTCAGTATCTATGATCGAGCCATTGCTGGGACGCCCATACTATCCAAGTCTAGCTCCGACCATATTTTCCTGCAGACCGCGTAGAGTACATGCAGTGAGAGCCGGATGATTCGGCAACGGTTCAAGCTTTCCATGCAGCTTTAGTGCAGTGCAATCTGGGGAGTTTCGCGGAGGGCCGGCGGTTGGCGGCTGGCAACTGGCGTTAACGGCGCATGCTTCAACTTACCCCGTCCTCAAGTGTCGCGGCCTCTCGGTCCTGAAGACGTCAATTTTCCATCGCGGATGACCGGCTCTATGGTATGTTTTGTACTGGTGCAGTTTGAATTCGCATGTTGATACGGGTTTGAACGTTTGAAACGCACGGGCGAAACCCTCGGATATCCTCACCAAAGAAGTGGTATGTAAGTACTTACATAATGTACCTGACTTGTTCACCGGGTCCATGGCAGTTCGACGAGGAGACAGCCCGTCGAGCGACCCTCTGCTGGTAATCAAAAAATTCGTCGAATGGCCATTTGCACGAGGGGCGCTTGCCAATTGGCTGTTTGATGCAACACAACCGAACCCTGAGTATAGCTCATCCTTGCCTCTCGCTCAGCTCAACTTCCGCGCTATCCACGTGATAACCACTACTTCTCGGAACATCCCCTCCTTCTGCCAGCCTTGGAATTAGAAGTATCTTCAGGTACTTTCTACAGTCACCCAAATTGCCAGAAGCCTCTTGTCTTTGCTGGCCCGGATATTCAGCCTTTAATCTAATCCTTTCGTCGCTTGACGCCATAACCGTTTACCGCGAAACGTCATTGTCCTGAAACACACCCCTATCGACCACTGTCGCCAGAAATGGCCGGCGTTCACCAGCCACGAAGCCAATCCCCACGACCAGAAAACGGGCGGTTAGAACGACGCCCCTCAAACTCGGCCTACGGTTCATCCCCCCATGCGCACCACAGGCAAACGTCGATCGTAAACGGTGTGCCGCACAGATCCGCCGGCGTCCATTCTCGCTCGGGCTCGTTCGTCAACTCTCCCGCGACGTCGCCGCTGTCCCCCGCCACCCAAGATTCGATACACATGTCGCAGGTCCCGTCGACCCCAATAACAATGATGAATATCGCCAGCGTCAGCAACGGCGATGGCAGAGCACAGATACACCTCCCCCAGATACCCTCGTCGCCAGTTACCGCGCCCTCGACGCCCTCAGCTATCGGAGCACGGCCAGGAACATCATCAGGAGCGGGGGTCGGCAATAATATGGGCGCACAACCGACAGAGCGGCCCGGGTTGTTTCCGCAACATACTACGCCGGCGGTAATGCAGATACAGCAGCCTCCGCGGCGGCATCACCACTCGCATTCGCACCACCATTCCAAGAGCCGAGAGGAGGAGTGTAAGACCCCCGCCGAGTACGCGCTACACATACTATTCACCAATTTCGTGCGGCTGGCAGAACGCAAAGTCAACAGCTGTCTCCCGCCGAACCATCCTCTCGAGAAAGAGCCCGATGTCGAGAGCATATGCGGGCCTGGCGTGGATCCGGCGTTCGACAAGCTCATAGGCTCTTTGGGGTATATTGCTAGGCACAAACCGAAGCCCGTCATCGATAGCCTTATGATCTGGCGCAAGAGTAAGAGCGACGCGGCAGCACATCAACGACAGGAGTCGGCGGCGCAAGCTCGATACGCTTTACCGAGGAGAAATACGGAGCCTAACGGGCCGATGGATGGAAACCCGGCGGCGCGAGAAGGCTCATTGGTGGCGGACAGACGGACAACGGTTGCAATATACATACTTTGTCGGGTATTAATCGAAGTAATTGGGCAGACGACCCTAGATCGCGTTACAGAGGATATGGCGAAGCTGGAGCACATCATCTTCAACCAACTAAAGTCCGCAGATCCAGACGTTCTGGCGAGCTCCCCACTGAGATTGGCCAATTGGACTTTGTTTGGTCAACTTTTGGGCGTGATGAGCAGCATAGACTTTGAGCGAGTGACGGATCGCTTCTTTGTCGATCTCGAGGAGTGTGACAATGCGGGAGCAGCAACCAACGAAGCCAAGGTAGCATTAGTCGTGAAGGGAATGAGCTACATCAAGTTGAAGGTTTGTAACCCCTGTCTAGCATTTCGGATTGTAGTTGCTGAACTCTGTGTTTGAAGTTCTATCCGGAAAACGTGCTTGAGGAGTCTGCAGAATTCATGGTATCACTGGCCAAATTTTTTGCGAAGGCGCCGGGTCCGACTGTAAGGACCGCATACTGCGAGATCTTCACCAAGCTCCTTCTACCGGTCGCAGCTTCGGCTACTACGGAACTCAACCATCCGACTTGGATGGAGTTTGTAAATCTCTTGCATCCTAGGCTGAACGAAATGATGTCCAAGCCACGGCTTTGGCACACTGCATTTCCAGTGATGGGAACCTTGCTGTGTGTCAGCCCGTACGAAGTCTTCACTCAGTGTTGGATGCCTCTCGTTGAAACTCATCTTCCAAAACTACGAGATAAGGACAGATCAATGAGGGTTCCGATTGTGCAGACCTTGGCGCGCTTGGTGTGGACGTATCTTTTTAGATGCTCCGAAAATCTCAACGTCATGACCAAGAAGCTGGAAGACGTCATAAACATCCTCCTGAAGAAGGAGAAGAAGGAGAAGCCTCTTGTTACGGCGGAGAAACAGGTGGTCGAGCCCTGCATACAGCTTATCAGATTCATTGGGTTCAAGCACCAGGATCTCTGTTTCAGAACCATCATCTTTCCGTTGTTGAATGTAGACCTCCTTTCCGGAAGTCACTCGCTGAAGCTGCAAGATTTGTCACCGGAGGGCATGATGGTGGGGATCCGGGCATTTTTGGCCATAATGTCGGATCTGGAAAAGGGGGATGCCGGTCAACCGCCATTTCCAGTTACCTTTGCGTCGAGTCACTCCGAGAAGATACCCCCAACATCCACATGGTTAGCGAAGATTGAGGCGGACAAGAAGGATGGACTCAAAGTGAAGGTCGACCGCCGGTCACAGGCAGTCGCCATCGACAAACTCGGCGAAACGGCCAAGGAATACTACGATCGGTTCTGCGAAGTGCTGGGCAAGATCATTGTGCTCTGCGACAGCAACTTTGGGGGCCAGGTTGTTCTGGACGAACGGCTAGCTGGTCAGAAGACCCCCCTGGAGTCCAAATTTCTCTTTGGCAGCAAGGACGATGCTCTCACTTCCGCCGAACAGAGCAAGGGGTTCTATGACTTGCTGTGTGTTGCCATCGAGGCACTTCCGCGGTGTCTACCTCCGAATATACCATTTCACAAGGTAGTCAGCCTTTTATGCAAAGGGACGGCGCATATCGACCACAGCGTTGCGATAGCATCGGCAAATGCCCTAAAGAGCATCGCCAGGCAGTACAACTCCCAGCAAGTTATTATTGGTTTTGCTCGGTTCATTTTCGCCTTTGACGAGCGGTATTCGACAATTTCCGACGGTGGCATGCTTGGGAATACCCACATTGAAAACACCTTGAAACTCTACATCGAGCTATTGACCATCTGGTTGGAAACGATCAAGCAGAAGGTCAAACGATCACAGGATGCGGCTGTGGCAGCAATGAATGACTTGGATGCATCTCTGGACGATAGGGGACTCGGGAACCGTAGTGAGGAACTTGAGTATTCTAGCGTTCAGGCGTATGTTGAGGAGATCGAGTCCAATGGTCTCTTCTTCCTGTGCTCTCAGTCTCGAGTGGTCAGAAGGTTTGCAATTATGGTCCTCCGGCTCATCACCGAGTTCGATGCGGTTCTATCAGATGTGGATCCGAATCAGCCAAAGCCAGGCCATTCGCGACAGTCGAGCAGGTCTACAGCCATTGAGATGTGTCCAAGAGTGATCCACATCTTGGAAGGCGACTCTCTCAATGTTATGAATCTCAATGACGAGAATCTACCGATTGCTGAGCGGAGTAGGCTGCAACGCGAGCTAAAAGGATCGAAAATGAAGGACGCCTTGGTACACATGGCGGTCAGTGATAACCATTACGACTCTAGCTTATGGTTCCGTATCTTCCCTAGCTTGATTCGGGTCTGTGTCGAGCGTTGCCTCACCACGGTCGTGCTCTGTCGGGATTTGGTGTGCGGTCGGTTGCTTCAACTGCATCAATCCATTTGCGCTGCCGCTCAGTCGCATACAGCTCCCGCGGCGGGTCCTTTGGAAATCGCCCGGCCAGTACTGCGAACACTGCCTCCAACCAGTCCGGAATTGATGATCGAGCAATGGAAACTATACCTCATTGTAGCATGCGCGACCTTGACTTCGACAGACGGAGAAAGGACAACGCCTCAACCTCACACTCCACAGCACAACCGAATACCATCGAAGAACCAGACACCACTGGCTCCAGTTCATTTGGACCGTATCACGTCGGCCAGGGCGGTCTTCCAAATGGTGATTCCACTATTGGCCGTTGATAATCTAATGATCCGGGAGGCGGTGGTTTCGGGCCTTGGGAACATCAACATCAACCTATACAAGACGTTGATCGAAAGCCTGCAACCTACAGTGCTGAAATGGGGAACGGATGATAAGAGGGGGCGCGGAATCCACTCACCGAGAAGGAACCGTAGACAGGATCGGCTTCGCGCTGAGGTTACGCACGTGTTTCAACTGACGTCGCATTTTCTCCAAAAGGAGGAAGTGTACAAAGACATCTGGATTTTGAGACATATGGTTGCCTTTATCAAGGATATGAAGACCTTCCTGAACGATCCGGAGGTTCAGAATGATTGGGAGCACCAGAAACTTCGCCGGTACTTCTGCGGGCTCACCGAGGAGTTGTACGAGGGTATCAAGAGGACTGACAAGCCGGAGGTTTGGCTACCCTTTGAGGGGAGATATTCCATATTCATCCTGATGCAAGACTGGTGTGGTCATGGACCCAACTACCAGGTGGTCAAGGAGAGGGAGGATCTGATGCGGAGGTCTCTCATGACCCTCCAACGAGACCTTTCGGACCCGGGAACCCTTTCGGCAGCGATGGAGATAGAAAAGAGGAATCTGAAGATTGCTGCCTTGAGTGCTATGGCTTCTCTCTGTGTAAGTAGTCTCCTCCCCTACATCCGCGTCAGAGAATACATTGGCTGATGAAACGAAGGCTGGCCCTGTTATGGAAGAAGTCGGCGCCGGAAGCAATGCGATGCTATCGTTCAATTTCGACGAGCTTTTCCGATGGATCGAGTCAATCTTTGCAACCCCAAGTGATCGGACACATCGGATCGGTCGAAGGGCACTGAAGAATATCCTCTTGCACAATCAGAAGACTACTCTTCTCAACGATGCTATACGCTTGTGCTATGTCTACGAGTCATCGTCCAAAGCAACGCAAAGTTACTTTTCGGTCATTTGCGAAGTTCTCAAAGAGGTCCCGAATTATTTGGATGGCATATGGAAGATCATGACTCTATGTCTCTTCAAGCTCGGAGACGAAAATGCAGATATTCGATTGCAGGCCGCAAAACTGCTCAGAGTTACCGAGGAGGGTGAATTCGGCATGTCTCGTGTCCAGGATTTCGAGGTTTCAATATCAGACAAGACGGTGGCTGTGTACAAACGAGCGCAGTTTCAGCTATCGAAGACGCTTTCGTTGTATTACTGTAATCTCGCCGTCTTCGTCTTCTCGGAGCTCACAATGTTCTTCAATCTCACGGAAGGCAAGGCACAGCGTGACATCCTCCATGCGCTATTACCCTGGATCCAACAGATCGATCTTACCTTGGAGCCAAGCGGCGAGCTTTCACCGTCATCATATATGGTTCTCGCCAACCTTTTTGAGATCACTGTGAAGTTCAGCAGCAAGATTCATAGCGAGATCCAAGCGGTCTGGCAATCCCTCGCAACTGCACCATACATGGGCAACGTTCAGGTTATCCTTGATTTCATCATCAATCAAAGCTTAGAGCGCCGCGAACAGAGCTTTGTGGAGTTCGGCAAACAGATCATCGTTTTTCTGTCGGAGACTCCGGCCGGGACAAAGTTGGTGGAGGCTCTCGCGATCTACTTGCAACCTAAGCTCATGACCATCGCCATGCGTGAGCCCTCGCCGATCCCAGATGGATCAATGTTCCCCTATGTCGCCAATTTGAAGGAGGCTGTGCCAGAAGGCGGGAAGCCAACGGGTTTCTCGTATGGTCATCTTGCTATGATTTTGATGGTCGACTTGCTGGTTGGACCTGTGCCACAGATGGCGGACAAACTCACACTTCTCCTGCAAGTCATCTTTGTGCTGTGGGATCACTATGTACCCCTAGTTCAAGAGCAGGCGAAGGAGATGCTTATTCACCTCATCCACGAGTTGGTCATTCCGGTCCTTCACGATGAAGAACACCACGAACAACGCCATGCGACCCTCGAGTTCATCGAGACAGTCCGGCAGAGGGATTCCAAAACCCACTGGAGCTACGACGATATCTCTTCGATAGAAGAACGCGGTCTCCGCGTGCCGGAATCTATGGAGCATATGATTTCGTCTGTTCTGGAGATGTTTTCGATCTTCCCAGAGCTCAAGGGCCAATGGGGCAAGATTGCACTTAGCTGGGCTACCACGTGCCCTGTCCGGCACCTTGCCTGTCGATCATTCCAGGTTTTCAGATGCCTTCTCACCTCGATCGACCACGTAACTTTGGCGGACATGCTAGCGCGCTTGTCTAATACTATCGCAGATGATGTGACGGATATCCGGATGTTTGCGATGGAGATCTTGATCACACTCAACGCTATCGTCTCCGAGATGGACGGGGAGTACTTGCTGCAGTATCCTCAGCTATTCTGGGCAACAGTGGCCTGCCTGGACACGATCCACGAGGCCGAGTTCATGGAGGCTCTGAGCATCCTGGAAATGCTTCTCGATAAAGTAGATCTATGCGATCCCGAGAAAGTCGAATTCATCATGGCGGCATTCCCGCCTAAGTGGGTGGGAACATTCGAGGGATTGCAGGCTTTGATTGACAAGGGCTTGCGCAGCTCCGTGTGCCTAAAACGGACCATGAGGGTTTTCGACAAGCTCAATGGAATCCCTACGAATGACCTTATGGGGGGCGAGACTCGATTGCTGTATGCGACCCTGGCGAATCTTCCTCGGTTCTCGCAGGAGATGGAGGAAGGAACACCGGGGGAAGCTGTTGTGCGCTGCGCCGAATGGCTCAAGTTACTTGCGGAAGCACAGGAATCGAAATCATTGGCAAGAGTGATGAGACTCTTCTCTGCGCAGCAATTCAGGTCACGGAAGGACTTTATTCAGCAAACCGTCAACGCCTTGAGAGAGACCTTCTTCCCGGAATACGAAGCTCAGGCCCTCATCTTCCTAGTTGGACTGCTGTCGAACGAGCTCAGGTGGATGAAGCTTAAGACTATGGAGGTTTTGACCGTCGTCGTCCCTTACATCGACATGCGGAAGCCCGCTTTCGCCGGTGTCGGTGCAGACCTCATATCTCCACTCCTGCGACTTCTACAAACGGATTATGTCGAGCAAGCCCTCGAAGTTCTCGACAAAATGCTTACCATCTCTGGCGGGCCGATGGATCGCCACGTTATGCGCATGAGTATGGGTGGTCGCAACATCCGCAAGGAGTACGAAAAGACACAGACGCTATTCGGGGTTCCCGACGAAAGCGGCTGGGCTATTCCGATGCCCGCGATCCACGCCGGCATGACTAGAGACAATGTACACGCCGTCTTCTATACTTGTCAGGATGCCATCTCGGCAGAGGAATCCGGCGTGGACGCACCACAGACTCCCGATGTCCAATTCCACATGGAGGACTATTCCTACACATCGCTACCAGATCGTACGGCGACTATGCTATCCGAGGATGGTCGCGGCGAGGGAGGATTCAGCGATACGGTGCTTCGGCTTGGAGATCTGGACGAGTTCTTTGGTGGCCACGACACAGGCACGTCGACGGACGCGGAAGGCGAAACGGTCCCGCAGCTCTACGATACCAGGGTGTTTGCCATCCTCAACACTGCCTCCATGGTCCGCACTCCAAGCGTCGCTAGCTTCCAGGCGAGTTTCGGCGAATCAACGCTCTTCCCCTCCTCTTCTACTTCCACGCCCGTAATACGCGAGCGCACACTCCTTGGCGACGATAACCGCCCCGGGATCATGACACCAACGGCGTTCACAGCGCCTGCGCCGCCTCCGATCACTGGTGGTGGAGGAAGTAGCACAGCTTTCAGAGGGTATGCACCTTTCAGACCATCATCTAGTAGTGCTGCTGCCATCCCCCCATCCTCATCCAATCACTCTTCACCGTCGTCTTCTCTGTCATACCAAAGCAGCAACTATTTCGGCCAGAACCAGAGGTCATTGGTTAAACAGAAACTAGGTACTAGTTTTGACGAGGCGGCTGAAGCGTCCGATCCCGAGAGTTTGCCTGGTGACCTACGGACGGCGACGTCGACGCCGACGAGGGGCAGGAATAGTCCCGAGATTGGTAGTGCTGGCAGTGGCGGGAGCAGTGGCGGTGCTTTCCTGCTGGACAATCTCCTCGACAAGTTGAAAGACAGTAAGAAGGGGAAGCGGAGTGCGTCTCGTGGCGCGTATGGAAGACCGGATGTTACTAGTGTTCCGAGAGGCTTTTGATTGATGATTGATACTTAATGATGATGATGATTTGATGGATGGGCGAATGGTGTTCTCTTTTCTGTTTCTGCTTCTGCTTCTGCTTCTGTTTCCGGGTGATGATAATGTTGTCTGATTCATGATTTTGCTTCTTCTGCTTTTGTTTTCTCAACCATGTATGTATGATGGTCTTGTAGTTTTTCCCATTGATAAGATGATTCTAGAGGTTGTAATGCAGAAGCAGTGCGGGATTTCCTTTCTTCTTTCTTTGATAGATATGGTAATGGTTTTACGACGGGGGGATAGAAAGATGTAGTAAATATAACGTCGACTCATAAGATTGTCTCGAAAAGATCGAGCCCATTTTTGGGCCCTTCAGGTTGGAACTTGGCATCAATACCGACACCGGCCCTTTTTTTTAGCCCGGCTGTCCAAATTTTAGAACAGACCGTCGTAATTTTAGGAGATTTAGACCATCACTCGTGTGATGTATCTACGACCCACTATTTACGTTTAGACAACGGGACATTTTACGGTTTACCAGGCTTTTTTTTTGTTTTCCTGGCGGCCCTGGCGGCATTGGGGTGCTCAAAAGCTTGTTTCCCCGCTAATGTAGGCCTTCCGTCACTGGAGCTTTCTTTTGCCTTCTTCCTAACGAATTTGTACATAGCAGATACATAAAATTGACCCCGTTCCCCAGCATGAGGTTTTCCCGAGCCGCTTAGCCATCCCCGGGGCGGGCCGTTGGATAGCGACAGCTTGTCAGCTTCCCCTCATCTATATTTAGTCCCTGTAGGGCCAGCTCTGGTCGGAGCTTTGACTTTGGACGAGTTTCAGGTATTTGTGCGGTCTACCATTGGGGTCTATGACGATTTGGAACCAAGAACATATCATACTTACATTTACCTATACAGTCCCCGCGGGGCCATCAGCGATCCTGCACTGGATTGCTTTTCGATTGGTACTCTAAATGGCTGCTGCCTTCTGATGAAAAAAAACTAAAAAACAAAGACAATTCAGCGGTGTCCAATCACCGCTTCCGCTGACCGTTACCGCCTGATAAAATGTTCGCCGGTCGACCCCAAACAGCGTCGCACAGAAGATATGACACACGTATGTACGGTACTGTGCAGAGGAGGCCTCGTGCGGGGTGTGAGGGGAATTGGACAAAAGGCCAGCCCACCCCCAGCCCCCATTGCGGACGGTAAAACGTTCAGCATCCAGCATCCAGCAATCTCAATCAAGCACTCGTCCAAACCCTCACTTTCTCGACAAATCACCTCCAAGGCTACATAGATAGTCTTTCTGCCTGACCGACGCTAGAGCTTGAGCTTCTATATACTCTACTCGATATAGTAGATAACCAAGTACCTTCAGCCTTAGATACCCGTATTCACCCCGCACACGAGCAAAAATGTCCAACCTTCCCCCGACGGGCCCACGGCGTTTCACGGGCCCGTGCAGATTCTTCCTCGAAAGCTCCTGCAACTTCGGCGAGAACTGCAGGTTCTCGCACGACGTCGCTGCGGCGCCGGCAAATAAACAACAGCGACCACCACCACCACCGACCAGAGGTCGGGGTTCGGGACGGCGTCGTGGAAGGGGCGGCAGACCAGTGCCGACTGGAAATAATTTCCCGACGAACATGAACCCCACCACCACCGGGGCGGCGCAGCTAGAAATGGCGATCAAGGAGCTTCTGGTTGGTGTCAAGAAGGGGAAAGAGGGGGAGATAACGGTTTGTTTTCCCCGGTGTTTGATATGTGGAGGCTGTGGCTAATGCGGACTTAGAGACGGTTTGTGGAGCAGCCTCCACGGAAGGAGCCAGAAGAGTCCCCGCACCAAGACAAACTGATGGGCGGGTACATGGCGGTCCGTTTCGGGCCCGGCTTGGAAATCTTAACCATCCAGTCCACGGACGTAACCTCGCCTTCGGCGGTGATCGAGGGCCTACCCAAGAACACGTCGATGCAGGAGGCGTTGACTATCGCACGCGAGTTCAAACCCGATCTGCCGCCGCAGGCGGTGAGGACCTTTGTGCGTGGGGACAAACTGCAGGCAGTGGTGAACTATGACGACGTCCTCGTGGCGGATGCCGCGATCAAGGCGTTGGATGGAAGGAAGTGGAAAGATGGGACGCTGGCGGCCAGGGCGTTGAAACCCACGAGCGCCAGTGATGATGTGACGAAGATCCAGTGCTCCTGGTTTCAACCTGCCAAAGCTGCGTATCTGCAGTTCTCGCAACAGAGCGAAGTAGATGCTGCGGTTGCTACGGCTGGAAGGATCAAGGAGATTCGCGGGCAACGGTATAAATGTCTACCGCAACCGCCGCGGCCGGGGACCCGGTCGCACAGGGTTTTGCTGGTCGGATTGGATCGGGCGACGACTGAAGTTGATCTGCGCGGTATCTTCACTTTCGAGTCGCTCAATATGAAGGAACCAAAGTTCGATGTCTCCCGCGATGATGTCGTGGCCTATGTTCGCAGCCTCTTTGATGGGACGAAGATTACAGACTGGAAGATTGTATCCCACCCGGCTGACAGCAAGCAGAGGGTCCTGATCGATGTTGAGAGCGCCGACCATGCCAGAAAATTCTACCGGGAGAATGATGGCAAGAAGCATGGCTTCTTGGGTAACACCACACTGAATATCAATCTCTCGTACAACGCTACCTTCCGCATCCCCGTCGACATCTTCAAGGCGGTCAAGGAAGAGGTGGTAGCTCTGGAGGTGGCCGAGCGGACGAAGGAACGAGAGATTGTGCGCGCAGGAAAAGCGAAGGAGTGGGACGCAGGCGACGACTCGCCGGCCCGAGTTGTGATATACGACCGCTACGTGCCAGTAACGGTGCGGATCTTCGGCCGAGGTCGTCCCGCCGTAGTCCGTATCAAAACGGCCATGCAAAAGCTGCTCCGCGGCGAGATAGTCTGCGATGAAGACGGACGAGCCATGTGGAATCCCACACTTAAGGGAATCGATGGTCACAAGGTCATGCGCGAAGTCAAGAACCGTACTGGTGTCCATATCAATCTCGACATCAGGAGCAGGACCATGACGCTTTACGGTACGCAAGAGCAGCGACAAGCGGCAAGGATGATATTGGCGGAGCAGTATCGGCTCCTGCTGGGTCAACAACATGATATCCCTTTGTCGGGACAGTCACTATGGCTTGTGCATCGAGGAGGTCTGGCCGGGGTTCAGAAACTTCTCGGAGCCGACAAGGTTATACTCGATCTCCCGAACAGGCGTCTCACCGTTACATGCAGCCCTGCGGTGATCGAGGAGGTCAAACGCCTTCTGCGCCAGCCTGGGGAAATCCATCGCTATGGAGGAGTGATGAACGGGGATGCCGCCACCGGAGGAGGGGAAGACGACTGTGCAGCATGTTTCTCCCCGGCCGAGCAACCTACCAAACCTCCCTGTGGCCACGTCTATTGCAAGCTCTGTGCGAGCGAGTACATTAACTCGACGATCGATACATCGACCTACCCTATCGTGTGCTTCGGCAACGAAGGAAACTGCAAAACGCCGTTCCCACTCGCCTTTATCCGCAGCCTCCTCACGAATGCAGATATGGACCGCCACATCACCCAAAGTTTCTCATCCTACATCCAAACTCACCCAAAAGAGTATCACTTCTGCCCGACGCCCGACTGCGGAACCGTCTACGGCGTGACCACGACCGGCAAAGTCTTCACGTGCTCACAATGCTTCGTGGGGATCTGCACCACGTGCTGCACCGAAACGCACGACAACCAGACGTGCGACGAGTTCATGAGCGCGACCAACCCGGAGATCAGCGAGCAGCTGTTCCAAGGGTGGCGCGGCGAGCACGACGTCAAGAAGTGTCCGACGTGCAAGAGCTACGTCGAGAAGAACGAGGGCTGTCACCACATGACGTGCAAGTGCGGCCAGCACTGGTGCTGGCTGTGCTTCGAAACCTTCCCCGACGGCGACCAAACAATCTACGCCCACATCGAGAGCGCGGCGTGTGTCGCCCGCCAGCGCCAGCAGACGGGGCTGCCGCAGGAGCCACCGCCGCCACCGCCGCCGTGGGAGTACAGGGCGGATTTCTTTGCGGAGCTGGGGCAGGAGGGTGTGGCCAGGGCGAGGAGGGAAGATATAGAGCGGATTAGACACATCCGCGCCGCCGCCGCCGAGCAGGAGGACGCACGGCGGGAGATGGCGGAACAGTTGTGGGCTCGCGAACGCCTACGGCGTGAGAGGATACGACAGGCGGATGAGCAAGCGGAACGTGAAAGGAGGAATGCCAGCGGTGGTGGGTTCTGCGCAATCATGTGAGAGAGTACCTACGTTGTACTTGTACTCCGCCGCGCGCGGGGTGCCGTTTCTGTTGCCTTCGTACTTGCTCCCTATATTGATCGAGGTTGGAATTTTCTCTAGCTATCTATCTATCTATCTTATTTATTTTTTCAAATCTGTTGGGTGTGAATTTGTCTTGTTTTGCTTTTGGACCATTCTGTCTGTCTGTCCGGCGTGGCGATCTGCGAGGAATCTAGTTAGGAATTTGAGTTTTATATTGAGTCAATCATAGGCACTCACTCTACAATTAGCTCAATCACGTGCACGCGTCTTCACTCTAGTCAAGCCTTGGTCACTTTACCTTCACGCAACCTCACCACCAACAACACTCTCCACTTCACTTCACTTCACTTCACCACCACCACCCTCACCACCCTCCTCCACCCACCCCCTCACAACAACCACCACCACCATGTCCCGCCACCACCCTGACCTAGTAATGTGCCGCAAGCAGTCTGGGATCGCGATCGGGCGTCTCTGCGACAAATGCGACGGCAAGTGTCCGGTATGCGACAGCTACGTGCGGCCGACGACGCTAGTGCGCATCTGCGACGAGTGCTCGTTCGGCAACTACCAGAACAAGTGCGTGGTGTGCGGCGGCGAGGGCATCAGTGACGCTTTTTACTGCTTTGAGTGCACGCGACTTGAGAAGGATCGCGATGGGTGCCCGAAAATTATTAATCTGGGCAGCTCGAGGACGGATTTGTTTTGTAGGTGCTCCCAATTGCGAGCCCCCGGTTCCCAGAATTGCAGACTGCGGAGACGGTGGTGGAGGCGGTGGTGGAGGTGTAAGAGGGAGAGGGAATACGTGCTAATACATGACGCGAATTGCAGATCAAAAAAAGAACTTCAGGAATCATTGATACGACGACGACCACGACGACGACGCGTACGGCCGATGCGCACCCCCGGTGCACGAAGACTGCGGTGTACTACCTTTTACCTCCCCCGACACCCACAACCACCTACGACCTACGACCTACCTCCACTACCTTTCTGTACTGTACAATAGGCGGGCTCGATTTCGTTTCGTTTCGTTTCTCTGTTGCGGCCTATACTTTAGTTTTGGCGTTCATACTACATACCTATGTCATACCGTGGGCTCTAGGATGCGTTTTATACTGTAATTGCATGTATTGGTTGTTGTCTGGCTTCTCTTTGTATTTGCATACTTGCCATAGCCATAACCATAGCATTGAGCGGGATCAAGCATCAAGCATCGTTCATCACTCAGTCAATGCGACGACATTTGATACCTAGATCAAACCAACCATTTCCCCCCTCTATAGACAGTAGGCATACCTAAGTAGAGCTGAGCATGATTCGTACACGAAAAACGGGAAGGAAGGAAGAATAAAAAAAAGCACACAAACCACAACAACCACCCGTTCCCCATCGCCACGCCCATCGCCATCTTCGGACACAAAAAAAAGGTGTATATTACAACAAAAAGAAACGAGGAAAAAAAGAATGAAGGAAGAGAAGAAGAACCGCAACCCCAGGCTTGAAAACTGAAACAGAAGAACCCCCCGCCCCGCGCGCCTCCCGCACCCCGCACTCCGCCGCCGCCCCCAACTCGCTCCCATGACAAAAAGAAAAAGGATGCTGCAGCCGCTTGGTATAAGAAATTTACCCGTAAATGACAAACAGAAGGAAAATCAAAGGATTGTTGGTGGTGACGGACTAAACGGAAATTATGACACAAAAAAAAGCAAAGGGGATAAAACGCCATGGACACACACAGATCAGTGTCGTGTCCAAATCTAAATCGCGGAGTAGAGTACAGTGGGTGGGTGGTAGTATTTTCGTGTTGGAAGGGAAAGAAAGACAAAACCGCATGACCTATGGAGCATGATCGGAAGTGGGCGCAACAACAACCTCAATCTCCTTCTGCGCTGCTGCCACCTCATCGTTCTCAGCCCCATTCAACTTCACGATCAACTTCATCTCCTCGACCGCACTGCTGACTTCGGGCACCTCGGCTAGCTGCTCCTCTTTGGTGTTACTTCCGCGGCGACTGAAGGACGGCTTGTGGACCAACTGCAGTGTCGACGTCGATGATGTTCCCAATTCCACATCATCCCTCTTCGAGACCGTCGCCTGGCTCTCACGCCTGCTGAAGCTCATGGCGCTGTGCATGCTCTCAGTTTCGCCGCCGCCACCACCGTGAAGAGTGCCTGCGTCGGAATCCGCTTGGGTAGATTTGTGACGCTTGAGGCGGTCCTCGGGCGATATGCTCTGCCATTCGGAGCCGAAGGTGATGACGCTCGCCTTCTTGCCGTGAACCGTGAAGCTACCGGCAACGCGCGCGAGTCCTTCATCGGTACTCACCTTCTTCTCGGGTGTGACGGTATTCTCCTCGCCGTTGGACTTGCCCCTGCGATGGCCGATTCCCTGGCTCTCGCGTAGGGTACGCTGGAGGCTTCTGCGTACACTGGGTCGGCTCTCTCTGCCTTTGCCTTTGCCCTTGTCCTTTCCGCTCTCCCGGTCGTCATCATCCCGGTCGACTCCCAGGCTGGAGTGGTGAGATCTCGCTGGGCTGATCGATCGGCGACTGTCGGTGGTATCCATACTGTTCTGTCGAGAAGACCGACCAAGCATCCTGGCTGACGAGCCTGAAGGTGAACGAGGCCTAGGCACAGCGGACAACGCCGACTCTCTTCCGGTGCGTTCGTGCGGCGAGCCGGCGTGATCGCGATCGGTGGAGGGAATGCTCTTGTGACTGCTCGTCACGTGTGAAGAGCGGGACGAGACGTGAGACAACTGTTCGGTGGCCTGCGGAGAAAAGATGGCTTGTGTTGGAGTCTGTGTTCCGGAACCGGTATCCATGGTGGGAGAGCCGTGCGCGGACGGGATCGGAGATATACGAGACGATGGAATCGGTGTGGTGATGACGAGATCCCTCTTGACTTGTTCCTGCACGGTCTTGCGTTCTTCGTCCAGGTCGAGAGCGAGGATGTCGCGATGGCACCGCAGCTTCCACATCTCCATCCGTACCCACTGCAACTTGGCCGCGAGCGTAGCTGCCGCCATGACCACCTGTTCTCTCGTCCTGGGCTGGATCGGTGTGAGGATGGTCAAGTGTCTACCGTTCCTGAGATGGGTTTGCAGTTCCCGGTTCGCAGTGGCCAGACGCTCCTCCGAATCAAAGATCCTCTTCTGGACGACCTCCCTCCTTCTGACGATTATCTCGGCGGCCAGCTTGTGATCGATCCCCCCTCTGATTATCGATACTTCCCCGGTGGGTGTGATCACCGAGTGGCCGTTTGGCGATTGCTGAGCGGTCTCCATCCGCCGGATTCCCCTCAGGCGTTGTCCATCATAGTTCCCACCGACGACCCCGCGCATGCGCACACCAGCCGTCCGGAAGGTAGCCGCATAGTTGAGTTTTGCCAGCCAATCGTTCATTTCCACCTCAGAATCCGCAATGAAATACTCCTGGATTCCGCCGTGCCTGATGAAGGCGAAAGCATTCTTATGCTTCTTGTAGTTCTTATCCAGCAGCGCGACGGCATCGTCGGTCGATATCTGTGCGTCCGCCTTAAAATCCTCGAGCGGCGGCTTGAAGATGACCGGTGTACCAGGCCCTAGCTTGTGATGTTGCTCGTATTGATGCATCAAGCTCTTGATCCAGGTGATGTTGCGGAAGAAGTACAGCTGGGATCCCGTCAGGATGGCACCCCACTCGTGCCATGGACTCCTCGTCTTCTTCTTCTTGAGCTCCTTCCGCCAGAGCAGTCCGACTTTCGTCACCTTCATCTCCACGACTCCGGGATCCGCTTGCTCGGGATTTTCCGTCGATTGTTGCGTCATGAAAGCGTCGGGTCGCGAACGTGCCGAGACAATCTGCAGTACTGCCGACTTGAAGAAGGCATTGTGCAGGGATGTCATGTCCAGTCGGGAAGCGGTCCCTGTGTACGAGTACGGGTCGTCGAATTGCACGACATCCTTCAGGCTGGCCCGCAAAAGATCCAGTCGGTTCTCAATGATCAACAGGTATGGGTCCACCGGCTCTTTGATCCGCTTCCCATCATACGAGTTGACGGCACGGTGAAACATGCTCTTCTTCGGACGATGGGGTACGATCTTCTGGCCATTGATATCGAACTCATCTTCCAGGCGAATGAACGGAGTGTAAATGATGTTGGCATAAAAGCACTTGAGAGGAAATATAAGTCAGCTAGGTGCTCGAGTGATACATAGTGATGACACTACCTCCAGAATGTCCTTCGAAATACCCTCCTTGTCGAGGGCTCTCGAGGTGTTTTTGACATAATCCGCCTTCTGCATTTTGTGCTTGTTATTCTTGTTGAAGAAATCGGTGTGAAGCATAATCAACGAAAAAGCAATGTAATATGCTTGATCTGCGGGACGGGGAAATGATACTCAGCAAAGCTAATCTCCAGGGATGACCATGAGAGGGGGATATTAATCTAACCTCCATCCTTGTAAACGAAAGGATTGCATTCGTGATAACGGTCCGCAAACGCCTGCAGGACGCGGTCTATCTGTTGCGTTTCCGAGGGCAATTCGACTTCCATGAGAAGTTTTCTGGAAAGCACCAATCAGTAAACCGAAACACACGGTAGTAGTAGTTTCAAGGAGTAGACCCACCGTAAAGCCATATCCATGGGATCGTTCTCAAAGTCAAATGTTTCCATGTATGCCTTGAGCACAGCCAGGTGGAACGTATCACCGTTTCGCGCCAATAGCGAAGCCACAACGCTCTTGCTCATCGCTTCGAACAGTTTCGACAGGTATACGGGCGGGGTATCTTCGTCATTCCTCTCCGGGATGGATATCTCGTGCGACGCTTTCCCGGATGGAGGCGCCGAGAGGGCAAGTTGTGGCTGTGGGGAAGAGGTCCGTGATGTGGAGCTGGAGAACGGCGGTTCACTATCCCGCCGTATTCGCTCGAGCAACATTCCGCCGAAACTGTTCCTCCCTCTGCCTTCACCGTGCTGTTCCAACGAGGACATGGTCGAACTCCGGCCCCGTCGTTGGAGGCTGCCCGCCCTGAGCGCTGGGGAACCCGGGCTGGAGCGGCCGGAATTCGCCGATGCGATCGAGTTGGACCGCAGGACGGGTACACTGCTCGCCGTCAACATGGTAGAAGTCGACGCCGGGTTATCGAAAGGGCCAGTTTTGGTCGGGCTTCCCGGCTGAGACATGGAAACCATGGAATGCCGGCGCCCGGATGCTAGTGACCGGGGAGTGGCAGAGCCATCGTGGTCGTCGTGGGACGAACTCGCGCGGACATCCGAGGGCCGACTCGGCAAGGGGAGTGGGAAGAGAGGCGCATCCTTCTTCCTGCGTCGCGGTAGCCGGAAAAAGGTGGTGGTAGTGGTCGTGTGTGTGGTAGTGGTCGTATGGAACGCGATGGTCTGGTCGCCCGAACTGACAGTCGAACGCGAGGATTCCGAGAGCCTTGGAGGCGGTAAGGGTAGCGGTAGCGACGAACTCTGATCGTCGTAAGGCGGTGGTTCCGTGGTCAACGAAGACAGAGTGGACTGGGCGGAGTGAGCACCACTGCTGCCGTCGGGACGTTCCGGTTCGTCAAAGGTGACCCTGCTGAGTCGCATGCTCGAACTGTTCCTACTCGAGCTCTGTGTGCGCTGTTTGGACAACGAGCTACGAAAGAGGGGCTCGGTATTACTGTGCACCGGCGCCCCCGCCCCTGCCGCCGGCCGCTCCTCCTTCTTGCGCCACAAGCGCATGGTACCCGAACGTTTCGGCAGCACGGTCGACGACGAGGAGGATGATGCCGCCAAAGGAGACATGAGATCGTCGGTACCGGATGTCACGTCGTTCGTAGGAGCCGTGGTGATGATCGCGGGCGGGTGGGGGATGGGCGGAGGGTTCACGTCGCGTGCTCTGAGGCCAAGCGCGGAGTCGGAAGCATTTCTGAATCGTGAGAGACTGAATCGCGGGCCAGCCTTATTGGACGGAGGGGATCCGAAGATCCTGATAGCGGGGGAACCCTGGAGGCCCACCGTAGCTGCGGATTGCGGTCTGCGATCGGCAACGGCGGCGGTGGCTGTAGCTGTAGCTGCAGAGGGGGCGACGGTGGATTCGGTGGTCTCGGGAAGAGGAGGATGGCGTGGGATATGTTCGCTGGAGCGAGCCTGCGCTAGGGCTCTGATGGCATCGAGACTGCGACGCGCTCGAAGGTCGGTATCGCTTTTGCGCTGATTTCGCTTGAACATACTTTCTCGACGGTTACTTGGAAGTTGATCGATCGACCGATCGATCGACCGACTGGCCGACTGACTGGTTGACTGATTGGGAGTTGAGGGTGGAAGGGGGGGGTTCGACGAAGAGAGTATCTATGGGGGGAGGGGGGTTCGACAGAGTTCCGAGAGATTCAGGAATATCCGTGCAGACCTGTGTCACACGTGGGGTGCAGAGAATGAAATGTTTCGAATCGCTAAAGCGTGTGTATACCGCAAACGGCGATGTGGTCGCCGTCGACGTTAGCAGCAGTGGTGGTGGTAGTAGTAGTCGGGGGTCCGGGGAGGAAGGATTCGGAAGGGGGATATAGGTGGTAGAGGCAGTATAGTATGTAGTGCCCGGGGAATGGAGGGGGGGTGGTGTTGGAGGTTCGGGTTGGTCTCTTAGGACATTCCTGATTCTGATTCTGATGTTTTTTTTTCTCCTTCTTTCTTTCGTCTTCCGTTCGGGGTTCGAAAGTATCACGATTGGAATGTCAGGTTCGGTCTAGGCATACTAGGGGAGCAACGAAGAACGGAGGGTGAGGTGGTGAAGGAGACGAGGCGGAGAACAGACGGCGAGGAAATATCATCGAGATACGTGGGAGGACGAGTGTCAGAGCGAAAGGAATGTACGTGGGTTGGGGGGGAAGAGTGGGGAGGGGGGATATGGATATGGGTATGGGGGGTGGTCAGCCCGTGGGCGTGGGTGGTGGGAGTGAATGAGAGTAAAGGTGGGAGGAGGTGGAGGACGACGGGGATGGGGAAGCGGGAATGGGGGGAGAGGGGGGAGGTGCAGTGAGGAGAGTGAGCGAGTGTGAGGTCGAGTAGATACTTCTGAGTTTGGTTTGGCTGTGGTCCAGTCCCGTAGCTAAGGTAACTTAGGGCCGTTGAAACGGAAGGAGTAAAGGGACATAACTCTAACAGCAATTGCAGGTTCAGCCAGCCTGCGACCCCAACGCTCTCGGACAGCTCGTTTACCGGTTGACCAGGAACTCATACAGCAATCCAACTAGTTGCCGTCTAAGCTCTGCGCGCTTTCATCTCCCATCTCCCACGTCCCATCTTCCTCCTTCCGCTCTGTTCTTACTACATACCGGCATCCCATCGTACGCTCCACGTGCGCCGGAGACGGTCCGGCCACCTGTCCGCCGAATTGCAGCGTGCTTTCCACCTCGTCGAGACAAATCTTCACGACGCAAGAGTGCTTTCGGCCGGAAAATTGGTTCTCTCCGACTCGTTCTCGGGATGTTTTCCTGTTTCTGTTCCGGATCCGTGATGAGTGTCCAACTATCTGTAAATACGGCTGGGCATCTGGTAGCTGCGTACGTACGCACACCGTTCGATTGCTGACGTCAGGATCACAGTACAGCACAGTATCTACGGTACGATACAGCAAAAGTACACGTCCGGCGTTGCGGTGGAGAAGATATGTAGATAGAAAGGTAGGTGCTGTACTTGGGTGCCCGTACAAGAATAGGCAGAGCACCTACTACGATCTATAATACCCTCAGCCCTGTAGCTACCTACTCTCATACATACACACCCCGAATCCGAAACCTCCACAGCTTCAGCTCGCTTCATCCACGAGTTGGCAACGAGAGGCCGAGACACCCCATTGACCAACGCAGTAACGAGAGTGGGCACAGGCCCCTCTTCAAGGAGGGAAAGTTCTGCGCACCACCAGTAGATAGTACTCGTAGCGACTCTGGATACTTATCCGCAGTGGCCATCCAGCGTCAATGGGGACTCTCTTTACAGGTTTCTCCATCTCATAGGTACATACATACCTCCATACCTCCATACCTCCATAGGCACCTCTACGCTCCTCCATCGCCGCCTTGCCATGGGATGCACCGTCCAATGGGAAAAATTCGACCGAATAAGTTTAAACGGCCAAACGAGATGCGCACCCTCGGCAGTATCCACGTGCGGAGTATATACCTTCTTGGTTACCGGTAGTCTACCGTGGTCTAGACGGATGGATGGTGGATGCATGTTGGAACCACGGTATGATATCTACCGCCCCCGCCCCAGATTCTCCAGAGCTCTCACCCACCCTCCTTCCCGGCTTATCATCCAGAAGGCCGTAGTACAATACACGCGCATACGTAGCCCGTCTATGTGGAGTAAGGTGCTCTAGGCACCAACGTCCCGGGTAAAACGAAAACGGCGAATGAGGAGGAGAGAAAAGTTTGAAGATGGGGAAAGAGTGGGGGAGAGACAGCTGTTTGTTAGTTACCGGTGTGTAGAGCGAAATACCTATCGACAACTACCGGTACTATGGCACAGAGTCGGCTTCGCCCCCTCCCCTCTATGCGGAGTAGTTACAAGAGGTGATTCTGTCTTCGCACGGAGTAATTCATCAACGCATGTTCCGTGACACTCGCACTACCACCGTGTAAGCAGGTTTGCGGCTATGCATGAATCGCTAGAGTACATACACGGCTGTACTGTTGGAGACTAGAGTAGGGACTCATAGCTATCATACCGTAGTGGACTCTGCACAGTGCATAGGGTGCCTATTCTAAGCGCAGACCGTCGAATCGACGTCAACCTGACCACCGACCAGTTCTCCCCCATCTACATACGATCACGACAGCAGATACCTTCGGAGATCGTCCGAATTCCCAACAACGATAACAAAAACAACACCACGCCCGAGCATACCATACGTGCGCGCCCAACATGCAGCTGCGGCAGTGCATCCTATTCGCGGCCGCGCTCCTGTTCCTCGAGTGTGTGGCCGCCGCCACCCTCCAGAAGCGGGACATCCCATTGCCGCCGACCTCCGCCGGCGGCGCGGACAAGACCTTGGGCTGGACGGACCGGCTTCGGCGGATATTCCTGCGGCCCTCTGGGGCGGCTCCGCGCGGACTACCGGCGGGCGAGCGCACGGTAGCGGGAGCGGGGCAACAGGCGTTCTCGCACAATCTCTCACGGTACGTCAATGACGTCGTGTTGCGGTTCAACATTACCGGGCGCGACGAGGCGCAGGCGATGGCCGAGGCGGTGAACATGCTGTACCTCGACGTGTGGTCGGCCACGAAGGACCACGTCGATATCCGCCTGCAACGCGGCACCGTGCCGCTGCTGCTCGATCTGCTGCCCGCCAGCATGCACGACTCCCATACCGCGCTGATGCATAACATCGCCCGCGAGGCGCTCGAGACGTACCCCGGCGGTATGCAGTCGCCGGTCCCGCATCCGTCGGTCACCAAAATGTTTGAGCCGATCGGGAAGGAAAAGGCAGAGGCCCTATTCTTTCAGGACTATCGTCCGCTCAAAGTCGCCGTCGCTTGGATGAAGCTGCTGGAGTCCCTGTTCCCCGCACATGTCGAGCTCATCACCATCGGCAAGAGCTTCGAGCAAAGGGACATCCATGCGCTAAAGGTGGGAACCGCCCATCCCGACGGGAAGCAGAAGAAGGCCGTCATCGTCACCGGCGCCGCGCACGCGCGGGAGTGGATCACCGTGTCGACCGTGTCGTATCTGGCCTACTCCATGATCACGGGCTTCAGTCGTGGCGATCGCGGGATCGACAACATGGTGAACCAGTTCGATTGGATCTTCCTTCCGACTCTGAATGTGGACGGGTTGGTTGCATCCGAACACCCCCTTTGGAGGATGGAAAAAAGAACCAGCGATTGACGGGGCTCGTTCAGATATGCGTACACCTGGGAGCAGGATCGGCTGTGGAGGAAGAACAGACAGCCAACGTCGCTAGCGTTCTGCAAGGGAATCGATCTCGACAGGTAAGACGGGTGCCGTATCCATCCGCTCCCGAAACTTACACGTTTACCAGAGCGTACAACTTCCACTTTGACGACTCGCCGCAATCGTCGTCAAATCCGTGTAGCGAGAGTACGTTCCTCACCGTTGTACACGTACACCCCTTCGCCGTCACACAGCGATACTGACATGTCTCAGTGTTCCCCGGCGGCTTCCCGTTCCAGGCAAAAGAGGCAAAGGTGTTTGCCCACTGGGCGGAAAAGCTCCTCAAGAACGGCACCAAGATCGTCGGGTTGCTCGATCTGCACTCGTACTCGCAGCAAAGTACGTGTCCCTGTTGTTGCTGTCGTACGGAATCTCATGACCTCTGACCACTGCCTAGTCCTGTACCCGTACTCCTACTCCTGCGACGTACCACCGCCCGACCTCGAAAACCTCGAGGAGCTCGGCATGGGGCTAGCCAAAGCGATCCGCCTGCGATCCGGCGAGCACTACGAGGTGACGTCTGCCTGCTCTGGCACCGGCTTCGCCGGGCTGATCCCGGGCACGACGGGCAGTGGCAGCATGCTAGACTACTTCTACGGGAAGCTCCACGTCCCATTCACTTACCAGATCAAGCTGCGCGATACCGGCTCCCATGGCTTTCTCCTGCCAAAGGAGAATATCGTCCCGACTGGTGAGGAAATGTTTAGTATGCTCAAGTACTTTTCCCAGTTCCTCCTCGATGATGGGAGTCCTACCCTGGCGAAGGCGGCGAAGGCTGCGGATGAGCTGTGAGCTGTGAGCTGTGATGATGTGGAAATTTTGGGGGTGGGAGTTGTGCTTGCTTGCTTTTTGTTTGATTGTCTGCGCTGAGTCACTTGTGGACGCCATCGTCCCCCCCTCCTCTCACAAACTTGGGGATGTGAATGTGGACGGAGATTGAGATTGAGATTGAGATTGTTTTTTTTATTATCCCCGTGTACTTCACTTTCACTTTCCGTGCATTTATGAAGGACAACCATCACCCCCATCCTTGGCTGACGATGAATGCGGAGTTTTGCTTTGGGGGTGCGCTCATGTAACTATCGCGCAATTGTTGATTCCAATCTACCTAATTGAATCTCGATACTTGTTGGACTTGCTGGTCTTGTGTAGTCGGATCATGATTTGTCAATCGTGTGGTGGAACCGATTCGCTCTTGATAGTGTTTAGCTATAAGGGTCTACGAGCTAGAACTTAGGCGTCAGGCTCACCAAATATGGGCACGAATCGCCGTCTGATGGGAGAAACACCATCTTCATCGTCACCGCTACCGATCACCACTGAATATCACTCGCAACATACCCTCCTCCCCTCCACCCCCCTCAAGTCCAGACCTGCTGGATTCCAGGTACCACTGCATAAACAACCTCACCTCCGCCCATCACTTAGCCCAGCATCACCACTTCAACCTCCTCCACCACCTCCCGCCCTTCCCCCCCACCTTCCCACCCATCCCACCCTCCGTCTCAAACGCCGGGTTATAATGCAGTGGCTCTCCCCTCCTCCTACGTTCATTCTTCTGCGTATTACTAATCCTAGGCGTGTACGCCTCTCCATAGTACTCCCTGGCCTCGTGCTCGTTCAAATACCTTAAGATATCATAATCCGAGTCCCTCGTCATCGCGGCATCCCTCGCGCCCGTGGTCGCGCCCTCAACCTTGATCTTCCCGCCGGCGGCCTCGAACGCCGCGTATGAGGACCGCAGTGTGTGGTTCTCGAAGTCGGCGAGGTACACGGTGATCCGGCACGCCGAGATGGGAGCGGAGAGGAGGTGGGATAGACACAGTGTGTCGATACCCGCCGCCGGGCCCATGATGAAGTTGTGGGATTGAGAGACTGCGAGCTGGAGAAAGGGGAGGTAGTGGGTTTCGAAGAAGTGCGCGGGTGGCGTTATGGGCCCGGAGATGAACGCGGTAAGCGGCGGCGGCGGTGGGGCGGGCGCGGCAGAGGCGGGGGTGGGCATGGTTTGTGGTTTGTGGCGTGCGCGAATGGAGCTTCGTAGGGCTGATGGTTGTAGATACATAGCGTAAGGGTTAATGGAGCGCCGCAGCCTGCAGGGCTGATGGTTTTCCCACGCTCGCTCGCTCGTTCGGTTGCTGCCTGCCGGGGCGCTATGCAGACTCACAGTGTGCGTCCGCCTGTGATGCCACGTGATTGCGTGCCTGAACCAGGACGGAGACGGGCTCACTCGTGCTGGTAAACCTTTACATCACACATCACACACTACACACTTGACATCATACATCACGATTCACGACGATGAGCTACGATCCCAACGCTGGTTACCGCGCGCTGCAAGGTGGCATCCCCCTGCCCGCCTCCCCCGCTACGACGTACTACAACCATACTAACCCCCTCCCGCTCCAGGCCGCGTAAACGCCGACACCGAGACCCTCTTGAAGCGGTTCGAGAACATCGCGATGCTGGCACCGGTCCTCCCCCCTCCCCCTTCCCCCTCCCCACATATTCCCCTCCGCTCTCCAACTAACACCCCCCGCAGGTTGAAAACAAAGACAAAACCATCGCGGCAGCAGAAGCGTACCAGATCGAGACGCACGCGTCGTCGATGATCCGGGCGGCGGAGGACCTAGTGGCGCTGACGCGGCAGCTGAAGGAGGCGTGGTTGTTTGGGCAGCTTGGCGGCGGGTTTGAGGGCGGCACTACGGGGGCCGATGCCGATGCGGTGGTCGTGGGCGAGATGCTAAGGAGGAGGGGGACGGAGAGGGTTGATAGTGAGGTGGTAAAGGAAAAGGAGGGGGGAAGGGAGGTGGTTATGGAAGGTTGAATCAAGTACCAACGTGAAATGACCGGACCGTGACGCGTGGAGTTATTGGCCGTGTAAAGTACATTGACGAACGGCGGCGGCGGCATCGTTGAACACCGCACGCCGCAGAGCCCCACCCCACCATACACCCCACCATCCTTCCCCATCCGCCACCACCTCCACCACCACCTCCCATCACGCAACAATGACCACGCCCAAACCACTCACCCTCATCGTCGCGGCCACGGGCGCGCCCACGCTCGGCATCGGCCGCAACGGCGCGCTGCCCTGGCGGCTAAAATCGGAACTCTCCTACTTCGCGCGGGTGACGAAGCGGCTCCCCGGTGGGTCCGCCAATACAGCGAGCACGGCCCAGAACGCCGTGATCATGGGCCGCAAGACGTGGTTCTCGATACCGCCACGGTTCCGTCCGCTGCCGGGGCGGATCAACGTCGTTCTCTCGCGCGATGCGGCGCTGGACCTTGGTGTGCCCGGCGGTGCTGGCGCGGGCGCAACCACCGCCACGTCGGTGGACGATGCGCTCGCAAAGTTGGTGGAGCGCGGCGAGGCCGTCGGTACGGTTTTCGTTATCGGCGGTGCGGAGGTCTACAAGGCGGCGCTGCTGCACCCGCTCGCGCAGAATGTGCTCCTCACTAGGATCGATACGGAGTTTGAGGTGGACACGATTTTCCCCGTGCAGTTGACGGCCGAGGGGAGTGGGTGGGCGAAGGCGAGCTGGGAGGCGCTGTGTAAATTTGTGGGCGAGGAGGTGCCGAAGGGCGTGCAGAAGGAGGAAGGGGTGAAGTTTGAGTACGAGTTGTGGCAGAAGCAGAAGGCAGATGATGAGTAGCATATGTAGCGATGGATCATGGCCTCACGAGAACGAATCAACCCAGATGCAAGCTGGAATTACATATGGCAGTCTGGTCTGTAAAAAAATAATCACTCCCGAAAATGAACGTAGAATGGAATGAACGCTCGCTATGGTTATACACATTTATCCCACTTTCCGCTCCATCAACGGACGTACTTATTCTACACGAGTTGGTCAGTCGATGGTAGCCAGCGGTAAAGGAATCCAGGATCGAACTCACCATAAACTTCTTGTGAAAGTCGGATCTCAAGAGATCGTTGACAAACTCCTTCTTCTTGCCCCTCTCATCCGTACCGCGCGCTTGGTTCTTGAAGATGACGTCGTCATCCCATCTCCGCTTAACGTTGAAGTCCGCCGCAGATTTCGGGTTCAGCAGCGGGTTTCCTCTGGCGATATCGAACTCCTTCTGTGCTTCTTCGGCCTCTTGTTTCTCCCGCTCCTACCACGTGCCACCGTGTCAGCATCGCCATCCCCTGTCACAACAGTCATCCCACCAGGAAAACAAACCTCCTTCTCCCTCTGCTCCGCACGCTCTCTCTTGATCTTCTCCAACTCCCTCAGCAGCTCCGCAGTTTCATCCTCCTCGTCATCACTGTCCTCCTCCTCCTCACTACTGCTATCACCATCACCATCGCCGCCCCCGCCCTCGCCATCCGAGTCCGCATCAATATCCCTCGTCTCCTCCAGGATCTTCCTCCGTTTGACCTCTAGATCGGCCTCAGCCCCGCCCTCACCATTCTCGTCGACCGGCGCATTCTCGAGCGCACGCTTATTAGACGGGCTAGCAACACCGCCGTCCTTCTCCTCCACGCTCTTCCCCTTCCCTCCCCTTTTCGCGATCGCGGCCGCCTCGGCGACCAGTAGCTCGGCGCGTAGGTCGCGGACTTCGCTGTCGGCTGCTCCGCCCTGCCCCGGCTGGCGCGTCTTCAGCTTCGTGTGCGCGGGTAGCAGGCGTTGGTGGTACGCGGGCCCTTTGGGAAGCTCTTTGCCGCGCGCTGGGTCGAAGGTCGGTCTGCACGGTGGATGGGTCAGCGGGTTTGTGCAAAAATGAATAGATGGGTGGGTGGGTTACCTGTGGGCTGTAGTCATTGTTGCAAAGGTTACTGGTTGTGGTGTTGGTGGTTGTGGTGGGCTGTCTTAGGAAATCTAGTGGTCGATGGTGGTGGTTGTGTTGGTGGTTGCTGCTGTCGTAATTATGTGTCTGTCCTTCCGTCTTTCTGCCTGTCTGTCGCGAAAGGAAAGATCCCCTTCTTGACGGCTTTCCTCGCGTGCAGCGTGCGGCTGGCTTATGTAACACCGCAGTGCCACTAGCACCCTAGCTTTCCCTTAGCGGGAGCGAAACGAAATGGGTAGCATGTATAGTGGGACACCTCCGTCCACCACCACCACCGTCAACCACCACAATTCACAATGCCAAAAGAGCTCGACCCCTCCACAAACGAAAAGCTCTTCATCCTCGATGCGCTAAAACAGGGACACCGCCTCGATGGCCGCGATTTCGACTCCTTCCGCCCCCTGGAACTCACGTTCGGTCGCGAATACGGCCTCGCCGATGTGCGACTTGGGAAAACACGGTACCGCCCCTCAGAACCACGCATCTCCTCCGGCTGGTATAGTTGGCGACTAACACAGCCGGCCTGCAGAGTTCTAGCGCGAGTCTCAGCGGACGTCGTCCAGCCCTTCTCGGACCGGCCCTTCGAAGGGATCTTCACAATCACGACGGAGCTCGGTCCGATGGCCTCACCGGCCTTCGAGACGGGACGATCGACGGAGCAAGAAGTGCTTCTAGCACGTTTGATCGAGAAGTCCATCCGGCGATCCAACGCGATCGACACAGAGTCGCTCTGCATCGTAGCGGGGCAGCGGTGCTGGCACGTCCGGGCGGACGTGCACTTCCTGAACCACGACGGGGGGCTGGTGGATGCGGCGTGCATCGCGGTCGTCGCCGCGCTGCAGCACTTCCGCCGCCCCGATGTCAGTGTCGACGGCGAGCGCGTCACCATACATACCCTTGCCGAGCGCGTCCCCGTCCCGCTGTCGATTCTCCACGTGCCGATCTGCGTGACGTTTTCGTTTTTTGAGGGGGAGAAGATGGAGGACGCTGAGGAGGGCGAGCCGCTGTTTCTGATTGATGCTGCGCTGCAGGAGGAGCAGCTGAGGGATGGCGATATGACGGTTACTCTGAACAAGTTTGGTGAGGTCTGTCAGGTTGCGAAGGCGGGTGGATTGCCTATTGAGGCCGTGGCCCTGCATAGGTGCATGCGTAAGGCGCTGGTCAAGGTGGAGGAGATTACGGCGTTTATTGCGAAGAGGCTCAAGGAGGATCACGACGAGAGGGTCAGGAGGGATAACCTTCTGGAAAGTACGGCCGAAAATGAACGGTAGATCACCATAAATGACCATGGCGCGAGTGAGATCACACACACACACACACACACACACACACACACACACACACACACGTACAAGTCACGATCACCAGCACATTGCTCTACAATCCCCTCCATCTCTATTGCAATCTAAACCTAGCCCGCCGCTGCTATCAAAGGGGATATCAAATGGACAAACGAATACAGGAACCAGTGAAGGTGAATTTGCTGGCGAGGGAATAAACAAAGAAGACGCCAATGCTATGCCCAGATGCATTAACATTATAACCAAAGACAAAATGCATACTGAATCCTACCCGCCTAGCCCATGCTGCCTCATCCCCGCTCTCATGTTGCTCGACCCTCGTGCACTTCCTTAAGATACTTTACAAACGCCTTCTTGTGAACCTGCGGGCAAGAACTATATTAGCAATGGGAATACTCCAGAAACTAGGAATAGCCACAATAACATACCACGCCAGCAAACTTGCCATCCCGTAGGACACAGAGATACCTGAGCCCCAGCTTGGCGAAGCACTCATATACCAGGTCCATGGGAGAATTCCTCTCGAGGGCCATGGGGGCAGGATCAATGTACGGGGTAAAGTCCGTAGGATCCTTGACAGAGCCATCCTCATCGGAAGACAAGTAATCGTCTCTAGGGGCCATCAAGCAGAACTCGTCTTCCTCCTCACTCAGCCTATCGAGGCCGTACTCCAGATCGGGAGCGGGGATCAAGCCGACCAGGACTCCGTCGCGGAGGATGGGAAGCCCACCGTCGAGTTGGCCGGCTGATTGCAGGAGCTTCAGCTTTGCGCGGAGCTCGCTGGCGATGATTAGGGAGGACTCTGAGATGTCGATTACTCGATCCATTTTGAGACGTGGACAGATGTCGGCCAGGTGCGATGAGAATACCGGTTTGGACTTGGTGTCCAGGTAGGGATACGAGTTCAGGTCGGTCAGGAGGTCCTAGCGGAAAGATTGTTAGCACCGAATGGCCTCGAAAAACCTCACAGCAAGACTTACATAGATACTCAACGGCTCAATCGCATCAGCAGTCCACTTGGAGACAAGAACAGCCAACGAAAACGGCAGGACGTGATCCAAACTTCCCGTCAACTCGAACAGGATTACCGCAAGAGTAACGGAGAGTCGAGTGACTCCACACATCACAGCTCCAGCACACACCATCGCGTAGACTCCAGGGACGACGCACTTGCTAGGCGTATCGACTCCACACGAAGCGAATATGGCCGAGTCCGGGAAAATGTAGTAAGCATACTCGACGGTCAGTCCCACAGCGTGCCCCATGATACCACCGATCACCATGGTGGGAACGTAGACACCGGCCGGGACTTTCGTTCCGAACGTGATGACGCTTCTTGACGTTAGAAAAGACCCAAGGAAGGATGAAAGGTCACATACGTCAGGAAACTCTTCAGAGCAAGGGCAATCAGGAGGTAAATGATAGTGCCGGGTATCTCATCGGGCTTTGGGCAGAGTCCCGAGTTCTCCGAAGGGTTTGCAGAGCAGGGACTAGCAAGTTCAAACAACAGCTCACTGACTGCCAACCTCACATATCGGTTCCAATACGAAAGGAGACCGGTGATCAGAGCCACGAAAGCCAGCTCCCAGACTGGGTGAGACTTCACCAACTTGTTTTTCCTGAAGGTCGTTGCCCAGTACTTGCTAGCCTTGATGAACATGGCACCGTAGACTCCACCACAGACACCGAGGAAGACGAAGACGAACAGCTCGAAGAAATGCCAGTCTGTGACGTAACGGACTTGGAACAGTACAATCTTTGATGTTCCATAGGGATTCAGGAACTTCAGAGACAGTGCAGCCACGATACAGCAAAAGAATGTTCGGAAAAGCGTCTTCGCCGGGAAGTAGTAACTGCCACGGCTTTTAGCATGGAACAACTGGCGGTGAAGCACACTACCCACCTCACTTCCTCCAAACTGAACAGGACACCTCCGATGGGCGCACCAAAAGCGACAGCCACTCCACTTGCTGCACTCGCACTGAGGATCTCTCGTCGTTTTGCTACGTATCGATGAGCCACCGCATGAAGACACAGTTAGGGGGTTTTTATATACCGTCATTGTGGTTGTATTTGGAGAACAATCGACAGGCAATATTACCAACACAGGTAGCGATATGGACAAAGGGTCTATAGACGTCAGGAACAGCCGCACACACACAAGACGTACTGATACTGACCCTTCTTTGCCCAAGCTCATGCCGGAAGACACACTCAGGATCAAGGCGAAAGTTTTGACTACCAGAGTCTTCAAGCCAAGATATCCATGGAGAACGAATCCGGACAGAATAACTTTGACTTCCGCAACTCCACTGCCAGCGGCTGAGTAATAACTAATAGGCTCGGACATGACTGGTTCGCGAACAGTTGACGAATCCGAGCTATTCGGAGGAGCGTTGATCTGCGACAGGTCCTCATCCACCGTATGGATTTGGAGCGCACCCGGGAGCACTGTCCGGGTGGTCATGGTGAGGAGCGATGCCAGAGTCGCCAAAAACACGGTGAGAAAAACATATACGGCAAAGTCTATCCATTCCACGGGTGTTTCGGAACCGGCGATGAGTTTTGACCAGTGGTTCCACATGGGACAGAATTCGTTCGCTGCATCCACATTAGCAGGTTTCACCGGGCACTAAGGTTAAAGGTTTCCACGAACAGTCCTCGCTCAAGCAGCATTTCCTCTTGCTGTAATACCATGCATCTGTAGCGCAACTGTTAGCGGTGTGTGTCGAAGACAGGGATCGAGACGTCTTTCGCGCGTACTCGTGCAATATCCATCTTTGTAATCGAAAAGGACATTCTCCGTGACGTCCACAAAGAATGCCACGCAAGCCGTCAAGAAACCAATGATCGCCACCAGAATCCAGCCCTGCGCGCCGTCGAACCAAGCCCAGAGCTTTCCCCGGATATCCTGTCTTGCTCGTAGCGCCTTGACGCGATAGGCGTCTTTGATCGCATCGTTAATCCAGTCTAGGGCGTGTGAGTAACTTTATCCGTGCGATGGGGGGGGAGCACCGCGCCACGCACCCGTCGAAGTAAACTGATCGTACCACACGCGGTCTTCCAAGTACGGCTCGTCGCGCTTGTTTTTGAGGTCATACGACGAGAGGGCTTTCGTGAGGCGCTGGGTAAACGACGGCGCTCTACTAGCCCGTGCCGCCATGGGACCCAAGTTGGAGGACTGGTGACGTGATAACCGTGGACGCGGAGTGCCCGGCACAGACGAGTAGCTTCGACGATTGATAACATCGCTGGCACTCAGCAAGCCAGTGTTCTCGTCCGGATCGTGCTGGCTGTTTTGACTCCTATAACTCTTCTGCGATAAGCCAGACGGTCGGCGCCGATGGTGCCGGCCGGCGTGGACATCCGGGGGCGACGTCTCGCGGGACAAAGCCGATCCGCCTCCGTCGTCCATAGGTCCGTCCGTCGGTGACGTTACGTGCGAGCGAGGTGGGGTCGACGGGAGGGGTTTGAGCGTGGCTGGCTGGCCGGCTGGGTGACTGACTGACTGACTGACTGACTGACTGACTGACTGACTGACTGACTGGCCCGAGACTGGTTTAACTTTGGCGACGATACGCCTTTTTCGAACGTGTTCTCAACTTAATGGAACAGACTTAGAACCAAACTCAGAGGGACAAAAAGCGAGAGAGTGCTCCGGGCTGCTGATGCATCTAGGAGAGGGGTGTGGGTGGGGGGGGGGAGGAGGAGCGATAGCGAGTATATGAAGGGGCTGGCTAGGGGTTGGTTATTTGCAGAGCAGTCCCTCGGGGATCCGTACGGTATGTGAGGATATCTACTATGGATCTAGGTATAGAGTAAGTAAGTTATCGAGGCCAGGAAGGTAAAGTAAACAAGCTAGCTCTTTACTATTTAGCAGCCTTAGCACGATATGCCTGTCCCATGCACCCGTGATGAACTCTGAGTGGTGGATGGCCATGGCACATGGCAACCAGTTCTTTTACGATGCGCCAAAAACACTCCCCCCCCGTGCACGCAAATCGTTTGGGCATGGCCAGGTGCGCCGGCTACCAGCTCGCCCGAAGTAACCCCGCAGCGCTATGGATCCACTGGGCGCTCTTGGCCCGGGGTAAAAGACGCGGAGAGCGGAGAACGGGCGGAGAATGACGTCGACGGGCAGCCCCGGGCGGCAGCTCAGACCCGGACCCTGTCGAGATCACGTGCGGCAGCCAACTAGCCTGGTTTCGGCAGGGCTACAACATGCGATGTCACTCGGATAGCAAGCAATGTGAGGTCGATCGTGAGGACGCCGCCAAAGAGGGGCCTAAGCTTTCAAAGAGTCGATACCAAGCATATCCCTAGATAGCTATCACCGCCAGACTGGCGGATGACCGGAAAGATGCCTGAAGATATCCAGTGCAACATATTTACATCACATATCACTCGTGTTATCGGACGGTGGGCCCTATCATCAAGCGCAGATATTGCTCTTCCGCATGGAAACAATGATTAAACAAAGAAACGTAACTATTGCGCCTGCCCAGACACTAACCTTGTGCGGCCCCCACGGCCCGTTGCGCTCAACAAGCGAATACCAAGGAAGATAGGCGGTGATCGCGTGGGATACGGTACGGTACCGGTAGGCACCTACCATACCGTAGGTAAGTACTACTCCCACACATGGCGAAGGGTGTTGCGCATCGTCTTTTGCATAGCATATGTACCAGTCACGGATCTTAGCCACTATGCAACACCCGGACTCCACAGAAAGAAAGCCCTATGATATGACGAATGACCTTCTCCTTTCCATGCACGGCAGAAGCGCATGACAGTTCGTACGCACGAACCGGAAGCGAACATTCTTCACATATTTAATCTATGCACTCGCAAGCAAGAGCCACACTCACACACCGAAAATCTTCGTGTATAGCGTGCTTGGAATATGTAATAATGTCAAGACTCGAGAGCGAGCGAGCAGCGGAGCGCTGCACACGCCGTCCCATCTTTTTTCTTTTTTTGCTTTCTTTCTTTCTTATTGTTTTTACGGCGAGGGATGGCCCGCGGCGCAGCGCAGCCCTTTTTCCCTTTTTCCTTTTTTCCCAGCCGCAGGATTGCAGAAAGTTCAGACTGCATGTTGTTATGTTGCAGAGTGCCCGCCCAGCGCCCGCAACTAGCCCCCAGCATGAAAAATCACACCACATACACTACACTGCCAAACCGAAAATTATTCAAAGTCCAGACTCCGCGTAATATATATGATATGATATGATAGATGAACTGCGCTCCGGTCCCCGGCGCTTGTAACTATGTACGGTAGCACAGGAAAGATCAGAAGGATGTTCCTTTATCTGTGGCACCCATATTTAGATGTTGATGTTGCCGCGCTAAAGAATAACAGTAACGGACCACGGTGCGATGTGCACACTGCAGTGTGGATATAAAAAACTAGTGCGAAAGTGCTGCGGAGTCGATCAAAGATGGATTCGTGCCACCAGACCCTCACTTCGCTCGTCACGTGATGGGCGAAGGGTGCCAAAGGCGAGACAAGATCGAAGCGCTCTCGTATACAAAAAACCCGCTTCCTTGGTTGATTCTCAATGCACCTGAGCATTTCGATCCCGAGACTGTCGGATAACCCACACCGAGAAATTTGATTTTTGTAGGATCACGGCCTACCAGCCATGCCAGTCATGCCAGCGATAACCCTCTCGATCTCGGCGGTCTCAACTTTCAAGTTGAGCTTCATCTGCTGGCCACCCAACAAGCACAGCACTTCTTCAAGCCTTTCTTGCCCATCCCGACGTGGTAACTGCGATGCTCCATACGGTATTCCGGCCAACACTGAACGGGATCGCCCGCGGCTCGTGGCCCGTGGACTGCCAGTAGGTATCCTTCCCATTATGCAGGTACAACTGTCCATGATGGGTGATTGCATTCGCACCCTCATGAACGAACGGCAAGGCCGTGCATGCCGTGCATGCCGTTCCTCTCTCCCTCCTTAGCTTCGGTGTAGGTACATAAGCCGGCGTCCTACATACCAGATGTGGCGTAGTATGTACCAATGCTGGCTGGAACTTGGACTTCCCGACAGCCCGAAGCCGGGGCCCGGGGCCTTTCGCGCCGTCCGTCCGTTCGTCCCTAAGCCGAAGCCGCTCGGGAAGTTCGTATTCCTCAAATCTGTGGGTTCGGCATCGGATAACGTATCTAGGTATTAGTTGGGACCAGCGGGTGTGCCGAACTCACCTGGAAGTTCAGGTAGGTCGGTAGTGGCCATACTCCTCAATGCCGTAGAATAATACCCAAAGCCTGCGTCTATGTTGCTTCCGAATCGATCGGTAGGTGTACCTGCTCCAGCTACATTGCCGCAGTACCGCTGTCAACACGGACGGCTGAGTGCGCAATGTGCTGTAGAATATCAATGACGTGGTGGGTTAGGTACTTCGGATGTCGAGACTCGAACTACCGTACCCACAGAGTAGATTTGCTGGTACCAGTACGTACATCCGGGAGGAAAAGTAAGGAGGGATGTATGTAGGATATGATTATGTTCCGCTTGATTGCAAGGCTCGAGCTGCCTGAAGTAAGGGAGTGGTCCCAGACTCTCAGTATCCGAAGGGGGCTTATGCGTGTCGAGTGATAAGTATGATGTGGACGGTGTTTGCAGGGGCATCCGTGTGAGATCCGCCATGCTTGTTTGTCATGGGACGTAATCGCTACTCGAAACAAAGCCTTCCCCAACGTACTCTATTATTTATTGTGGAGACGGCAACAGCTTCAAGCCCTTCCCGCCCCCCGCCCTCTCCCCGTCCCTGTCGTTTTCATCCACACAAGGACAAGATGGTTTCTATATGGTGGCCCGTGGACCAGGAGGGTGACCGTTGCTTAAGTAGAGAGATAAAGTAGGGTTGCCACTCGTTCGCTTCTTTTTTTCCTTCTACATGCTTCCCCGCAACTCCTTCAGCGGTGGCGACTCTCTACTCGAGGCATCTTCGCGATGAGGTACTTCTTCCTACAGCTCCTGCATAAGTGCGAAGACACGGGTTTGTGTGTGTGTTTGAGCTGCGACAATCTTCTTCTCCATGATAGGTACCACGCTAATCGTCAACAGTTTTTGTTTACACCGCAGCAGCAGAGAGTCAGAGACATGATCGAACGCGAACCCCGGCCAAAAAGCCTCGAGTTTCATGATGAATGGGGGGCTCTGGATCATCCCGCTGAACTCGCCGTGATCGCGGATAACTACCCAGGCTACCTATCGCTTACTACATACACACATACATTGGATAACGAGCGGCCTCTCATCCCAAGGACAAACATGAGATGCTCTCCACACCGACATCTACATACAGACATACAGAGATACATACCGTACCTATCCAGGGAGTTCATCGGTGCGAACGGGGGGTCCAGTGACCACCAGCGGATGGCAACACCAAGCATTCGATCGAACTGCGCTCTTCGCAAACGCCCTTAGTGCAGGAGCACGCATCCGTGGGTATGGAATGGAAAACCTAGATAATGCTGTGTGCAGAAAGCTTCCAGCGGCCAGCAGGCAGCTCTCCATCCCCGATCCGATCCACACCCCTCCTCCCTGTGTTTGGACCAGGTTGGACGCAACGGTAGGTAGGTATCTACTATCCAGCATCCCCCCGATCCCCCAAAACCCTGCAACGATGATGCAGTTGTTGTCAAGCACATCCCCTGCGGCCCTGCCTGCGGGGAGAAGCTTCGAGCATTGGATGCCGTCATCTTTGTTTGAACCGCAACGACCGAAGTCGGGAGCGACGTAGGCTTCTCGTTCCAAACATGCAGTCGGGCATACGGACGGACGGACAGGCGGGCAGAAACATTAGGGGAAGCTGGGATGGAGATATTCTTGTTGCGGGTTCTGCGTTCATCCTGGACTTTCATGAGAAACAATAGGAAAGGCAAAACCGGTAAGCATACGAGGAAGAAAGCCTCAAGGAAGCACGTACTAGTTATACTCGGGCAACGCAAGGGGAGTACTATATACGACCTATAGCGCAGTGACTACAGCAGCTACGACTAACGAGGACGCGACGAAGAAACGCGGAATTGCCGACTCAAGGTGTCTTCAGTGCGCGGGTGGCTGTCGAAAAGCCGCACTGTGGTTTGGTTGGAGCTCCGGAATTCGGAAGGGCAACGGTGGGTTAAGTCCCGGTATTCCATGTGGGCCCGAACTCGAATGCGAACGCTCTGTTTGCAGAACATAACGATGGGGGTTCCTATAGCACTATGGAGACCGCTTTGTTGGTAGGCTCCCGTCACGGCGCCATGGCTCACGACATCTGACTAACTGGTTCCATCCAGGCCTGGGCAATCCGATGGCACCAAGCTGCTCTGCCGCGTCGGCGTGCTTCCGCCCCTCCATTGCCGAGTGAGAGGCCACCTACCGTGCCAACAAAATCTTTCGTCGTGCCGATAGCCTGATACATGTACGGCAACCAACAAGCACTAGTTACTGGCTGGAGAATCAGCATCCAGTAGCAGAATACCGGTAGATACGTGAACGTCTAGCCCACAGGACGACCACAATTCTCTCTTTCTTTCTCTCTCTCTCTCTCTCTCTCTCTCTCTCTCTCTCTCTCTTTTCCCACGCTGTAAGTCCCCGGCCACGAACGAGATTAAGACCCGAATCCACGAAGGGTTGCAATATCGGTTAATTCTCGCTTCTCTGCAACATCGACCACCAATCTGCGAAAGCGCCGTTGGCGGCATCACTGGTCTGGCACGACGCGCAAGAAGAGAAGGTGGTGCAGCTGGACGACGGTCGGTCGAGATGGAAGAGATCCGGGACGACAGGGTGTGTGTGTGTTTGGCTGGCGAGTGGCAGCGCTCTGGACCACGGACTGTTTCCCGCGGCCGAAACCGAGCTGGATGAGGGAAGCAGGTATGTGGTACCGTGGTTGACGGTCGACGGAAGGAGTGCGCATACGCATACTATATAGACGGGGAGCAAATCCTCATCGTCGGAGCGGGACCGTGAGTGTGTGACTTCTGCTTGCGGGCAGGTTGAGGGAGCTCGAAAGAAGCTGCAGAGCCTCGACAGAGCCTCGATAGAGACTGGTGTCTCACCAACAGCGGGAACCCCTGCCCGGCTTCAGGAAACCCTACGACAGCATCCTCGTTGGCTCCACTGCTGCACTGCAGCTTCTCGACAGTTCTGCCCCTTGCAGTTCGTCAGGAGAACTTCCAACAGCGCGCGAAGCCGACCGTACCAAGTAAGTACTCGTACCCGCCGGGCAGGCTCTCGAGAACACGCCCGTCAATAACCAACGGCCACGGCGGCATGGAGGAAAGCGCAGTGGAGAAAAGGAAAATGGAAAGGAAAAGGAAAAGAACGACAGAACAACAGAACAAAAGAGCGAAAGAAACAAAGGAAACAACAGAAACAAAAGAAAGAAACAAGAAAATGTGTCGGTCGGTGGTGGTGGCCGAGACGAAACCGAACAACTGGCATCGCGAGCCTCGCGTGGTCAAAGGCCTGGGGCCCATGGCCAGTCAACCGGACGTTTGTCCTCGCATTCTGGCCGTGCCTGCCTGGTGCTTCATCTCCGCTTCCACCACCTCACCTCACGTCTACCCACACGTAGCGATGTAGGCTCATGTCGCCCCCACAAGTTCTCCACACACAAGCCCCTTGGAAATTGCTCTAAGCAGTTTGCGTCACTGCGAAGAGCATCATTTTGTGAGATAGTGGGATCTGTGGCACCCACATACGGTAGGTTGGCTGGTCACCGGCGCGAACGTACAGTATAGAGTATCTAGTACACATCTGGAGCATACACCATCCGCATGCTAGGTAGATACATATCCTATCGATTCCCTCCCTCCCTCCCTCCTCCTCCTCCCCCAGAATCCCGCCCACCACCACCACTACTACCACCACCCTTTGGCACCACCGCACCTCCGCAACCACCGCACCTCCATATCACCGCATCACCTCGATCCCAAACGGCCAAACTCGAATTGTGTGTGTGTGTGTGTGTGTATGTGTGTGCGTGTGCGTGTGTTGTTTCACGTCAGAGCCTACGACATTGCTCATCACCACCACGCCCCAATCATTGGGCCACGAAGCGCCGATTGCACCGATACGGCCTCAACTTCGGTCTCTGGGATTGGGTCGCTGGGACTGCCTTCTCGCGCTCGTCATTGGTCGTCCACCATCGTTCATTCCACACCTCCGCACCTCCCACAACACCAAGCTGTTAAACGCCCAGCGTATAAATCCGCGCAATGCCTGCTACGACAATTCCCACCCCGAAAACACGCGGATCGTCCCGGGGACATGCCCCCGAAAATCCAACAACAGCAGATTCTTCGTCGCAGAACATCGAGATACAGCGACAGTCCCTGTACGGAGTCGTCAATTCCTCGACCGAATCCCTTTGTACTGGGTACATGAAGGTCAACTGCTTTACCGGTACGGGTTCCAGCCGCAACGACAGCGTCCGTAGCGCCATGAAAACAGCAGCGAGCCCATTGATGGACTGCACTGACTTTGACAGTCTGCCTCCCGCGGTAAAAAGAAAGGTTAGTTTCGCGATCGCGAGAGAGATGCGGACTGAGACATCCCTAGAAGCTTTGGATATCCCTCGCTTCGCATGCATGGGACTGTTTTACTGACTTTTTCGTTCGTTTTTCTTGCTTCAGTATTTCTCCTCGCTGGAAAGATTACGATTTGCACAACACTCGGCCGCCCCACCGAAGTCAAGCGGGCATCTACGAAACCTGAGCAGTGCTAGTGGGAGGCTTATGGGCTCCAGGATGCGAAGTAGGCCATCCACCGATAGCTCGCGCAATCAGTTCCGGAAACATCGCAACGCGGCGGACGCGTTCGTGCTCTCTCAGAGCGACGCCCAATGGTTTTTGGAACTACCGGAGAACATCCGAAAGAAGCACTTCTCGAGGGAAGAGCGCATATTACTGGCAACCAAGTGCGAGAGTATCATTGTGGATGCCGCAGACGAGACCCTATACAGAATGAATTGCCGGCCAAAGAGCATGGATAGCATATCGACGACATCCGATATAGGCTCACTGTACCGGCCTTCATTCGAGTCGGACGTGATAAGGGCTAGGGAAGAGATGCGAATGTCGTTCCGGTGGATGGAGGAGGACGGTGACTTAGACCTGCGCCTTCAGCCGTTCCAAGAACGCGAGGTGCATTCGGCGCCGCCACCGAGGAACCGGAAACGGCGCACTCTGTCGCTGTCCTCCAAGAGAACCAATAGCTCGTCCTCCACCGCGACCGCGACAAGCTTAAGCCGACCGTGCCTGAGTCGGCGTGCTGCTTCCACCCCGAAGTCTTCTGGCGCGCCGCCTTCTTCGGCGTTCTCGTGCGATTCCGAGGCCACCTACTATCAAGACCCCGAGGCACGACTTAAACTACGAGTATATCTCGCTTCACCCCAAAAATTCGATGAGGCCATCGAATTTGGATTTCCATCTCAGACCGACGCGCATAACTTCTTCAAACTGCACCCAGGCATGCCCACCATCCGAAGAGTACCACCCGAAGATTCGGAGGACCCATTAATCGTCGACGATTTCTTCGCCGAGTCCGAGGACGCTGCGGAGCTTACCGACGACGACGAGGAGGAGGAGGGGGAGGATGCGGAGGAGGTGGCTGAGGTAGCCGACACGGTTCCCGAGTCACCGATGCGAATGCGAAGCAGTGGTTCGAATTCCTGCAGGGCACTCATTCCCGTGATTTTGGATCATTACCCGCACACTAGCCCGGGGAATCGCGAGATGACCTTGAAAATGACGCTCACGCGGAAAGACCTGAGGGATGACGATGGCCGCCACGCGAGCAGGGACGGCGCCCTGGCATTGGAGGAACTTCCCCCGGAGGGCGAGCAATGCAACGTCGATTGGGATGCCATCGACAAAGAGTCGGCATCAGGCCTCAAACGGCTCTGGCGGAAGGTGAAGAGGCATTGACGACGACAAAATATTTTCTTCCAGTTTCGTCTCGCCGTTTTTTTTTCCCAGCCTTGTAATGGGCAGCACACGGGGGAGCGTAATTTGCTATTCTCTGTTTTTTTTTTGTTTCCTATCCGTTCATCTTCATCTTCATCTTCAATTTTACATGGTTGGTCATCTGGGGGTTTTCGGAGCGGGAGTACAGCGTTGAATCTTGATGTTTTTGGTCTTTTTTTTTTGTGTTCCTTCCTTCCCCTTCTCATAAGTACTTTCTTTTTAACTTTTACCTACCTGCCATTCCATATTCTCTCGGAAATCATCATCATCTCTCCTACAGAAGATGTCACTGCCACACGTCACTCATTGCGCGTTCGGTCGGTTGCATGCATGCCTTGCTTAGCACATTCCACTCTTTTGCGTATTACTCTACGTATTCCGCCTTTCCTTTGCTTTGCTTTCCTTATCTTTTGTTTCCGGGTTCGTAAACACAAAATTACGGCGCTTTTCCGGTCGGTCCTTCTTCAGGTTGTTTTTATTTTTCGATTCTTTTTGTTTTCTTAGGCAGATTTTCATATGTGTTGGGGGAAGGTGGGTGGGCTGGCGGGATGGTACTGGTATCGGATGCGGATGGGGGTTAGGTATTCTATTCTATTCTATTCTATCGGTTGTGTGGGTTGTGGGGGAAAGGGAAAGGGAAAGGGGAGTTGAGTTCTTTTGGATGGATGGTCCCGAGCTCGGGAGGTTGTGTTGTATGTACATACATAAATGGACAAATATCTCGGACGTTGGTGCTTCACAGTTATCATACTCGGCATTGTCATGCTCGGTACATCGCAGTCGGTACATGTTACTCTATTTACCGTGAAAAGAGCTCGGGTTCGAAGAATCGTTGACATCTCCCACGTGGGGCGGTGTCGGCGGTGTGATCGACAGGCAGACAGGTCGAGTCAACGCTATATATGATAGGTACGGCAGTAAGGACTTGCACCCATCAACCATGTCTGTCGTCGGGGCCATCACCATTACCATCCACGTTTGGCTTGCCGTTTGCACACCTACCGCACTCAACTAGTACCTAGAGCTATCCTGAATACGATCCCCAGGGCCCAGTGGAGTTGCAAGCCACAGGGTCCTTCTTTCTCCACTCCCCAGGGTCCTGTCCCCACTCGCACCCACTCGCACCCGCGCACCCGCACTTTTTGGTTTTAGTTTTGGAATATCACTTCTGCTTTCACACTTTGTTCCACACTTTGTTTCTCACTTTTTCACTTCTGGGTCACATCGAGTGGTTATGTACTAGTTAGGCTCGGGGGTAGCATGTGGATCCCTACCATAGCACCGAGACTAACTGCTCCTGCTCCTGCTCTGTAGTAGGTACCGTACTCTACTGGTACATACTCCGGATGGAGGCTGCGGCGGCGGGCGGGCGGTCGGGCTGAGAGTCTAAGACCGAGTGAACCACCACAACGCCCAAGGCATGATCTGCTACGGTACTACGCCGAATGTCATGATCTGCTACCGGTACTCTACTATATACAGTACAGTGTGATGTCCGAGCAAGATGATAGATCGATGTCGTGATTTGCGTCGTGTTGAGATCCGTGTTGAGATCCGTGTTGAGACCTCCGATCGAGACCTCCGATTGGGCGCGGGTTGGGCGCGGGTTGGCGGGTCGGTGATGATCACGGATGGTCGGAGCAGGCGGAGGAGGGGGAGGGGGGAAAGGGAGGGTTCAGACTCGTCACTCGTGGAGGTGATGGCTGCTGCTGCGATAACCTCTTATGTATGTCACTTATACACACATACTCCAAATTGGGTGAAGACGGAGGGCTTCAATCGTACGACCGACTAACTATCTGTCCGTCGTAAAGCCCACAACCACGGCGTCCCACATGGTCAACTGGTCAACTGGTCATATGGTCTGGCTCCAAACCGGTGGCTGCTCTATAAGACTGTAATCACCCACCTACATGTACCCACCCAGCACTGTAGTTAGTCGATTGTGGAGACATCGAGATCAGCAATTTCCTTCGTCCTGGCGCCATACATAAGTATGCATCCGAGCGGCTTCTGCACTTGGCACACGGTGGCGGCGGTTGTCGTGGTTAACCAACCAATACCATCCAATACCATCCAATACCAAGGCGTTGCTATAGGTAGTGTCGGGAAGTTCACCTCCGAGGGGCCTCGGGACTCCGGAGAGACGATGGATGGAGGATGGATGGAGGCTGAGCTGGTTGTGTGTGTTTTGTTTTGTTTGTGTGGATTGGCGATGGGTGGATGGGGAAGGATGTTTGTTAGTTAGTCGGGGTACGGTAGCTAACGTGGAGGGGTGAGGAGCAGGGAATCGGAGGATGAGGGGGAAGGGGAGACGGAGGACGAGGACTGTTCCTTTTAATCGAACTATGGGCACCTGGCAGGCCCTCCATCCATCCCTACCTACGAATGTCACCGGCCATCAACCCTTCAGTCTTCAGCCGGCGTTCCCATCCCATCACCGCAGCATCTACCTACCTAGGCACGTATTTACCGTAGCAGCTCTCGCTCGACGTCCAAACCCGGGCCCAAACTCGGCTACCCATATAGCCGAACGCATATTGGAATCCAATAAGTTGCTACATAGAGCAGTTACCGAGCAGAGTGCTCGGATCACCAGTCTTCTGTCGGCGATAGAGTGGGGGTTCAATCTCGAGAGTCGAACCCCCCCGGCCCGACCCGGCGCCGGCTCCGTCATACATCACTACTCGGCGTTTCTGGATTGCTTGCGGAATGTACTGGTACCTGTGTATGGTGTTCGGATGTCCGTCGAGACGTGGGGACTGTTGCGTGGGATATGGCCGAATTCTTGTTGTCGCAAGTTGGAACGGGCGTTGTGGTCGGGGGAAGGTTGTTGGTAAGTTCTCGGTTCGGAGCAGCATTGACTTTCGACGATGGGATACCGTGGTTCGGATGGAAGAATATGTAGAAGACTTGCGGATAGGTATACTTGGTACTATGTATACTTGCCACCGTGCAATATCGGTTCGTCCCAGGCAACGGCACCCCTCATGTGCGCGTCATCAGGGGTTTGGAGTACCGGTAGCATCATCACGCAACGTTTCGTCTCCCGTCGAGTCAGAAACGCCGCGACGTGGTTGACCAGGTACTATGTAAGGCATGTTACTGTACATATGTGTGTACGGTACATATCGGTTCTGTGGTTACTCTGCAGGCGAAACGCCCTGGCAGGACTGGTGATGCTACTCTAACTAACGTAGATTTGATAGTAACTGTACCTAGCAGTGCCGCCAGATAGCAGACGCCCTTCAGGATTCCCCCCCTGAGCTTCCCTGCACCCCTGGCCAATGGCTCAAGGCGTCCAGCCAACCGTAGCCCTGTTGTGCTTTTTGGCCGCCAGTTTGCCTCCTCCTCCCTGCCCCAAGAATCCTGCTACGCCTCTGGTTACGGACACCGTTCGACCAAACCGACTTCGATACACAACGCTCATTTCAACAACCCCCCCACCGAGGGATAGTTACCTACTCCAACGACGAGGATCGACGTACTACACCAATACAGCAATATGATCTCTTGATTGGACTCGCTCTCTCAACACACTCATTTAAAACTATAACACTCCTTACAACAAATATCACAGTCCTTCTTTCTCTCATTTCAAAAATCAGTTGCGCCGGTCGCATTCTCGGAGTCGGGGTTCTATACATACATACAATAACACAGTCCTTATGTCGGTTTTGACGCTTTGCAACACGCGATCGCTCGGTGCACATGCGGTGGTGGTGGTGGATGAGGACTCAGGAGAGCAGGCTCTGAGGTCTTCGTGGGAGGGGGGATACGACGACGAGTACGAGGACGATGAGGAGGAGGAGGAGAAAGGAAGGGTGACGCCGTTGGCAGACGAGGAAGGATCAAACGTGTCGACGAAACAGCTGGCCCTCATCTACTCGCTCCAGCTCGCAGAAGCGTACGTCCCACACTGTCTCTTCGCATTGCCTTGCACAACACCACCACCACCACCACCACCACCACCATATGCTCCACTGCACACTCCCCGGGTTCTCGCGCTTGAAATCGGATGCACGAACCAAAAACTGACAACACCCTGAACACAGCATCGTGGCGGCCAGTTTACAGCCTCAGCTGTACGTGCTGCTGAGGAGCGAGAAGTGCGGAAGTGTCAATTCGGCATACTATACGGGACTGGTCGAGGCCATCTTCGCCTTCGGCTCGCTAGCCGGTACGTATTCGGCTTGCTTGAATTGGTTGGGGCCGCTTCGACTGACGACGATTATGCAGGTCTCTTCTGGGGACGGATTGGCGATCGACGAGGTCGCAAACCGATAGCGCTGATTGGCATGCTCGGACTCTCGATGTCCTGCGTAGCGTAAGGACCACCACCACCTTTATCATCATCATCATTCCTCTTGCGATGATTCGCCCGGTTGTTTTTTCTTCTTTTTCTCGGCATGTGCTCACATTGTGGTGATCGCGGTGTAGCATGGGATTCAGTGACGGCATCTTTACGTGTGCGCTGATTCGCGCATTTGCCGGTGTTATGAGCACGTCTATTCGGGTTGCCATGAGTATGTGGTTGATATTTCCCTCTTTCGGGTGAACGGTGTGGTTAACAATCATGCAGGCACCATGGTTGGAGATGTCAGCGTCTCGTCCCGTGCCAAAGCGCGCAACTTCTCCAGATTCCCATTGATATCCACCGGCGGAGTCATTGGCCCGCTCCTACAGGCGGCCCTTGCGCATAGAGCCGGAGACAGCGCATTCTGGCAGAGATTCCCGATTCTGAGCTCCCAGCTGGCATGTGCCGGTCTGATGCTCGTGCTATTCCTGGTCAACCTGGTGCTTCTGAAGGAGGTATGTACTGCAGCAGTCTCCTTCGATAAGGTTATCCCCCGAGCGGTCATGCTAAGCGATGTATAGACACTCCCGCGAGCTTCGGAAAGCGATCTTGACGAGGAAAAGCAAATCTTCACGTTTGGCCGCCGCAGGGGCAGCGAATCCTCTGATGAATTCGGCGAGCAGGACGCATTCCTCGGCCAACACACCAACAAGAACACCAGCACCACCAGCACCACCACCAGGATTACCGAATCCAACGATACGATTCAGCCAATCCGTCTATCGGATATTATCCGTGCACCCAGCTTGATGCTCATCGTTGCATCGTACTCGTTTCTCTCGGTGCACTCTGCGTCTTTCGATCAGCTGCTGCCACTTCTGGGTAACTCTTCGATCAAGCACGGCGGTCTCGGATTGCCATGTGCGTTCATTTCGCTGGTGGTTCTCTTTTCCAGCATCGCGGCCGGTGTTGTGATCCTCAAGTTCTTTGAGAGGTCGGTGCAACGACTGGGGCTCCTGCAGTTGTTCCGTCTCTGCAGCTGGGTCTTCCCGGTCATCTACATCCTGACGCCCCTGCTCTCGAAGCTGGCACAAGGATCGCAAGCGGGAATCATCGTCGCGTCTGCCACTTCCGTATTCGCCAAAACCCTAGTCACTAAGTTCGCGCAGACACTCGTGCTCGTGCTCGTGACCAGCGCCTCGCCAGACTCCTACAGCCTGGCGACCATCATGGGATTCATGCAGTGCGCCAGCGTATTCCGCAGTCTGGCGGTCGCGGGCACGGGAGTTGCGTTCTCGCTCAGCGACGAGTTGAGCATTCAGACCACTAATTACGGCCTGTGGGGGACCATGGCGGCTATGAGTCTCGGCGGCGCCGTGGTTGCGTACTTTGTGCGCGATCATCCAACCGTGAGGGATTACCGCGACATCCTCAAGTGGGAGGTCTGCTACGATTCTTCAGAAGACTTGGGTTACGTGAGTGAAAAGGAATCGGAGGATTGAGGCGGGGGAGGAGAGGGGTAGTCTTGTTTGCAATGTATGTGTGTATATATGGGGGGAACTTTTGTTGTGTAAATTCTGTTTCGATTTTTTAGGTATATCCTTTTCTTTGGCGATCCTTCTCCTGCGAGCATTCGCGTTTTTTTCAATTGCGCGGTTTTTCTTCTTCTTTTTTCTTCTTTTTTCTTCTTTTTTTCGTTTGTTTGTTTTTTATCTCTACTATTTCTCTCCTTTGATTCCCCATTCGTTCTCCTTTCTGTGTGGTGTTGCTTGCTTCCCTTCCCTTCCCTTCTGTTCGGACGCTCCTTTGTGTTACATATCAAATACCATCTCCACTGTCTCTCTCGACTCGGCTCGGCTCGTTTGGAAAGAATCGATTGATCGCCTAGGGTGCGTAATCCCTCGTGACGGATGGTAGGTAGCATACATGGAGTCGTGGACTCGACAGAGCCCGTCGAGCCGGGAAGGTTAGGATGTCCCGCACTCTGGATCCACGACTGTCAAAATGTGGGAATAAACTCGCCGGTCGGTCGGTTGATCATGAGCAATGTCAAACATGCCGTCAAGGTTGAAATGTACCGTACACAGTGTACGTAGTGTACCATACGTAGTGGATGTAATGTAAGTGTGGTGTAAGTGTGGTGTACGTACAGTACATGTATGCCGACGATATGCGCTGGCCGTCCGTCCAGTCCAGCCAGCCGGGCGCACTCATGTATGAATCTACAGTACAGATGTATCATATGTGTATGCAGTGAGGAATGGCCCCCGTGCGGCGTGCGGCGTGCGGCGTGCGGTATGTAGAAGTAGGCTAGTACCGGTACTCCGCCGTCCATCCCATCCCTTCCCATCCCATCCCAGTGGAGCAGTATCCGGCGAGCGAGCAAGCGCGGTACTGCACTGCACTGCACTGTGCAGTGTGCAGTGTGGAGGATTATTGTTGTTATTTTGCTTGCTTGCTTGCTGGCTTTCTTTCGTTCTTTTCGGGGCGGGCATCCGGTTAGGTAGAGTACTCTAGAGTACCGTATGTACCCCACATGTATGTAGATAGAGTAGAGTAGAGCATCGTGCTTTCGAATGTATTGGCAGAGGAGGAGGAGAGACAGTTCCAGTTCCACATGGGGGCGGGAGGGGAGGGGGGTATGTACGGTATGTAGGAAGGCGAATCTTCAGCGGAGAAGGGATCAACGACAAATCTACGGGACAGAGTGATTGGCCGCAGAAGCAGTCGGCGGATGGCCATGCATGTAACGTAACCTACTATATAGTGCTCTACTACGGGAACGGATGGACCTGCATACGGACGGAGAGAGCGCACAGCGTGGGGCAGCTGTGCGGAGCGGAGCTGCGGAGGGGAGGGAGGACACTGGAAGAAGCAAGACGATGGATGGATGTGTGGATGGATGTGTGCGCGTATTGCGTTGATTCCTCAGCCGCCGAGGGAATGATTTGCCTGGTGTGTGGTATGTGTGTGTGAGGGTGGGGCGGCGAATGGGTGGGTGGGTGTGTGGAACTCTTTGTTTGCCTCGAATTCGCCATTTATCATCGGTATTATTATTATTCAGGCCCGGAGCCGGACGTCACCGAGCATGCTTGCTTACTTCTTGGGGACTTCCTGCTCACTTGCTCACACCACACACACCACACACAGGCGACTGGATTATGATTGCCAAGCGATGTGTTGAATAAGCAAGCAAGCAGGCAAAAAAATCAATGTGGGCAGGAAGCCCCGACGGAAGGAAGGTAGGAGGAAGGAAGGTGGCAGCATGATGGATGGCCCATGGATGGATGGGATGATGTATTTGTAAGTCGATGGCGACATCTCGAGTATGAAATTGTGAATACTGCTTGCGTGGGATTTTCACGAGGGGGCGGGGGGGGGGGGGGGCGAGGGGGCTCATTGGGGTTTAAGAAGGGGGTTTAAGAAGGCCGATCGAGAAGGACCGGATTGAAGGCCTCTCTCTCGTCTGCTCTGTTCCCATCCATTCGCATCTCATCTGCCTCATCGCCGTCGCCCGCCGAAGCCCGCTCCGAAGCCCGCCAAACCCTCCCGTCCCCGGTATATAGCTTCCCCAGATCAGTAGTTCGCCACCACTGCCACCACCGCCACCGCTGCCACCACCGCCACCGCTGCCACCACCGCCACCGCTGCCACCACCACCACTACCACCGCACCGGCTTCCCGCAGGCAAGCTAGAGTAGCACCCGCGCATCTCCCATCTGCCTTTACCCTTTCCAGTGCCATCGGAAGCGTATCCAAGTAGAAGAGGAACAACGAGAACGAAAGAGACCTTGCACAATATTATTCGACTATTCTAGAGCTGCCAGCTGATCCTCAGCCCTGCGAACAAACGAAAGGACCTCCGAACGGAGTCGGAAGCGCTACCGGCAACCCCACCACCATAAAATTCAACCCGCACTCAACCGCCACCACCCACTCCTGCTGCCCACCACCACCCACTCCTGCTGCCCACCACCACCCACTCCTGCTGCCCACCACCACCTCCACCTCCACATTTACCTCCACCCCCCCTTCAACTCCGTGCTCACATAAACTCGGAAGTACAAGTATCTGCGAGTCCCGCCCACTGCTCCTCGCTAGAAAATAATTCCTCATCTTCTACTCGTTACCACCCCCACTGAGCTCGAGCATACAACCATCTGCCTCTGCCAGCTCCACCACTCCGACAAATCACCCCCACCAACCAACAACAAGCTTTTACTCGTACTATACAGCTCGAAATGACTGTCCTGCCTATCACTCCCCCCTCCGAGACCGAGCCCCGCTTCCAGAAGGACGTTCGTGGATTTGGAACTCGTGCCGTACAAGCCGGTGCCCCTCACGACCCTGTCACCGGTGCTGTGATCGAGCCTGTAAGATACCCAGATCCCTTGCCGCCGCCGCTGCACGATCGATATTTGTTTCACCACACGGAAAAATAAAAACTAATGCTCAGCCCCACAGATCTCGCTGTCCACCACCTTCGCCCAGACATCCCTGGGTCGTCCGATCGGTGAATATGAGTACACCCGCAGCTCGAACCCCAACCGTAACAACTTCGAACATGCCGTTGCTGCCCTTGAGAACGCCCACTATGCTCTCGCCTTCTCTTCGGGCCTTGCCGCTATGGCCATCACGCTCCAAGCCCTCGCTTCCGGCTCGCATGTGATCTCGATCGCGGATCTGTACGGTGGCACCCATCGTTACTTTACCAAGATCGCACACACGCACGGCATCCGAGTCTCGTTTACCGGCTTGATCGAGGTCGATGTGAGACGGCTGCTCGAGGAGAACCCAGACACGAAGCTGGTCTGGATCGAGACGCCGAGTAACCCCACACTCACTCTGGTCGACATCCAGGCCGTGGCCGAGGTCGCGCACGAGTACGGTGTTTACGTGGTCGTCGACAACACCTTCCTGAGCCCTTACGTGCAGAATCCGTTGGACCACGGTGCTGATGTGGTGCTCCACTCGGTCACCAAGTACATCAACGGACACAGTGTAAGCTTCGAACCTTAATCGACGATATGCTTCGTGTTTACTGACGGAACCGGTATAGGATGTTCTGATGGGTGTCACCGCATTCAACTCGGCTGAAATCAACGAGCGCATGAGCTTCCTCCAGAACGCCATCGGTGCAGTCCCTTCCCCCTTCGACTGCTGGCTCGCCCACCGCGGTCTCAAGACCTTGCACCTGCGCGCCCGTGCTGCGAACGAGAGTGCAACCGCCATTGCCGCGGCGCTCCAAGCATCCCCCAACGTTCAGTCCGTCAACTACCCAGGCCTGAGCTCGCACCCCCAGCGCAAGATCGCCGTCAAGCAGCACCGCAAGGGTATGGGCGGTGGTATGCTCAGCTTCCGCATCAAGGGTGGCCGCCACGCCGCCGAGCGCTTCTGCCAAATGACCAAGATCTTCACCCTGGCCGAGAGCTTGGGTGGTGTCGAGAGTCTTTGCGAAGTCCCTGCGGCGATGACGCACGCCGGTATCCCTCGAGAGTCCCGCGAGGCTACTGGTATCTTTGACGACCTGATCCGCCTGAGTGTGGGCATCGAGGACACCGACGACCTAGTCGCCGATATTGTCCAGGCCGTCGACGCCGCCATCGAGCTAAGCTCCGATGAGACATCCTCGGGCTCTTCTACCCCATCCGATGTGGTCGAGTTGGTCGTATAGAGCGGAGCGGTGTGTGGTGTGTCGTTTGTGGTGTCTGGGGCTTGTGCTTCCGGCTTCATCCTGGTGTGCATAGCATTTGCATATATGTTTTCCCTTTGCTTCTTGAGGTGTAACGTTTGAAATGCGGGCAAAACTTTGTCTTTGTCTATAGACGTTTCGTTTGCTGGTTGTTTTTTTTCCTTTTTCTCCTTTCACTTGGACTGTTACTTTTGCTTTTGCTTTTTACATACACTGTAGTGTATGATCACGGCGTTTAATGGTGGGGATTTTTATAGTATAAGGGAGGGAATTATGTGAAATGGATTGTATTTGACTGGAAAACTTTGAACTTTGTGCTCTGCCGAAACGAATGTTACGATATGCATGCATGGCCAGGGTGTTCCCCGCAATATCGTGACGAAAGTTATGTAAGAGCAACCTGTACCCCGCAACAGGGCAGCAGGGACGGACGCTGCGCTCATGCGCTCCCCATGCAGGTGGGCTCTACGGTAGGTGGCTAGCGGGATGAAGGGATGGGGAAATGAAAAAGAAGGGAGTGATGTCAGCGATGGGGCAAAATAAATGTTGCGCGAGTGAATGCATCCGTCGGGAGTCGAACCCGAGCCAATTGCTTGGAAGGCAATTATCCTACCGTTGGACCACGGAAGCAGATGCTAACCTGGCGGAGAAAGCTGTATCAACGTGCTTTGGGGACTGCTACCAGTATCCACGGGGGAAAGGCGGCTTGCTGGACTTGTTGGATTACAGGATGCTTGCGCCCTTTCTGCTGGCGAGTTGGTTGGTTATAGTAGTGCTGGCTCGTCGTCTTGTTATCCATCCGGTTCATGGCTTGAGGTTCATCGTTCTGTTCTATTTGCTGATGGTGTTCACTGTTTGGTCATAACGACGGACACATACCGTAGTAGTCTCGTCCCCCACCCACCCCCCATAGTTTTATAGGGTTTGATGAGCGATTGCTTGCGACCTACTACCCAAGTACTAACTTACCAGTAGATCATGATAATCAGTACTCCACTTTTGCACTCACTCCGTTTCCTCATCCACTGTCCGACCCGACTTTTGCCAGGCAGTCCGTCGTGGCTTCACCCTGCCCTTCACCCTGCCCCCCTCCGCCCTGGTTTGACCAAAAATACCCTGCATGTGTTCTACTCTCCTCTAATCTATCCCGGAGCATACCAAGGAAACAAAGCTACATGCATGAGAAAAGAAAGGGTCCGCTCCGCAGCTCACACCTCCAAAGTCCGCATCGCCCCTGCCTCTTCATCGGCAGATGCCAGGAAGGAAGGAGGGGTGTGCATTTTGCGGAGGAATAGTGGGGGTGACCCCCTTCCCCCTGCTCCTCAACCGCAGCGCCATCCTCCCCCTCATCCTCTACGCCTGTCGTGTCACCCCTTCCATACCGGATGGACTACATGGTGGAAATGTGACTTCGAGTGATGCTTCATGAATATCCATAACAAATCGGCGAAGGATCGGTGATATGTACGCGAGACTTCCTCGGGCGTTGTTTTTCACGGGTTGTCTTCATATCAGCCAGTGATCAGGGCAAAGCGACGGTGTAACTTATGCGTGAGCCGCGTAGACTCCCTATCGGCCGAGCCGTATGTGTGTGTTGTATGGTGGTAATTGTACAAGATGATGATGCTACATGCCTCCCCAGCCCAGCCCGAACTCCCGCACAAATTCAGTCCCTGTAAATCCCCTCCGCCTGCGCTTCCGTGTTCAATTTTCCGTCCTCCTCCGCCCCCATCCCCGTCTTCACCGCACACTGATCTCCTTCTCGACCTCGGTCGTGGTAGTAGTCGACTTTTCGCTGAGCACCTCGGAGGCGAGCGCCTTGAGCCGGCTCCGGTCGGGATTCGGCTCCTTGTACGCATACGGCCCCAGCGTCTTCTGGCTGATATCGCGCTGTTTCTCGAGTGCCTTCCAGAGCTCATTATCCCAGCTGTCGTCGCACACGTATCAGCGCCCATCCCCCGTCCCCCATCCCCATCCCCATCCCCCCCTCTCCCCCATCCAGGTTCAGGTGTAACATACGGACTCAAATCCTCCGGCTCCGCGGGGTAGACAAACGGCTTTACGAGCTCGACGGTCATCTTCTTGACAGCCCTTGGGCGCCAGTAATCGACAGCCTCGGGGCGCTCCGGCCGCGTCCGCTGCAGCTTCTGCTGCACGATGAACGAGCGCACGTTGTAAACGTCAACATCGTACACGTTCTTGAGGTAGTCCCGAAGGTCCAGCTTGTTGATGTTCAGCGGAACGACGAATTGCGCGAAGTTCGCGGGCAGGTGCGGGGTTCGCACGAGCGAGATCGTGAAATTCGGGCTAATGGGAGGTGGGGTTAGTAGGGAGGAGGGGGAGCGGGGGGGGGGAGGGACGGAGAAGTACAGGTAGACGGCTTTGGTTCCGACGGGCATGGTGGGCGTGGTAAGTGGGTGGTGGGTGGGATGCGTTGACCGGAGGTGTCGTTTTTTGCGGGATGCACTGCAGGGTAACGATGGTGGGTCATCGGGTGGCACTCGGTTATGGAGTCGGCCCGGTTGGATCGGGAGGCGGGTGGTTACGTAATCATCCGTGCTACTGTGTATGGTCGGGAATGGTACACAGGAGTACCGTATGAGCTGAGTTGGGCTCACTGTTTTGGTCTTCTGGCTTGCGCAGGCCGTGGGGGAACGAATGTCTCGACTCCGGTGCATCGGTTGACGTGCCTGGGAAATCATCAGAACAGTGTGTAGATAACTTGAGGCAACTCGCGACGATAGTACTACATAAAGGGTGTAACCCGTCGTGTTTGAGGTATGTCTCTGTGTGTTCGGCTACGATCACGATTTGTGACATCGCCGTCTCACGCATGCGCAACCAAAGCGTTGGGGGGTGGGTCGACATGACTCTTCAGAGCCATGGTTGACCACGGAGGGGAGAGCGGAGGCTGAAAGGTGAAACCATGCGATATCGGTCTGTACCGAAATCACTCTATTCCCCTGATAGCTGCCATGAACTCCACTCTACTCTAGAATCCAGATACGTCAAGCAGCCAAGAGCGGCACATGGAGCTTCGATTAAGATGGGCGCACACGTTTGATTGGAGGCCGGCGTCGAATGGCGGGCCCATCCTGCAGCCCAGCGACGCATCGAGCAAGCGATTGCTTCCCCTCCACTTTAGAGTAGATCTCGTCCCGCACATTAATCATTAATGTTCCAGCCTCCCGCACGCCCCGTCCGCTCGCTTGCTCACTAGACGTCTGCTGCGGCTCCTTTCCTTGCCATCGCCGCCTTCCAGCGCCTTCCGTTCCATTTGTTTGTTTGTTTGTTTGTCTGCGGTTTGTTTCGGGATAGAGCGTGAGCGGCGCTGCATTCAGCAGAGTCATCGCCTGTGATTCCGAGTAACTCCACCTTTCAATATCCACGCTAAGCCCAAAGTTCCAGCGTCTGAGCCGTGCGGCAACCAACCTCACGCACTCCACATCTCCTCACCCGACATACGTCAGATCGTCCAGCTCTCTCCCCCCAACCTCCCACTTCCCACAAACTCCACGGTCCCCACCCAATACACACAACTCACACGCACCCAAACGAATCCTCCGTAATAGCGTCGTCCTGTTAGGAGTACAGCACACGAGCACCCATCCAGCAGACCTGGCGGTTACGTCCAAAGTACCTCCATAGGTACGTCTCCTGCTTCTCCGTATCTCCAATAGCCCCCATCGGATCCGTCTGTCGACGCCGGCAGGAGGGTGGTACTGTGTGTCGGCGAGGGGGAGAGTTTGCGGCGATGGCGAGGGGCGGCGATGCGCGTGACAGCAGCAGCAGCAGCTCCACACGGGCTGAGCTGGGGTCCTAATCCCCGCCGCCGCTTGTGTGCTCTCTCCCGATCATCCCGCTTCCCCACCGAAAGATCCTGCAGGACTCCCCCAATCCCTCCCTCCCACACTTCCACCTTTCGCGCCTTATTGCCATCTCTCACTCTCTGTTCTCTCACTCACTCTCTTTCTCTCTCTTTCGACTTAGCAGATCACTGACCTTGCGCTCATCCGCGCGCCAATCGACAGAACCGAAGATTGTTATGGCAGATTCGCATACTACTCGAAATGTGGAAAGCCCTCTAGTGTGGTCGGTTGTCGATCCCTCGACGACCGGTGTTGATGCAAGCAAGTCTACAAGCACCTCCGACGCCCCTGGCGACAGCCCTTCAAACACCACAGCTTCGCCGAATACCAATCCTACCACGAGCACGACCACCGATTCGTCGAACCCAGAGATCCGTAAAAACGATGGACAAACAGAGACTGGGGGAGTGGTGGATGAGATGGTGAGCACGGGCGACGCGCATTGCACTTTGTGGTGGAGGAGGGGTTGGTGCTGACCAGATTCGTGAAGGGCGGAAATCTCGACAGCAAGGACGGTGCGCGATCCGGTGAAGTGGGAAGTGATGTCGACAGATCGGGCAGTGCTTCGCCGACGAAGTCAGATCGCAAACTGGCCACGAAGAAGCTCTCGTTCAAGCCGGTTTCGCTCAACAGGGCGTTTTTGGGGGATGCGCCAGCGACGACCGCTGCGCCAGCTTCAATGAGTTCTGCACTCCAGTCGAAAGGTACAGTAGAACTCCCGATTATCACGTCCGGAGCGATTGTGTTGACACTGCTTCGTAGGAACCGGATTGAGCACGGGCCTGTCCCTGGCCGCACCACGACCCATTGCTACATCTAAGCTGAAGCTCACGCGGAGCGGCAGTTCCTCGCAAACCTCCAGACCAACCTTAGGATCAGGAGGCATTGGTTCAGGTGGTGGCAACTCTCAGCCGGTCTGGAACAAGAATCAACGTATGTGAACGCTTGCGCTCTGTATTTCTGCGGTCCGCGGAAGAGACTGACATGAAATAGCTACACCTCCGCCTCCAAAGAAGGAGTTCACCGATGAAGAGCTCAGCAAGAAGTACGGAATCCATTTGGCTTCGAGACTTGGCTCCGACGACACGACAAACAAAGAGGCGAAATGGGCAGATATTGACGACGATGACGATGACTGGGTCCCCACAACGATCGAATGGAACGACGGCATGAAGGCTACCATTCCAGATGCACCTCCTGCCGTACCGACACCGGAGCCAGTAGGGGAGCCAGCCAAGGAACCGGTGAAACCACCAGCGAAAGAGCCAGCCAAGGAACCGATCAAAGATGCAATTAGAGAGCTGGTGAAGAATGCCCTCCAGCCGCAATCGTCATCTGGCAAGCCATCAGCTCCCGCTCCGACCAAAGAGCTGTTGACTCTGAGCTCGTCGGGACACAAGACGCTCGTTACCCAGAAGCCCGGCACCAAAACGTTGCAGACTACCCCAGTTCCACCCACTGTTCGGCAATCACCATGGGCAAAGCTGCCGCCTATCAATCCGGCACCACCTGTTCAAGTTAGCCCAACTTTAAACTCGCGTCGTCCTCTGGATAATGCGTCCCATCGTGTGGAACGAGAGCCACCTGTGGTCAGGGAGGTCTCTGCAGAAGTCTACGATCGCTCATGGCGTGACAGGAATGGCGCTCAAGGCAACAGAGAACTCTTCAATTCACAGACCGGCAAGATGGAGCCCGTTCCGGATGATCGTAGGCCCGCCCATTCGCCGGTTCCCAAGCCAGCAGTACTTCAGAGGCCAGCAGGACCGCCTCAACAATCAGGAGGGCCTGCTGAACCATCTGCCGCTTTCCAGACTGGGCGCAGTAGCCATCGCCCCGACGACTTTAGACGTAGAAGGACTTCATCTAACGTAAGTGGGGGCAGCGGAAGCGTTGGCCGCAGACTTTCATTCACACGCTTTGCGGGTGGTGATCCGCCGACACCGGACGACATGGGGTTTGCCCGCGATAGGCCCATGTACAGTAATCCGTTCGATGAACATGGACCTCCGCAGCGGCAGTATGGTGGTTACGGATCCCATCACATCCAGCCTCCGTTCCACCAGGGGCACAAGGAAATCTCACCGACCATTACAAACGCCTCGCCAGTGCCACGATTAGTTGTTCCCCACAGCCCAGTCCCTGTTCCCCCGCAAGAGGAACCGGAAGCCCAGCCGCAAGTACAGCCCGAGACGCAGCCACAGCCACCTCAAATCCCAGAAGAGTCCGCGGAAGATCTGCTCGCTAAGCAAGAGCGTGTCATGAGGGAAGCACGCGAAATGGCGCGGAAACGGAAAAAGGAAGAGGAAGAGAGAGAAGAGGCTGCGAAGAAGGAGCGACTACGGGTTAAGCTTGAGGCGTTAGAACGGTTAGATAACGAGAAAGAAGCTGCTCGTAAGGCTGAGGAAGAGCGAGAGCGAATCGCTAAGCAGAAGCAAGAGGCGGAAGAAGCCGAAAGGCGGCTTGCCGAAGAGCGAGAGAAGGCGCTAGTGCGGGAGCGGGAGAGCGCCAAGGCAACTGCCGAAGCTGAAGCTCAATTGCAGTCGAGACAGCACCAGACGGCAAGCTCGCGCAACGACCCCTCACATTCCATAGTGCCTAGCGAGCGGTCAAACTTTGCCGAGAGGTACGTTCGGCGGCCTAGCTTTGCCCGCTCTGCAGCACATACTTCAACCTCATCTCCTAGCTCCCTTCTCTCCCAACCTCAACCAACTCAACCCTCATCCACAAACCCTACTTCTTACCTTTCCTCTTCTACAACCACCACTTCCTACCTTCCCTCTTCCACAACCTCTACATCCTACCTTCCATCCTCCACAACCACAAGTTCCTACCTTCCATCCTCCACAAACACTACTTCCCACCTTCATACTTCGACCTATCGTCCACCTCATCTATCCCCTCACTCTCCTACCTTGTCCAACATGTCTCCAAGCTCTCTCAACGAGAATCCCGTCGGAAAGCGCAACAACAGTATCGGCAGCAACAACTCTGGAAACAACTTCCCTGGAAGTAACAGCGGCTACCCAAACAACAATCGCAACCCTACCTGGAAGAGCGGTGCGACTAATCCGAGAGGCAACAACAACACTCAGTGGGGCTCGTCTCAATCTTCTAGCCCTTGGGGCGCAGTTGGCGATGGATCTCGACCTGGTGTAAACAGCGCCAACAACAACATGTCCGGTAACGTCATGAATAACAGTAACAACAACCGTCCCGTCTTCGATGGACCCCGTCCCGGTCATGATGGATCTCGTTACAACAACATCAATAATGGCAATAACAACAACGGTCTTCGTTACAACAACAATCGCGCGAACGGCGGCAACGGCGGCAATGGCTACAATAACCACAACGGCGGAGGTGGATACAACAGAAACGGTGGCAATGGATACGGCAACAGGCACAGAGGTGACCGACACAGCGACCGCCGCACTCCTTCTCCAACCAGTGGCCCACTGGGTGCGATTTCGAGAGACGACCGTGATCAAGCTGTCAATCGTTGGAACATGCTTCCGTCGCAAATTGACGCCGACGCTGCGGCTGCTCGCGAGATTAACCATGCGGCTCGACTTGCCCGCGAAGCCGAAGAGGCTGCGACCGGTATCAAGAAGCAGACTCCAACAATCAACTACGATATCGTTGAGGAGTTCAACGAATATCAGCTTGACGAGACTGGACCCAAGGTGGACAGAGCTCTCATCGCAAAGACCGTCAAGGAACGTAAAGATATCGAAGATTCGAAGACGGCCATCGAGGCTTCCCAAGTTGGTGCCCGTGTCACTCAGGTGGACAGAGCTCTCATCCCGAAGACCGTGAGGGAACATAACGATATCGAAGTTTCGAAGAGGGCCATCGAGGCTTCCAAGGTTGGCGCCGGTATCTCCCCGAGCGAAGAAGTCAACAACAAGCTTGCTGCTATCCTCATGGCTCACAATCATCACCACCGCCAGCATGACGAAGCTGGATCCGAGACTCACAAGATTGGGAAGCTACCCGAGAATACCATTGCTATTCCAAAGGGTCCTGCTGGCACCAAGCCTTCTCGCTTCTTCCCTACACAGGCCAACAAGACAATCGCCGAGCACATCGCCGAGCACATGAAGCAGAACGAGGAGATCGCCAAACCCGCGGACGCCAAGCTTGGTCAGGCAGGATATCGCAAGAACGACAATCCGGTTCAGCGATCGTTCTCGCCACCTCCTCCGATGTCGGCAGACCATCCCGTCCATGGTGCGACCAAGATCGCCCGTGTTCAACTTCCGGGCGGTGCTGGCATGCACACAGGGGGGGAGGAGCCGGGCCACAGTGGCACAATGAAGCGCTTCGAAGAAGTTCAGCGCCGAATTTTGGCCGGTGTCCCAGGACATGCTGCTCCCGCCGTGCTCGGCCCTCCGGGTCTCTTCAAGGAAGGACGTGATCGGATGACGGTGGCCTCCAAGCCATCGTTTGACGATACTCCTGAGAAGCAGCTCAAGGTACCGACCGTGTCGTTGCCATGCAAGGTCGAGGAGTCTGCCGGTGACGTGAGCATGGTCACCGTGCTCGACAGTGAGGAGTTCATCACGGAGTTCTTCCAACAGGACTTCGGATCAACTCCGAACGTTAGGATTCCTCGGCCGGCACATGGCTTCGATGTTCCCGCGGCAACCAACGGTAGAAATACCGTCAAGAGAGCTGCCGTCAAGGACGGAGTTCAGTCTGTGCCGTTGTACCACCCCTTCGGATTCAAGGACTTCACCAATGGGCAAGGTGAAAAGTTCATTCCCATCCAGTTTCCTGGAGGGATCCGTAAGGAGGTGGCCTACAACGGGCAGCTGTTCTTCCCCGGAAGCGGTAGTGGTGGTAGCGGGGACAAGCGGGGCGGCAGGGGGTTCCCGAAGAAGAGGGGCGGTGGGCGCGGGGGGTACGCTGGTGGCTTCGGCCGGAAGAAGGCCCCAGAGGCCTAAACGGTTGTCTGGAGGCGGGAGGGGGGAGGCGGAGGCGAGCGGGCGGGCGGAAGGACGGGCGGGGCATTGGGACGCTCGCGTCCATTTTTACCAATAAATTTTTTTTCCTTTAGTTTTCACTTCGTCTTCTTCTGTTCATTTTGTGCACTTTGTTTTCTTCATATTTTTACGACGGGCTAGGGATGGATGGGGGAGTTTCTTACTGCTTGCATGCGTTCCTTGTTTTGGAGAGGTATCATTGTCGGAGTACGGATTTGACTGGGGCAAGGGCGCATCTTTTTGTGTGATTTGCTATGGTCATGGCTGGGCCGCCATGAGGAGGTCGAGAGGCGCGGCAATCGGGGGAGTGTGTTTTTTTTCTTCTCTTTTCTTTCCTCTTTCATGGCAGCACAGTTAAGTTACCCATATAACGCAATGTACCTAACTCCTATGATATTGGAGGAACCGGCAAGTGGAATAGCATGGCATATTGATTTGATCATCTACATACGCATTGTGGTTTTCTATGGGGGAGGGGGGTTGTTTTTGCCTGACTCGAGGAGTAAGTTGGATACCGTTTCTGATTTCCATCCGCTCGTATTTTCTGCTATTTACTACCGTCATAAACGAGTGGGTGCGTCTATGACAACCAGATACTCGAGACTCGAGAGTCGAGGCATGAAGTGAGGTCGAGATATGCGTTGCACTGGTTATCCGAGTACAGTTAGAATGGCTGCACGTTGTGTTACACGAGCCGACTGCCGGTGCTAGTACTAGTAATAATTAGCCCTGCCAAGTTGTCAGTAGATAGAACGTTAAGCTTCGACCACTGCGCATGCAGGTCCGTCCGCCGACTTCACCCCATCCTCGATAACGACCACCCATCCTCCTTCCCACCCACACGACCGACTCGCCACCGTCCCTCCCGACACGGTAATATTCCGCCCCGCAGCATCAATACCCACCCTCATTCCGAAGACCACCCTCACCCACCGCCACCATGAACGCGCCGGACCGGTAATCCCCCCATCCAACCACGCGTCCCCGGCACCCCCACTAACCTTTCCCTTCCTACCGCCCATAGATTCGAGCTCTTCCTCCTGGGCGACGGGGAGGCAAAAGTAACGATGGAAGCGGACACGCGCCAGCCGAACACCGCGATCTTCACGTTCAACAAGGAGGACCACACGCTCGGGAACCTTCTTCGGGCCACTCTGCTGCACAACGAGCACGTCATCTACAGCGCCTACAAGATCCCCCACCCGCTTTTTCCAAAGTTCGAGCTGCGCGTGCAGACGGATGACGATACGACGCCGAAGGAGGCGCTGCTCCAGGCCTGCCAGGGACTCATTGCGGATTTGCAAATACTCAGTGGGAAACTCACTAGGGAGTGGGAACTCAATAAGATCGCGAGGGATACGACATAGTGCTGCGGACGACTTCTGCTGGGGCTGGGGCTGGGGCTGGGGCTGGCGCGCGCGGTTGTAAGGGAATTGAGGGGTCAGAGAGGTGGGCTGGGAAGACGGGCGACGATTTGATGAATACGATATGGGGGATTCCCTTTTTTCTGGCTTCTTTTCTTTTCTTCTTTGCATTTCTTCTGTTTCTGTTGAATTCCATTGGCTTTTCCTTTCTAGCTACAATAGACGACACAGATGGACATTGATCTTGCGGTTTGGCTGTGGTTGGTTCACAGGTTCGAGGGAAGTCAATTGGAACTCTCGTCCGAAACCGAAGAAGCCCTGGGCTGGGCTATAATAATGGAGTCCGGACAGGTAAGGATCATTAGAACAACAGTACAATTTTTCTACACTGTGAACGCACGTCTTGGTTGGGCTGGGATGTACCTATTCGCAAAGCGCCACTATTGAAGCCTCGCAGTAAACTACCTATACGTCTATCTACCGTGAACGATAGCGTTACAGTAGATCGTGCCCTCTTGTTCCGCCTTACAGTCGTCGGTCTTATTTCCATTGACTCAGGGGTTTCGGAGGACCCACTGGGCGCAGCGAAGTCGAGGACGGACGGCCTCGAGGGAGCGAGCCGCCGCGATATAGTAGACGAGGCGAGAGCCGAGTGTAAACGAAGCGGAGTGATCTGTGGCGCGAAGCAGCCACAATTTACAAACCAGCAACCAAAGACCCAGGCGAAGCAATGGGTAAAAAATATACAGAACGAAGAGTGGACTCATGGAGGACGCTCAAAACAGTAAAAGATATAGCCCAGTTCCTGATAAGAATAATAAAAGCAGCAAAGAATGAAACCCCCAAACGCCAAAACAATCCCTCCCACATTGAATGAGCCCCCTCCCCCGGGACCTCTCTCACAACAAAAGTACGAGCGAATGGTATCCTCCTCCGCGCAAAGGTTACAGAACCACCTTCCCATCAGCATCACAAAACAGATCATCCACCTCAAACGCCCTATACGGGGTAGTGGGGAGATGGCAAGTCGTAATACTATTCCTGTACGCAACCGCGGCATCAATGACCGCGTCACTATCCGTAGGCTTGCCACAGACATCGCGCATTTCGATCTTCGTCCACTGCGGCAGATCCGCCTGCGGCAGGAGCTCGAGAAACGACTTCTCCAGTAGCCGCGCCTCGGGCTTGCTGCGGCCGGCGTGCGACGGGATTTCGCTGTGCACGCGTGCGAGCGTCTCCTTGAAGCTGGGGTAGAGCATGGTGTAGCCGCGGGCGCGCGCGAGGGAGGTGAAGGTCGAGTGCCAGCTGCTCGTGAGCGCGGCGGGGAGCGCGAATGTGGCCGGCGCGGGCGCGGTGAGGTTGCGTTTACCCGGGTTCGACGGGGGGTTGAGGATGTGTGACAGGTAGGAGTGGAATTCGGTCCAGTGCTGCGGGAAGAAAAGCGCTGCGCGGGAGGTGGGGAGGGGATAGAGGAAGGGTGCGTTGGTGTGCGGGAGGGCGGGGGAGGAAGCGCCGGTGAGATCCGTGGGTGGGGATTCGAGGGAGATGCCGTACAGCGTGCTCGCGTCGGTGGATTGGTAGAAGGAGTAGCGGTATTCGAGGGTGGTATAGAGAAGGTAGTGGCAGTACCATTTTGACAGTTCGGTATTGGGGTCGAGGAACAGAACCGAGTGGTCTTCACTCAGAGTGTAGAAGGACTCGACATAATTGCGGGCAGCCGCTTGCGGGTCATCTTTAGGGAGTAGTGGCCGCTTGATGCTGATCCGGGACTGTTCTGGGAAGCTGTAGCTCCGTAGAAAATCCTTCAGGAAGGGGTGGATGGGCACGAAAGGGTCCAGGACGATGGTTATACGCTTTGGATGGTGCTCTTTCGAGGGGTAGTAAGCATTCTGGATGGATTTGAGGAGTCGCTCGAGATTGCCCGTGTGTGTATCGGCGTGTATCACGATCTCGAAGGTAGGCGTGTGCCATGCTGCGACCCATCAGTAGGTGGATTTTACAGTTAGACCAAACGATTTTACCATTTAGTGACCCGCTGTCCAACCTCGTGAGCCACTTCAGGTCATCCACAGAGTTCGCGCCCAGCTCAATCAATGTCCTCTTCATCTGCACTGACTTTTCCCTGACAATCTCTAAAAACCACTCTTCCTCATTTAGTGTATCCACGAGGAAAGCCTGCGGGTATATAAACTCGTTGATGTGCCGCAGCGCGCTCTTGGTCGCGACTACCCTCCTCTCCGCCGATAACAGTTCCGCATTATCAGGGCGCGCATCGTGGAGGAAGACCCTACAGCCCTTTGTCTCGTCGTACTCATCCTCCTCCACCGCCGGCAATCCATTGATTCTCCGAAAATCATTCAGATCGAAAGTATCAAACCCCATCAAGGCTAGGTGCACGTTGCTGCGCCTGTATTCCGCCATGTCGCAAGCAATTCCCGCCATCTTACTCGCCGCCGTCAAGTTTCCGGTCACAAACACGACGTTACGATTCCATTTCCTTGAGGCGCCATTGCCGACAACCCGCTGGAGCGTCGAGTAGAGGTTCGGAAATCGAAGCGGGATAAACGGTTCGGGGGCTTTGAAAAAGCTGCCGGCATCGGGAACAGTCCATCGTGTGGCTGAATGGACGAGGAAGTAGACGGTAGCGAGCACTACGGCCCAGCAGAGATACGTAGCTCTCCTCGTTCGGCGCGGCAGTCGGAAGGATGATGATGTTGCTGACCGCGAATTCCAATCTTTCTCCCACTCAAGATCGTCGCGGTCAAGTGGGGGAGAAGCCATCCCGGCCCAGGTGGGTACGACGTTGGCGGTTTGTCCGGTAAGAAGGACCGATAGGTCGTGCTGAAGCCGAAGAAATAAAGGCGGAGAATGTGTTAGCTATTTCTTGGTGAGATGCGCGGATTTTGTGTGGAGACGGTCGGTTTGACTGATCGACGTTAATACATTATGCTGCTGTCTTGCCTCGTTAGGAACAGAGCTCCTGCTGAGTAACCTCGTCATTAGTGCGTAGCCAAGCGACTACTCTCAGCGTTCCCGCCGCCGCCTCTCCTCCACCACAACTCAACCCAACAACCCCATCACCACCAAACAATCTACATCCATCATCAACACATCTCGAATCCCATCGACACACCCCCGCGAACTTGCTTTTGAACCCCCGAGCTTCCCTTCAGTTCCGATCCACAGCAACACCCCACCCACGAACCTTACCCCCACTACACTGCCGTCATGGCGAAGGAAGCGGAGAAACCCACCGACAAGGGCAAGGGAAAGGTTGTCGACGCTCCCGGGAAGGATAAGGCCGCAACGGGAAAAGATGGTGATAAGAAGGACAAGAAAGATGAGGTCACAGAAGGTGGGCGAACAACGGCGTGATTGGCGGTGCTGCGGTGGTGCTGCGGAGCTTGCTAACTCGCCGACAGAGCTGTCCGAGGAGGACCAGCAGCTCAAGTCCGACCTTGAGATGCTTGTACAGAGGTTAGAGGTTTGTTCGGCTGCTCTAGCTTGTGATGCGGGCCAATGCTGATACCTGCGACTGTCTTAGGAGGGCAACAAAGAGCTGTACAAACCTTCGCTCGAGCAGATCAGAGACTTCATCAGGACGTCGACGTCCTCTATGACAGCCGTTCCAAAACCACTCAAATTCCTCCGTCCCCACTACGACACCCTTACAGCTCTCCATGACAAGTGGGAGGAGGGTGAAGACAAGGTGCGTTGGAAGCCACAGACGCCCCCGCTTCCCTATACACTTCTGACGGTGTCTAGGTTGCATTCGCCGACGTCTTGTCGGTACTGGGCATGACATATTCGGACGAAACCCGACTGGACTCCCTAAAATACCGACTCCTTGCGCCAACGAAGGATCCCGGCGCCTGGGGCCACGAGTACGTAAGGCACTTGGCCCTCGAGATCGGTACCGAGTATGCGAGGAGGGCTTCCAGCGACCAGTCTGCGAAGGACTTGGTCGACCTAGCTTTGTCGCTGGTTCCGTTCTTCCTGAAGCACAATGCCGAGGCAGACGCTGCCGATCTCCTCTTCGAGGTCGAGAGCATTCCCAAGATTGCCGATTTCGTGGACGAGAACACCTATGCCCGTGTGTGTTTGTACATGGTTAGGTATGTTTTCCCGGACAAAGTGGAATCACAGTCATTCTTGATGCTCATTGAAATTTCAGCATGGTGCCGCTACTCGCAATTCCGGACGATACCACAACCTTGGTTACGGCGCACACGATTTACCGCAAATACGGCCAGCTGGCGCAGGCTATGACCATGGCAATCCGCCTCAACGATGTGGACATGATTCAGCAGGATTTCAATGCGACGGAGGACTCGGCGCTCAAGAAACAGCTTGCTTTCTTAATCGCACGACAAGGGATTGCCATCGAAACTGATGATGAGGAGATTGCCGAGTGTCTGAACAACGCTCGTCTCTCGGAACACTTCCTTGCTTTGGGCAAAGAGCTCAACATCCTCGACCCCAAGACACCCGAAGAAATCTACAAGTCACACTTGGAAAATACTCGGGGGCCTGGAGCTTCGGTGGATAGTGCAAAGCAGAATCTTGCCAACAGTTTCGTGAATGGCTTTATCAACGCCGGTTTCACCACTGACAAGCTCATGCTCACGGACGAAGACAGTAACAGCTGGGTGTACAAGAACAAGGATGCCGGTATGTTGAGTGCGACGGCTAGCATTGGAATGATTCACCAGTGGAACGTGGAAGTCGGTCTTGGTGTTATCGACCGATTCGCCGAAGCTCCGGAGGATTACATTAAGGTTAGATTTCTTTTGAGAACTGTGTCTTTCTTGTCCTGGGTAGCTAATCACTCGTACCGCAGGCTGGAGCCGCCTTGGCTGTCGGAATTGTCAATTCGGGTGTGCGGTCAGATTCGGATCCCGCTATGGCACTGCTGTGCGATCCGCAGTACATCCACAGTGAAGTTCCTGCAATCAAGAAGATGGCGGTCATGGGACTTGGCTTGGCGTACGCTGGATCGCAGAAGGACGACCTGCGGGAATGGCTCCAACCGATCTTAGCTGACCCCTCTTCGACCCTCGAGAGCTCGGCTATGGCAGCATTGTCGCTTGGTTTGATATTTGTTGGTTCGGGTGACGGTGACATCGCTGGATTCATTTTACAGGCCATAACGGAGCTCGATGAGACGCAGCTCAAGGACAAATGGAGCCAATTCTACTCCCTTGGGTTGGCACTGCTGTATGTTGGCAGGCAGGAGGACGCGGACGCCACCCTGGAGGTTTTGAAGGCGGCACCACAGCCAATTGGCAAGGCCACCGGCGTGCTGGTCGATGCTTGCGCATACGCCGGCACCGGAAATGTCGTGAGGTATCAGAGCTTGTTAGTGCTCTGCAACGCGCATATTGATGCCGATGAAGACAACAAGGGTGAGGATCTGTACCAGGCTTACGCTGTCCTCGGAATGGCTCTCATTACCATGGGTGAGGATATCGGTGCTGAGATGGCTCTGAGGGCATTTGGACATCTGATGCACTACGGTGATCCCGTGATCAGAAAGATGGTTCCTTTGGCCATGGCTTTCCTCAACGCATCAAACCCCCAGATGAAGGTGTACGACACTCTTTCCCGGTACTCCCACGATAACGATATCGATGTCGCAATCAACGCCATCTTTGCTATGGGTCTCGTCGGTGCCGGTTCCAACAATGCTAGATTAGCACAGTTGCTGCGACAGCTGGCGAGCTATTACCACCGCGACCCCAATGCCCTCTTCATGGTGCGGATTGCCCAGGGTCTGCTCCACATGGGCAAGGGAACTCTTAACATCAATCCCTTCCACACCGAGCGAAGTGTTTTGAGTAGAGTATCTGTCGCATCTCTGTTGACGGTGCTCGTGAGCTTAACGGATGCCCAAAGCTGTAAGTTGCACCCACCCCGAATACTTTATGACGATATGTGCTAATCCGCGATTGTGCTTTCCAGTCATCTTGGACCAGCATCATTACCTTCTCTACTTTATTGTGCCGGCGATGCATCCCCGCTTCCTGATCACCTTGGACGAGGACATGAAGCCACTGCCTGTTAGCGTGCGAGTTGGACAAGCGGTCGATGTCGTTGGGCAAGCTGGTCGACCAAAGACGATCACCGGATGGCAGACACACAACACGCCGGTGTTATTGTCGTATGGTGAGAGAGCTGAGCTGGAGGACGAGGAGTATATCGCGCAGAGCCACACCCTGGAGGGGCTGGTTGTACTAAAGGTAGATATCCCTCCCATCCCACTTCTTTGCTATTGGCAGACATTAACAACTTTGATTAGAAAAATCCGAAGTGGCAGGGCGCGGAAAATTAGGACAATTGGACTTAGTATGGCATTTGTGTTCACGAATAGATGTGGTTTTTCTCTTCGCGTTTTTCTCTAGTTGTGAGGGTGATCGTTCTCACTTTGATGCTGTAAAGTATTGTCCTTATGAGGTATAAACTTTCCCTGGAACGGACACTCTGACATTGTAATTTCTGGGCTCTGTGAAACCCGAAACATCAAACAACTGACGGCGTAAATATATCCATCACATTCTTTCACTCGGATTTTCACAACATCGTGAAAATCCAGAGATTTCAGTGTGAGGTCGCCATTGTCTAAATAAGCCGTATGCGACAATAAATTAATGTTCTCTCTCCCAAAGACCGATCAAAGCGGGGTGGCGTGCAAAATGCCGCAAAACCAGGCAGTGCTATTCAATGGCCTCACTCAATCGTACTATGTAGCTACAAGCTATTGCCAAACTGCCAACTGATCGCTGCTACCGCCCTCCTGTTCCAGAAGCATCAACACCTCAGAAGACCAAGTCATCGGGTGCCCTCCATATCCGAGCAACTAGGCAATCGAGTGTCAACCATGATATCAAGAATTCGCGTCTACCAACACACCAAGAACTCCCAAATGACCCCTCAAGCTGGAGTCCCACATTATTTCGCAAAAGCACCCCCAACACTGCCAATGCTCCGCCGCTTAACAGTTCCTCTTCCACTTAGCCAGGTACTCTTTGTGTTAACCACCCTCTTGTTCGCTGGCGGCATCATGATTTTGCGCGCTTTCTTGTCATCCTGCAAAACCTTGACACTCACGGGGCCCTTCTTGAACTCCATTTTCGCCTTCCTGGCCGCTCGTTTCCTCCTATTCCTTTCTGTCTTTCCTGACGAGAGCTCCTCGTCAACCATCATGCCGTCGCCCTCAAAATCATCAAAATCCAAGCCATCTTCAGAATCGCCCTCGTCGTCAAAGCCGAAGTCGCCGGCGCGTTTATGCGTCCGCGGCGGGGGAGATGGGCGGTCGGCTACCTTTTCCAGGAGTGACGCGGGGAGGAGTGTTGGGCCTTTGTTCTTTGACGTGGTGGTGAGTTGTTGGTCCGCGGGGGTTTCGTCGCCGTTGTCGGGGGTCTTCTCCTCGTCCTCCTTCTCTTCGACAGCGGGCTCGGGAACTGCCTCGACGGTCTTTGCAGGTGCTACTTTTCGTCGCTTTGCTGCCGATTTTTTCTGCTCTTTGAGGAGTGTTTCCCGCTGTTTCCGCTTCTGTCGGGCGGCCTTTTCCTGGCTGAGCGTCTGATCAGCGGGGCTTGTCTGCAAGCGCTGCAGAATTCCTTACACTTCGATCGCCTTTTTGGCATCTTCCTCCCTCTTTTTCGCCGCCTCTCGTCCCGAGCCCATGGTCACAGCCTCTGGCGCATCATCGTCGGAGTCGTCCTCATCCTCCGCTTCCTCGCTGTCTTCGTTTTCCGCCTCTTTTTCCTCATTGAGCGCTACACCGCCGCCCACTGTAATATCCTCCTCCTCGTCCTCGTCCTCGCTATCGAATCTCTTGTGGCCCTTCGGCTTTGCCTTTCCGGAGACTTTCCCGTCGCTTTTGGCGCAATTGGTTGCGGCAGCCGCAACAGGTTCGTTTGCCGTGCTCTGACGTTGCTTCTGCTGCCTCCGTGTGGTTGGAGCCATGTTTTCAAGGGCAGTGTTGGAGTAGGTTTCAGTTGTGATGTGTTGGTGGTGGCTGTTTTTTTTTAATAGAGAGAGCCGAAGTAGAGAGCTTTTTCTTTTAATTGCGACCCCCAGGGCCAAGACTTCACACATCCTTGCCACAATTCTTTGAACCTTCTGCTTAAGAGGAATTGATTAAGGTTCCTGCCCATGTATTTCGTCACTCACGGGCAGCATCCATACCAGTATCGTCCCGAGTAACAAGCCAACTCACGCTCTCAGACAAACACCTGGCAACTAATATCAACCCGTCGACAAAGTAAGGAAAATCCGAGAATCTCCAGCTTTCTCTCGCCTTCCCACAAATAATTCTCTCATCAATCGTTAGCACCTTCAGCTTCATCACAATGGCCCAGCCCCAACGCCAGCAACGCCAGCAACAGCAGCAACAGCAGCCGCAGCGCAACAGAAAATATGATCTCGTCGTTTTCGGAGCAACAGGTTACACGGGCAAGCTCACCAGCGAACAGGTCCTACAGGGCACGCCCTCGACTCTAAGATGGGCCATTGCCGGCCGCTCGCCTCAGAAGCTAGAGCTTCTAGCTCACGAATACAACCGTCTCTATCCTGACCGTGTTCCCGTTGGTGCGCTCGGTATTGGTTCTCGGGCACAGCATTGTCAGCTAAACATGTGGTAGAAATCTACATTGCCGACCTGAGCGAATTCTCTGTCGAGCGTCTTGCGTCGTGTACCCGTCTCCTCATCTCTACTGTCGGCCCATTCATCAAATACGGAACTCCGGTGCTGGAAGCTTGCGCGGTCTACGGAACCCACTATGTCGACTGTACCGGCGAGTACCCGTGGGTCTACGAGATGATCAAGAGGTGCCATAAGACCGCGAAGCGCAAGGGAGCGATCGTATGCACTTTCTTCCTCGCAAGGCTGTGGCCGGGCAGTTCTGATGATGTAGATTATCCCACAAGCTGGGTTCGAGTCGGCGCCTATAGATTGGGGCACCTATGCTCTAGTCAAAGCTGTGAGAGATGAGCTCGGTGTCGGCGTCACGGATGTTACTTTCTCGGTGCACAATTTGAAGTGAGTGCTCGTGTGTCCGATATCACACCCGCAACGGCTGACGGAATAATTTATAGGGGCCAGTTCAGCGGTGGAACTGTCGAGGTTCGATACATTCCTGCACTTCGCGTACTGGATCGACAATTTCAACTGACAGCTGTATGTAGACGGCAATGACGGTGTTCGAGCATGCCACCCTCCAGGAACTTCACGAAGCGTCGCAATTCGATGCCCTCTCGCCCATCAAGGGTCCCGAGCAGCCTTTCCGCTATCCCATCCGCAAAGATGAGGACCTTGGACTCTTGACGTCATGGATCAACAATTCCGGTGACAGATCGGTCGTGTTCCGCAGTTGGGGCTTGTTGGATGGCGGCAAGTACTATGGCGAGCAGTTTACGTGGAAGGAGTACATGAGGGTTACCAGCTACATAACAGCATTCATCTGGATGTTACTGATGAATGTGGCTGTCATCATTCCGCTCATCTCACCGCTGAGGTTGCTCCAACTATTCCTGGCAGGTGTAGATCCGTTCTGACAGAAACAGATGGCTTGTGAGGAAACTGTTCCATCCCGGTCAGGGCGAAGGCCCAAGTGAAGAGTAATGTGCACAAGTTTCCAGGTGTTGGAGCAATCGCTGACGAAAACTACAGAGCACGCCGCACTCACAGCGTTGAGTGGCGCGGTGTAGCCATCGCCGATGAGGATACGGATACGCCTCGCAAGGCATTCGTCCGAGTCCACAGCACGATAGACGCCTACACTCTGACCGCCGTGTGCCTGGTGCAAGCTGCCAACAGCATCCTGTTCAACAAAAACACCATGGCCGCCGAGATGGGAGGAGGTATTCTGACGCCCGCGTGTTTGGCATCTCCAGAACTTTTTAGGCTACTCGATCGTGCGGGACTCAAGATCGAGACGAAGATTATCTAGTCTAGGAGAAGTAGGCTGCGGAGTTTTTTAGAATCGAGTTGCTTGTTGCTTGTTATACATATCATAATCTGCTCTTTCTTTGTGCCAGTGCGTTCGATAGAACACGGATGGCCTCGTTTGCTGAGCCCACGGAATTCTGGAAGCTGCAATAGGGAAAGGTGGTGCCGTCAGTAGGGAGAGGTTGACACGTGCTCGGAATGGATGAATGAACGACTTACCCTGTACCGCCATGGCCATAGTGATGGCAGATGATCCTTTCCCGCCCGCCTACATTGACCGGCTCGATCTCGATACGAATCCCGCCTTTCCGGGCCGGCCGCCGGCCAATCTGCGATTGAATAACATCGAACTTTCCGTCCACCAGCAGCTCCGGTGCAAGCAGTTTACACCGCTCCAGAATCATCTCGGTCAAGTCTAGGTCGACATTGTCGCTCCTGTTTCCATCAGCGTCCGCGAAACGGGCACGAATCATCATGCCGTACATACCAATCATCCTTATCCTTCGAAACCCCCAGAATCGTCCCCTCCCCCGGCCTCCTGAGCACTGCATCCTGCCACCCACTCTTGGTCTTCCTGAACTTCACCGCCCGACACTCGCCCCGCACCAGCACCGTCTGTCCTTTAATAGGATACACCTTTTCGTCCCCCGCCAGGATCCTCGCGCCCATGCCCGTACAATTCACAACCACATCCACATCCGTCCCAAAACACTCCTCGAGTGAGGCTACCTCCCCCCTCACCGTCACCACGCCCAACTCTCTACACCTCTCCAGCAAGTAGTGCATATACCTTACCGGATTGATAGCAAAAGTAGTATACTGCACGCCGCAGCACACGCCGTCAGGGAGCTCCTGTGATTCCAGGACCCTAAAGTCCTTCACGTAGTGTTTCCACACGAGTGCTTTGAAGTCATCCACCGTCTCGTCCGTGTGCTCCTCCCAGTAATAATACGATGGGGTCAGCGCGAGTCCCGTTTCCGCCGCCGCGGGTGCGTGGGAGCACAGGGACAGCCAGGATTCGTACGTCTCCCGGTCGGCGCGCTGCACGAATGGGTCCGCGCTTTGGCTGCGCCAGTGCGCGCCCGCCCGCGGCGAGGTGTACGAGAGCGACCAGTCGCCAGGGAAGTGCGCGGCGATGAGAGTCACCTGTGGACGCTGCGAAGTGCGCAGGAGGTGCAGCGCCGTTTGCAGGCCGATTACGCCCGCGCTGCTGAGGTTAGCTGGGGTCTGTAACTACATGGAATGGGCGTGAGGGAGGTACCCGAGGACTACTATGTGATCCGGCATTGTGGTGAAGTTCCAGTGGGTTGGAATGGGAAGTGGGGGATATGGATGAGGACTTGTTTACAGGAATTTACTTGGACACCTGCAGGAAGGAGATCATGACGGGGATGGTGGAGGAGGCTGAAGGATGGTGGAGGAGGCTGAAGGATGGTGGAGGAGGCTGAAGGATGGTGGTGAATGCATGTGTGCAACTACTGTCAGTATACTAGTTACTTTATCCCTTCAACTATATTTCTTCCCCGATCCACACCTCATAGCCTGTACGAATAAAAAGCACAAGTACAATGTATTTGGAAACGCCGTTTCTTCGAAGGGATTAACGTTTCGAGTGAGTTTCCGTGCACCATTTTTGAGCCTCTCATCTCACGCGGTCGTCGCTTCTCTACTATCAAATACCTGGGTGAGCACTACTTTTATACTCCTCCATCCCACACCCTGCTCGAAACAAGCTTCCCCAATTAAACCCAACCAACCACCACCGCCGTCCAAAAAATAGCCCGTCTCCACGAACCCAAACGCGACACCCACACCACCCCCGCTTCCCAGGACAACCGGAAATACAGATGGACGACGGAGAAGCTGTGTATGTGCCCACGCGACTCGGAAACCGAAACGCGAGTACAAGCTAATGTGAAAGGCGAATGCAGAACAATCGCATCTGCAGTCGTAGTGCCCGAGCACGATGATGCTATGCCCTCCGGCTCCCCCGAGCGCTCGAAACGTCGATGGCCAGGGGGAGCAGCAGTAGAAGCCGAGGCACCAAAGCGACAGCGACTCTCGGACGCGGGAGTCGGCGGCGGCGAGGCGGGGGAGGGGGAGCCGGACACACGCGAGAACCGGAGACAAAAGCGGATGGAGGAGGAGAAGAAGCGGGGGAAGCGGCTGTTTGGCGCGCTGCTGGGCACGATCGGACAGTTCCAGAAGGAGACTACTACTAGAGGCGCGCGCGCGGCGCAGGTCAAGCGGAAGGAGGCCGAGGCGAAGCTGCAGGAGAAGATGAAGGCCCAGACGGAGGAGATCGATGAGCGCAGGAAGAGGGAGGATGATGTTGTCAACCTGAGGAGGAGGGTCGAGAGTAGGGACTTTGAGGAGCGGGCGGTAAGCTGTCCCTGAAGGTACCGGAACGGGCGAGGGGCCGGACGACTGACAGCTCGTAGATGCACATACGACATGCCAACCTACTGGCACAGGCGAACGTACTGGCTACAAGGACAACACCGAAGTTGGTATGTTTTCGACGGCCGGGGTTGTGTCACCGAGTGGGACTGACTTTCGAGTAGTTTTACCTTCCGTGGAAGCTATTACCGTCAGATGAGGAAGCCATCAGGTCGCAGATAGAAGCCGCAGAGGAGACCACCAGGACCCAGGAAGACGCCTTCCGAAAACTACGGGAGCAGGACGAGATAGACATGCAGGCGGCGGGAGGACTGGATACCGTCGCGGACAACCTTGATCCGACAATCGATCAACCGGATATCTCGATCCACACACCGCCGCCCCACGACGATATCGCTGAGGAGTTGCATGATGGAGAGTTGGGTGCGCAGACTGATGGACACGGCGAGAGCGCTGATAGAAATCCGGTGGCTACCCACGAAGAGAGGAGAGACTCCGACATCGGTGATCCGGTAGACATCACCGATGATGGTGGGGAAGACACCGTTATATATTAACGGAACTACGGGAAGACGGCGACAGGTGGAGAGTCGTACCGAGACATGATCTTACAAGAGACATCTCAGGACTGAATGTACATAGTATACCTAGTAGCACCATTGGTTCGTGGATCCGCTGCCAGATGCCACGAAGTCTCTGTTAGTAGAGGACAGGAGTTTGTACCTATTCCACAGAATATTTAATGAGTTGGATAAAACATGATACTGTCGGCCCCGTAGAACGAAATTCATCCTTCCCAATGCAAAGAAAACTTCCCGTCCCGATTTGACATGGCCCCCGCCGATCGCAACCCCGCGAGGGTATCACGAGCAAGGTGCGGCATCTCCAACTCTGGTGCCGAGGGCAAACATGCATGGGATATATAAACACTCGGCAAAGAGCCACCGGTTGAAGATTCCCCACAGCCTCACCTCATCTCATCTCATATTACCTTGCTTAGCTCGAGCTCAAGCTCGCCATGCCTTTTGAACCGATTCGTCCAAAGGACGACCCCCGTGTAACTCATGAGTTTGCTGTCCTGAATGGAAGGAAGTACCGTAAGCTCTCCCCCTCGCTCTTGCTGTGCTGATTGCACAATTGAGGAACCTCTGCAGATTACGTCCATGGGCTTCCCCAGCAACAGCCACCAAGGGCAACAATTCTATGCGTATGTCCTCCCGCATGAGATGTCAATCCGGGTTGACTGACCGATAACTTTAAAGATACATGGATTCCCAGACCTCTGGTGTACGTCCCCCACTCCATCCCAGAGCCCCAGCGCCTTATAGACTGATGTCTTCATCCACCAGACTCATGGCGTCACGTCATACCCGGCCTGCTGGCAATGGGCCTCCGAGTTATCGTGCCAGACATGATCGGCTACGGGCAGACGGTTCGTCGTCCCTCCCGCCGTATCTCAAGCCGTCACTAACGCCTTAGCAGGACATGCCAATCGTGACCTCCCCCGAATCCTACGCGGCATACAGCTGGAAGTCGTCCAGCGACGACATGGCGGCTTTGCTCGCCCACCTGTCCATCCCGCGCGTGATCCTTCTCGGCCACGACTGGGGCGGTGCGATCGTCTCGCGCATCTACCTACACCACCCCGACGTCGTCTCCTCGATCATTTCAGTGTGCACGGCGTACTACCCGCCCATGCGCGAGTACATGCCCATCGCCGCGGTCGCGCGGCACATTCCCAGCTTCACGTACCAGGTCGCCTTCTGCGATCCGCAGACCGAGCGGGACGTCAAGACTCCCGAGGATATCGGCCGGTTCCTTCGCGGGATCCACCGCGGCCTCGGAGATGGCTTCGACGGGAAGATCCAGGTCACCGCCGATTTCATGAAGGAGCTGGGAGATCAGCCGCGCGGGAAACTCATGACTGAGGAAGATTTGGCGTATTATGTCGAGCAGTACTCGAGGAATGGCATGCATGGACCGCGTGAGTACCCCCCGACACCCCCGACACCGATAGCCAGAAGCTAATGGAAAGAAAGTCAATTGGTATAAATGCCGCTACGAAAACTACCTGGATGAGAAGGATCTCGAGACGGCGACCATCGACGTTCCGTACCTCTACGTAGCGGCCACGCATGACATCGCCACGCCGCCGTCCATGGCTGCCCTGCAGAGCAAGTTCATACCGAACCTTACCGAGCGCTCGCTGAAGGCTAGCCATTGGATTCCCGAGGAGGCGCCGGAACAGCTGCTGGAGATACTGCAGGAGTGGTTGGGCCGCACGGGTTTTGGGTCCCATGCGGCTGTCGATGAGCCGAAGCTTTAAAAGAGTGGTAGTGGTAGTGGTGGCGTATGGAGAGGGAAAAGTAGTATTTGCACTTGTGGTGACAGTGGTAGTGGATGACTTGGCTGTTGTTTTGGAGCTTCCCACATTATGGAAGAGTCCAAAAGGATACTTGTCACTGGTTTCGTACACTCGGCCTCGTGATGTGCAAAAAGTGAATTTTAAATTCATTGTAAAGGCGTGTATTCAAGAGTAACAAAAAAGTACCCATATTTTATGGCCCAGAGTTTCGTGTAGAGATCCTCTGCAGCCATAGAAGATAGCTTCAACGCCAGCTAGCCAGTAATTCGAAAGCCCAGATTATATACAGAACACCAAGCAAGGAAGCCAACATAAGAGCAAACGCCAACGCAGCGCTGTATCGTGAAAGAGACTCAAACACGCCATGTAATGAGTGCGGGTGCAAAAAGAGGCGAAAAGAAGATTATGAAGTCATAGGCTGATCAACAGTTCCAATGTCCAATCCCAAATCAAGGGGTGGAAGTTCCGAGCCTTTCCTGGTGGCCCTCGCGCGGTCTTCACTCCACGCCCGTAGCTTGATGAGGCTACGAATCTTGGGTTCCTTCGCCATCCCTTGAGCCTCCATGATGGTCTCATTGACTTGTGCAGCTACGCGACGTCTCAGAGCCGGATCCATCAGCTCGGCCAACGGAGGAGCAAGGTTATCCTTGGGAAAACATAGCAGAGCCATCGTCCGCTCGAGGTCCTCCAAAAACGAAGCATTTCCGGGAGCCCTGGGTGCAAGATGGGTGGTTGCGAATTCAAGGGCAGGGGTGATGTCGCCATCGGGTGTGGAGGTGCACTTGCGGATCAACTCAATGAGCTGCAAGCGGAGGAGGGAAAAGTGGAGCGAAGGGTCTGTATCCAGTATCTAGTTCATGTCAGCTTTGATGTCTCAATCAAATATCGAGATCAAAAAAGGTAATGAGGGGTGTTGCTCATATTGAAGACTGAAGTTTCGGTTTACGTCTCATCACCGACCCGAAGGTCTGAGAGTGGTGCATGATAAACATTTAATCCTTGCAACGGGAGGGTATATGCGGGCAGAAATGCAGAGGGAATGAATAAGCGTAGGTTACTGACCTCAGGATGCAAACAGTTGATCCGCTCTATCGCCAACTGTATGTTGCCACAGTGGATGTCGTTCCGAATGTTTATCCTCTCGTCCATAGCCGGCATGTCAGCATGAGGCTGAATGCCAGCCTCTTTGGCGAAGTTCATGGCAGCCTTCTGATATCCTTCGTTGATGAGATAGTTCATGACCAGATGGTTCAGGTGACTAGTAATCGTTGTTAGCCAAGAAAGTTCAGGAATAAAACTGACAGCATCAACGAAGTGGATGGGAAATCCAGGTATCAGAGACAAGTTAACATATTCTCTAACATGGTAATTTCAGAGAGATTCCCAACTTGATTTATACTCATCCTGTAGGACGGTGGGTCGGGTGAAGTGCAAAAGGGATAGCCGAAAGAGAGCAAAGGAGTGGGATGAAGGCATACCTTTTGGAAACATTGACCTCGTCCACCCTCCGCTCAAAGTCAGAGGCATAAGCCTTCCGAGTTGAAGCAGCAGCACGAGAAGCCTGGGACCCATCCTCATCATCGTATCAGTGCGATGCTCGAGACATCGGTGCAAACACAAGGCTGAGAGGCACTCATGATCGCCCAAGGACAGCGAACTGACCATATTGGACAAACTCGACGATGATGTGACTGATAATGAGGGGGCGCGTATCCTCGTGAAGAGGAGCCGGCAAGAGGCGGGCGGGCGAGGTCAACCCGAGGAGAGAAACAAAAAGGAAGATTTGTTGAGGTGGGGGTGGGATGCGCTGGTTTATGTAGGAAGAGGGTTTGGCCGATTATAGGTAGTGCTGTGAAGAAGAGATCAAAGTTTGTCAACTAGCCCTTTCCCAGAGCTATCGGTGCCAAGCCCGCCCTCAAGTTTTAGCCGCCAACCCTAACCCTCAGTCACGGTGACCACCGGCTCGTGCTCACGCGACCGCCACGTCTCGGTACATCTGGTACTGAGGGACTCGGTGCTCGTCAGGTAACAGCATGCAGATACATGTACCCTCGTGGCCGCCTGCCGCATAACTCACCTTAACTATCACCCCTCCACAACTCGTGTCGTCGAGTACTTGTGCTTCTAGGCGCAAGTAGAAGTTCTCCAGAGCTTCCATATCCGTCACCGGCTTCCAGTCAGGAACAAGATGTCGCCTACGGCACCTGTACACTACAGTCCTCCATGGGCCAACACGCATGTGAGAAGCCGTGGTAGAATAAGCTCCGTATTTTTAGTTCATTGGCTGACTTTTCCTTGTAATAAAGATCATCGGCATCGCCGGCTCTAGTGGCTCTGGAAAGACATCTCTGGCAGTCAAGATTGTTGCAGCGCTCAACCTGCCGTGGGTTGTGATTTTATCTATGGTATTCCCCAGCAGGGACATATATTACTTGCATGTCGATCCATAATACCGCTGCTAAGCATCTGAACCTCTTTAAAGGATTCCTTCTATAAAACTTTGACGCCCGAACAATCGAAGCTGGCTTTTGCGAACGAATATGACTTCGATGCTCCTAGTTCCATAGACTTCGATATTTTGGTCGAGAAGTTACGGGATCTGAAGCAAGGGTTAGTTGCAGCTTCAAGAAGAGGGGAATTGCGTACTGTTGACTATGGCTGAACCCCGTTATCATATGCAGGAGGAAGGCGGAGATTCCGGTGTATTCCTTTGAGAAGCATCAGCGGCAGCCACAGACGACGACTATCTACTCGTGCCACGTATTGGTCCTTGAAGGCATATTTGCACTCTACGATCAACGGGTTTTGGATTTGCTAGATATGAAGGTCGGGACATTTTCCGGTATAAACGTTCCAAGGAGTATAAAGCTGAGGTGACGGTGCTCTAGATCTATGTCGACACTGATGCGGACGTCTGTCTGGCACGAAGGCGCAAGTGCCCGCCTGCCCATTTTGTTGGTATAATGCACTGACCGACACTTCGTAGTGGCCCGTGATATCAAGTACCGTGGGCGAGAGTGTGTTCCCTATCTCGAGGATAAAGCTCGGTCATGAGCTGACACCTTCCTCTAGACTGCAGGGCGCAATCAAGCAATGGATGACTTTCGTCAAGCCAAACTATGAGCTATATGTCGAGCCACAGCAGAGGAACGCCGGTCAGCAACTCGCCCATGGAAGCCTCCTTCTGAACTAACCTCGAGCAGATATAATGGTACCAAGAGGCATAGAGAACACCACCGCCATACGTTAGTGTCCAGGCTCGAACCTCACCCTCTACTAACAATAAGCCATAGAGATGATCGTACGCCACATCCAACGGGCTCTCCTCAAGAAATCTGACGAGCACATCGCCTCCCTCCGCAAACTGAACCAAGGCTTCGAGGCCGAGGAGCCCCTGGCACCCAATATCAAGGTTCTCAAGGAATCCAACCAGTTGACAGGAATGCACACCATCCTGCATAATCGGGACACACCGCGCGAAGAGTTTGTCTTCTATTTCGACCGCATTAGTACGTTATTGATTGAGCGGGCCATGGACCATCTCGACCATGACTGCAAGGAGGTGGAGACGCCGCAAGGGTTGATGTACAAGGGTTTCACGTTGCGGGGAGAGGTAAGCGGACCGTAAACCCCGAGCGAACTGACCGGTTGACATATATGAAGGTCAATGCTGTGGTGGTCTTACGATCTGGCGGCACCCTCGAAGTAGGTCTCAAGAGAGTGGTGCCTGACGCAAAGATTGGCAGGATACTGATCCAGTCGAACGCACGAACCGGTGAGCCAGAGCTACACTATCTCAAATTGCCTCCAACCCTACACCAGCACAGTGTCCTCGTGCTGGACCCACAGATTGCCTCGGGAGCTGCTGCTCTAATGACCATCACCGTTCTGAAGGATCATGGAGTGAAGGAAGAAAACATCGTTTTCGTGACGTACTTGGGTAGTGTTGCTGGCCTGAGAAGAATGTCCAAGGTCTTCCCCAAGGTCCGGATCGTTATTGGAAGGATCCAGGATGCGTTTGAGCAGCGGTGGATTGATGAGAGATACTTTGGATCATAGGTGACGAATGCATTGGTTCATACGACGTTCGTTACTGTTTATTCTATGGCTGGATACCAAATCCGAAGCTCGCATTTCGATGCCGGCAGGAAGAGGGCAGATACACATGTAAATGAGGAAATCAAGCATCCGCATATTGGGTTTATTATATACGTTCTACTAAATGGGTAACTTCTAGAGCCCCCCACAAGTAAAAGAAAAGACTGAGGTGATCTATTTAGTCCGGATGACCTTCAACTTCGACGGCGAGTGCACGAAGTTGGCAGCGTATGACTTCGACCTGAACTCTCTGACGTTGGGCTCCTGAACGAACCAATCATAGCCTACCCCATGTCAGCATATGCCATCCCACACTCGCCCATACGCATTGCATACCCTGCTTCTCAGCAAAGTGAATAGCATCCTCCTTGCTCTTGAAGAACATGTCAGTTGCATGCATAGCATCACCAGTCGACTGCCAGCCCATCAGAGGGTTCTCCCATCGGTGACCACGGGTGAGAACATCCCAATCCATCTTCCACTGCCTCCCTTTCCAGTTGCCGGACTGTGTGGCCGTCTTGGCAGGCTTGTAGATGCGGACTGTTCTGGACTGGAGCTCAACGGGGGCACCGGAGATGACGCTCGCGGCGAGGACATCGTCTGGACCGCGATCCTCCGGGAACGAGGGAATGGGCGAGTACGCGCTGTACCCCGCTCGCTGTCAGCAGCTGGTGGCGGTGCGTGAGGATCGTGTGAGGTGGGGGTGTTACCCGGTGGCAGAGTCGATGGGGGTCTGCGATGCGGCCCAGGGGACGGAGGCACCGGCGTTGGTCAACTCGCTAGGCTCGGCGTCAGCGGAGGGGGCGGCGGTCGTACGTCGCGGCGCGACATCTGTCGTGTTGTCGGTGCTGGTGGTCTTGTGCCGGATTGCGACGATGGGAGCTCGGACGATCGGCAGGCGAGCGGCGAGGAGAAACCTCGAGGATGTAGTGCGGAAGAGCGACATGATTCCTGTCCGCAGCAGTTGTCGTTGTTGTTGTGGTGGAGTGGAGAGGTTGTGGCAGCGGCGGGGGTTTAATGAACGTTTTGGTGAATTCAAGCTGCCTTGTGGTTGGCGGCTGTCGGGGTCAAGCAGGAAACGCCGCATGTGGCTTGTGAGCTCTGACTAACCGACTTTTTCCGGGAACCATCATCATCTTCGCTCCCATACGCCCGCTTGATCCGCCCGCCCTCCCACGTTATCGAAAACTCCACTCCACTCCTCCCGTCGACCAACTAAACTCGCCGCAATGTCCATCGTCTTCCGCCGTGGTATTTCCACCATCATCCCTCCCAAGGTCGCCTCGCCGAACGTATGTCTCCCCCGCCCCCCCCCCCTCCCCGCATGTATGTGGCTAACCAATGACCCGTAGGCCGTAAGCCATACCTCTCCCTAGCATATACACACCTCGCAGCGCTCAATTGACACGCTTTCTCCGTCCACAGATCGGGGCCGCCAAGGATGCCGCACGCATGAGCCGTGTCGTGGACTTCTACAGCAAGCTCCCCCGAGGTTCGTGATTCGTGATCCGGCGGCGCCACCTCCGCACCGCGAGCAGTCAACTGAGCGCAGTATGCATACAGGTCCCGCTCCGGCCATCAAGCCTTCCGGCCTCCTCGGACGTTACCAGGCCCGTTACTTCGGCGACAAGCCCAGCGCCATGCGTATGTCCCCCCCGCTCCGCGCACCCGGCCCGATATGTGATCGTAGATAAGGGCTAATCAGACTTGTTCACAGCGCTTATCCACCTGATCGGAGGTCTTATTGCGGTATGAACCGTTCCGCGCTCCTCCGGACACCCCTCAGTCCAGCGTACTGACAAAACCATCTCACAGATCGGATACGCTCAGCAATACTACTTCCACCTGCGTAAGTCCTTCTTCCCATCCTTCCCTCGGCTATATACGGAACTGACAGTGCTCGACAGGCCACCACAAGAACAACGCTCACTAAGCAGTCCCCCGGAACCGAAATTGTAGAATAGTTGGTCGGTGGAGTCGGTTCGATGAACAAATGATACAGATTAGATTTTGACAGACCCCCGAATCATCTAGTCCCGTTTCCTAGATCTCCCGAATACTTACCCATAAAACAAGAAAACCCCCCCGTCTACGGCAGACGAACAGCATCATTACACTATCCCAATCAAACATACACGCACGCACGTCCCAGCGTGTGTACTCAAGAAGAAATAGTAGAGTACAAATGAAAGAACAAAGGCACGAGAGTGTAAACAAAACCGCACCGTAGTACATAAGACCATAAAACAAAAAAGGAGGAAATAAACATAACATAACATAAAGTAAAAACGCCCCAAATACAACTCCCATCACCAATCAAGCTGTATTTAACCTTAAGCCGAGTAAATCAAATGGAAGGAGTATCGAATCCAAACGGTCATCCACAAAGCTACCTTTCTTTTCGCTCTCAGACGGAGAGTGAGGATGCGAAAAAGGGATCAAACAAATCCCCTTATACCCGCCAATCCCGACCCAGGCGAAAACCTAGATTTCTTCTTCGGCTTGGGTTCCTTCGCCGCTGGTGGTTGCTGCTCGTCCTCCTTTTGTTTCTTGCCAACATTTTGAACGCCTAGTTAGTAGGAGATTAGACCCGCCGTGCAACCAAATAAATCAGGTGTTGAAAACTCACCACCTCTACCCCTGACCCTCACTTCTGATCCAGGCTTGATCTTATCTCTCCTGGCCCGTTCCGATGAGGTGGTGGATTTGATGGTCCTCATACTCCGCGCATCATCAGAAATGGTTGTGCCGACCGATCCCGACCCGGAGCCCATTGTTGCGGTGGCGATGCTGTCGGGCATCGAAGGTTGACGTCTCAACTGGCGCTGCTGGTCAAAGTAATCCCCTCGTTGATGCATAGGCTCGGGACTCATTTGACCGCCGTGACTGGAGTATTTTGGAGGATGGCCTGCTCCTGGCGACATCGGACCACCTGAGGAGGCAGTCGGAGGCCGGTAATCTCGCATGCTACCGGAGTACTGAGCGTTGGAGGACTCGTTGAAGCTGGAATGCGGGCTCATGGAATCTTCCGAAGGTTGATACTGTCCTCCCTTGCGGTACGGGTCAATGCTGCGTCCACTGTGTTGCTGGGGATTGTTGCTCTCGCTATCCGAAATCATATCGGCGTATTGAGAGTGCATTATGGACTGCGGCGACATAGGGTTACGCATCGAGTCCATCTCTTGCTGTGCTTGCAACTCGATGTACTTGATCTCCAGCTCCGTGTACTTCTGAAGCAGATGGTTGTGAGCCTTCTTGAGACTAGACAATCGTGAGTTGGCTTGTGAAAGGGCGTTGTCGATCATTCCCTGGAACGCCTGGCCAGGTGGCGGCGGTAGAGGATTTGCCATTGAGCTGATGCGCGATTCTAATTCTGAAATCTTGCCTTCATAGGCCCGTCTGACCTTCTGAGTCTCTTGGTCCCTAGCCGCGAGCCTCACTTTCATGCGCTCCACCTGCTGCATGGCATTCTCCTCATTATGACGCTGCATCTCAAACTCTTGAGATTTCGCATCGTAATCAGTGAGCTTATTGCTGAGATGGTCAACAAATGTCCTAAGCTTGTTAACCTCTTCGATGTTGGCGTTCAAGCTCTGCAGCTTCTGGCGCGACCGCAAGCCCTCAGCCTCACTGTCTTCCAACAGTTTTCGCAGGTGATCCGCCTCTTCCCTGGCAGCCTCCAATGCTTTCTTTGTCGCCTCCTCGTCCTGTCTCCACGCTTTCTGCTCCTCGCGCAATGCTCGGATCTTGGCGCTCAGCTCCGCCTCCCACTTCTTCGCCTGGTTCTTACTCTTCAACGCCTCCTGTCGTGACGCAGCATACGCTTTCTTGGCTTCCTCCAGTTTCGCTTTGAGGGTTTTATTCGTGTTGATCAAGTTCTGAGTCTCCGCTTCGGCCGTGGACTCCTTTATGTGCTTTCGCTGGAGGTGGCCAATGTGCGAGAGGTGCTGTTGCTTGAGGTAACGCTCGAAGTTCAGATCGTTCTTAAGAAGCATGACTTCGCGTTGAAGATAGGCAATCGTTCCCTGTGTATCAGTGGGCGCGGGACGAAGAGCAGGCGACCTAGGCATGTTGCTGTGGTCCAACGACTGCATGTAGGCACCGAGACGTGGTGACGCCGTTGCGCTCCCTGGGTATCCTGGCGGAGGACCTGAAGGATGACGGGCGACCACCGGAGAGGGTGCAAGCTCCTCTGAGCGCTTGAGATCGTGAAAGCTCGCCTGCAACTGCTCCTGCAGATTGAGCATGTCCTGGATATGTGACTCATCCGTGGTACCGAAGGTGCTGGTCGGAATCGTCGGGCTGTCGGGCGCTTTGGGATCCCGTGAAGGGGGTGTCCTTGCAGTCGTATCTGTAGTTTCTCGTCGCTGGTGGAACAGTCCCATAACCCTATCATTATTGGCGGCCGACGATGCATTCTCTGGCCAGTCATTGTTGGCGTCGTCGCCATAGTTTGACGCGTATTCATCGCCCTGAGACAGGAGACTGTCGTTGGGAATATCTTCCGTCGGGATCAATGACTCTGGAATGCTGGACCTCGTGGAGCTCTTCTGTCTGGATCGCGAAGCACCGAATGAGACATTGTTATTGACCAGCCCGATACACTGCGCCGTAACATCCGCCGGTTCCACCCTCATCCATCGGCTCTGATCGCTCAGCTCCGTCTCCGCCGTCAAGGTTAAGAAGTTAGGATGGAGAGTGTGGCATTGTCGGTAAAGTTCTGTCCGTTGACGGATGGTTTCTTCTTCGATATCCAACTGGTCGATATCCTGGTAATTGACTCGCTCCAAGAACTTATACGGCTCTCGAATGAAATTGAGAAAGTTGATCGGGTACAGGCCGTACAGAAAACTGAAGTAGTCGCCAACATCAGGCGTCGTGGAAGTTGCGGTCTCGAAAGACGAATTCAGCTTTTGCCAGCCGTCACCATTAATACTCTCCTCGTGCCTCTCAACCGAGAGAGGTGTTCCAGTCCTCGAGTACGCGTCCATTCCGGGAAACCGATGCTCGTCCAAGCGGACAATGCCGAACTTATCCCAGCAGAGAACACGGGTGTACACGACGAACAATCTCGGAAGATAGGCACCAAGCGAGTTGCAGAGATGCGGCATGAACATGATCAAGACAGTCAGGGCCAGCGAGATAACCGTAGTCGAAGTGTCGTTCTCCAGGCACTGCAGAAGATGATCCAGCAACGGGGTCTGTAAGACTTGGTAGAGATGAGGGCCCTGAAGCCGGACATAACTACACAAGAGTCCCAGAATCTGAAGCCTCGACTCCTTCTGAATGATGAAGGCATCAACTTTCCCTAGGAACGCCTTCGGCTTTCGTTTCCCGTACGCCAGCAATAAAGCCTGCACATTGTCGGACACGAATCTGTGTTTCTGTTCCTCCCTGATTCCCGCTCCCCTGTCCGATGAAGCCGTCAATTTCGTCTTCTCCAAGAAGATTTCGAAAAGCTTGTCCGTGAAAACCGAAGATGCCTGCGCTTTTTGTCCCGTAGGATCATCGTCCTCGTCGTAGGCCAGCACGCTCAAGACTATTGCTCGTGCATCCGCCGCAATCGCTTTCGTCTGTCCCATTGAATCGAATGTGGGTTTTACTAATATATCCCACCATTTCGACAACTCATCCACCCCAAGAATAGCCGGCCGAAGAGCGCGGAAGCAGGCAAGGAAAACTCCGAGCTTCTCGGGAACTCCTTGCACTCTTGATGCGTGGATCGTCAGAAGTTCCTCGTGGAGCCGTGCTGAGTCGTGGCCATCGATGTCGACGTGCCGGTTGAGATAGGTTTGGATGACATTGAGCACGTCATCTGGCAGCGTATACGAAGGATGCGTCACCGACAGTGCTCCATTGAGCGTCTTGACAAGGTCTTTCAAAGATCTGTACACAGATATATTTTAGCGCCGGTCAGACCACAGGTAGTTGATGGCAATCCATACCCTCCCGACATTGTGTCTGTTGCTATCTGTGTTTTTTTTGATCCGGTTGGGGTTGGTGTTCCAAGACAAGCCGCTTGAAGCATACAGATGACGATATCTCGGGAATCTGGTACTAGCTATCTCTTCTTCCCTTTCTCATGCTACGATACCCCAGACGATCCCCAGACGAGGCTGCCGCTGCGCTGCGCTGATGTGGTATTAGCCGCTCGTTCGTTCGCTCTTGTCGAACCGTAGGCGGGAGTGCGCAGGCAATTGTAGGTGCAGGATCGCACGCCGTCAGCAGACGTTCCGATGACGAAATTCCGAGCGCGGTTGGATGCGGAAAGTGACGTTGTTGCAAGGCGGGGAAACCCAGGAGTTTAAATTCTCGTTTCAGAAGGCAAGACGGCTGAAACTTTTAATACGATGTAATGCGTAGGTCCTAGCTATGTACGAGTAGGCGAGTATGTAGATGGGGAAAGCGTGAGAGGCCGCGAGGTTTACGGAGAGAGGCAACCAGGTATCGGGCCGTGCCTTCGAACTCAAAAGAAAAACGTCGATCTACTCTAAAGTTAGCTTCCTGTCCCAATAGCTCCGAGGCGAATCGGCGCGGCTACTGACCGAAGAAGGGCAAAAGTCGCAGCAGGCACGGAAAGCTGCTGGTGCTGGGAAGGCGTGTGATTGACAACGCAGTGTGTCCGTCTGCCAGATTCCGGGACTGATTATTGCGATCGCGGGAGAGAGAAAGAGACCTTAGGTGGAAAAGAGGTCTAGAAGTATGGAGAGGTAACCCAGGTCTGGCGAACCGCGGAGCTGGCCTGGTGTGGGGGTGGGGGGGCAACTATCTAACGGAAGAAGCCCGATGCCGTGAATCGCCGGTTCAGAGCTGGGTCCCAACCAAGGACGTTTAACGTGGGGCGCCGAGATGCGTTGCTGCGGTGATGCGATGAGGTGGGGGGAGGGGATGATGAAAGGTGAAAGGAAAAGAAAAGAAACGACCGCAGTGGACAAAAGCAACCCACAGCCCCCCGACAAAACTCCTTTCTTCTGTGCTCCCCTCCCCATCTCACCTATCGCAATTGGTATTCTTCATATCTATCCGGAGAAGAGTTTCCTAGTTCGCAAGGCACCAATAAACCGATGCAGAAGCCCAGCAAGATGGGTCAAGGATGGCCATGGACCAGCTACCTACGCTTCCCTACCGATCCGCACCGTCATCCTAGTGAAGGGTTGCGCCTGTCCATCCATCGTCAGCCCCTCCATCAAAAGGAAAGCAACCGAGCAGTCAGGCAGCCGGCAATCACATTACTCGGAACAGGGGCGGGAGGGATGCTGCAGATATCTACATCTCACGAGTGTTGAGTTTGCTAGAGCTATGTACCCATACATACACATGCTTACACTGCCGGTAAGACACGGGTCACGACATGGGTATGTCCCAGGAATTAATCGCTCTAGGTGGACCGTGCGGACGCAAAGGAAGAGCTTCAAGACCCGATTTCACGCTAGCGTGATGGCTGCAACTGTAGATAATCCTAGAGACAAGACCTCAACTTTGAACGAAGGCCTAGAGAGGAATTGCATTGACGAGGAACTCCCGTCAACCACACCTGGTTACGCTGGACACGATGGAGTATCTACTCTATGTATGATACTCGCATGACGATGGCCACACTGCCGTTGTGCCACGGACCATCCAGCTGTTTCTCGGCCTCTTTCTCCTTCATGTGCATCATATTTCTCGTGTTCTCGCTCTCACTTTTGTCCGTCGGTCCGGACAAGGGGTTCAATAGATGGCGATGCTCTGGCGGACAAGCCACGGGATGTTCATAGGTGAATAAGTACCGTACTTACCAAGGTATCTACCTGCCTGTGCGCGGTGTGGACGAGCAGCATGAGCATGTTATCGCCGTTCAAGGTCTGGCGGACCTACCTACTCCACACCGGGGCAAAGCGCACTGGTGTGGGGGTGTCCGCAACTTCCCGTCCGGCTACCTTATCAGCAACTATCGATACCGAGTCCTGGGGTTCTCCCCCCCTCCCCTGAGGCACTACTGGAGTACTAGGAGCTGCCAATAAGTGGTGCCTCACCACCATTACGAATTATAAGCGCAGATAAGCTAGTCTATATTAGGAGCGCATTAAGCCAGATACATTGAAGTGAGTGAGTGGTGGTGACTAAGTTGTATGGGGGGAGAGACGCTAAGCTGTATGGGGGAAAAACTGGTGAGGCAGCACTTACCCTTACACCCGAGTACTGGTAGAACTACCCCTTTCGGTAAAGATTCAGAGCCAATCAACCGTGGGAGGGAGGTTTTGTCGACCACAGCCGCGACCTGCATTTATCTACTCATATAGCCGCATGGCGGGCTATCCTGAAATCGAAGTTCAGAGTGCTGTGACTCCGTCAACGAGAATTGCACGTGGTCAAGAGGCTTGGGAGATCACGATCGGCAACTTGGTGCCAAGGGGAGGTGTGTGTGTCTCCGCCTCATAGATATAAGGCAGCACTCAGCACTGTACTCTATGTCAACTGGTGTCGACGATGCCTGCCCTGTCACCATAACCCCCTATCAATCTAATGATCTCCAGAATGCGTCTCGCTTTAAGGCGTCACAGGCACGTAATTGCGTGGTTGATTGCCTCCATCAACGTGGCCGCAACCGGGAGGTATGATACACCGTCACCCATAGTTATGCCCTAGGAAGCGGCTAATTTTGCTTCCACATGGTCATGAAGTATTTGCAATCCTTCCTTTGGTTATGGGCATCCGTCGGTCCGCCGGTGCCTGACCGGAAGCCTTGGGAACAGTGCTCTAGTGGTCAGCGGTTGCTCACACCAGGGTAGAAACTCCCTGCCGATTCTCGGTTCGGGAGGTAGGTACTCCACCGGAGAGGTAGGTACCAGGAGCTGCCAATAAGTGGTGCCTCACCACCATTACGCATTTTAAGCAGTAGTCTATATTAGGAGCGCACTAAGTCAGATACAATGAAATGAGTGAGTGGCTGTGACTAAGTTGTATGGGGAAAAACGCTAAGCTGTATGGGGGCAAAACTGGTGAGGCAGCACTTACCCTTACACCCGAGTACATACCATTATTGCTGACAAGCGGCCCGTCCCCAACCTACACATTACCCGGATCCGGGATGGGGTCTGTATAATCCTCATGGCTGCGGCGTCTGCCCCCAACTCCAACCATGAAGTCAATATGTACCCCACTTGCATAAGTGGTTACTCTACTTTACCGTTGGGTATGCAACTGCAAACGGCCACCTCCAGGCAGCATCCAGTCGTCCTTGTGGGGGAACTGTGTTCCGGTCTTTTCTCCGGTTCTTTCCCGGGCCTATACTATACAATATACCTCTCCGACCTTGGAATCAGAGATGAAACGAGGGTTAACCTGTCACGAATCGCATGGATATGTGCCGCCTATACTTATGGACAGTATCTACATGTTGGCAGTGGATGGGTTGTGGCGCCGCGGTGTTATGGTTTCTCTCCTAAGCTTCACATACGTACTCACTTGGTTAACTCCTTAAAGGACGGGCAAGGTTGTGTCGGAACTCTTGGAGGCCCGACGTCAACGTAGGTAGAGTACGGTACCTACTGGCCTGATGCGGTCCGAATTGACCCTGGGATGGGGCAAAAGTGCACAGCCAGTAAGGTTTGTATGTCGGTCTGTATGTATGTCATATGAAAGCGCTTGGACTCGATGCTTTGCTCGTCTGCATTTATCCCGTGTTGTTTCTTCCTCGGGTTTCTCCTTTGCGTCTGCCTAGAGACATCGCCATCATCTGCTAGTAACCTCGAATGGTCGAATAGGGAAGTCAGTCTGTAGTTATAGTACCCAAGCAATCACAGCTCAGTGTGAGGCGCAATATGCGCCATCCGCGTATCCCAGAAATAATCAGCACTAACTAAGGTCCCGCCCTATGTGAAGTATTGTACATAGTAGGCCCACACAAGCCGAGACAAGCGGCCGTTGTGCTGTTGGACGGATCCGGTGAGACGAGCACTGGGGGGCAGTGGGGCTGGCACATCCCATCCGGAAGCAAGGATCCAGCCACGGCTTCCCTGGCGTAGGGCCTGGGACCCTGATCTGCCGTCACCTATTCTCCCGGGACGTTCTCGAAGGCTTACAGGCAGGATATGTTTCATCTGTAGGTGCAGTCCGTAGAAGACCCACCCACCCACCCACACTGGAGGCCGTATGTAGATATGTAAGTACATATGGTGGACTCGTCGGCATATATGTACCAAGTATGTGTGTATGACTTCCAAGGGGGCAGGTGTCTAATATCCGAGCGGGTATCTACGTACGATACTACCGGTACCGTATGTATGTAGAGTAGGTACTTTACGGAGATATCCGTGGGTACCATCATCGAGCGCAGGAAAACGGGTTGGTCTCCATGTGTCCGGAGAATGTTTACTATCCAACGTCCACCGCGAAGTTGTTTTGTTTCGCCAGCCGGACTTTCTTTTTGATGCCGAGGACTCCTAGCTCCAACGCATGCACGGAACCAAGGGTCGCCGTCCATACGTGGCCTGAAATCCACTCGCCTCGCCGTCCATTGAAGCGAGACTGGCTGTCCAGCTTTGCCGTCGTGGCGTCTCCGGGATTAATTAGACCGGTCCGTTGATTAGTTGCATTGGCGAGCACTCGATCCGTGATCAAGGATCCGAGGGAAACATTGTTCCGAATGGGGGGATGGGAGCTTTCTTTGGCCAGAGTCAGGAGCAGAACGAACTGTGGAGATGAGCGTGAGCCGAGGATCAACAGAGCTAGAGTAACCAGGTGTGCGGCATGCGCGCGAGTGCGAGTGCGAGCTGTGAAGAAGTGAATCCGCATGTGGCGAACGGCACCGGTTTCACTATGGCCCAGCGCCACAGACACTATGCCCGCAAGCCACGTTGTGCGGGACTCTAGAACACCATCGATCGGAAGTTTCATTGAGAAACAGGACACCCTGTACCAGGTACCTAGGGGTGGCCAATTGTCAGCTCCAATTCTTGGTCCGGCCGTTCCTGCAGACTCCTATCTTCTCTGGTGCCCCGTGCTCAGTCATGTTTGGCACGGGCCTTTGAATGCCGACGGATATTTCGACATCCGAAAATATTGCCGGCCCGTCTGCGTTGTAGTCAGTGATCCCCGGTGAGTGTTGTGGGAGATGGATGCGAGCGGGAGAGGGAAGGAGGGGGCGGTGGAGTTCAATGTTACCCGGGGGACACGTGCTACCCATTCCTCTCGCGTTTAGTGACTCGCGCCACCCCAGACCACACCAACCATCGACTCAAACGCTCAGAACCCATAATCTTCCACAATCACACGCCATCCATCACCTCTCTTCCAAACACCATTTAAAATCACATAATGAGTAGATAACCTCTTAAACACAGGGCTCCGTTCTTTTTCTAATCGTTGTTCAGGTTACGGCGGCGGCAATGATTACCAGTCCTACGGAGCCAGTGGAGGTGGATTTTACACAGGCTCTCAGGCCGGTGGAGGCAGCCAGACAACCCCGGGAAGTGAGGCAAAGGTACAGCTCATCCATGGACATACCAGTTGAGACAACCCATTGATACTGATTTCCACTCAGGGTCGAGGCTCGAATACGTTGCGTCCAGTCACCATCAAACAGATTCTCGAAGCTACCCAAGACCTAGCCGAATCGCCCCATAAGATCGACGGTATCGAGATAAGCCATGTTTGCCCCTCCTAACCTCTCTCTCACCCTGTGGTCGGTGGTATTGATAGCTACCTCAGATCACATTCATAGGACGCGTGCGGAGTGTTGCCGAGCAGACCACCAACATCACGTACGTGATAGACGACGGCACGGGCACGGTAGACGTGAAGCAATGGGTCGACGCGGAAGCTGCCGCAGAAAGCGGTGCTGCGCAGCAGATGAACGGGCAGTACGTGCGCATTCTCGGACAGCTCAAGTCGTTCGGCAATAAGAAGCATGTCGGCTCCCACAAAATTCACGCCGTCACTGACTTCAACGAAGTCGCATATCATCTCCTTGAGGCAACCCTTGTCCATCTACAGCTCACTCGGGGCCCGCCACCGGACCACACTGGTGGTGCGGCTACGTCCGCGTATGGTCAGCAGGCTAGAAGTGGCGGCGATGTTGTGATGGGCGGTACAGGCGGAGATGTGGGAGGACCTTCTCATAATTTACCGTCGGAAGCCTCCCGCGACGCCAGGCTTGTCTTCAATGCCATCAAGGCGGCGTCGGATTCTGCCGAGGGCATCCATTACAGCGTCATCAAGAACAAGAGCCAGCTGTCCATGGATGTCGTCAACAGTGCTGTGGAGGAGCTGTTAGGTTTGGGAGCCGTCTACACGACAATGGATGAGTTCCATGTGGCTGCGATGGAGTTTTAGGCTGTTTAACCTGGTGAGAGGAAGGTCTCATGAGATGATATACCTAATACATTAGCTCTTCATTCACATCCCCATTACTATGTAACTACTCCATAGTGACCCATTGAAATCATAGACTGTGTTGGGAGCGAGCAAAATAATAACAACACTGAGTGCAGTAACTTCGTCTCCCCAGCCTTTCGCCGGACCACGTAGATAATGGTATGCTTTTCGCAAGGGTCTACTGTATATCCCGAGCTGGACTACGTTACGACTTATCAGAAATAGGCAAGCCATGACGTATCTATGGGTATAGTTACTGCGTGATGCCGTATGAAGACGGCAGGGTCTACCAGGCAAGCTAATGAAATACGATCCAAACCTTTTCTGCGTATGTAACCTACTGTACCAAACCCGCACCCACTCAAATCCCACGAGTCCGCATCGCATCTCCCCACACGAAGAATGGCCATGCCAACGGGCCCTCTCTCGAGCAACTGGGAACTCCTCCGCAAGCGCCTCGACGCCGCCGCACCTCCGAAACGCAAACCCGCCGTCGTCGCCGCAGTCGAAAAGGAAGAGCCTGCAAAAAAGAAACTCAAGCGCCGGAGGTAAAGAACTCTTTTCCCCCTCCACCCCGACATATATACCCTCCCCCGCCCCCGCGCGCGCACGACAGTTACTGAGAGACAGTGCGCAACAGAGCGGATGACGGCGCGGACACCTCCGTAGCGAAAAAGTCGAGAGCGCACAAAGACGCCGCTGCACCGCGGAAACGCACGGTCAGCATGTCCGCATCCACCGCGGCGGACGAGAAGACGCCGGCTTCCGGTATATCGGCGTCGCTGGCGCTGTGGGCCGAGAACAACGACATTCCAGCCGAGGACCTGGCACGCGCGTATGGATTCCCGCTGAACACGACCAAGGTTGCGACGGCGGCGCCGGTCGATGGCGCGACGCTCGAGCCCGAGGAGGGAGGTGCCGCGAGTAAGACCGAGAGCGGACGGTATGTCGCCATGGATTGTGAGATGGTCGGTGTGGGCGAGGGAGAGCATGAGAGCTCTGCGCTGGCGAGAGTCTCGATCGTCAATTTCCATGGGCATTGTGTGCTCGATTGCTTTGTCAAGCCGAAGGAGAAGGTGACGGATTGGAGGACGTGGGTCAGTGGTGTTTCGCCGAAGGATATGGTTAATGGTTAGTCGCCTGGAGGAGGAGGAGGAGGAGGATGAGGAGGAGGGCGCTGACGACGACGACAGCTATAACGTTCGAGGAGGCGCAGAATAAGGTGGCGGATATACTCGATAGCCGGATACTCGTTGGTCATGCCATCAAAAACGATTTGGAGTGTTTACTCATTGGACACCCGAAACGGGATATCCGCGATACCAGTCGACACCCGGAGTTTCGCAAGTATAGTAAGGGACGGACGCCCGGACTGAAGAAGCTTGCCAAGGAGATTCTGGGGATCGAGATTCAGGGGGGGTCGCATTCCAGTGTTAGTACTCTTCTCGGGACAAGATATTTGGACATTGCTGACGATAGTTAGATTGAGGATGCGAGAGCATGTATGCTTCTGTACCGTCGGTTCAAGGAGGACTTTGAAAGGGAGCACCAGATTCACTTCCCGAATCAACCGAAGAAGTCAGGCGGCGGGAAGAAGAAGAAAAAGAAGAGCAAGAAATGAGTGGCGGTAGTGGTGGAGCATTCTGTATATACCATTTGAAGGCGCTCACCGGCCAACGTGAGGAATAATCAAGAACCGCCATAGCTGATGGACGTTCGTTCATGCGCATTGTCACTCGAATTTTGTCCCCCTTCGAGACCACACGTCCAGATATCAACAGTGACTGTCAACCCAATCAAGTGGGTGAGTTTATTGCTCTACGGAGGACAGCTGTCAGAGAGATCACCATCGCCGATAGACATTCATGATGCATACCATCATATTTTGTCACCTACAATGTGCATTACACACCACCACCCAACGGGTACTCCGCACTGGGGAGTGTTTACACACGGTGCAAGGGACGGTTGTATCGCGAAATTGCGTGATGAGTATTCTCTAAAAAAGGTCCCGATGTACCTACCGTGGGACTACAAAAAAAATGACCGTATGTAAAACAATTGCCCAGTAAAAAAACAAAATCCCCCATCCTCATGCAATGGCGCCGTAACGTGATCAATCATGAAAAAAAACAAATGTACAGAAAGAAAAAACACTCGCTCCGTCTAGTAGGTAGTCCATTACCTTCTCACTGCGCTGTGATGGCGGACGAAAATCCCATGATGGCCATCCCAATGAAGGCGAAGATGAAAGACAACCGCGAGCCGTGATGTAACCGGATCGCCTGCGAAAACAGTTGGAGGCCAACTGAACACATGATACCAGCTGCGGAGAGGATCAGTATTTTTGTTCAGTAGGTAGAGGTGCGGGGGTATTATTTACCAGTTACGGAGAACAGAATACCATAGACGGCGTAATTGATCTCAACGTCTCGCCCTCGAATGCTGAGCCATGCGAAGAGCGCTCCCATAGGTTGGGCAAGGCCACCCAACAAACTGGCCCAAACGACGGCTTTTGTGCGAGATCCTAATGCGAGGAACAACGGGAGGGACATAGCGAAGCCTTCGGCTATGTTGTGGATGAACAACGCAATGAACACGTTGAATCCAAGTGTCGGATTAGCATGGTTCGTGGCGTAGGTAATGAAACCCTGCACAGTACAAATTAGCAAGATGCTCGTGAAATGTCTGCGTGAGATTGGAGCATGCCTCGGGAAACTTGTGGAGGGCGATGGCGATTGATGTTTGAACGCCAATACTCAGGAACTTATTGTTTGGGACATGGTGATGTCCAGTTCCATGTTCATGGTCGTTATCATGGGAGTGCGCCGTGTGGTCATGTTCGGATACATTTGGGTGTATGTGCCCATCGTGCATGGGATGAATGTGCGAATGGGTACGCAAACCTTCAGTCGAGGATACACTCTCGGATACACTCTCGGAAGCCGCCTTCTTGCTCCGGTCTATACTACAGAACTGGTCGCAAGGGTGGTCGGAGTAACCGTAACACTTTCCGCTGGCGCAATGCTTTTTGAGGAACGACCGAGCATATCTAATGGTCGGACGGCGGTCTAGAAGCGGCGTCGTCTCTTCGTCGTCCGATAATTCCACTGTCGTGGTGGTCTCGGGAAGCACATCTCCAGTCTCCAGCCGGGAATCGTGTAGTCCACCGTGGGAGTGTTCTCCGCCCACACTACCATGGTCTTCACAAGTGACGATCGATGATGGCAAGCAACGGTGAAGCAGCTCAGACACGACCTGTAGCCCGAGAACCCCCGCCAGAAAGAACCCGACAACCGCGAACTGTGCCTTACTCGCTGAGTATTCGTATCGCGAAAAGTAGCTCCTCGCTTCTGGTAGTAGTGTGACTAACGCGCTGAAAAACTAGAATCGCAGCATCAGCCTATTTCCCTCGTCCACGAATACTCGTGCAAAGTTTTTTTCTTTGCATCGTACCATCACACCAAAGCTCAAGCTCAGCGATGCGGCGAGGAAGGTTGTGCTCTGGCGAATGTTGAACGAGCGCCATCTCGGGACGACATGCAGGATGATGTCAAGGTTGATAAAACAGGCACCGAAAACTGGAAGCAGGTACACAGATCAGTTTACCTATCTCACGATGCGTGGAGAATTTTTGAGGAGAACAGTACCACATGCCAGTCCGCTGGCCGAAGCCAGAATCCAGCCCCGCTGGTCGTTGGGGATCACCGTCATCGCGGCGACTGCAGGTTTCCACTGGAGAAGCAGCGACAGGGAAGCCTGGTTGAGAGATGAGGTCGGTCAAAGAAGCGTCGAAGGGACGCGGTCTTCTCGGTCGGGGGTTGGCGGGTATTTGGATGAGGAGAGGCAGAGAAAGAATCAGAGAATCTAGGTGAGGATGGAACTTCCTCTGCGTGTAAGCACAGCAGAAGGTGGTGGAGGAAGGCAAGTCGGGTCGCTGACGGTGGGCTGTGGGACGCGACGGCGAGCGGCGGACTCGAGTTGCATCGATTTGGGAGGATTGGCGACAGGGTTTCAGGATGAGCGTGGCGGATGTAGTTAACCAGCAAGGGACTCAGGTAAGCCAGCCGCAGTCAGCCGAGTTCCGGCCTTTTTATCGTACATACGAAGATAATGTGTGGGCAGAATTAAATGGAGACCACCGAGGAGTGGAGAGAATCTTGAGTGATCTTTGAAGGGTAAATCATATTTACTGACTCGAGCAATAACTGCGCAGAACGAGAACCACACCACCAGAAAACCAGCGGATGTAAACTCAGCGCACCTGTAAAACAAGTACCTACACTTGAAGTCAACCGCTCGAGCGGCTTTTCATGAACATCTACTGAAGGACACTTAAGTGTGGCTGTCCGGTCATATACATAGGCCATTGAAGCATTCGTCTCGGACATAGTTCGGAGTTTAAGAAGATCTTCTTAGTGGTATCCTCTCTGTGAATCCCTAGTAATGTATCTGTCGTTGCTATCTGGCCTTCCTTCCTTGGATTGAATTGCTGCAACTTGGCCGGCGAGGCTACATACAAGCTGTCAAGCTCCCATTCTCTTGACATCGTTCTTCTGTCTGCTTGGTCAGGCCGATCCGCCTACCCCTAATTTCGCCCCCTCTTCCATTTGCCTCGACTCTTTACTCCTCTTCTTTCCTACTGAATTTTTTTAATTTCTTTTTAAGCCGCTGCTCGCACGGCTCGCCGCTTTGTCCTCACCATATTTTACCTCCTTTTCTCTCTGCTTTGGGTTGGTCGACTGCTTCTGCCACAATCTGCCACCACCGACACAGCCTCACTCGTTGATATTTCGAGTCATATCTCATGTCGCTTAGTAACCAACAGAAGGGACGCATGCGTGTGGTTTTCACCACCAGATTTATATTGAGAGCCAGATCTGCTTTATTATGTAGATTCAGTGATTTGTCCAACATGGGCAATGTATCCGAGCAACACCATGTAGTATGTAGATATGAGATGTGAGTAAAGCGGTCCACCTGATTCCTACGTAGCTGGGATGGAATGGCCATGCCCCTGCATCCACCATGAGGCTCTAACCACCCAGACGGCATCATCCCGCCGTTCGCTTCCCCGGACACAACATCCCCCTCCCCCGCAATCTTCACCCTCCACCTCGAAAACATGTCGAAAACCACCCTCGGTCTGATCGCAGCTGCCAGCGCGGCCACCGGTGCCGCTTGCACCGCAATTTTCCTCTCCAGCAGAAAGCCCGCGCCTGCGCCCGCACAGCCCTCGCCCCCGGCAAACATTGCGGCTGGGTTGGCGCGTCAAAAGTTAGAACGACAGCCTTCTACCTTGGTAGACCCCGCCGGTCTGTTTCGATATGGTGTGTTTGTACCGCCGAATTTCTTCGACACTTTTCCGTCTCCATTCCTCCATAGTCACAGAACCGGTTTACTGATAGACGGTCCGTGTGGAATAGGCTTTCCCGGCCCGGTGAACGACCTCGCGACGCGACACGCCCTCATCTCCAGTTATGACCGGCGCACTCGGAACCCGCACTGGGTAAGATCTCGCCCAGCCCAAGCGCAGCGGGTTGGGATCGTCGTTGACTCTCGCGGAATCTAGGTAGTGGAGCACATCACCCCCGAATCACTAGCCACCAAGGGCGGAGACCGCAAGCACAGCCAGTTCCTCGAGGATGAGTCCGGTATACCTTACGCTTGCAGCACGCTGTGCCCGACTGTTGGTTGACGTGCGGTGATATGTAGTTCCGGAGATGTTCCGCGCAAAGCTGCACGACTACTTCCGCAGCGGCTACGACCGCGGCCACCAGGTTCCCGCCGCCGACTGCAAATTCAGCCAGGAGGCGATGGATGCCACCTTCTATCTGACGAACATGTGTCCGCAGGTCGGCGAAGGCTTCAACCGCGACTACTGGGCGCACTTTGAAGACTTCTGCCGCCGGCTGACGACAAAGTACCCGTCCGTCCGCATCGTCACCGGCCCGCTATACCTCCCCAAGCAGCACCCCGATGGAAAATGGCGCGTCTCCTACGAGGTCATCGGAAATCCCCCAAATATAGCCGTTCCAACACATTTCTACAAAGTCATTGTTGCCGAGGACGGTAGCACAAATGGTCCGGTGGCGGTTGGCGCATTCGTGTTGCCGAATGCTCGCATCACGAATAAGACCCCGCTCACCGAGTTTGTTGTTCCGCTCGAGATAGTGGAGCGTGCGAGTGGACTGGAATTCTTGAAGGCGCTTCCCAACGCCAGGATGAAGGAACTATGCCAGGAGATTCAATGCGACATCACCGTGCGAGAGTTCAACAACGCGAAGAAGGCTGCGAAGTTGTAGGTAGCAGACAAATGGACAGTATATGATAGTCAACCCAACATGCTTTAAGCATTTGAGTTCGGAGCGTGCATGTATTTCCCCATTGTTTTTTTCCACGTTGGACATGAGAACCGGATGAAGCGGTTGAGCTATTAGACTTTCCGCAGGTGGTCTCTCCTTCGGCTTTTATCGTCCGTCCGGATCTGGTGCATATTCAAGAGCTTGGGGTGTGAGATGATAACGATCCAGAAGTTTAATCATAGAAAAATGTACCCCAACTGAAAGGAATTCGTAAATGTATATGCAGTGACAGCACATGATTGCTGCAGCCAACCCAGTACATAGTAGGGCCCAGGGGGTATACGGGGGCAATATCGCGGTTCCTTGCCAGAATATTTTCGATTTGTTCGCCAATGGAGCGGGCGACGGGGGAAGGAATGCAACGTGCCGTGGCCGTGATGTCCCGGTGGACAAGTGAGGGTCTTACTGTATCAGGGCCTTCCGCATCTACTATATCTACCTGCGGGGGAGAGTCCCGTGAGCTGTCACAATCGAGAAGATTCAAGAGGGACCTACCTATCCACCCTGACGCAATCATGTCAGTTTCTTCGGAGGCCTCCCGAGTCCCTTTCCCCACAGCGATCATTTCGCCGAAAGCCCGGTAGTCCGGGACACCCGTTGTTCGGGAACCCAGCGATGCTGCGGCAGAACCAGACCGGGGGGAGGAGTTTTTTTTTCTCACTCGCATTATCCTCCGAATCCCGGTGCAGCTGGCTTTTGTTTTGTTTCATCATCATAGCATTCGACCTTAGCAGATCATGGCTATATACACACATCCGGTTCCACCTCACTGTCTCTGACTGCTGGCCGCGAGCTCGATGTGGGTTCCCTATTGCTCTCCGCCCGGCCCATCCGCGCATAAAAAGGAAAGACGGAAAGAAAGAACAAATGAGATGACAAAATGGAACGGAAAGGAAAAGCGTCAGTCTTTCTCAACACCCCACATCAAAGCTCCCTTTCCCAGCCAACTCCTCCAGCTAGTTTAACGCCTCATCTCTTCCCGCGTATGCCGGAATCTCCGGCCGGCTCGCCCGTACACTTTCCTCCGCTCTTGCTCTCACCGAGTCCCAGTCTATCACTCTGTCCGGGCCCGTGCGGCTGGCGGGAGTTCTTCACGGAGGTTGGTGGCGCTCTTAAACGTGCTCGAGTGATCGGAAGGGTTTGTCCTAAGTTTCCAACGGAGGCGAGGGGAGCGTAGTGACATGTCGGGATTCAAATTTCAGAGACGGCCGTGGGGCGGGGTGGAGAAGGTCGTGCTTGGTGGATGTGAAGGTGGAGGTGGAAATGATGACAATGTCGGAAATCGTCACGAATCACGATTAGCCGGCTGGAGGTGGAAATGAGTGGAGAGAGAGAGATATCTTCCTTTTTATTTCGCATGCAGCCTATCTAGACTATGGCGAAAAGGAGATAAGTGGATGTGGAGCGAATAAGAGTCCAGCACCCGGGCAGCGAGTGAGAGATGTGAAACTCATAAACCTGCCAACAGTTTGGCTGTTCAGCTAAGTGTTAGTAGCTTATCTTATACCAGCCAGACCGAGTAGTAGCGCCATGTACGGGCAAAGTGAATGGTGGGTGCAAGACCTCAGACAAGGTGAAAGCCGCGAACTGGTTATTCAGCAGTTGGTTTTGTGCAGTTCTGTTGGTTCAAGTTGAATGGCTGGTGCAGTTTTCTTTCGAAATCTCAGCCGGTTAGACAATTAAAATGCTTTGAACTGGTAATGGCCTCTGGTCCACCCAGACTCCCAGAGGGGGAAATCTGAAGTTGAAAGATGAGGGGCGATTCATCAATTATCACACTAGACAAACTCGACGGTGTCCTTGTCAAGCAGAAGTGCTGGCTTGCTGGAAAAGGTCTGGTTGGTACGGGAATTCAATGACAGTAAACCCGCCAGCGGAGAACCGGGGATAGGTGGAAGTCACATGAGTGATGAGAGGACTCGAAGAACGGGGATGGGCAAACGCGAGCGGTAAGAATAGATAAAAGGTTTGCTACGTAAACAATATCATCCATACAACTAATTGTTACTACTGAATTGTGTCATATTCACGATTATTCTCCGGTGAGAGAGTAAATGAAACAATATGGATCAAACTAGAGTGAGTGATGAGAGTCGCAAGATATATTCATAAAATATCACTCTATGAACGAAAACGTTTTGGTACCCATTAAAATTTCCCAGATTTTATTATGTTGATGTTGCTTTACGCCAGCTTCGCCTGCTCTTTCTTCTTGTAGGGAATGAATCTGGTCAGATTCATCAACGCTTCGTCAGCGCGTAAGCGGAGCTCGGGGAACCTCTTTCTATCGATCCTCTTAACCTGGGGACATGTTAGTATTGAAAGATAGGTGAGTACGAGTATTCCTTACCATAGTTCTGATCCCAGGAAGATCTGCTTCGAGGTGCTTCAGGAATTGCAACTCCACGAAGACTGGGCGATCGTACTGGTACTCGACATCGGCGTAGATATCAAAGATGGCGTTGAGCGCTTCGACAACAGCCGGCGCTGGAGTTAGTGGCGAGGCAGTGATCAGCCCCATAAGGAAGATTCCGACATCCTGCGTGGAGCCAATCCGTTAGTAAAGATACGCGCTGGTACTGCTGCGTCTGGGGCAAGGCTGCAAACCTTGTTCACATCGATTCGGTCCTGTGGCATCGCAAGACACCCTAGGATACCCACGCACTTTGTGCGCAACTCATCGGTGGTTGCAGCCTGGTATAGGCTGATGAACGACTTGTGCAGCACCCCACCCTGCAGGTCCAATACGCCTTCCGACGCCTTGGCGACGGCCCAGGCCACACCAGCAACTGCGTCCGCGAGAGCGATATCGGCAGTGTTTGCGGTCAGGACAGGAGCGATAACAACATTCCAGATAGTCTTGACATGGCTATGCCATTTTGATGATAGACGGGGACGTGAGGTTATAGCAGCGTCGAGCGTCCAGGCAATATTGTTTAACGCCGCTAGCGCACGGAGCTGGATCTTGGTGAGGGATGCGGGAAGAGAAGGCTTGCAGAGGAGGATTACGGCCGGCGTAGTCGACTCAAGCAGGTATTGCAGGATCTTGTCTGCGCCACTGTAGAGGTCTGAGCTGTCTTCCACCGTTGTCATGTCCATGTCTTCTCGCAAGTCCTCAATGTCATCGGCCATCTGCTCATCCTCGCCGTCTGATGGGGCGTTCTCATCGATAAACTCTGGCTCCGGGTTTGCGGCCGGTGGCACTGCGTCTTCGAGCTCATAGCCTACCGAGGTTGCAATCGATGCCACTACTTCGAGCGCGATTTCTGCGGCGCGGAGCCCCGCCACGTCGTCGGACGAAGCGCGTGAGGGGTCGTACGAGGTAACAACGTAGGAGGCAGTGTTTTTGATGTAGGAGGTGAGGTTGGGGAGTAATAGGGCATCGGTGAGGTCTGTCTCGAATTCCGTTGGTGCGAGTGAGAGATTGTGTAAGACAGCTAATGATTATCAGCAAACAGGTCCAGGCGTGGCCACGAGAGAATACGAACCGCATGCACACATCTGTACCATGGGAGAATTGTCGTCCTTGAGCTGGATCAATTGTGGGACATATTGAGATTGCTCTTCAATTATCTTTGACGTGAGAGGATCGTTGTCTTCGGTCAAGGAGCTCAAGCATTGGATCGCAATCGATCTGATTTCCTCCGGCACGCTGATTCCAGGCTTTAGGAGACCTAGAAGAATGGGAAGTATGTCGATCTTCGATATTGCGTCCAGAGCCTGCTCACTCTCCTCACTGGAGATATTTCAGCATCACCACATCATCACATCGCCGCATCGCCGCAACACCACATCACCGCAACACCACATCACCGCAACGCCGCAACACCACCATCAGCAAACAGAGCAGTTGGCGCTTTCCCTACTGACCTTAGGCATTTCAGAAGACCGATAACACTCTCCGTTAAGGACCATATATTCCGTGCCGTGTTTGCGTCCGCCTTCGAAGGATCCAGCGCGATAGGCTCTATACTCACAGCGAGCTGGTGCCATTAACTCATGTCTACATCCACACCAAAAAAGCGATGACGCAAACCTTTTCTAGAACTGCCTTTATTTTAGAGAGCACATCTTTCCTGTACATGTTTATACAATGATCGTAGCCCTCCTCCTTCGCAATAATATAGAGGGCGCGCCACGCCAGCACCACCACATCCTCTGAAGTGTCGTGCACCGAATCGTCCATGAGCTTCGCCACGATCCTCTCCTTCAGTAGTAAGAACCGACACGTGTCATCTCCGAGTAGTTCGGTGCATGCTCTTGACAGAGCAGCTGCGCGGTCAGCCGCGCTGGCAGAGCCCAGACTTTTGATGATGGGGAGGATTGTGGATTTGTGGAGTGCATCAGTTTGCGGAGTCGCTGGAGGTGCCGGTTTCTTTGGCCGAGCGCCGGTGGGGTCGCTGGCCTTGCGAGCGTCAGGTTTTCTGGGCTTTTTTGTTGCTTTCCCCATGGCTGCGGATTCGTTTTCGAAGAGACTGCGGGGGAGGAGGAGGGGGATTGGTGGAAGCGGGCTCTGAACTTTTTTTTTTGTTGGTTGTATCACCTGAGACCAGCGCTCCAAAACTGCAAAGGAAAAATTTCCCCTGCCGCCAAGAGGTTACACAGGCACGTGTACGGAAAAGAGCTTGTACGCGAGAATGCGAAACTACGCGTCTCCCCAACAAGCTCCCGTTCGCGTTCACTATCGCCCACGAATCACACCTCACGCCTCACGACACTGCACTAAAATGGCTACTCCACAACGAATCAAGGTGAGCCGTGTTGGTTCTGCACCGTCCGGCGCATGTAGCTGACATTGCGCGGCCAGGCTCTGGACCAAAATGTCGTCAACAAAATTGCCGCTGGCGAGATCATCGTAGCTCCCGTCAATGCGCTCAAGGAGCTGATCGAGAATTCGGTGGATGCTGGATCCACATCGATCGAAATCGTCGTCAAAGATGGAGGCTTGAAGCTACTTCAGATCACGGACAACGGCTCAGGGATAAATGTTGCTGCCCCGTTTTATGTCTCCTATGGGATGACCTTGCTAAGCTCTCTCGTGTTCAGCGTGACGACCTACCAATCCTTTGCGAGCGGTTCACGACATCAAAGCTCAAGGCCTTCGAGGATCTCACGTCGATAGGGACGTATGGGTTTCGCGGCGAGGCGCTGGCCAGCATCAGTATGATTGCACATCTGACAGTCACCACGAAGACAAAGGACTCGAACACTGCATGGAAGTAAGGAACCCCAAACGTCATACTCGTATATTTGGTATTGAAGCGAGCACAGAGCCGTATACGCCGATGGAAAGCTTGCACCCCCGAAGCCTGGACAGAGTGCAGATCCCAAACCTTGTGCTGGTAGGCAGGGAACGCAAATTACAGTACGGACAATCCACCCATTACGTCGACTCCGCCTAGTTCTAACAGTGGAGACATTCAGGTTCAGGATCTGTTTTACAATACTCCCAGTAGACGGCGAGCGTTCCGGAGTACGTCGGATGAATACCTCAAGATCCTGGATGTTGTTGGTCGCTACGCGGTTCACTGTGAAGGAGTGGCTTTCTCGTGTAGGAAGGTATTTTGGCCTGCCGTTGGTATACGCTTGTAGGGCATTGCGCTGATGGGGCCTGTCTGTACAGCAAGGCGATGGCGGCGTTGGCCTGTCCACCACGTCCACTGCCAACGTCGTGGAACGTATCCGGCGTATTCACGGGAGCGCAGTCGCCAACGAAGTCGTCGAATTCTCAGTATCGAACAAGGCGCTGGGATTTAAGGCGAAAGGGATGCTGAGCAATGCCAATTACCACGTCAAGAAAACCACGTTGCTGCTCTTCATCAACGGTAGCCTTCACTCCCTACCGACATCTAACCCTTGCTAACGGACTCAGGTCGCTCGGTCGAGTCGTCGGCCATCAAGAAGGCGATCGACGCGACGTATTTGACGTTCCTTCCCAAGGGCGGGCACCCCTTCGTTTACCTCTCCATTGAGATCGAGCCCGACCGCGTCGATGTGAACGTACACCCCACAAAGCGCGAGGTGAACTTCCTTCACGAAGACGAGATCATAGAAAAGATCGCCGAAGCGATACAAGAGCAGCTCGCAGCAGTCGACACATCGAGGTCGTACACCTTGACGCAGACCGTGCTACCTGGGACACAGCCACAGTCTGTTGTAGCCTCGCGCGTTGGCCAGGGACGACAGCAAAAAGATGCGAACCCAAGCTTCAAGCCGCCTACGACCAAAAAGACCTATGAGAACAATACTGTGCGGGTTGACCACCGCGATCAGAAGATCACATCGATGCTGCTGCCCGCCGTCCGCGACCCCGGCGGTGTCGGAGGAGGCGCAGAAACAACCGAGTACGAGTATGACGACGGACGAGAGTGGGAGGAAGTTACCTATTCCACCGTTAAGACCCTACGGAAAGCAGTTCGCGAATCCGCACACAGCGGCCTTGCTGAGTTGTTTCTCGGCCACATCTATGTGGGGCTGGTGGACGCGCACAAAAGGCTCGCCGCAGTACAACACGGTGTCAAGCTCTACCTTGTCGACTATGCGGCCGTGTGTTACGAGATGTTCTATCAGATTGGCCTGTCGGATTTCCGCAACTTCGGGCAGATACGTTTCAACCCACCACTGTCGCTGCGCGAACTTCTCCAGATTGCTGCGGACGAGGAGCAGGAGTCGAGAAACGCCCAGACCGGCGGAGCGACACCGGCGGGGAGGCCTAGTAAGCCGGGCCGCAGCGATGACGGCGGAGAAGACGGTGGGGGAAGCAGAGATGACGATGATGTCGTGATGGGTGACAGTGACACACCGTTGGATCTGCACAGCAACAGCCACGACGAAGGATTTAATTGGGAAGGTGCCACTCAGGTATGAGCCACCCTCAGCCGCAGCCGCAGCAGTCCTCTCCATGCAGCCAGCCCGCGCAAGCCCGCATCCCCCCAGTGCCTACCCTATTAAATTGTTTATTGGAAATCAAAAACATCCTTGCACGCGCGTGGGCGATGTGTGGTGTGGTGATATCGTGGGACGGCTTTTGTTTGGCTGCGAGGGTTCAAGGCAGCAAAGCACATCGTTGACTCTGCATGGTGCATACAGATCGTCGAGAATACCCTCAGGAAGCACAGAGTAATGCTTCGCGATTACTTTTCGCTCGAAATCAACGATGACGGCGAGCTGGTAAGCCTGCCACTGCTCCTCAAGGGATACATGCCCTCTCTCGGAAAACTTCCGGCCTTCTTACTCCGACTGGGTCCCAACGTGAGTAATCTTTCTTTCTTTATTTTTACTTTTTTATTCCCGCCTTATTTTTAAGCTTCTTCTGGAATTTTTTGACGTTGCATTGTTCTTTGCATTGTTCTTTGCATGGCTTCGCTTGTAGGAGGCGGCAAGCCGGCGCCGGGCGCGGCGCTACGATCGTGCGTCTGGTGTTTCTGTTTCGACGGCGTCATCGTGCATGACATGCCGGCCGTCTCCACCATTCGCCGCGTTCTCGGTGTTTCCAGCTCGCGCTCGTCTCGTCTCTTGCAGGGCCCTCGTGCCATGCGAGAAACACATGGCAGCGAAACGCGGGCCGAAGAAGAAACGACACCTTCCCCTTGCCACTTGCCTCTCTCTTACCTAACTCCACATGACACACGCGTTCTCTGCTCTCCCGCCTCCCCCAATGTCCCCGGGCAAGGGTTCGGAGAAGGGGGGAAAAAGCAAAACGCCGCCGTCGCCGTGTTCGCACTTTTTTTTGTCTCGGTCGCTGTGAACGCCGCGGTCTACAAGCTACGCCCTACATTCCACGATTTTTTTTCTCTGCATTTATGTATGTCTCGGAAACGTCAGACGAAAAGGCATCTACCGAGACATGTTTCAATGCATCCGTTCCGCTAGTCATGCCGTTTTTTTCTCCTTTGCTTTTCCCTCATCGCTGTTCCGTCCGTTGTCTTGTTTCTGACACATGCATCTACGATATGTAGGTGGTATGGAACTCCGAAATGGAATGTTTCCAGACGTTTCTGCGGGAGCTAGCGCTATTCTACGTTCCCGAACCCATCCTCCCAAACTCCGAAGAAAAGGAAAAGGAGTTGGCCGTGATCCTCGAAACCGTCATCTTCCGGGCGTTCCGGAAGCGGCTCGTACCGACGACTGAGCTCTTGGCCGGCAACACGGTAACGGAGATTGCGAATCTGAAGGGGCTGTATCGGATCTTTGAACGGTCCTGCTAGCTGCTATGTGCGGTATGTAGAGTGTGCCCTGTAGCTGCCTAGATTGTTTTCGGGAAGGGATGGGATGCGGTGGGAAGGGGATGGGAATGGGACCGACGGCCCGAGGTCGATGTGGAATAAGCAAAAAGCTATGTACCGACCTACCGACCTACCGACCTTATACCTAGCAAGCTAGCTATCTTTTGTTTTTCTTTCTCTCATGTCAGCCCCAAGTTCCAAGTTCCAACATCCTGACTCCTGACGCGAACGGACGGCAAGTGAAGTGAGGTGAGGTGAAGTGAAGTGAAGCAACGCAAAGTAGAAGTAACGCACGGAGCCCAGTCAGCCGCATCCGTCTGCTTGGAAAAGTTGGGAGGGATCTGGTTAGGGAGTTCATCCCCCCATGGAAAAAAAACCCTCCTCCCCACCCCCTGCCACCGATGAACCAGCCATCCAGCCATCCATCCAGCTCCGTCCCGTCCCCGGCAAAATGCGCATTCGCTGCGACGCTGCGATACTGCTGCAAACAGCTTAACTTCCGGTCGAAACATCAAATATTGGACGAACAGTGCAGTCAGTGCTGTGCAGCGCAGCAGTGCAGCAGTGCATAAGGGCATACACGCATGCATGCATATGATTGTGAACGAACGCGCGCCCAACTACCCCCACCCTCCCCGATGTGATGCATGGCCCCCTTCCTCCCTTCCTGCCTCCCTCTCTCCCTCCCTCCTACCGTCCGATGCATACCCCCCGGGGGCCGGAGCAGACAGGACCCACAGGGCGGTAGTTATGTAGGCACTTGGCTGGGTGCATGGGATGGGATGGATGACTCCTCCTCCTCCGTTCACTCCGTTCGCTCCTTCGCTCCTTCTGCCTGCCGCTCTCAGGGCTAAACGAGGTTTCCCAGGGCCAGGTATGCATGGGGATGCATGCAGGCAAAACTCTGAAACGCGTGCAATCCTGGAACTCGGGAATGGAAGGCAAGGAAAGAAGCAGAAGAAAAAAAAGAACAGAACACGAAACAAAGTTGCCCAGTACCATCACAGTTCGGTTGGTTTGGTGAGAAATTTTTTGTTACTTGCAATGTGTTTGATACCTCTTGCTAGCTAGTACCCTATGTATGTACCGGCAGATACCAATCTTCCCCTTCCCCTTCCCCTGACCAAGGCTGAAGGAGGCCCACCCCCCAAATCCCATCCCATCCCATCCCTCCCCATGCCATACCCGGCCTCCACATTATTCCTCCTCCGCATTGTTTCCTTCCTCCGCTCTTTCCCCTTGCCTGGCCCCCAACCGAATATCCCATCCGTCTCCCATCCCAAAATCCCTATCCTCCATCCAATCCCGGTTCTATATTACAGTACAGCAAGTATTGTACCCACAAATTAAAAGATGTAGTAAGGGAGAAGACCCCCAAAAAACACCTCCCATATCATCCTGCCTTTCCGTCGAGACCAGTCTCTAAGGAAGAGGTAGGGAGAATGGGGGTGAGATGACAAGAAAAGGAAATAAACCAAAAAACATTCGCCTGTGAAAAGAGCTGTCTCCAAAAACCGACCGAGAGGTATCTATGATGTAAAAGAGAAAGGAAAAAAATGAAAAACTGTATCCCCGATGTCTAGTAGCCCAAGCACGAATAAAGGAAATCCCAAGGAAATAAAGAAATTCTAAGTCGAAACGCCTGATATCCGGAAAAAAGGAAAAGGAAAGAAAACACCGTGTTGTCCCCGTTGTATGATATTATGTACTCGCCGAATCCGAACCGACGGATCGACCAGGAGGGTGGGAGAAGCTGTATGTTCTGCCGCGCGGATCTATTAATGTACAATCCCTCCGCTGAGAGTGGTGTGTGGTCGTAAGAAACGTGAAATCGAAAACTTTTTTGAAGGAGACGAGGCTGAGGAGCCGTATTAGGTGGATGTGAATTATGAGGAGCCGAGTTTCCGTCCGGCTGTCGACATTCTTCGTCCGGTCTTCTCGTTGTAGACCATCGGGGGTCGGATCATGATGTCGAGGGGAACGGGCTTCTCGGAACCGGGACCGAGCTCGACACGGCTGTGCTTGATGAATCCGAAGCGTTGGTACATCGGAACGTTGCGAATATGACTGCTCTCGAGGTAGCAAGGAGCTCCACCCTCGGCGTCGATCTATTGCAGAGTGTTAGTATTTTTTCTTTTCTCTTTTTAATGGCGATGCCTGCGAGTAGGCAGGGGTAGGGGGAAACAAATGCTGGTTACGGTACCTTATTCGTCACGTGCTCGACGAGCTTTCTAGCGTATCCTCGACCCCTGGCGGAAGGTGTAACACCAATGTAGACAAGGTACCTGCGCAGAATTTTCGTTAGAATCTTCTCTTGCAGGAGATGAAAAAGCCACATCCAGTCACAAGAGTCATGGCGACAATAATGTGAGATGATGGGAGAAGGGGCGGAGGGAAACCAACCAGGCATCGTTATCTGCTTCACCCAATGCGTTGACCCTGGAAACAAAAAAGACACAATGTCAGCCAACGGAACTTGTCATGTTGTGCAACCACCACGCCTCGCGTCCGGAGATCCGGCCGCAACGGTAGAGTAATTATTTTTGGCACGGCATGAATCATGACGGCTATCGAAGGGAATGAAGGGAATGAAGGGGGGGGGGGAGCACAGTGGGTAGTGGTGGGTAGCGGTGGATAAACTGGAGGTAGGGCTGCTACTTACTTGGTCTGATGCAACACTTCCATGAACTCGCCGAAGTACCGCTTCTTGCCTTCGGCGGTCAATTTGAACCACAGCCTCCACATGCCGGTGCGAGCGATCGTGAACCAATCATCCATATTTTTTCCGGGAGGCATCCTGCATTCATCACAAGAGAGAGTTAGTCACAAGGATTCGATCTCAGCTGGTTCCGCTCGCTCGCGCAATCAATCAATCTATCTCTTTCCCAACTCTTACCGGGATACGACCTCAACCGGTAGAAGAAGAGGCAGAAAGCGGCAGAGAGGGTTGGAGATAGAGAGTGCGCGCGAGCGAGATGAATGGATAGTGGCCGGTAGGGCAAGCAACAACGTACCACAAAGCAACGCCCTCGTGATTCTCGCCAATGCTCAGTACCAAGCCATTGTGGATATGCGCGCAAACGATGTACTCCAGGATCTCCAAATGCAAGGGCCACAGCTGTTCCCGGGTCTTGCCGCCGTTATCTGGTACGTCGAGAAAGTAGAAGGCGACGTCGTCATCGTAGAAAGCTTCGGCGAGTGATCGGGCACACGCTTTGTAGTCCTCCATGCCGCATACTCGGACTTTGTCGCTGTGATGCGAGAGTTTTTCCGAGAAGATTGTTGTCGTCCAGGAGATGGCGCTTGTCCGCGTCATGGTAGCCATGTGGGAGGTTGGAAAGGTTGAAGGGGTGGATTGAGTGGTTGAGTAGGATCGAGAGGGAGAGTGTATATTATATGTATACTGATATATATAAGTTTACTTGGGTACTCAGGTGTGTATAAGTATTGATGGAGCTTCAAGTGAGGAGGAGCTAGCCTATGGTAGCGGGCAGCAAGGTAGAGGTGGAGGGGGTGGGGAGGGAGATGTTTTTGGGGAGGGAGGGGAAGCTTTGTGAGTATGAGGGAGAGGCAGAAACAAGGAGGAGGAGGAAGCTCCTCTATTTAATAAGTAAGTGGGAGTTTTGTTTTTTGGGGGCCGTCGGAGAGAAGGCTAGCGTGTGCAGGAGTGCAGGAGTGCAGGAGAAGTGCGTGTAGGGGTAGTTTTGGGGGGGAGGGGGGTGTGGTGGGATATGGGATGTGGTGGATGTGGTGGGTGGTATGGAACCAGTGCTTGGGGAAGCTAGCGAGCATGGGGGGAGGGGCAGGGGAGGTGGAGGAGGGACGGGGATGGTGGGAGTGAGTCGGGAAGGGAGCAACGTCGGGGGGTATTCAATAAAGCAATAGGGTGGAACGTCGGGGGGTGTTGTTGAATGAACAAAGCGAGAGAGCGGCGAGACATGACTAGAGGCGTGCTGGGGTACGGTAGCACACTTTCTCAGTCCTAGGTTCGAGCACACTCTCGCTCACCAACAACGAGCCTGAGGGCCGCCCGGCCAGCCAGCCAGAAGCCGCGGCCAGAAAGGTAGGGACGCCGAAGTGGAGGCCGGGCAACGGGGGAGGGGTGGTGGAGGGGGCTTGGTGGATGATGGATGAGTGGATGGGTGGATGAGAAGGTTGTCGTTGCTTGCTTGCTGGTCGCTTACTCCGTGCGCGTAGTGCGTGCTGCGTAGATGTGCGTGGTTGAGATCAATCGGTGCTCAGTGGCCGTGGCCGGACCCGCCGGAAAAGCAGAAAGAAAGAAAAGAAAGCGAAAGAGAGAGAAAAAAAAGCACAACCAACGGGCCTGGTCCGGCGCATTGGTTGCTGGAGCAGAGCATAGTTGCCGCACGGGAAGACACGGCTAGCAGTAGGAGTGGAGGGAGGGAGGGAACCGACCGCGCGCGCAATCGGTTACATACGAGGAACAACCTCCCCCCACCCACCCCATCAAAGCGACGGGAAAAGAAAGAAGTCGCACAATTCCTCACGATTGCAAAAGGCTCCCTCGACGACGACGACGACCGACCGGCCGCGGTGATTCGTCGCTCGGATTCCGGACGCTCAATCACTGGTCCACCGCCGCCGCCGCCGCCGACGACGACGCCGACGCTGCTGCTGCCCTGCGCTGCCCTGCGCTGTGAGTACGACGCGCTAGCAAGCTACCCAACTCTTTGATACTCTACTCTGCTTTACTACTCTAGCAGGCCAGTCGTGGCCTGGCAGACAAGCAAGCAAGCAGGCTGGCAGGCTGGCAGGCATGAAGCATCGATCAAGAAAAAACCCGCCCACTCACCCTCGTACTCCATACAGCAATAACACTGCTCTACCACCTAGTACTCTAGCAACCAACCCTCCGCGCGCCGCCGCCGCCGGCGGTCTCGGACCTCTCCAGGCAGACGGAAAGCATGGCTAGGCGTACAGATCGATCCTAGAGTCATGTATGTAGATTACCCTTGAGCTACCTACCGTACTACCACTCTAGTATGGGCACTATACTACTACGGCGGCCCAACAGCTCGGGGCGGCGTCAGATTCAGATTCGATATGTGAGTTATGCCACTAACTACTAATGCTTAGCTCAAAGCCACAATCTCAGTTACATGGGATGTGGTGAAGGTGGTGGTGATGGGCGTAAGTGTGGTGAAGGTGGTCGTGGTGGTGGTGGTCGTCGTTAGTTGGATAGTTGGGTACACATTTATTCACTCTAGTTGGTTGGTGGTTGCAACTAGTGGTGGGTGGTGGTGTGGTTGATAGCTGTGGGCGCCTGAGGATGTCGGTTTGGTGATGGTGATCATGATGAGGATGGATGGGTGGTCAAAGGTATCGAGAAGTATCTACGGACATGCCTCTCGGGCACCAATCGATTCCTCACCCAGCAAACGAATGCCTAATGACGCAGGTTACGCACGTCGCAGCCAGTCAATCCCGATGACCACCGCAGAGGAAAGAAAGAAAAGAAAAGAAAGTAGCCATCGGTCACACGACAAGACGAGTTCGTATCCATCTCAGGGCGGCGCAGTATCTTTGTAGCTATCAGTGCACGCCGGAGCTATGTTATAGTACGGTATGCATGGTAGAGAGTGCATTGGAGCTCGTGGAGGAGCTCTCAGCTCTCAGCTCTCAGCTCTGTCCACCCACCAATCCATCCACTGGGTCAATCGGTTCGCCATACGTCGCGTCACACACCGAATGGGAAGCCACCCATGGCCCTATAACGCGCGCTGCCTTGCTTTCCCGCCGGGATCGGCCCTGGAGGGGATGAAGGGATGAAGGGGGGGTGAGGGCCCGAGGGACCGAAGCGCGAGGATGCTAGCGACGGAGGTGTTGTCGATAGGAGAAACGTTGGGATATAGGAAACAAGGAGCGCAAACTAACTAGGGAGGTAAGTAAGTTCTGTAGGTAAAGTAGGCAATCCAACTGGAGTTAGGGATGCGTTGCTGTTGTGCGTAAGTACTCAGGCAGGTACGGGACTCGCGTTCTTCTCCTGGACCCCCAAACTCGTAACCCAACCGCCAAGGGGATGGGAGGGGGTGGGTGGGTTCCCGTTCATCGGAGTCGGCGCTCGTTGGTGCAGCACAAGGATCGTTTCAGCCATGCCAAACCAGGCGGGAGCAATCATCACTTTTGCCTTCTGCTTCTCCTTGCCTGCCTGCCTGCTTTCTTGCCATCGCTCGAGCCTCTTGACCCCTACTTCCGGGACCTCGATTAGCCAACAGAAACAGCCCCGATCGCGGCGAAAAAGGGCTGACACTCCACAGTGGAGCGGTACCCACCGTACGGTACACCCGTGAGTGTGCGTGTGCGTGTGGTAACTACCGGGGGACCATCATTGCTATTCTAGAGTCTAGAGTCTGGAGTCTAGAGTCCATCGTGGTTATACTCTCCGAGCATGAGAATAGCAACGGATACGGTGTGATTATTGATACACAGGGTCCCAGCCGCGTCCCGACGGGCAGACATCCGTATGGTCTCGGTGGAACATTAGCGGAGCCACCACAGTGTCGGAGGTCGGTGCCCGTCCCACAAGGCCGGCGTGCGGGCGAGGTTGGCGGAGCGGCGGAGCGGCGTGACGATCGGCCGTCATTGTCACCAACAGCGTCATCCACTCGCACATCATCTCATACGTGCGTCCCTGACCGCACATCGGCAGAGAAGGCGGCTGTTTGGCTGGTTGGTTACCTGGTTGGCTGTCTGACTGGTTGGTTGTCTGACTGGTTGGTTGTTTGGCTGTTTGGTTGTTTGGCTGTCCGCCCTTCTGGCTGATCACCACCCCCCCTTCGTTTCTGCTTCTTGTTCTTCCGGTTCGCTTGGAACGAGGGAGGGCGCGTTCCGTCGTTCCAGTCGACTTCCCGACTAGCCGCCTGTTAGTTTCTGCCCACTTTCTGACTCCCTCCCTCCCTCCCTCCCTTCCCACTCCACCACTCCACCAGCTCCACCGGCGGTTTCCCATTGCTGCCCTGGCTCTGACCGACTAGAGCAGAGTGGTTAGAGCTGTGGCTGGCTGAAAGTGCCGTGCTTTGGGCACCCGGTGCTTCGGACACAATCCCTGCCTGCTCAGCCAGAGCTGCCACAACTGTGGGAACCACAGAATCGCAGGTTAGTTAGTTACTAGTACTAGCACCTGTTAGTTAGTGATACTCATACATGACCAACGGCCGCCACGCTAATCGGTGCCCTAAACTCTCGCCAACAAGCCCGAAACGGGCCCAATCAACTTCCCATCGACACGGTTGTGTTGGAGGAGAGCCCCATCCCCGGTCGACTCGGTCTGGCTTGCGGAGATTGCTGTTTATCATATCGCTTTGCCATCTAGCCAGAACGGGGTGGGGTGGGATGGGGGTGGGAGTGGGATGTCTGGGGTCAGTCGCCATCCATCTCCTATCTTGCCCCCCAGGGGAACAAAAAAAAGAAAGGACGAAAGAAAAGACGGGATGGAAGAAGCACTGGAGCAAAGCGAGCAAAACGGGGCAGAAAATAGAAAGAGCGGGATAAAGGAAACCCCACAGGTTTAAAAAAAGAAAAAGAAAAAGAAAGAAAGGAAAACCAGGCGTGGGATTGATATTCTCTGCACCAGCTGTCACTGAGCTGGCACAAAGAAAATAGCAGGAAAGAAAAAAAGAAAAGCGAAAAAGGCAAAAAGGCAAAAAGAAAAAAGGAAAAAGGGAGTAATGTTCCGTTGATACGGTAGATAAGACGTACATTTTTACATTCCCGAACACGGCGGGCGGGCTGTGGGCGGGCTGTTGACGGGGTGGGGGTGAATGTATGCGTTGTGTGAGTGTGTGTGAGTGTGTGTGATACGGGACGGCAACATGGCACAAGGCCCGCAGCCTTACACCTAACAGACGCAAGTTCCCGAGAAAAGGGCGCGAGGCGGCAAGCCGTTGGGGCCCCGGGACCCCCGGGAGTGTGTGACAGTGTGTGTTCCTCGGCGAATGTTCCGTGCAGCCAGCCGCAACCAGCCTCCTGCACCTTACTTACCCAGCCACAACCCAGGCAGCACGCATACGAGCGGAAGGGCGACAGCAACCCAACACTCCAACATCCAACATCCAACACCCCAACACCAATACACCAACACATAATACACCAATACACCAATACACCAATACATACTACACCAATACAGTACACCCAAACCAGGCGGAGGTATCCATGATGGACGGCCGCCGTCGCTGTCACCGTCGCACTCGCACTCGGACGTGGCCGGTCAACAGTTAACAGTGAACATGGAATCGAGGCGCAATCACCGCTCCAACGCTGCACGGCAGGTCAGTCATTCGGTCAGTCATTCGGTCAGCCATTCGGTCAGAATCGAGTACATACATACATGCATACACACCTAGTTGGACGTCTGAGTGGATGGGTGGATGATTGGGCGAGTGATTCATCATCGGCATGAACAGGCATCTCTGTGCCTCGGAAGGCTCCAATCGGGTTGATTGTTGAACAGCAGTCAGGGCGGCTATGCGTCAGGGTATGGACCGGGAACTCGAGAGTCGAGTTTCGACGGCTCGGACGAAGCCTTGGCCCCCGTCCCCGCCCTCTCCCTCGAATATCCAATTATTATTCAACACGGTGGCTGTTGCGCCGCAGCAGTCGACGTCGTGCAACTCTCGACATGTGCAGGCAGGCCAACTCGGAACGGAAGCTGTCACGATCGATCAGCATTGCCGCACAACCACCAGCACCACCGCCGCCCGCCGCGGGCCTGCCAACATCAGCCAGCTACTACTACTACTAACCAAGCGCTACATAACTAACTACTCTATAGTAGTCAGCCAGCTAGTCAGCCAGCCAGTCAGCCAGCCAGCCAGTCGAGGCCTTGCTCGGACGTGCCGTCCCATGTTGCCCATCATGTCGCGTCGCTTTGTCGGACGGCGGAAGTACACAAGTACATGTGTACATACATGACATGTGCACTGCACTGCACTGCACTCTGCGTGCCGGTATCCCAAGCACACGAGCGATATCTGCTGCAAGACTGCAACCGGCCGCCAACCAGCGCCGCTAAATATGGATACGGATCAGCGCTGGGAAAGCCAGCTCTTGCCGTCAGACTCGGGAGCGTGGTGATGATGATGATGAAGCTGATGACTTTCGGGTCCCACTCGAGGGTGGCATGTGGATGGAGCGACCATTCTAAAGTACATGTATCTACTTGGTTACGTGCCCAAATAACCATGTACTCTCATGTACTTGGTTATATATACAAGTAACCACGTACTCACATGTACCCACCTACTTAATGTAGGTACAAAGTACCCAAGCACTCCGACTCGGGTAGGCGATAGATTGCGAGCCGGATCATCCAGCTCCACTGTCCAGATTCCACAATCCAGATATGCCTCCCCCAGCCCTTGCCTCTAGAGTACTCCACCTTGCGCCTGCATCGACCCTCGCCCACACACAGGCACACCTTCCGTTCGTTCGTCTGTCTGTCTCTTCTAGCCTGGCTTCCAGAAGCAAGCCCCGCAAAAATAACCCGCCTACATCGAGTACTCAATTATTACTCGCACCATTGCTCTCAACAGGTTGCATATGACATGTCGAATTGTCAAAAAAAATATCGAGTATACACATGTCACACGAGCCGCACAAACAGATCGGCGAGCCATTGAGAATTTGGGATGCCGTTGTGTTTCACGCCTTCGCTCCTCCGTCGTCATAGGTGCTCAATCCCGGCCTGCCGCCCTCGCGCCGGAACATTTCAAGGGTCATACCGATGTACATGTCGATCGCGACATCCGAAACGACACTGCCCTTCTCCCACCCCCTCGCTCCGGAGAAGCACCTCATGCGGAACATTTCGTCGCCTTCCTTTCTTCCCGTGGCCATCCCCCCTTCCCCCATCTCCGGTCCCTCACATCACATCACTTCACACATCACTCATCACACATCACACATCACACATCACACATCACTCATGCACACACGTAGTTACCGCGCTCCGAACCATCACTTTCGACGCGCGCACATGGGCAGGCAGGCATCTCTTTCGCCTTCGCATCCAATTCGAGATCCCCACGAGTCACGACGTTCATCAGCAGGCACAGGCACAGGCCCAGCAGGAATGCATCCTCTGCTTGCTGTTTTTTCTTCTTCTTCTCTTCTTCTACTTTCTGCTGCGATTGAGGATCATGCGTTAGAGTGCATTGCAGGAGCGGCGGCGGCGGCCAGGCAAGGCACATATGTTGGGTTGTGGGTATGTACGGTAGGTACTCTATGTACCTCCATGTACTCTATCTGCTCAAAGTCCTCATGGTACTCCCCTCATCGTCATCATAGTTCAATGCCAGCCAGTCCTGGTCAGCTGCAGCCCTCCTGCACATGCCCCGGGACGAACTGGAGAGGAAGGAGAAGGAGAAGAAGAAGATGCCGAAGAAGCAGAAGAAGAAAGCAAGAAAAGAAGAAGAGCGAAGCTTCATTCCTTCCTTCGTTCCTCCCTTCGTTCCTCCCTTCGTTCCTCCTTCCCCCGTTCCCCCTTCCTACTCGACCGTTGCGACGCTGGACACCCTTACCCTTGCAAGCCCCGCCATGCTCGAGGTACTCTACATATCCACCTATGTACAGCAGCAGCAGAGAACTGGACGTCGCGATTGATCTTGGTATCTAGAGTGCATTTCGCTGGGTACATACATGCATGGCTCCGGCAGCAATGGTCGTCGATGCAGCAATACATAGCAGTAACTAGGAGCTCCAGCAGCAGCAGAAGCAACAGCTCGCAGTAGTCGTGCCGATAGGAGGAAGGTCTTACCGCGGTCGCCGCGGCTGCCAATTCGTACATACGTTCGTCCGTTCGTTCGTCATCCACCATGCGCGGCAGGCAGGCACCATCCACACACACAGAGAACAGCAGCAGCAGCACACAGTCAATCAATCGTCGGATGGAATGATTGATCGGTGGCGTTGGATGCGAGAAACCCTCATGGCCATCAATCCATCCATCCATCCATCCATCCATCCATCGCATCGCAAACCGGTATCATACTATCATATCGTATGTACGGTACATGGCACACGCATACGCTCATCCAGGTCGTTCGCGCGCTCGCTCTCGAGCCCCGTCGAACCATCTGGCTGTCTGTCTGTCCGCCCGTCAGTCAGTCAAGTCCGTCCGTCTCTGTGGCGGTCTGTCGTGTAGCGCATGGTGGCTTCTTCACTCAACCCCAGTCGAGTACAGAAGCACATATGTACGGTACATGATGTACGGTATGCGTTCGATCGGCCGTTCCGTTCCAGGTAAACGTTTGCAGCGGACGTCGGACATATGTGCCTACATGTGGGATGAGGCGTCTGTAGAGTATGTATACTCCGGGAGTGAGGTGGGGTGCTCACTGCTCGATGCAGGCGAATGCTCCGTCAGCGCGCCTGGGGGGAGGGGGGGGGGGGGCGCCGACTGTCTCTGTCTCGTTTCAGGGTTGCATACACTTTCGGCGTTTCTTCTTTACTTTGACGCCCGGCGTGTTTATAGTGTTTCCTTCCCTTCTAGAAGACTGCCGTTTCTCGCCACTTGCCGCACCCCATACATAGAGTACTAGGTTGGTGGAGTACTCTACTTTGTTAGAGTACCGTAAGTCGCTTCCAGCGCGGAAATTACTTTGTTTTTTCTTCAGATCGCTGCGCCGAGGATCTTTTCTTGTTTTGTTTTTCTTTTTGTTGTTTTGTTTTTTCTCGGGACCCCCCGACCCCGACCCCGCCTGCGCGCGACCGTCCTCGACTCGAACTTCTCCACCGCATCGACTCGACTCGAACATTTTTCCCCACGGGACCACCACCGCATCGACTCGACGAGCACGAGGGGAGCACGAGCACGCACGCACGTATTCATCGGACGAGCACCAGCACCAGCTCACACTTAAAAAAGAAATAAAAGAAAATAAACTTCCACCCAAAGAGGCGATGTCATCACCCAAGGTAGCAAGAAACCCACGGAAAAAAAGAAATATACAACTGCACGCGCCATCCGTAACGGAATGCCGATGAGTGTTCGGGAAACCCCAATCCCCAAAGCCCCAATACCCCAGTCCGTTCCAGAACGAAATCCTTCCTCCAGCGCCCCAGCGCGTTCTCCCCCCCTCCAAAAGCCAATACATCCAGATCCAACCCCACCGACCGTCCGACCGACCGAGAGCGCCGTGCATGAACATACATACATAAACATGCTTGAATGCATTGCATGAAGGCTTGCTGCAACTAATGCCGAACCACGTCTACGTATCGTAGGGTAGGTAGAGTACGGTGCCCTCACTGCAACTGCAACGCAACAGCAACAGCTCCCCTCCTGCAGCCTCATGGCATTGGCCTTCCGTTTCGCTTCTGGAAGCCCAGCGCGCGATAACTGGATTCTGGAATACTGGAATACATACACACGGTGATGTGATGTGATGTGATGTGATGTGATGTGATGTGATGTATGTCTCTCTGTATGTAGGTGAAGAGTGGAGAGCGGAGAGCGGAGAGTGGGGAGTGGAGAGTGGAGAGCGGAGTATGCATACATACACACCTATACATATACTTATAAGTTATGCTTGCTGTGGTATACATATACACACTGTGGTATACATACATATACACGCATTCCGCCATGGCCCGCCGTATGGTCCGCATGGTCCGTATGGCCCGCATGGTCCGTATGGCCCGTATGTACATATCATACATCTCCCACTCCGTCTCAGGATTCGATTTCAATCTGATTCGGTCCGGTCCGGAGCGGGCGGGGCGGGAGAGGGGCTGGGACTGGGGGGTAGGTACCGTATCTGATAGCGGGGGAGGCGGAGGCGGGGGAGGGGCAGGATGCTTGAGTCAGACTATGCGTGATACGGGAGCGACTCGCTGGCAATGGACATTGGATTCTCACTCGTGCATGCTCGTCGCTCGCATTATCGTCGTACATACATACGGTAGAGTGCCAGAGTACTCCAGGCTCCAGGCTCCAGGCTCCAGCAAGTGTCCACTGCCCTCTGCCCATCGCCCACTGCCCACCGCCCACTGCCCACCGCCCACCGCCCAGAAAGTCAAACTACTCCGGCTAGCGCTGCACAGCAGCAGCAGCAGCAGTAGCATCAGTAGCAGCAGCAGCATCAGTAGCAGCAGTGGCTGCTATCGTGGCGCGCCGAGTGGCCCGGTACTTACACGCATGTATGTCTTTCTTTCTTTTTTTTTTTTTTTTTTTTTTTTTTTTTTGGGGGGGGGGGGGGGGGGGGCGGGAGAGATATCTCCCCTCCCTCCGTATGTATGATATCTTCCCACCGCATGATACCTCCCCTCCCTCCATTGCTCCATTGCTCCTCTCGCTTGTCCGGTCCCGTCAGGCCAGCCCTGCTCGGCTCAGCCCAGCTTGTCCTCAATCCGTTCCGACACTTTTTTTTTTCCCCTTCTTTTTTTCCTTCGCTGTGGAGCGGAGGAGGGAGGGGTGTGGAGGGGAAGAGTGGAGGGGATACAGTACGGTATGCGCGAGGGAGGGATCTAGACAGCTGTTGTCTTCTTCGATTTTTTTTTGATTTTTTTTTGGTGGGCCATCTCGTTGTGGGCATCGAGAAAGAGCAGGCTGCGTATGTACTGCGTGCTGCAGTGCTGCAGGTTGCACTCTACGGTACCTAGGGTGGAGCAGAGTACTATCTGTAGAGTAGGGACCTTCGATGAAGTGCGTTCAATGTACTCTACATCTACATTCTTGTTACCTACACATACATCCACACACACACATGCACACACACATACATGAACGAAGGGATTGACTGACTGGGAGAAGTCCGCAAAGTAAGTACGGTACACTAACTACGGTACTCTACGACACAACACGACGACGTCGGCGTCCCATTGGCGGCTAACGACCGGGTTAGCCCACTAGCCCTCTAGCCCACTAGCCCACTAGCCCACTAGCCCACTAGCCCACTAACTAGCCAGAGACATACATCATCAGCATCAGCATCAGCAGCAGCAGCAGCATCAGCATCATCACCACCGACGACACCGACGACACCGACGACGACGACGAAGAAGAACCCGCACGCACGCATGGTAAGTTGTAACCAACCCCCCCTCCAGGACTCGGAATGCGGGGAGCCGTAGTTAGCACCGGTAGCTACATACATACATACAGCGCCTGAAGACTTACTTAGGCACATACATACATGGTTGGGTGGTTAGCGGAGACTCATTCACTCACTCACTTCCTCACCGCTCGCGCTCACCTCCCCTCCTGCCCTCCCCATCCAACGCCCAAAGCCTGGCAGGCTCCCCCGATCGTATGTACCACTGCAAAGCCGCCAGCTATCGACGCTGGCGATCCCGATACTGGGTTGGCCTAGGTAGCTACCTAGCTGTCTACCTAGCTGTCTAGCCAGAGGAGCGCGATAATCCCGTATCTCTCCGGATCCGCTCCCGTCTTACTGTACAGTACAGTACATGCACAGGTGGGACCGAACGACCGACCGACGGGGTGGATGGGTGGGTGGGAGTGGAATGGAATGAATGGAAGGAACAGTATCAATTGTCTGGACGGACATATCACAGCTGGGACTACATAGAACTAGGACGAGGACTAGAACTAGAACTAGAACCGTGATCGCCTGCCACCCTCCCCGACACCCCCGACCCCCCGACCCCCCGTCACCCCCGGTAGCCACGGCCAGCAACCGCCAGCGAACAGACAGCAGATCGCAGCAGCAGCAGCAGTAGCAGTAGCAGCAGCAGCAGGCGCAGGGCAGGGCAGGCTGTGCTAGCTTCCCTCGTCTTCCCTCGTCCCTCCTCCCACCTGCTACCGCAACCTGCCTGCCAACCTGCCAACCTGCCACCTGCCACCTGCTATAGGCCACCGCAAACCTGCCTGCCTACCTGGCTGCCGCCGCCTGCCACAACAACCTGCTACCTACTACCTGCTTCCTGCTTCCCGGCCCTAGGGCAGTTAGTTAGTTAGCACCTCACCTATGCAAGCAGCAAGCAGTAGTGAACAAGTGTCCACGTTCGCGCCCCCCTCCCCCCCCCCCCGGAAAGACTGCTGCCACGCAGCGTGCGGATCATGCCCGCCATCAAGGCGTGGCACCTTGCTTGACTTCAGCTGCATTTGCCTCCCGGACTCCTAGACCAGGTTCCCAGGCTCACGGAGAGCTCTGAGCTGGCTGGATGGCTGGCTGGCTGGATGGGAGGGGCAACTGCCTGGGCTGGTTGTGGTTTGTGGTTTGTGGTTTGTGGTTTGTGGTTTGTGGTTTGTGGTTTGTGGTTTGTGGTTTGTGGTTTGTGGTTTGTGGTTTGTGGTTTGTGGTTTGTGGTTATGGTTTGTGGTTTGTGGTTTGTGGTTTGTGGTTTGTGGTTTGTGGTTATGGTTTGAGTTTGAGTTTGAGTTTGAGTTTGAGTTCGAGGGTGGATCGCAAGATCTACCGCGGCGAGGTTCCGCGGGCGTGGCGGGCGTGGCGGGCGTGGCGGGCGTGGCGGGCGTGGCCTGCCAGGCCTGGTGCTCGATCATATCACCACGATCATCACGATTTCAAACCGCGGATTCAGTGGATTCAGTGGGTTCAATGGGCTCAGTAGGTTTCTGGCATGACATCTGTTGCATTGAGTGAGTTGAGTGAGGGAAATCGAAGTATTGCCCCACTGCACCGTCCGGCCGTCCGTTCGTCTGTCCACTGTCGATCCATCCATCCAGCCACTGTCTGTCGATCCATCCATTGTGCATTCCACATGCCGTACGACTGAGGCAATATCGGCGGTATATGGCGTTGGTAACGCTGCAATGCTGAAATGCTGTAACGCTGTAACGGAGTAACGGAGTACGTACATAGCAGTAACGTAACGTAACGTATCACCGTGCCATCGTGCCATCACCACGACCACCAGCACCACCACGACCACCACGACCACCACGACCACCACGACCAGGACTACGACCACGAGTCCACGACCGCGGCAGTTGAGATGATGAGGCAGCTAAGATGCTGAGGCACTGAAGCTGCACAGATCACTTGCTGTCGTCTGTAGCTGAGCGAAATACGCCCCTCCATCTCCATCCATCCATCCATCAAGGTAATTGTTGAACTTGAACTTGCAAACCGTCATTCCGGCGGCCGATTGACTTTCGAGTGCTGTCTGCTCACTCGCATTCGTCGTGATATACCCAAGCCACCACTTATTTACATATACCATACTATACTATAATATGCATCCATGCGCAAGTACCGTAACCACTGTAGAGTAGGTACTTCAAACCCATCCAAAAATACTAATCACAACAAAATCAGAAACTCCCCCATTGGCCACCGTCACAGCCCATCATTCGATACGATTCGATTCGACGGTTCACCCGTTGGTACTCTTTAGTTAGTACTCTTTAGTAAGGTGTAAGGTGTAAGGTGTCCCGCTGCTGCGGCCGCCGTTGGTTCGAAGCACAAGCACAAGCACAAGCACAAGCACAAGCACCGGCAGGCACAGGCACAAGTACAAGCACGAGGTAGTCACTCTAAGAGTCTAAGGCAAGGTAACGACGGCTGCACCCGTGGCACCCACCCACGCGCATCGGTCGGCCGTGTGCTTTAAGCTCGATCGGATGTATGTGCTAGAGTACCTGTCCGCTCTGTGGGGTAACTACGGCCGACCGTAGGTGGATGTAACCCAAAAACGCCTTGCACCACTACCACCACTACCACCACGAGGATGGATGCTTCCCATTTCCGTCACTTTCCCATTGGCCGCCAGGAGCCGAAGATTAGCGGGTTGCCTCCAAATCTCACACGAACGCTGTAATCACCATTGCACGGGACACTATCTGTACAGCACTGGAAACGAGCGTCGATTGATGGTTGCATCCTCCGTCCATACACCTCACGCAAAGAACGATGAAGTCCTGTTCCTTGGGAATGCAAACCGACACACCCTTTTCCCTCCTCTCCATCTTCCCCCTAACATCCCCGTACAACAAACTTCATGGTATCGTCGACACTCGCCATTGGTAAACCTTCATCTGAAATGCAAAGGAAAAAAAACATGGAAAAAAGAAAAGCAAAAAACCGAGGGTAAAAAAATGAGAAAAACAGTCAATCAGGACGCCTCCAGCCAAACTTCAAAGAAATGCAGCAGACAACCAACCGATACACGCCGAGAAGCATGGTCATTCCTCCAAGCCATGCCAAAGAAAAGCCCTCAACCTACAAGTAGTAAGGAAGGGGACAAAAGCAAATACATCATGAGGAAAAGAAAGGAAAAAAATGTAAACACCACAAGCCACTAATCCATCCCGTCAACCAGAGCTCCGCCAAATAGCTCCAACCTGTCTAGCAGATGAAACTTCCGTCCTTGCGGTACTCGCGGCCACCGTAACTGTCACCCGGATCAGACGCGCTGCCACTAGAGGTCCTACCCGCATGGGGGAGCTGTCCGTAATCGTGTCCATTCGCAGTGCCCTCCGAATGAGCTTCCGAGATCGTGTCTCCGTCGTCTTCGTGGACAGTCTCCAACTTGGATGGGTCGGTAGCGGCGTTTCCGGGAGCCCTCCAACCGGCCGGCTTGTTTTCGTCGCCGATACCCTTCCAGTCCTGGGACCTGTCCCAGTTCTTTCTATTGGTGCTCGACGACGAGTGAGAATCGCGTGAATTCAGATGAACACCGCCATCACTACAACCACCATAAAGTTAGAACACGCTCACTCTGATGTGTAACCGCTACTAGTAAACTCACCCGTTGGAACTCATGGAGCTCTGACGCAACCATACACGGTTTCTAAAGTGCGGATTTTGTCCTCCATACGACATGTGCGACTGATTGTTGTAGTAAGACCCATTGACAACACTATTGTACTCGTTGGAGCGATACTGGCGCTTCTTCGTGGTAGTTGCCTTCAGGCGTTTCTGGGCGCTGGTGTCTGCGTAACGAACCTGCAGGGCGAGAGCCTCTTCTCCGACCGGCATGCCGTGGAAATTCTTGATGATCTCATTGCAGATCTCGCGTGATTCGAATCTGTAACCTCATCAGACCAACGACACCATGGGAAGCTACGGATCGGAGACAGACCTAGCAAATCCGACACCGCGGCTAACTCCGTGGCTGTCCCTGAGTATCCTGTTGGAGATCACAACATAGCCGGCAAAGATGTCTTGCATGTCCTGGATCCGGAGCATCAGTAACCGAAACCAGTCAAAGAGTTACTCGTGGAGCTCTCACCTTCTCAGTCATGCTGCGTGGGAGGTTGGAGACATAGATATTCGTCGAGTTTGGATCCGCCAGAGTCTTGAGACGAGCATTGAAGGATTCCTTGTTTGGCGTACAGTCAGTCATAGAAGCTCTGGCGAAGCGAAAGGATATTCAAGGAAAACCAATAGCTTACACGAGCAAAGCCAGCCTCGTACTTCTGACCAACAAGGCCACGAATGCAGTTCTCGGCCTCTTGCATGGACGCGTAACGAGCGAATCCATACCTTTGGTCAGAAGTTAGCACTATATTCACTTTCGGGGGTTAAGAGAGAGATATACCCCTTGCAGGTACCATGCTCCGTGTCCATGATGGCCTTATGCGAGACCACAGCACCGAACCTGCATGTCATCTCGTAGAGCTTGTCATCGTCCGTGTCCGGGGGAAGACCACGGATGTAGACGTTGGTGGTGTTGGTAGGGTTGTCCAGAGGGTTAGAGATGATCGGAGCACCAGGTGGGTAGCTGGCGGGGACGGGGCGGGGGAGCGGAGGCCCATTAAGGACAAGCGTCTCGATGGCCTTTCCGATGTCTTTGGTGCGGTCGTCGACGGCTCCGGCATCACCCACAATGGCAGGGACCGGATCAACCGTCACCGGGAAAGGCGTGGTAGGAGTGTCGGTGGCTCCAGAGGATGACCACGAGTTGCGCCTATGATCCAAACCGGGAACACGATGGTTGTTGAGATTGTTGCCATGGTTGTTGTTGCCATGGTTGTTGCCGCCGTGGTTGTTGTTGCCATGGTGCGTATGATTGTGGTTGTTATGGTAAGTGGCTAGGGTCGAATTATACTCATGGCCTTGGGCCAACACGGGATAGCCGTACGGCACTTGTGACTGCGGAGGCGACGACGGCGGAGATGTGTATCCCTGATGAGGGTAAAGATGGTGCACTGGAGCTTGTACACCGGGCCAGACACCGTTCGGACCCTGATAGTAGTAATACGGATGTTGTTGCTGGTCATGAAGGCCTCCAGTGTATGGCTGCATGAATCCCGGATTCGGTCCGTAGTACTGTCCATTGGGGATGTTCATATGGGCAGGGTACTGGACGCCACTTCCGTTTGCAACAACCACCGATCCGTAAGGATGATGTTGAGTATTCCCTGCACCCTGAATATGGCCCTGAATGTGACGGTAGGTATTCTTGTTGTGATAGACAGGTCCAGAAACAATGCCGGCGGGCTGTCCATGGAAGGTCTCGGGGGAACTACCGGACGAAACGGAATTCGGGGACTGGTTGATATTGGTCGTCATGACGGCTTTTGTTTATGGATACTACATCCTTTCTATCAGCACTCGAAACAAAAACGGACTTCCAAGCCTAAACGGGGTAGTGGGGTGTGGGGGAGTAGCGGTGGGGGTGTACTCACTTACTATCAGGTACCGGTAACGACTAGAAATGTGATCTGAAAGAGTCTGAGGAAGACTCCTGCAGCGAGCAGCAATGGAAGTGGGAAGGGCCACTCCTTCTACTGAATGCCCGAGCGAAAAAATACGCAGCTGTGATTGGACCGGTGTTGAAGGCCAACAGCCGGAGGACAAGGGATCAAGGGCGAATCAGTGTGGCGGTGGGTCTCAACCCAAGACTCGTCAGGAGATTAGGAATCGAATGCAGAATGGGATGGATGCAGATGAGACGGGGGGGTGAGTGGGTTGAATGAGGGATGAGATGGGATGAGGTGTGGAGGGGAAGAAGAGGATGGGGTGGAATGAATGGGGGATGAGAGGACGAATGAGGGATGCGAGGATGAATGAGGGATGCGAGGATGAATGAGGGATGCGAGGATGAATGAGGGATGCGAGGATGAAGAAGAAAGAAGGGATGAAAGAAAGAGAAGTGAGAAGAAGAAGAAGAGAGGGGGGGAGGGAAGGAAGGAGGGAGAGAGGGAGGGAGAGAGAGAGAGAGGTAGCCGGGGGTGGGCCACAAGTTATAGGTTGCTACGGAGCCGTGTTGTTCAACGGTGAGCGAATGTCGCCGTTGGTTGGATGAGGTGTGGCTCAGATGAGAAGGCTGGATAGGGCCGAGGTGGCAGCACGAATGGGCATGCGAAGTGTTGTTGTTGTTGTTGTCGTTGTTGTTGTTGTTGTTGTTGTTGCGGTTGCGGGAGGGGATATTCTGCTGTGGAATCCGATCGAAGCTGCTATTCTGCTATTCTGCTTGCTTGCTTGCTCGATAGAATGGAATGGAGAGCGGAAAACTACACTTGCGAGTCCGCTTGCTTTTCTCCAGTATTCTCATTCTTCATCTCTCTTCTTCTTCTGCTTCTTCTTCTTCTTCTTCACTTTGTCTTCCCGTTTCCCCTGCTTGGCAGCTGTCGAGTGGATGAAGTGCTAGTATCAAGCAGCTCGACAGTGGGGGAGAGAGATCAATATACACCTCCGGGATGGAACGAAACGAAACGAAGCATTCCTCCGCTCGTCCTCCTGCTTCCCTTCGGCGCTATCCGATCAACAGTCCAAATAAAAGTAAGAATAAGAATAAGAATAACACCGACTTTTGGTGCCGCTAGGGGAGGGAGATCATCTAGTACTAGAGTGTATGGAGACTCCGACGAACGGCAGCCTGCGGATCCCCCCACTGTTGCGCGGTAACTTTCTGCCGACATGGAATAAAGAACGAAGGTTAAGCTTGCAGCATACAGGGGAAACGAGTGGCCGGACGCTGAGCAAACAGCGTGGAAACCAGCACTCTTCAAGAAAGTCTGCACTCGGGCTGCGAACATGGGGAGACTCTCGACGGACATGCACCTCCAAGTGCACCGGGCAGAGCGGTATAAAAACGTGAGGGAGACTCCGCTCCGGAACATGTGCGAGCGAATGGGGAAAAAAACAAGACGAATGATGACGGTTGTTTTCATTGTTCTGATTTTGATTTTCATTTTCTGATGAAAACAATGAAAAATAACAAAAATAACAAAAATAACAAAAATAACAAAAAATAACAAAAAATAACAAAAATAACAAAAAATAACAAAAAATAACAAAAATAACAAAAATAACAAAAATAACAAAAATAACAAAAATAATAAAAATAACAAAAATAACAATAAAATAAAATAAAATGGGGAAAATGGAAAATAATGAAAATGGAAACAACGTCAACTTCAACATCAACGAACCCGAACAGAAAAACAGGGAAAATCGAAAAGATGGCGCAAAACAGATTCTCGTCCGCCTTCATTCGTCCATCGAACCAACCTTGCCTGCCTGCCCGCCTGCCATGCTCGCCAATCAGCTGCCACGCAGTCTACACAACCGTGAGGTCCGTCTCTATTCGCATCGGCGGGTGTGCACGGGATGGGGGTTGGCCCCGTAGATGCAGGTCCCGAACAGAGATGATCTTCCAGCAGATGATGCTGCCCAGCGTTTCCTTTCCGCCTCATTCTCGAACCTCCCCCGCCTCACTACTCTCCCCATCTTGTCCTCTGCCGACCATTTACTCTCGCCGAGTCTCTGGACGGGGCTGTTGGAAGCCGCAATTCGAAACCTCTACGCAAGAAGCAAACCTCGTCATAAGAAGCAAACCTCGTCATAAGAAGCAAACCTCGTCATAAGAAGCAAACCTCGTCGTACCGAGCCTTCAGGATTGACATCGAGCCATCAAGAATGGCAAGTCCCCAGACAAATCCTCCTCCTCATTCCCCTCCTCCTCTACCCCAGCTCCACGGCTAGCGCCGCTGAACCTTCGCACAGGACGTCCAGCGTTCCCGAAAACTGGCTGGCGGTAATCTACGCAGACTGTGGAGAAGTAGACCAGTGTGCTCGGGCCGCTCGCTAGCTCGTAAAGTGACACATCCCGACCAGCTTCTCAGCTCCCTGTTTCAACCTTCGCATTGGCCCGTTCTGACTTGCTTCGAGAAGGGATGGAGACGTAGCGCTGACCGAGGCGGCGGTGGCGGCAATCCCACTAGTACGCTGCACTCCCGCCATTCGGACACCTCCTATCGTGAGATATCGGAATATCTCCATCGTCGCCTGTTCACTTGCTCGCAATTCTCCGGCCTCTAATTCTCCGCGGGGGGAGCCGTCGTTGTCGCCACCGCCTCTCACCGGATGTCGGCAAACCTGCTGCGGTTGTCGTGCGGGAAGGAGGGAGGTGGCTTCGGTATCCCAACCGCTGCCCCACCGCTGCCCCACGGCTGTGTGGGTTATGATGCGCTAGATGACTTCAAGAGTTGTTAGAGACACGCTGTTGAGGTAGACGAGTGCCTCTTAGTGCGAACCTAGTATGTAAGAGTGCTGCACCTTCAAATCTAGGGCTTGCGAATTACAATCTTCCATTCGCCTGACTTTGGTGGCGGCTCTACCCTAGCTGTCCCGCTGTTTCACCGCATCAACTACATCTCATAGCTGGGAGGTGCAGAATCATAGGTACCTTTCTTCCTTACGAACCATACAGTGATCCCCAATGCCAGACTTCTAGGTAATCCAGGCTCCACTCTACATGCGGCCCTGACACGGATCGGCAGCATCGTCAGCAGCTCAAGCACGTTATATTTATGTCCCATCTGTTTGCCGCGTCATACATATTAGTACTGCAGTGCGCGCATCTTCCACATTGCTTTCCCCCCCATCGACGAAGTGTGGTGGTGGGCATCATCTACATGGTTGAGTCCGGCCGTTACACGGCTACCGCCGCGGTCTGCACGCCACAGGCTTAGGTCTTGTGACCATCTCGACGTCTAGCAGAAATGCAGAAGCTCCCGGGAGGGCTCTTTTTTTGTTTCTTTTCGTCGTCGTTTTGGGCTCGATCCTAAGGAATGATATCCAAGGTAACTCCCCTGATTCGTCACAGCGTAGTGAGCATAGAGATAATTGTGATGCAGGCACGAACCGGCCGACGCATGAAACCAACATCCTGCGCGGCCATCGATAACTAACTATCGCCAACCACGAAAAGTGCACTGCATGTTTGAAATTCCACGGATGACATCTCCGAAATAATACTGACTGCCTATCAGTTGTCCCAGCGGCCCGAAGTCCAACGTCGAACACACAAACGCCAAACATCGTCATGCACGGTCACTCATCCCATCGACCGATCCTCCCCCCACCCCCGGCAACATGCAAGTTTGCGCAGCGCTCCTTACGCGAGCTTTTTGTATGTATTTTCCATCTACATACGCCTGCAACACGTTTTCCCTCTTTCTTTGTCCACGGAACGTGACAGCAGTTTGCCTGTCGAAGAAGGCTTTGAAGTTTGAAGTGTCACATCACATTCTCCGCTCAATCAATCTTGTACACTCACTTCCGTGCGCCAGAAGAATCGTCGGACTGGAGTATGTATGATATACAGTAAATACATATTCCATCGACATCGACCATAGCCGAACCCTCGGAAACGTAAAACAGCATCCATCCTCCCATGGTCCCATGGTTGGTTGGACAGAGTCCAGGAACCGGACTGCCGGGAAGAGGTGGGGTGCGATGGTGTTCAGACCTCCTTGTGGAGTTGGTTGAGGTGAATTTAGACGAGGGGATGGGGAGGGGGGTGGTGGGAACGTGGGGGGTTCGGTAAGTACTCTACTATACACAGTCATACGCTGCCTGGCTGCTATACTCGCGGCGAATATAGTAAATCTCGTCTCGTTTACGACACGACAGAAGCATCAAATTTCTGTTCTCGTTGTGCTTGTGCTTGTGCTCCGAAAAGCGGTTTGCCCGTACGCGTACTCTAGAGTAGAGTACATACCCGCCCGGCCGGCCCGACGCCACGCGGAGGAAGGAAGAAAGCCTCATCCACCGGCGCCGGCCCCACCTGCACATACTCTATGCACACAGAGAGAACTCTGTGGCGTTTGTTTTGTCTGAGGCAAACTGCTGCTGCTGCTGCTGCTGCCCACATGAACTTGTGCCAAGGTAAATCATCTATGTATGATGGTGAAGAACATGTTGCTGATTGGACAGGCTGGATCTAGGTTCTCGGATCATGTTGCTAAAATAAAAACGTGGGCGGGCCGTGCGCGCTGCGCATAAGCAACTCTTTACATACGCTCCAAGATATCTGCCGAATGATATGTGAGAAGTCCATGGCTCACCGCTACATACCTTGGGTAGATAGCCGCCCATTTGCATGCGCAAGTACATACTCTACCAGTACTAGGTATGGGGGTAATTTGCCTCCAAATCCAATATTACCATTACCATTACCATTACATACAGTGGCGGAGGCGGTGGATTCCAAAGGGCGGCGGTGGATTCCAAAAGGCCGCGGAGGTGCAATACATAGCAGAGTTTCCAAGCTGCACCTGAGTCCCGACAAAAGGGCACAGGGCGAGAATACTCTACATGTACTACATATAGAACGATGGAGTTGGAACTTGGGCATCCAATCAGCCGTCGCTGATCTGCGCGTTTGTCGATCTACATATGTGTGTACGCACCTAAGTTTTTGGCGCCCTAAACATGGTACCAACAAGAGTGATGATCTGTGATGGGGGTAAGTGGTTGACCGTATGTAGAGTATGCGAGCATGGTGTTGGGCGGTGAGCGGTGAGGCGGAATAGTGGTTGGTGGGCGGTTAAAGGAAGATATTCCGTAATAGCTAGATAACTGCAACGGAGGCTCGCCGAATAATATCTATTCGAGCTGGCTATTCAAGTCGTATGCGGCTTGAGTAGTATGGAGTCCTGGAGTTAGGACATCAATATCGTACTTTAGTCCTGCACAGAACTGTGTTTGAGTAAACTTTCAAGGTGATAAGTTACCAAAACTCCAGCCGTGATCCGTCCTATGTACCTACATCAAAGCCAATAGATACGCTGGAATCCCGTCGAGTATGAGTCAAGCCTACATACCTGCCCGGAGCTGTCCCCAGAAGTCGCCGAACCCGTGGAGTCCCAGGTCAGCGGGGGTGGATCAAAGTAGGTCCTATGTACGCAGAGACTCTATTCGACGAAAGACGTTCCCTGCGGTGCTGGGAATCAGGGATAGCTTTCGTCCCTATCTCCGACGACCTCTGGCTGTGAAAAGTCCGGGGGGAACGTATGGGGAGATTTCCGTTAAACCTGGGTTCAACCAGCCACCTACTTTGTACCCAGAGGTTGGGTCGAACCTGAGTGATATTCCATGTACCGCTGCCTACCTGCGATAACTGCCACGCTCGTTGCGAGCGGTGAGCTCCGGAGGGCGAGTAAATAGTAGAGATTGGTGCGATAGGTGTCGATAAGCCTTGGAACTCTTTGGGGTAGGGAGTATGTATGCGCGATTGGGATAATGTATCACTCGGGCTTGGAACGGTCTTGGATAAATGGCTGCTTTTTCTTTCAAGGACTTCTGCATTGAGGATAGAGCAGACGCTTAAGGATAAGCTCTCTCTGGGAAGATACCCATTCACGTTATGTACGATGTTTGGTTCACCCCGAATAAAGGCTGAGAGAGAGAACATCAATTTGTTGTCTCATACGACCTGGCCTGTCTAGACTATGGCGACGCCTTATCCAGCCTTTCCCACCAGCTGGCCTTGCAGAGGTCTGGATGAAGACCCCGCTATCTACTTTACAGTTCGTTGCTGTGCCTGGCTTCACTTTGTCCTTTGAGACATGAGAAGTCACCCCGCCAGCCGAGTGAGATTACGTGCGACGATCTACGACCGTGGTATGCGTACACTTAAGCCTTATACAATCAAAGTGAATGGTATGCTCACTACACCCGGACAATACATTTCTCTCCCCATCTTTTCCGGCGGGCTCATCACTGCTGTTATCACTGCATACATATACACTTACGCTCTGCCAGTGCCACAAGCATCATAACTTTACGCGCACGCGTCTTGTGTCACCCGTGACCCACAAGGTACCATGTACGGTAGTTACCGCGGTTAACCCTCGTGCAACGAGCTCACGCACGATGCAGAATTCCCAGCCAGCTCCACCACCTCCTCCACCACCACCGCTGCCGCTGAAAGAGATGACTACCAGCATCACCTCCCCCCGCCAATCCGCCAGCTCCTCCGGTACCTCGTGGCAAGCAAAATTCGCGCAGGGCCTTGCGGCTCGCGACCGCCGCGAGAAGGCGTTCGACGAGATCATCTCCGCTTGTTTGTCCCCGCCCGTCGCTTTCCCCTCCACCACACATATACACACACAGCTGTTAACAAGCTACAGACTCCACGCTCGCGATCCAGCTGCGGTCGTCACAGCCGGCGCGCGCAGACGCGGAACGTGCACGGCTGGAGCGGCGGTGTAAAGACTATGCGGAAGAGGCGCGGGAGAGAGAGAGGTTGCTGCAGAAAGCGTTGGATGAACAGGTCGCCCAGGAGCTGGAATTGAATATGGCGTATGAGCGCGAGAAGGCGCTGAAGGAAGATAACGCCGAGCTCCTCGATCGCTGGATGAAGCTGAAGAAGAAGGAGGCTGATGAGATGAATTTGGCTAGTCAGTGGTAATCTGGTGGGCCCGGTGGGTGCGTATTGTGTAAGTGGTGACATCCGGCGTAGATGTCGAGGGAATGGAAAGATGACTGCGGATCGGTCGGATACGATGCGGAGTGCAGTGCGCTGCGTGAATCATCTGTCTATCACCGATGCAAACTGTTTGCACTTAACTATCATCCAGTGTTCTGGCCACCGGGAGACGCGCCGGCCGCCTATGCCTCGCTTAGTTATTCTCGTCCGCCATGGTGTATAGTTGGTAGCCTTTGCCTCCACGTGGTTATGCTTCGTCCCAATTCTCTTGTACTTTACGCTGTCACCTCTAAACCTCACAAAGCATGGAGCTTGGTAGCATTATCTATCTGGTTGCGGACTTGTCTGACCAGAGCTTCCACTCTCAAGTCTAACACGGCCAAGAAGCTTGAAGTCCACATGAGAAGCTACATACGTAGCAAAAATCCGCGAGTGAAACTCCTCAAGGCTCAGAGACGACAGCGCTATGTATGACTGCTACCTAAAGTTGGAAGGTTAGGCTATAGCTAAGATCGGTCCCGTCAGATAGGTACAAGTGTGCCGTCCATACCAGTAGTATGTACAGGTTTCGGGGTCGGATGCGTGGAATATTCTAACGCCACTACCTATCGCCCGACGGTATGTAGCCTGTAGGGCTGAACCCATCAGCGGAGATCTTTGGCTCTTTGAGTACGGAGGAGGAGCTTGGAAAAGCCAAGTCATTGGCTTCTAAGTTTTAACCCAACACCCTCCCTCCCACTCACTCATCTTCGCCGTCGACATCAACAACAAGAAGAACATCCATCTTCGGACCGCAGCATTGGCCCATCAATAAACGCAACTCACACGGAACTGAAATGCCGACAAGAAGCCCATCCCGCTAGCTCACGTAATGCTGATGATGCCGCCGCCGCTCGCTCACAGGATTCTACGGACTGAGGGCGGGCCCGGCCAGCATCACGCCCGGCCGGCCGGCCGGCCGCCGAGGACCCGGTGGATCTTTCCCTAGGGAGATGGAGGGGGAAATGCCACGTCTCGTTACCATTGCGCAGCGAGGCTATTGTTGGCAGCTACGCACCTAGTCAAGCACGTCGAGATTTTCGTCCGCGACGGCTGTTCTCGCTCGGTGCTGGTCCATGGGACGAACTGCATGAACTCCGTCGAAGACGCTCACCGTGGATCACCTTCGGTTTTTGTGGCTCCCTCACTTCGAACGTACCTACTCCAATCGGAGAATGCCCACTACGGACATTGTATGTAGGAAAGATCAAGCCTTGTGGCCATGTGGCTCTGACGTTAATGATTACCTGCCTAGCTTCATTTCGGGCTTCTGTGGCTTCCACCCCACCCCACCAGCACCACATCGAAGCATGTATCGAGATGGGGGCACGACGTTAAGCAGGACTGCACCGTGTCGTTATGTCGTCCCCGGCAGTCACTTCGAGACGAATAAGCATTACCTACTACACAAGCTTCCAAACCCCACTTCACTCCGAGCCGCCCACTTTCCATCCCATCCCACATCAACCAATCGCTCACAAGTCCTCCAGCGGCCAGCCACAGCTCGCCTATCCGCTATTTTACTCTTGGATAGCCGATGTGGGGGAGCTTGCACTCGAAGTGGGGCAGCTGGGTATGAATGTGGGGTAGTTAGTTCCCTACGCACGTATCCAACATACCTCGTACCTCCCGCCCGAGAAGTACCGACCCCACCCCACATGGGCCGGTACGTAGGGCTGATGCGCTGATCCGACCGTGTCCCTCAGCCACACCCGTATAGTACCTACTCGGTAGGCGTAAAGATAGACGGCCCGGCGTGTCATCTGCGGCTGAGGGCTGAGCGCACGGCGTCGACGGTCGGGGAGTGAGTCTTCGAAGTTCGGCCGAGAGGTTCGGCCGTATCACGCTCTGTCACTCGAGCGGTCCGTATTTATAGTATGATGTAGCCTGCACTGCCCCCCGCACCCTTTCCTGTGGAAGCTGATAATCCATACAGCATGAAACCCTAAGCTTATGGCCGTACCGTGGAAGCTGAGACGCGCAGAGCCAGCCACAACGCAGGCACCCGGCTTGGTCTTGCACCCCCGGACCCATAGTGAAGTATGCACATACATGATGGAAATACATGCATACAAACTTGCATCGCTCAGTGCCCACTGCCCACTGCCCACTGGGCCACTGCCCACTGCAACGAAACTCACCTATCTCCGATACTCTACTCTACCCTACGGTACTCTACCGATAGGTACTCTATCTTCCCATCCGGCGATCCCGGCTCCAGAATCCGGATGGAACCCCTGGCGCAACGCAGAGTCGCAAACGATGGATCATGGATCATGGTACGGACAGCATCTCTTGTGCCCTCCGGAAGTGCCGGGAGTCCGGGACGGGCCCGGGACGGTTCCGTGGGTCTCGGCTCCCGAGTGCCCGGAATGCCGCGGCGATTCCATGATTCCACGATTCCACGGGCTTTACAAGTCTCCGAAGTTCCCACAATATATAGCATGTGTGATAGGGTAGGTACTATATGTTGTATGATATGATGGATATATCGGATGAAATTCAATCCAGCCCAGCCACCCAGCCAAAGTTAACAACAAACTAAACCAGAATATGACCCAAACCAATGTAGCGTAAAAGTGCCCCTCGTTCAGAACGTGTGTGTGTATCGAGCGAGAGAAGAACCCGTAAGGCTAAGTATCATAAAAGAAGAGTATGAAGCGAACTTTAAAAGTAAAGTAAAAAAAAAGATGAAAGAAGCAAATGCCTACGAAAACAGTTTGGAGACTCCGCCCACCTCTCCCGCCTCCCAGACTAGATCAGACTAATTGTTACAGCGAGATACGACTATATCTATCCAATCCAATTAACGCCCCTCCTTGTATGAAATGTGAAAGAAAACGGTATAGTGCGGCAAGTGGTGTTCATGACCACACGTCCTCCTGTAAACGCGGTAGGTTAGTACATGGTTACGTGACGGGTAAGAGTGTAGGATAGTTGAGGGAACATACCTGGTACAAGTTGCTACTCCGCAGCCTCTTGACCAAATCGTGGCCTTGCTCCTCCGTCAATCCCCGCTCAGCAGACAAGATCTTGCCGAGCGTGGAGTTGACCTCTCGCGCCATGTGAGCGGCGTCACCGCAGACATAGAAGAACGCGCCCTGCTTGATGAGCTCGTTGACCTCCTTGGCGTGTTCGCTCAGTCGGTGCTGGACGTAGACCTTTTGTGGTCCGTCGCGGGAGAAGGCAGTGACCAGCTGGAAGGCATCACCTAGTTTTTCGGCGTATTGCTGTCACATGTTAGCTCGAGCTCGAGCGACAACATCTCGGCACAACGGAAAGTTGCAACTTACTTTCCATTCATCCTGGTACAGGAAGTCTTCGCTCTCCTTGCGACATCCAAAGAAGAGAAGTGTCTTTCCAACCTTCTCGCCCTTCTCCGCGAGGGCGGCGCGCTCCTGGATGAAACCGCGGAAGGGGGCGACACCGGTACCGGGTCCGATCATGATGATCGGCTTAGAGGGGTCGCTGGGCAGCCTGAAGTTGGAGCTCCGGACATGGACCGGCACGTGAATTCCATCGTACTTGTTGCGGGGTCCAGTGATCGCGTAAGTCAGTCCGTGGGGATCGGGTGACGGGTCGCCTTCCTGCTTCTGCTTGAGTGCCAAAAGGTAGTTGGTCGTGACACCCTTCAGAACGTGAGGGGCGCCGGGCATGCTGACGCGCTCGACGACGGCGGTGATGGTCGGGACCTTGTTATTGACGAGAGACGAGGACGAGATCGAGTAGTAACGGGGCTGGATGCGGTTGAGACCTTCAATGATGATCGAGAACGGGACCGCCGACCAGACCTGGTTGGGTGAAACGATTTCGAGAACCTGGGCGATGTTGAGGTAGCGCTGAGAGATGAATTCCGAGAAGTAGGCCTTGTCGCCTCCGAGGCGGGTCATCTGCTCCTTGGCTCCCTCGGTGGGCGCGAAAGCGGCAAGGGAAGCAACGTACTGACGGGAGACGGGGGCGCAGATTTCGATGTGGTAACGAACCGCAGCATCGTACGTGGTCGGCGTGGGGAAAGGGACCTTGGAAGTAGAATCGAGACCCTTGACGTCGATGACCTGGTGGCGTTTTTCTTCCATTCCGAGGACCTTGAAGAGCCGATCGACCTCTGCTCCAGCATTGGTGGGCCAGACCGCCAGGTGATCTCCGGTGGTGTAGGTGAGGTTAGAGTTAGACAGATCGATCTCCATGTGAAGGCAATTGCGGCCCTTGACGGTAAAGCATTCCGTGGACTGCTTGATCGGGGCGATGTACGGGTTGTGCGAGTTGTAAGGTCCGACGGATTTGCCCTCGAGGTGGTTCTTGTTGGGTTCTCCGAGGTACACGATGTCGTCTTCGGGGGTGAGGTCGGGGCGCTCGGTAACGGAGAAGACGGCCTCGTAAACTGCTTCACGTTCCTCCAGACCCATCTCTTGCTGCAACTCGGTCCACATGGTCTCCTTCCACGACAGGAAGTCCTCCTCCATGGTACCCGCTCCATCGTCACCTTCTCCGGCAGGACCGATCCTCTTGGCGCCCAGCTTGGAGAGGGACTCATCGATGCGGCGGACGACGGCATTGTAGTGCTCGTAGGTGTTGTTTCCGAGTCCGAAGGCGACGTATTTGAGGTTGGTGAGAGGCTTTTCCGCGTTGTCTTCCGAGAAGGTGGGTTCGCCGTTGTGGATAAACTCGTAAAACTCGACCGCGTTGTCGGTGGGCTCTCCTTCTCCGTAAGTGGCCAAAACGAACACTATAACCTTATCTTCGGGGAAAGTATCGAGGTTCTCGTAATCGTAATCTTCGAGGTCCGCAACCATAGTCTTGAGTCCGAAACGTGCTTGTCCTTCCTTGGCTAACCGAGAGGCGTAATCCTCAGCGGTACCGGTCTGCGATCCGTACAGGATAACCATGTTCTTATCGGACTCGTCCATCTTCTCAATCAAGTTCCTCGTTTTGCCGGACTTGCCGCCGGCACTGAGAGCCTTGTTGTAGGCATCGGCGGAAGAGCCGCCCTTCGACCACAAAGTTCCTTTCGTGAAGTACGCGACTGTGCCGAGAAGAAGAATCGCGAGGACAACAATGTCCAGTGTATCGAGAGGTAGGTCTGCCATCGCTGTGTTTGGAGGGGTGTGAAACACAATGGAGGTGGGGAGGGGGTAGTGGGTAGAGATCAGCAAAGAGTTTTTCTCTCTTTCTGTCTCGGTAGGAGGGCGGAGGTTGTGGTTGTGATGGAGTGCTCAGAGAAAAGGAGAGACGGAAGCAGGAGCAGTCGTAGTTATGAAGACCCGAATCGGTCACACCCAACCGAGGAAAGATTTGAACAGATTGCAACAACCACCAGATGCGCAACCAACAACAACACAAGCCTTCAGGGCAAGCACACACAAATGTATGGACTTATGTACCGTGGAGCTAAGTTGAACCGGAAAGGAAAGGAAGCGATTCCACAGAGCAGGGGAGAAGGTGGGATGAGGGTTTCTCGAATGAGAGTGAGGCGAGGCGGCTTTAAGCGTACAGAGATCGGTGGCAAGCGTCGGGTTCCCGGGTTCGTGCAGTGGGGGGTTGCTGTGGGGGGATGGTTCCGATAGATAATATAGTAGTAGATATCTCTCCACTCACTCGCTCGTTCGCTTTCTATATATTTATTCTGAACCACCAAATCGAGAAGGATCGAGTAGTTATAGTTCTTACTTCGGGTGAGTGAGACGGGGAGGAAAGAAGCCTTGCTTGATGACATGAGATGGGGGCGCGGCTTCGACTGATGGTGGCTCGTGAGTGGCCATCTGCCACCTGCCATCCGCCATCCGCCGTATGCCATCGCTCTGTCTGTGTCTTTCTGGTACCATAGGCCCAAGTAAATATAGAACTGTTTGACGGCCGAGACAAAAGTTCTCATGAGTGCGAAGGAGAGAATACCTGTGCACGTAAAACACGTTCCGCACGGAAAATCCCACTGCCGGAAGAGTGATTCGGAGAAGGCTTATGCTTCCTTGTACATAGCATGCGGACGTGTGTATATAGTAGTAGGCCTCCACATGGTGTTTCGTGGGCCGGGCACAGGCCAAAATAGATCTGCTCGACCTGCTCGGTGGAGATGGGCGGCGTGTATGTAACCACTGCAGAGTAACTTCAAAAATCTTCTTGACCTGCTCGTTGGAGATGGGCGACGCACGACTTCAAAGCTGTCACAATGTCGTTTCAACTCCAGGTGCATATGTTCATACCTATGTACTCAGGTATCCCATAGGTACCGTATTTCTAGACGTTGATCGTCCTGGAATCCTGGATGCGCCGGATGTTTCCAAATACCCATCGCCGTCACAAGGCATCTGTTCTTCTCCCGCCTTCCGCGTCCAGAGATCCGAGACACTCGGTTATCTGGTTGTCCCCCGCCACCTGATGGTCCGATCAACTGTCGAGCTTTCGCCCTGTGTAACATCGTCGACCAATTCAACCGTCGCAAAGACAGCAACGGGCGTGTCGGATGTTTGCGCGGGACATCATCCGTGACCGATTGGTGGGGAATTTTGTGGGGTTGGTTTGCGGGGTAGCTTCTTGGTACTACATATTGTGCTCTAGCCATATAGCTACCGGTACTTGGGTTTGCCGAGACGGCGGTCGGGTTCTCCTCTTGGACGTGGGGATGGATATACGGTTTGATACCGATACTAGCTCACGTGCAATGGAGCCCGGAATGCTTCCGCTGCACTTTGGGGAAGACCCGCTGTAAGGTGGGTCTGTAGATTACGCTTCCTGCATGACAACAGGGCGCGTGCTCGATCTCCTCGCCTACCTAGTAGCTGACCACCGGGCACCGGCTGTGGGATCTTTTTGGTGGTGTCAGTAGCTCTCACTCGTTTCACAATGCCAAGTCTCCCACTACCTATAAAATCCTCCACCCTCCTCCTACTCTCCTTCTTTTCTTTTTCATACTTACCTTGACACGAGCTTGTTGGCTCACTAAGCAGTGAGCTCCGGAAGCGACGACCCCCATTGCACAGAGAGGGTCAAAGCCTTTGCGAAACGTCTTCGGATCTTTCGGTGTCGCAATTTTTGATTTCTTTCTCTCCTATGATGTGTATAGTATTTTTATTGTTGCTTGGGCGAGTCCGAGGCTGCGAGGAAGATACATCCATATACATACCAAATCAGGTAAGGAGGAGATGCACAACCCGTGGTAGATTTCGAAGGAGGCTATGGGTGATCAGTGATTCACTCGTCGTCATAGATGTCACGCGAAAGAGATAACTTGCCCCCGGTTTCAGGCGATCACCGCGGGCCGCTCGACGAGAGCCGGGTCGGACACTGGATGGGAAACGGAGTGTGCGTATTGCCATGATCTAGTTGGGTCGCATGATGCAATCACTGATCAAACAGAACCCGCGGGCCGGAGGTGTCCGACAAAATCACACCCCTTCACCGAGCGTCACCCCCGTTTACGTTGCATTCATCGAATCTTGTCTACATCTTTCCATCCGTACAATGGCAAGAATCGTGAGGCCATTTCCAATCCATCTGCATGTTTCCCCGAGTGACATCATGTGTTTACACTCGCTTTTGGTATGTACCACATACTGGAAACATCTTCTGGAAGCCTGCTCGTACTATATAGGTACTTACTTACCCAGCAGGCACAATCATGGCCTCCTCTGGGAAGCCCCCGATAACCAAGTAGATAACCCAATACTCTCCATCCCACGTGTCACCACTACCTACATCGGCAAACACGTCCCAATCCCTCCCGCCCACTCGCTGCCCCCAATCGACAAGCCCGTACGTATGTACTGGCCTCACTGTACTGGTACATAGCCCACCCACACTACAGTACTTCGATCGCCGGGTGGAAGGGGGTTCACAAGGAAGGCGGCCGGTCTACATACGATGCTGTTTACACCGCCAGAATCCACTGGAAACATACCAAACCCCAACGGAGTCGATATATACCAGAAAAGGACGGCATAGGGATAACTGCAAGATAAAGGGCGGTATCCTCGCTACCGACAACCGCTCGAACGGGCAGGAGTGGATCGCCTGTCTACTACATAGTTATACCGGTAGCCTGGCAACGTCCGACCGAGTGGCGCCGCATCTGGAGGTTTTATTACGGTGGATACCTAGATACCTACTCCGCGCAGGTGCGCGGTGCGATTGTGTCTCTGGAGATTAGGGGAAAAAACGAACCTCAAAATGACCATGTGGCATGAGAATGATGAACCCCCCTGCAATTGCCGTCCGTGCACCCAGCAGAAACTCAAGATTCGGGAGAGGCACCCACGGAAGAACAGCTGAGTGGCTATTATCAGTTACTGGAGTCTGGAATACGGGAGCAGAACTTTGTTGCTACGATAGAACGGCCCGGAAGGTTTTGGAGGGCTTCGATAAGTACAAAGTACCTACTTGCGAGGAGGTTATGGTACCAGTAGTGGAACGACATGTCATTCGTGGTCGTAAGGTGCTCAGGTTTGAATATCCGGCGGAGTCTCACCGTCAGTAGAGAGGAAATGATAGTAATAATGATGGTTAATGTCCACTTCCTACCGGCGGTATGTGTAGTAGGCCCAGGATTGTCTGGAATGTTCCATTTTATCGGAGGGAGTTCTATGAAGTTTGTACTTGCGCTGCACCATGACTCCATAGAAATCTAACAATCTTCTCTCTGCTTAAGAATATTCTAAAGGAATCACTCCATTTCCCTAACCTAACCGGATGCATGCTATAACAGAAAACATAAACGATTGCATAAAGGCATTATAAGAGACACACTCAAGTTGGTATGTACTGGTACAAGACAAGTAGAAAAGAGGGAAAGGGAATGATATGTAGAGCGGAATGGAGAGAAAAAAAGAAAAAGAAGAAAAAGAAAAAGCGCACTCGCGTTACCAGCCGGGACCACCATCATTTCCAGCCTCTCCTCTACAAACCACTCTCCCCCTCCTCCTCCTCCTCTTGCTCACCATCCTCCTCATCTGTAAGCTTTTCCTCCACATCCTCCACCGTTGGTTCCTCCTCCTTACACGAGCACAACGCCGCGATCTCCACCTCCCCCAAACCCGCCAACTTCTTCAATGCAATCTCCGCCGCGGCAACACGCGCAGCTTTGATTGAATCGGCATTTGCCCCTGCAAAGACCTTTCCGTGAACGACAACCGCTGCAAAGTTGGTCACATACTCGGCAGTCTTAACTTGGTCTGAGTCCCAACCCCATTTTTGGCAACCGAGGACCTCAAGTTTTTTGGTTAGGAAAGTGGTCGGATGCTGGCCTGCGAAATCTATTTCTTTGGATTAGTATATCGAAAGCGGAGAGGATCGGGGAAGACATACTATCGTACATGCTCATGTCCGTGAAGAAGTAGCGGATGTGATTGTTGAAAAAGTCTTGGACCAGGGAATAGTCGAACTTGGAGTCGACGAACAGAGCGCCGATGAAGGCTTCGAGAACATCAGGAAGAATCTCTGGAGAATGTATGGTCAGCTAAGCGGGTAGATTAGAGGGTCGGGGTGCCTACTGGGCGGGTCCTCGATTCCATTATCCATCCAGAAATTCAGTTTTGTAGATCGTTCTTTTGCTTCGAGCAGAGTGCTGGCATATTTATCGATTGCACCATCCAGCGAGCCACTCATCTTCCGGATCCTCTTGTGAAAACCGAGCAGGACACAGATGGCTCCTAGAAAACGATTCGAGACCATTGCCATCTTGTGCTCCGTGAGCCACTGGGGATTGGCCTCCGGATGGGCCAAGAAAATGTGGTCCACACACGCCAGGTCGAGAAGCGCATCGCCTATGAGTGGTTAGCGACAGCCAGAGAAACAATATATATGGGAGCAGTGATCACTTACCTAAGAATTCAAGCCTCTGGTACGAAGGCACCCTCTCGAAGGTAAACGGATTGGAGGGGTGAGTGAATGCCGACATTAGAAGCTTTGGCGAATCGAAGCGGTAGCCGAATTGCTCCGCAATGTCATCGGCAAGCTTCGTTTGAATAGCCGTGGGTTTGGCCAATTGATAGTCAGGAATCTTATATTGCTGGTAGTATTGATCGAAAGACTGCTGGTTGTGATGCTCGGTTCTCAGCAGCGAGGTGACCATCTTCGTTGCGCCATCGTGGCCAAGGCCGATAAGCGCAGCTCCGATCAGAGCCTCGCAAACATCAGCAACCGACTTGTCTCCGAGACTCACAATACGTGAGCCCACTGCGTCGAGTCCAGACTTCTTTCCGTGGAGCAGCCTCATGTGAGGGTACCAAGTACGCCTTGAGAAACCTAGAGTCTGAATGAAATCTGGAATGCCAATCAACATCGCTTTCTGGAAGAGATTCTGGTTGCAAATGAGGATCATGCGCTGAACGTGGAGCTGAAACTCGTTGTTCGAATGGGACTCGCAGTACAGACTGATTGATGTGGCGAGCTTAAGATAGCAGTCGCCGAGGAATTCGAGACGCTCGTAATTGGCACCTATGCCTCTACGCTTCTCCACAGTAATTATGTTTGTGTTCTCGGAATCCTTGGTGATAGCTTCGAGTGCCAGATTTAATTCCAGCTGGTCCAATCCCAATTTCATATCCGCATCAAGCCTCCTGAGCAGCTCCCAAGCGTGGAGGTATGCGTCGATGCGCGTGCTGACAGCGGGAAATATGACAGCGGATCTAACCAGGCTTGCGGGTAATATTGAGATCATGAAGTTGGACGGAGTAATGACTGCATCGTACACGAGTGACTTGTCTTTCTCGGTAGGAGGGTCCAAGAAGTTGAGGCGGTGCAAAAGGCGTTCTGCACGAAATACCGGCTCCTTTTCAGGAATATCCCACTTGACACCGCCCCACTTCTTGCGCTTTCCAGCATTGTAGCTGTAGTCTTGGATGCTGTCGAAGTAATCGTGGCCAGTGATCGATTCTGGGACTGCATCCTGGGAATTGAGCTCAGGTATAACCTCATGAGCAAAAAATCGACGTGATTTGTCAAGTTTATCCACCCAGTATCTGTCTCGGATATGGTGGAGATTATCAGCGGTCAAGTCAAGGAATAACTCCCGGTCAGCAGCAACCCGTCCAATCAGCTCCCAATCTAGAACATCGGCCGCCCTCGGCTTTTCATCAAACTTGTAGCCAATCACAGGCGCAAACCAGTATCGAAGAGTTTCATAGGACATTTCAAAGTGTTTGTTGAATACATCCGTGAATACCCGATTGGTGAATGTGGTCAGTAGTTCCACTTGTGCATTTGTGAGCTCGAACGGTTCTTCAAGTCGGGTTATCTTCACCTTTGAATTCCCGCCTCTGGTACCGTAGACATCGAAAAGAGACATTTTGGGTAGTTTTTCTCGGGTTCCGATGCAAAGTGGCTGCATTGCATCGCCTAGAAACATCTCATGAGGCTCCTCAACGGTGATTATTGCGATCCAGAGCTTTGTTGGCGCTGTTCCATCCTTGATGTCCCAAAAAGCGGGCTTTCGACGGAGAGTATATGTGTTTCTCTTTTTTGTGTCGACAGCAAGACGAGCGTTGGCATACTTGGGAAGTATCTTCCGGCGGACGGGGGGCAGAAAGTGCCCATTGATCGCTCTCTGTTTCCGAAGAAGCAGTACTGTCTCGAAGGCTGCTGCTCTCTTGGCGAGAGCTCTCGTCCTTTGGGGCTTGCACTCATACACTCTAATAGGGGAGCCTTCCGGTAGAATCAATTGGCAAGTAAATTGTCCACATCCAGCCGGCCGCACGACATATATTGGTGGTGAGCTGGCTTCGCCGTACCCAGTATTCTGGGTTAAGTTAGCCATCTAGAGACACGAGCGAGTAAGAGGAGGTGCCTTACCAAATGTGCGGCGTATGTCGAGATGAACTGCATGGCTAAACTGTGAGTCAATTTGGCTCCAGTTTCTTCCTCATTATAGTAGAGCTCGTTGCCTGTGTTTCCTTCGGGGACAGGTTCGCTCTCGTCTAGAAATCGATCTGGGGGAAGGCTCTTGCAGAAACTCTTCATCGTCTTCTCGAACGTGAGGACGTCCCTAATGAGGTTGCTATGCTCCAGATTTCCTTTCTCGATCATGTGGAGATACAGAGAGCTACGGTCACGAGCTCGTCCACGAGACTGCACGTACTGGATCATGGTGTTGTATATGTCGAATCTTATCACCAAGTTGCAATCCGGAACGTCGAGTCCTTCCTCGGCAACTGATGTCGCAAACAAACAGTTCAATATGCCAAGCTTGAAGCGATGCACATTGACCATCTGCTGCCGAATCGTGAAGGTCCCGTCACTATCAGCACCAGTCCGACTACCAAGGAGCACTCCTGCACGAAAGTTCTCAGAAACTTGATCTTTGAGGCATTCGTAGATAGTTCTGGCTGCTAAACGTCTCTCGATGAAGATGATGCATTTTGTCTCAGGGTTTTCGTTGTATGCCTTTTGGAGTTGTCTCCAGAGCAGCCAGACCTTAGGGCTGACGTCTCCTTCCAGCATCTTGGGAGGTCCGTATTCGTGTAGAGCAACATAATCCTGGGCTTCACGGATCATTTGGAGGTCTCGCTCTAGTTTTTCCCATCGCTCAGCTGGATCGCGGGTGCCAGCTGCCTCCTCAGATTCTCGCTCGGCTTGTCTCGCCAACTTCTGAGAATGTCGCTCAGACAGTGCAAACGACCAGGATCGATCCGCACACCAAGGGCCTGAAAACATCATTTAGCAATGGACCCATATGCCACTGTTGAATCGGGATAACCTACCAAGCTCGGTACTGGCCTGCTTTGCGAAGGCAAAGGCGCGTTGCAAGCAGGAAACGTTTCCGAATTTGTCGTGAAGCTGTCGGTAAAGATCGGTCTCAAAGGGCTGTTTTCTAGCCCCTTCATAGATCATCACCCTCTCCTGGGGACGAAATTCGCTCCGCTTGAGGAATGAGATGTGCTCCGATGTGTAGATACGACAATACAGGAGCTCCTCTAACTCCCTGGATTGTGTCAACAGTCAATTCAAATTGGCCGAGAAAATGGGGAATCACTTACGATGCCGCCCGATCAACTTTGGTCTTACTATTCGTGTCAATTGGAGATGCCGTCATCCCAAAGATTTTAGGACGGTTTTTCGCTGGCTCGGGGCTGTAAAAGTCCCTCATTATTTTGGCATACGCATGATTCTTCTTTGCATGGTGGGCTTCGTCAAAGCAGATCAGATTGATGTCCTTTATCAATATGAAGCCGCGACTGAGGCAGACGTTCAGCACGTCGGCAGTCATCACGATGACTAGCTCATCGTCGAGAATCTTGGACCAGGTCTCAAGTTTCCACATCTTCTCGGTGTCGCATTTGGCGCCGTAGTACCTTCCAACCTTGGCATCGAGATTGTTGGCCAGGACCGAAGATTGTTGAAACACCAGATTGACAGAGTCCACCAGGAAGAAACTGGCGCGACGATGTCCACCGGCTTTGCGGTTTTCCAGCTCCTCGCTGATCATGTGACGGATGAGTAGGCAGGCAATCAACGTCTTTCCAGAACCTTTGACTTGATTAGCACGACCGTTTGAGTTTACCCCAGGGTGGAACTACCGGTGTCGAGAACAGCCAGCACGTTCATCTGCTTGGCTAGCTCGAAGATCTCCAACTGATACTCTCTCGGCGTTGAAATGACCTCTGCAGCCCCTCTGTTCGCTAAAGCGGCCATAGAGAGCTTGTGATCATCCTCGTCGGCGATTGTCTTCTTGGGACTCTTTTCTTCGAACTTCCTAATTTCTTTTTCGAGCCTGTCCATGTACAAGTGATGAAATCAGTCCCCGACCGACACTTAAGATTGAGGCTGAGTGATTACCAAGCATTGAATCCGGCCTTTCGCTCGAGACGAGCTGCCGACATCTTCTTTTCCTTTCGCCGGTCTAGCGAGGTTTCGGACACACGGAGGGTGAGAATCTCTCGTTCGTCGCCGTTCGACCGAGCATCAGCATTATTTCCGATCTCATGGCCGTTATCTTGGTCGTTTTGGTGATCTTTCGTGAAAGTGTTCTCGTCTTTTGGATCGATCGATGAGGTCTCTCGATCCTGTGCTTCCTTCGCTAGGATGTGATCTAACAAGTCGCCCATGGTAGACATCGTGAATATGCGGTATGCGGTATGCGGTATGCGATGAGCAGTGTCAGCTCCACCTCCGTTGTCGTCTGGCGTGCGAAAGAGTAACTCGTGAGATCGTTGCGGGGGGAAGTCGAGGAGAATGATCGCTGCAGACTGAACCTGTTCAATGTGATGGGAAGTAGAGTGTTGGGAGAGTGAGCAAACAACTCACAGTATGGCGTTACTGGCAGCTTAAATATATAGAGGTTTGGAACTTCGTGTCTAGCCTCAACTCCACGATTCCTGGCGTGATGTAGTGAGAAGATTGCAATTGATGGGGTTGTTTGATGGCACGATAGGTCTACTAGTAATTAGGTCGCACCCCGCTCGCTAGATCCCTGCTTCCGCACTCACATCATCTCTAAATGTGGATGCAGATGTCAGATCAGGGTCAGCGATTCTGCAGTGTGAGTTTGGGCTTCAACCCGTTTGGCCTCTGTCTACTAGAGGGTGCTAGAATAGTTGTGAAGTCTATCTACGGGTTAGGGTTGTAGGGCTGAGGTACTTATTGATAGCTCCTCTAGGTTGAATATGGTTGGGGACTCTTAGAACCGATGGAAAATATAGCCTATTTTCTAGCTCCAACCACTTCACCAAAGAGCTTCTTTTCAACAGAAACTTGTTATTAACGGATGGAGAATCGCATGGCCGACATTAAAATAACGTCCGATTGATCTTGAGGAGTGTGGTTGTGGAGTTTAAGGATTTACAAATTAAATCATTCTGTATGGAGGCGTACTAATGCCCCCTGTTATCGACCAATTCACTTATGTTTGCACCAAATTTACCCATTTTGGGCCTATCTATAGGTAGCCAAATCGGGTAATCTAAGAACAACCATAAGCTGAGAATTGGACTAAATAGGCCTAAAATCGAATTGAAAATCTCTATTTCTTCTAAATAAAAGAAAACTCATAAATTGCTATTTGCTGTAATGTGTGAGGGGGGGGGGGGGTAAAAAAATACGCTTTTTTCCGTATCGGTACGGTCAAAAAGCGCATTAGTACGGTCAAACCACGTATTTTGACCGTATCGATACGGAAAAAGCGTATTTTTTACCCTCCCCCTTCACTATACAGTTACCCTTTTTGTAATTAATTCGATTTTTCAACGAATGTCCCATCTTTTGGTTCAAGGAGTCTCCAACCATGACTCCTCTAGGTTAGATAGCTCCCGGTACGATTAGAAACCTTTCGGGCAATGAGCTGAAGGACGTAGGGTGGTCTTGGGAGATGGGAAGTCACAAAGTAGATGCAAGTACTTTCTACGCCCAAAGGTCGAAGAGCCAGTTCTTTCGGCAGGACTGCTGCTGCAGTATTTCGAGAAAGTGCTTCCACTGAGTCTGGCTTTAGAAATTTAGAAGATTGGTGTAAACGTCTCTTAATTGGTACAGAGATCTATGATTCTCTATGAACGAAGAGCCGATATGACACCCATTTCCCATGCTCCATCACTGCAAAAACTTCCACTTCCTCGCAATTTCGAATCCCTCCGCCAACGTTCCCACCCTTGCATCGATAGCATACCCATCCTTCTCCAACCGCCTACATTCGGTGTAGAGATCCTTCAGTGGCACCGTGAAGCACTCAATAAACTCATTGTCCTCTAGCTGCGGCTTCGGGTTCTTGTTTTCCTCCTTGTCCAAATCAATCTTGACGTGGACCATGTGCAAATTGGTATTGCACATTCCAGGGTCGTTGAACATGAGGCAGCTCTTGTCCTGTTCCGCGATCTCGCCGCGATACCCCGTCTCCTCGTAGAGCTCTCGGAGTGCGCACTCTTCGGCCGTCTCATTGGCGTCGACGAGACCAGCGGGGACTTCGATAGTGATCTTGCCGATTGGCGGACGAAATTGTTTCTGCAAGAGAAGCTCGGGAGAGGAACCGGGGCGCTCAAGAATCGCGACGATACCGACGCCATCGTAGTTGACACCTACAGGACGTGTGCATCGCTCAGCGGACTCCCAGTCGCGCGTGGTGGAGTGCGGGTCAGTGTAGACGGTTCTGCAAGTTATCGACGTCAGCTCTGAGTTGCTGCAGGAGATAAAGCGACACTCACTTGACGAGCTTGACCCATTTCGCATCCCGGAGCATCAACGGCTCACGGGAGACTACCTCGCAGCTTTCAAGAGACATTCTGGTGATGGTTCGGAATGTGTGGTGCGGCACGAGGGGTTGATGTAGTGGTGGGGTGGGGTTGATCGTGTCATCGCTTATTTTAGTGTCCGCCGCAGGCCGATTATGTTTCTTCGCATTCCACACTCTGTTTCAACGTCATCTCATTACCCCGCCAAACCGCTATGGCCAGCTCCGACGACCAACAAAGCTCGATCTCCTCGCTCCTCCGAGAAGCCGACATACTGAAGGATCAGCTCAGTAGCTATCCAGATACCAACGGCGATGAGTACCAGACGAAGCTTGGTCTTGCCATCAAAAAGTACCAGCAGTGCAAGGATCTGGTCGCGCGAGCGTCTCTGCTGAGTTTAAACGAGTCGCTGGAGGATCTGGCGACTTCGGATATGCGGTGAGCAGCTACCGTTGGGAATATGCTGTCGTGTTGTCGCGTTATAGCTTCTGATGTATGCAGATAGATGTCTTGCCATCCCCTTCACCATCGCGGAACTCAACACGCGGGTCAAATCGCCGGATCGGAAGCCTGTCTTGCTGCGTTCGGTGGCGCTCTACAAGAAATTTATCTCGCTCTGCGATGCGTACGATCTTGTCTCGTCAGCGGAACGGACTGCCGCGGAGAATGCGGGGACCGGAAAGCCTGTCTCGGTTCTGCCGACGGATCCTGGAGCTCGTCGAACGGCGAAGATAGCTCAGTTCAAGGCGGAGAAAGAGCTTAAGGCCAAGATAGAGGTATGGAAAAAAATCCTCTCAGGATCGTCTGTTGCTTGGCCCAGCTTAAACTAAGGCTTCTCCGTGTGTGATTGATAGTCGCTAGCAAACCATGCGAGCGCGGACGACGAAGATTTACGGGAATTCCACAAGGCATCACTGAAGCTTGCAATAATGCAGACCATTCAATCACTGGAAATGATTATGATGGAGCTCGACATGTTAGCAAAGGCGCCTCCTCCGTCGTCCGAACCTCGCGCAACACAGGAGGAGGAGGACGATGCCCGGCGTCGTGGGCGCAAAAACGATGGATACAACGAGAAATTGGATTCTATTCCTAGCACAATAAAGGGAGGGAATTTGTTGACCAAGGACGGGAAACCACTGCGGCCTTTCGTGTTGCTGGACAAGCGACAACAGCTCAAGGATGGTGTTTTCGGGTCTGGGCACAATCTACCCACGATGACTATTGATGAGTACCTCGAAGAAGAGAGGAGACGAGGTGGAATCATAGAAGGCGGAGGGTTTGTCCTTTGATTCCATATTTCGCTTCTGCTTTATACTCACAGTGTATAGGGAAAAATCGGGCGAGCGACCAGAAGTCGATGAGGATGACTACGAAGCTGGTGACGCTGCGACCATGAAAGCCCGTGCCTGGGACGAATACACAGAACAGAATCCAAAGTACGTTGCTCCCATCCATCTATATGCTTCATGCACTCGCACCTGACAACGTCAATAGGGGTTCTGGCAATACTCTCAACAGAGGCTAATAGTGGTGGAACAATAATAAAATGATCTTTCCCCACGCCATGCAATTTAATTGAGCTGTGTTTACATACCTAAAGCTCGTCGTGATTCTCAGCACGCTTCTTCCTCTCGAACTCTTTGACTACCTCTAAATCCCCCGCCCAAGGAGCCTATGCCATCACGTCAGTATCAGGCCATGCTGGTCTAATGTGCAAGGGGAGCTTAACCATCAACGGGATATTCTTTGGTAATATCTCTGGCCAGTGGTTTTCCACGTGGACCATGAATGCTCCATAAAGCAGCTGATAACCCTGTCGTACAGCCACCGTATCAATCCCATTCAGACGGAGTAACATCATACTAGGCCACTCAACTCACCTTGGGCCCCAAATGCAGCCCATCAGTCAGGTACTCCCTCAGCGATGGCGATCCTTCGTCATTGAGTGGAGCATTCGCAACCTTCTTCATAAACACAGTATAAAAGTCGAGCACCCCGAGATGGCTGTCGTCCGTTCCCAGGTCCAGAATCAAGTCCTTGACGGCTGCAGCATATTCTGCGGTCACGTCAAATGACCTGTCAGCACCCTTTCGACGATGGTACTTGCCGAGCATCTCTCGATCGATGGGTGGTGGTGTGATGAACAGAATCCGACTGTGCTGGGAGCGCTCATTTTCGCGTATCATCTTGATCATTTTGCAAATGTTCTCCTTGTATCTTTCCAGTGGGACCTGGAAAGCCGAAAGAAACTCACGGGCTGACTATCAGTCTCCTATACCTTGAATATGGGGATTTTCGGAGAAGGAAACGGTGACAAAACGTGCGTGGTGAACAAATTCCGGTAGACAAGCGTCGTTCGTCCCAACCCACACGACCCATAGAAGCACCTCCGATATCTGTGCGGCCAGAACTCTCTCCAACCATGGCAGAAGCCAGTCCGAGTTGTAACCCGAGAGTCCTACGAACAGAGAAAGCCATTCCTTTAGTGCTTGAATTTTCTGGGGAGAGAGAGGATTATTCACTCTCCCCCCCGAGCTCTCTCTCACGTAGAAGCGGGGAAGGGGGAAGGGGAGCTTAAACCTCGGTTTAGAACATCCGCACGCCGGACATATGCATCCGCGAGGGTAGCTCCCGAGCCGTCTCTGCCCGGAGAGTAAGCTTGCTCGATGAGCGAGTCGCCAAAGAGGATTATTGCGGGGAACGATGCTGCTGCTGCGGGAGAAGCCATCATCAGTTTGGCCGACCGGGAGAGTTCGAGCACACGAGAAACGGTTTGGTTAGTGATGGAAGGTTTAGTCCCACTTGTAAAGCATAAGAGGAGTCGGGTAACGAGGGAATTATAATGACCCGTGACAGGGTGGGGGCCGTCTGCCGGAGCGGAGAGCTGAGACATCTTGCTTGCCGTGGGTCATGACTCAAAATATTGGCCGGGGGTTCGTCGGAGCACTCTATGGCGAGCTGGCGGTTTGAATCACATGCATTTGGCCTTGAGCTTGTGGATCGGATGTGGTGGTTCGACTACTCCGGAGCTATGGTGTACGATCATCGGATCAAAGCGAGCAGTCGCAACAAGTTCCTCTCAACCCATGCATCCACCCAGAGCCCCGTCTTGGACCAAAAAATATGACGAGTGATCGCCCATGCGCAGTCCAGCGGAGTCGGGGCCCCGTTCCAGGCACGTAGAGTATAGTGCCGCGGGTTCAGGGACTTCCATTTTGCTTCTGCAGCATTCGCCGGGCATCCATCAGCAATCTAAATTGACTTGACATGATGAAACACAATTTGGAGAAGCTGCCGGGCATTAATTGCAGTTGCTGAGAATATGGGTGGGGCATGGCTTGGCTACAGGGTAGAGAAATCTGAGAACGTCATCTCCACTTCCTACCCACACATTTCCGCGATACTTTCGAGCTCCCCCGCCCCGCCCAGCGTCAACAACCAAGCTTGCACCAATCCATCCCACCACTTCACACTCACTCCCGGGAGTCTTCGATGGCGTCGTCAGCCACTGCGAACCCTGACTCGCGTCCGGGAACTCCAGGAACGACCCGGAGCCGCTCCGCACAGATTCGTACATCGACCCTCCGTTCCACGAGCTCCACATCGTCGCTCAGCTCGCTCTTCTCCGCCTCCCCCCTGAAGGATGGATTGTCGGGAGGCCGAAGATCGGCGGATCAGTACGATGCGCGATCCCTTATCTACCGCGCGTTTGTTCCGCACATCGCCGTGCATGTCTCCGCCGACACCGACGAGCTCGCACGCGAAAAAGGATTTGCGAGCTTCCACGAGATGCTACGGCCCTACGGCGACGACCTACAGGGACGGCTAACGGTCAGGGACTCGGTGGGCAGCAGCAATAGCTTTGATGACTTCGGAGTGAGGTTCGTGGGATTACGGGAGATGGCTGCGTCGGGTGAGAATTGGGAGACAGGAATATCCGCCTGGGCGAATGGACGGGGCACTGCGTCGGCGGGGGAGAAGGGTTCCGCTGGGGGAGCAGGGTCGCAGAAGGTTTTCGTGGGAGGTAATATAGATGAAGTTGAAGAGCTGGCCAATCTACACCTGGAACGGAACGAAGAGGATCTTCTGGAAGCGTCCTCCCCCGTTGCAAATGGTGGTGGCAGCGGTAATGGTGGAGGAGGAGGAGGCGGTGCTGGTGCTGCTGCTTCTCCGCCGTCAGATCACCTGTTCTATCTCCATTTCCTCCGCAGGCTACTCTCGGCAATGCCGGTATCGCCCCACGAAACGTTTTCACATCCAGTAGCATGTGTCATTGCAATATCTTCACGAAACCAATCGCCCATCGAGACTCTGCGCAACCTCTACGCCTCCGGAAACGATGTGAACATGCCGCAATATGTAAACAATGACTACTTGAGATACTACGTTCTGGTCCACGATGAAGATAGGGACGACATTCAGAAGTCGGTTGCATCCACTCAAAACGCAGATCCGTGCATGGCTAACTTGCGGGTGCGCTTAGATCTACAACGTTATTCGACCAGATGAAGAAACACTTTGGCTTGAGCTGTCACCTGTTACGCCTTAGGTCGGGAGGGAAAACTGCGGTCACAGACGACGATGCGGTCATGGTGCCGACAAGTCAATGGCGCTCGGCGGCTGAGGAGCTTGCGAGCATCCGTGCGAAAGGTGGGGATCTTCGGGCTCGACACATCACTGCATTGGCTAACACTCGCTTCCAGATGCCGAGGACACCCCACCGTTATGCCTCCCCGAGACGGACGCATCAGGAATCCAGACGATGGTACGAGAGATGACACAAATGAGCGTAGTGCCGTTCATGGAGCGGTGCATTGCAACATGGAACGACCAGGTCGCATCCAGGCGGCGAGGACTTAGCGGAAGGTTTCTGTCCATGTCCAAGCGGTATTTCGGCAGTACTTCCACACGAAGTTCGACCTCATCTTCAAGTAACTACGATCCCGTGTCGGCATCCTACCCTCCCTCCACGCCCGAGGCTCAGATGCGAAAGTTGGCGGACTTCGCATTCATGCTTAGGGACTGGAAGCTAGCACACAGCGTCTATGACCTCTTGCGGACAGATTTTACAAATGACAAAGCGTGGAAACATCACGCGGCTGCTCATGTGAGGATCCTATCTGCATCACTATCGTACGGAGACTAACAGTCGACAGGAAATGACCGCAGTAAGCATGATCCTAACCGGCACACCCCTCTCGCACAAGGTCCGACAAGAAACGATAGAACCGATGATCGACCTTGCCTGTTACTCCTACGTCGCCCGCTGTTCAGCAACCTACTCCGCACTCCGCTGCCTCCTCGTCTCGGTGGAGCTCCTCCGCCTCCGCGGCGGCGGCGCAGTCGACGAAGCTGCCAAATGGGCGATGCGTGCTCGTGACTCCAGCTCCCTCGGTCCGATCGGCCATGCCCTTGTCACCGAGCGCGTCGGCGATTGCTACGTGATGCGGCAGGGGCGTGGATCACAAGCCCTTGGCAGTAGGAAGCGAAAAGCGGCCATGTGGAAGATGCTCGCAGCTAACGAGTGGGTCGCCGCTGGGAAAACCACACGCGCACGGCATTGTCTGGACGATGCGCTGCCGCGCTACGAGGACACTAGATTCGATGTAATCAAGGGGTTTGCGGACTCGCTGAAGGCACGGACGGGATACACACCCTTGTCTGGGCGAAATGTGGGGAATCTGGTAGATGATGACGACGACGACGATGAATGCCTCGAGCTCGGGAGCAAACGCAAGAGCATCGTCATGTCCCCCAGTGGTGTGGAGGACTCGAGGGTCGCGGAGGATGATAAGTTTGTCGAGAGCTAAGGGAGGCGGGTTTGTACTGGGGCGTAATCACTAATGTTGTTTTTTGTAACGTTGGGAAGTGGATGCTTAGCATGGCGTTTGGGCGTTCCTGGATTGAATGGTTGTCCGTTGGCTTCGAGAGGAATCATGTGTTGTGTATAATTTTCCTACACTAGATGAGAACGCTTAGGTCCAGACTTCGGAGAGGAGAGGAGGATGGAAGAGCGATATTCTGTAGTTATATTCGCAAAGGCAAGGAATTTACGTGCACCTCGTTCATCGTATCTACCATTCCGTCCGCGCCGCTCCACTGGACAACTTCTCTAGGGAGTGTCCATTCATCAATCCACCTGAGATAATATGGCGGATAGAGGTGAGATCATCAGATAAGTACATAACAGGCAAATACTCCACTCGGAGTCCAACGATAAAAATAGAGCTTCTATGTACCCTATGTCAGCGATGACTCCAACTCCATGAGTCGCGACTTGCAGCCGAGTGGACCACGTGCAAAACAAACACTAGCTTGGATATACATGAAGCTGGAGCAACCAGGAAACGCGTAGATAACAACACCAGCTTTCCACTCGAACGAAGCTCTCTACTCCAACGGGGCTTTCTACTCGAACGAAGTTCTCTACTTTACCGACGCGGATCCCCAAAGTTTGCCGGCCATGTCGGAGCTTCTCGCCTTCATTCTCGAGCACGAGCAATTCCGCAAGTGCGTCCCCCTCACAAATGGGTGTAGATAAGATATGTGCTAACACGCTACAGGGCGCGTCTTCCAAGCTTGTACTCCGACTTCCGCAACCTCAAGACCACGAACCTCAACGGCTACCATGCCAACGTGACCGCGTGGAAAACGATCCTCTCCGCCGCCCTCGCCGCGGGCAAAGGTCCAGATTCCAACAAGCTGGTGCTGACCACCAGCGACGACCTCGTATCGTCTCTGCAAACACGAGAATGTGGCCGGCCTCTGGCGCTGGGTGTCGTTATCGCTGAGGCTTTACACAACAAGGAGCTATGGAATCTGGATACATTCCTAGCGCGGCAGGAGAGCATCTACGCGTGGAGCTATACCGGCGCCGTGCTGAACTGGGGGTTGACGAAAGCGGGGATCCGCGGGCAGCCGGTGGATACTCGCGGGATGGTTCACGGCCGGTTCGTGATCGTTAAGAACGTCGAAGAAGCCGCCAAACAGATCACGAGCACGTTCGCCGGGCACAGCTCGCTCACCGACCGGATTTTCACCGCCGACCTCTTCGCGTCCGAACATGCACCCACGCTATCCGCAACCGACCTGAAGGTCCTCCTCCGCCACCTCTCCCGCGACAACCGAGTATGCGCCTACAGCGGCGCCACAGTAAAATTCCTCGCCCCTGGCGAGCCCGCGATAATAACAGAAACCGACACGACAATCGCACACCTCAAGTCGCTGCTGCACTCGCTGAGCACACGGATCGTGCAGCTGAGCACCGACATCGCCGCGTGCACCGCCCGGGCGCAGGCCGCCGTGGCGAATAAAAACCGCCCTGTCGCCCTGGCCGCGCTGAAGAGTCGGAAGACGGCGGAGGGGGTGTTGACTACGCAACTGCGTGCCCGTGGGCAAGTCGAGGAGGTGATGGCCAGCATTCAGACTGCTGCGGACAATATCGAGCTAGTGACGATTCTTGATCGCAGCTCGAAGGTGCTCAAGGGCCTGAATAAGGAGATTGGCGGGGTTGAGGGCGTGGATATGGTTCTAGATAAATTACGGGAGGAGACGGATACGGTGGAGGAGGTCAATAGGGCTATTACTGAGGGAGGTGTGGTTATTGATGAGGAGGTTGTTGAGGATGAGTTGGAGGCTATGATGAACGAGGTGAAGGATGCGGAGAGGGCGGAGAAGGTTAGAAAGGAGTTAGAGGAGATTCCTGCTGTCAGAGAGCCGAAGCAGGACGAGGTGATTGACAGACAGTTGTCGGATTCATTGGAAAGTATGAAGCTAGGGAACGAGGAGGAAAAGGAGGAGAACTTATCGGTGCACGCTTCGTAATTCCAGGCAATTAGAATATCGTAATTCATATTCATCCAAAAAGAATGCCCCGGCCTCAGCCCACCCAAGTGATTTTCCTTCCTTCCCAGCAATGCTTGTCTACTTGCTATATTATACACCAGAAAAAAATAGAACGCCCAAGTACACGAAAGAACGATGTTACTCTGGAACGTACGAAAGAAATAACTATTAAAAAATGATTGCAGTTCAGAAGATGCAACGCTAGGTAAATACAGCCCCTCACGTCGTCCCCGTTAGCGTAGACTCTTCAATGCTAGAATATTTCCGCTTCCCTTCCGTCGGCTGACTCGACGATAGCGGCGATGGTAGGGGCGGAGGCAAACGCCCAGTCTCAACTGACGGCGGTTGCCCATAAACTGGGAATGCGGAATGGAGATAGGGGTGGTCCTGCTGTGCTGTCGACTCGGGGTCCTGCGGACGTAGCATTGGTTGTATGGGGCCGGTTAAGTCTACTGCTGGCGGTTGCGATGCTGGGTATCGATTGACGATTGACGATCCGGCGGGAAACTGTGGCGAGCGTTGAGAATATGATCCGGCGGGAAATTGTGGCGAGCGTTGAGGAAACGACCCGGCGGGAAACTGTGGTGAGTGTTGAGGAAATGATCCTGAGCTGGACACTGCTACCTGGTGTACTGCGTACCGACCGACTTGGGAAGACGAGTCTCCAGTATTTGTCCAGCCGAAGGGTTCTGGCGACGGGGGTTTCTCCATGGGTTTCACCGGTGATGGTTTATCATCTTCACCGCCGCCGGTTTCTCCCTTTTCCTTCTCCTCTCCCTTCTCCTCTCCCTTCTCCACCTTCTGCCTCTTTACATTCTCTCTTGCCTGCTCTATCAACGATAGAAAGTCCTCATCATGCGTCTTTGCCCATTCCTTCGCCGACCAATCCGGCGCCTTGGATTTATCGTTCGCCGGCCTGGTATGTGCCGTCTCCCAAGTAGCCAGTCCCTTCAACAGCTCCTTCTTACTCTTTCGAGACAGCGGCGTTGCGTCACGGTTGGCGTTGTAGATACTGGTCCACTCAGTATGTCGCTCCTGGAGCAATTTTCGACTCCCGTGATCTGGAATACCGAGTTCACGTAGCTTCTGCCGCAGCTTCTTTTCGGAAAGAAAATTATAGGTGAGTTTCGGGAGAGGCTCGATATCTTCTGGAACGGCGGTAGCGGAGCGGGTATTGCTAGGGCTGGTGAGTCTATGACTTTTAAGGGTAGAAGAGGGGGGATGTGTACGTGGTGCGGGCTGGACGATTGGCTGGAGCCAGTGGCTGTGATGATGTCAATGGGGGTGTAGATCGCTTCTTATCGTCGGAAAAGTGGGATTGGTCTAGGTGGGCGTTTATCGAGGCTTCTTTCATGCGTTTCTGGCAGATCGGGCAGGGGACTAAGCCGTCGTCTGGTAGACAGGTGTTAGCATTCAGTTCCCGCCGACTAAATGAGAGGGGATATGCCTGGTGGAGGAGACGGGCTATCTCTATAGGCATCGTCATCATCCTCGCTGCATTCGACCACTGTTCTTTTTGGATGTTGGGGCTGAGGTGGCGGCCGATTTCGCTGCGACCTCCGTGATCTCTGCGAACTCATCTCGATATCTCCATCTTCCGCCTCCACTTCCTGTTCCACTGCCCTCTCCGGCACCTTCGCCTTCGTAGCAAGCTCTAGCAGATGTTGCCTACATCCCACAAACGCATCCAGCGCATCCTGTACAGTCGTATTCTTCCTCAGGTTGAACTCCTGGCTCTGGGCTCGACATATAGGACACTTTCCGTCGCGATGGAATGCCCGCCGGATACATAGCGAGCAAAATGTGTGGCAGCAGTGTGTGATCATAGGCGCGTTGTAGAATTCCTTGCAGACCTCGCACCGAAGCGCCGCATCGAGGTGTTCTAGTGCCTGGAGGGAGGTGCCTTTCCAATCGGTAGGGTCGGTGAGGGTGGTAGCTTCGGCCATGGTGTTTTTGTCGAGTGGTGGGGGTGTGGAGGGTTGTCGTGCGGGGACGCGCCTTTGAGGGGACGCGCTTCGCTTCTGTTCATTTCTCGATCCCGTAAAGTGTAGCTTGCTAACGTAGTGTCTCGCCAAGAACGTACAGGTACCCGTCACCTACATACAAGCTCAACTTCCGGTCCAGACAGCCGTCTCCAGCAACTCGTCTCATCAGCAACTGTCGCATTTCCTTCTCCGGCTCAATCACACAACCTCCATCACAATGGCCCAAGTCAACTACCGTCTAATCGATGTCGACGCTCTCGACCCAGAGAATGCCTTCCCCGCCGAGCTCCTCACCCCGCAGTTCGATCCGGTCGCCATAGGCGACATCCAAGCTCTCGCAACGCAGTGCCGACAACTGCTGCAGCGCGGGGACCAGGAGGCTGCGCTCCAAAGTGCGTTGGAGAATGTTCCGTACGGAGGGGATGACCAGGGGAAGGTAGAAGCAGCATCCACCCCCCACCCATAGCTCGGTGGTGATTGACCCTATCGCGTCACAGGAGCTCCACCTTTCAACCATCCTCGAGATCCTCTCCTCCATAAAGCAGGCCGAGATGACGCCAATCTTGACGCGCATCTACAGCTCTCCCGCGGGGACGGAGCTGCTCGACGTTCTCATGAAGTGAGCCACAGCACGTATGCAAGCTCGCGAGACTGCGGACTGACCGAGTCGGCATTAGGTATCTCTACAAGGGCATGGCCCGCCACAACGCCTCCAACACTGCTACGCCCGGCGTTTCCGTGCACGCTACTGGCGTCTCCTCTGTTAGTGGCCAGGGAGGGGGTGGTAGAGAGTACGGCGTTGCGCCAAGTAGGGGTGATGGAGGCGGGATGAGTGTTTTGTTGAGCTGGCATGAGAAGGTATGGAGCACCGGGGCATCATGTGAAAACCGGATTGACTGACTGACTGAGGGAATAGGTCGTGGATGTGGCAGGCACGGGTTCCATCGTAAGGGTCATGACGGATCGGAGGACGGTTTGAAAGCTGCGTGGACTATACCTTGGATTGTCTTCTTTCTCTTTCTTCTGCCCTGGCATTTTATAGCGTTGAGTTGTAGCAAAAAAGAGGCCGGTTTGCACATCATCTTCTTATCGAGTGAGATTTGGTGGGATAATCTAGACACCCACTTCTGCCCGCTCGAAATCAGGACTCATAATCCGCATTTTTGTGTAGCACCAGGTATCAGGAAGATCGTATAACGAATTAGATCAAATGTCCTATCGTTCGCTCTGGTAAGCTATTATAAAAGTCACTTCAAGATGATTCAAATTTCATTGGTTATTGGTCTAGTCAATCATGGGCGGGACAGATTGTCATGTTGATTTATTAACTGTCATTTAGGCAAAAGGGGATTGAGATGATGGGGATAGTCGGGGGATACCCGCTTTGACAATGCCTATGGGCCGCTCCTACAGACAGACCGCTCCTACTCCGTACCCGCACAAAACAAGGTACCCAACAACTAACTTATAACCCCTTCCCCCTCCCCCCATCTTTCCTAGATACCGGCTCCGACCCGAATTTTTTCTAAAAACTCATGCCGTACTGGTGTCCGTGGTGCGGTTGTTTCTGCGGTGGGTGATGTAGCTGCGGCTGTAATGGTGGCGGCAGAAGCGGCGGTGGTGCTGCTTTCAGCGATACATTTTCTCTTCTCAGGAGCCTTTACGCATCAATTAGTCCACCATTTGCCCCATAAATAAAACGACAGGAAACCGGGAACATACATATTCTCCCTCTTGAGTCTTCCCTGCTCCTCTCGTAACTGCCGCAGCATCTCCAGTACTTCGGCTTCACCCTTGCCCAGCTTGAAGCCGTTGGACATCTTCACGAGCTCCTCGTTAAAACGTTCAAACAGCACGTCGTTCTCGGCGACACAGTCATTCAGCAGCTTATCTGCGCCAGCGAGTTCCTTTTCCTTGCGTGCCAGCAGCGCTTTTAATCTTTCGACATCAGCTAGGCTGGGTGAGTTGAGTATGGGGAAGGGTGCTGCAGGGGAGGACGTGATGCGCGCCTCGAGAGCGGCAAGACGGGCGGAAAGGTCCCGGTATTTGGCGGCGTCAGCTGTTTGTGCCTGTGTGGGTGTGCGGGTACGTGAGCTCAAGTTCATAGCGGAGCTCAGTTCTGCGCCTATCAGATCAATTTCCCGCTGCAGGTTTGAGTCGACTGTTGCAGTGCTAAGGGCTTGTTTTTCGGTGTTGAGGCGCTCACGGAGCTGTGCGGAATTAGTCAGTTATGTATAGTCAATATGTACGATGGAAGTATATACCTTCTGCGTACTCTGCATCTTCAGTCTCTGGGGTACCGGCACCGCCGAAGCCGCACCAAACGACTTGCGGGCATTTTGCCGCCCCGATAATGTCGACGGTGGAGAGTTTTCGTCGCTCTGGTGGCTGTGTGATGAGCCCAGGCGGGATTGCTCTCGGGGGCTCGGGGTAGATCGCTGCAGTTCTAGCGGCGGCGGTGGTGGCGGTGGTGGTGGTAGTGGCAGGGGCTTAGGTCCATCATGGTAGACATCGAGATTTAACTCCGAGTTGCTCTTAATTGGTGGAGTGAGTGTGGGTGCAGGATGCAGTTGACGGTAATCTGGGTGGTTTGTCAGGTCCCCAAGACTACTCCTTCTCTTGCGGCGAGAATTCTGTGCAGGTTCTCCAGGTGGGACTAGATGGATGGGTGATGCGAGGATTGTTGACATTGGCCTCGGGGCGGTCTGAGTGGGAGTTATGGGTCCATTGGGTCCGCCCATGCCGCCATACCCACCGCCGGATCCCAACACTATTGGGCGGTCTCTGGAGCTGGGACGGAGAGGTGGTGGGATTACCCCGGCACGGCCATAGTCAATTGATTTGGAGCGTTCCATTCGGGTTTTGTTGTCCTTCTTGCTCAAAGTCCGCCACACGGAATGGGGCCTCGACATATCGAGTCTAGAGCCCTCACGCACCGATGAGGAATGACTGAGGCCCAACCGTTTCCGGAGCGAAGAGGGATTGGGCACAACGTTGACCGATTTAGCCCTTTTGACTGCACCGTTCTCAAGCCGCGGTGGCGGTGCCTCTGTAGAATACACCGTCAGATACTTTACAAAGTATATCCGTATGAAAGACAAGTACTGACCACTAAACAGGGTATCCATGTCTCCAACCAACATATCAACCAGACCCATGTAATCCAAAGCATTGACCTCCTCTCCCACCAGCAACTCCGTGAAAGCTTTCGTCAACATGCCCTTGTCATCCTCCGCCTCAACCTTCTCTTGCATCTCCTTCAGCAGCACAATGATGGTTCGGAAAGCCCTCTTGTTCTGAGGGGTCCAATCGAGGACGAAAATCCTAAAGAAGTCCTCGAAATCTCCTGGATAAAGTGTGCCGCTTTTGTCCCGTAGCTCCGCCAAAGCAGCTTCACTAATGACAGGGCCCATTTCATCCCTCCAAGGAGAGCTCAGGAATTTCGCAAAGGCGACAAAGACGACATCGATGCCAATGTCTTTCTCAAGGCGACAACTCCGGGGATCCGCCACCAGTTGGCCCAAAAGAAAATCAACCGCCTCGTGGTCCACTTTGTGAATCTCGTAGAGCGGTCCGAGATCTACACCCGAGCTTCCTATCATCCGCATAGTGTTGACGAGTGCCTCAAACGTATCCTCGAGCTTTCTTAGTGGACTTTCAATAGCCATAGTGATTCTATGACGGCCCTCTCCATCCGATGCCTCGCCCTCTCCGGCGAAGCCGATAACGGTTGTGCCGCGTTGGAACATGCTTATAGGCCGCAGTTCTTTGGGAGGTAGCATCTGACTTTGAGTTCGTTCCATCAAACCCACCCTCTGTTTGTTCGGGCTTCCAGGCGTGTTTAAGATGGAGTTGATGAGTTTCACTGGACTAGGTGGTCGCAGCTTGCTGAATCTTCCTTCACCCTCAAATGGCACGCCGAGGGCGCGCAAAAGCTTTCTGTTCGCGGAGAGGAGCGCAGAAGTCAATGGGGGATGTTGAGGTGAGGTGTGAAGGCGCAGTAATGAAGATAACCTCATTGTAAACGCCGGAAGGAGTTCTTCGTAGGAAACGGTATCGGTGGAGGCATATTCGTTCCAACTTCGGCATTCAAGTCTTAGCTGCTTCGCTTTCGATTCCTCAAGGCTGAAGACGATGTCGACACCATTCTTACCCACATCACCCACCAACTGAGATCGACTGGCCGTGGAGCCCGTGGTCCCGATGTCCAGATAGACAACCGTCGAACCTTTCTGTTTCATTTGCGAATACCCGGCTTGACTTCCCCAGACACAGCTCCAGAGAGTCAGTCCATCGCACTTGGTTTCTCGCAATCCGATAACGCCCTTCGTCTTGCGCCCCATCCGTTTCTCCAGTCTCGCCTTCGCAAATTCCTCCTCCACTTTATGGGCACGCCCTTCGTATTGATTCAATAGCCGCATTTTGCGCAGACTCGTACCGCCTGCTCTGATATCCCAACCGTCCTTCAGGTTACTTGCCAAAGTCATCCACAGAACGGTGCCAACATCGCTTCCGGCCGGCTTGACGTCAGCGATGTCAACCCAGCCGATGAACTGCAGGTCATGCCCGCCGCCATCCCTCCTAGCCCCGCTTCCGGCATTTGTAGCAACACCGCCACCTGGTCGATCCACTTCCGCCATGACTCCCCTAGCAAGCACGGATTTCGAACTTGGCCGCCGGAGAAATACCACGCAGTCTGGGAATAGCAGTAATAACGAGGATGCTGCTTCGGATGTGTTGTCGTTGTAAGGAGGCATAATATCCAGGTAATCTATTGCTGTAATCAAACGTCCAGCCGGTTGTAGATGGAGCGGCCACGAAGCGATGAACGACTGAAGCCGTTTAACGGTCGTCGTCCGTTCGGTCGTTTCCGATGATTGAAGGGAACATATCTCCGTTATTATTCCACGGGCGTCGTTGAGTGGCCCCAGCGAAGAATGATCACTTGGTAGGAGGTTGAGCATATTGTCTATCAAAAGCGAATACCTCGGGAGTCTCTGGACAGGCTCGATGATCAATGAACGCAGTTTCTGCTCTCCGGTTTGCTGAATCCTCTTTGAGACAGACGAGTCTTTCTGCTTCGTGAGCTTTGCAAGCAGTTGCGGGAACTCCGCGCTGGCCTGCATGTACTCTTCATAGGGTTTCTTGAAAGAAGGAAAGCTTTCCAGGCAGCATTTGCTCACGTCCTCGATTCCGCCGGTCCTAATGCCTTGCAGAAACCGTGCATTGACTTCGATTATGGTCTCTAAACATGGCGGAAACAGAGTATCCAAATCCTTTGGCGACAGAGTTGATCCCTCGCCCTTCCTCGATGAAGGTCGCCGTTGCTTTAGAGGTTTGGCAATATCTTCCAATAGCTCTCGCAATTTCGCAACATAGTTCTCCTCCGTGTGCCGCAGCTCCTCCAGCTCTCGCTCTAGAGCTTCGGCTGTATCCTTGAGGGACTTAGGTCGTATAATCGTTGACGCCGGTCTACTCGCCGCGCGCTTCAGCTTCGAAAACGGTAGGTACGTCGGTTCACCGAAGCCGCTCAGAATCTTCTCGACGTCCTCGGGAACCAAATCTGGATCGACCGCAAGGTTGCTTTCTGACGACCGCACAACAATGTCCAGATCCACAGCGCCGACGAACCGCTCGGCCAGCGCGCACATCAGATCGGTCGCCAGACTCTCCGTCTCCACCTCCTTAAGTCGTGCCGCCAGGTCCCCCGCATGCATTTCATCGAAGGCTACCGCCTGCGCCTCCCCCGGCGTAGCACCATTGCCCTGGCTCCTCAGCAGTGTTTCCTTGACAGCCTTCGATAGCTCCGAGAAGTACTTCAGCACGGCGATGGCGAATCCGCGATGTATCTCCGAGGTCTGCTTCTGCAGCGGAAGGTGGTTGACGGCGGCATAGAGCGGCGACGAATGTGACAGCGCAAGCTTCGGGTAACTCTGGAAACCCGCACAGCTGAAGATGTGGGCTTCGATCCTGCCGTGGGACACCGATGGAGAGGATGGATGCGACGGAGCCGACGACGACGAGGACAGCGAGCTGTAGAAAACGATGATGTGGCCCAGGACGGGATCGGTTGCGGCGTACGGCGTGCAATTGCTTAGGTTCGGAGGAGGTGCTGAGAGGGAAGCCATGGTCTCCGAGGGCGGCGAGCGCCAAGCGCGCAAGGCTACTCACTACCTGCTTGCGGGGCGGGGCTGCTTGCTTTGTTTCGCTTCTGTTCTAGAGTTGGAACAACACTTTGCAGGCGGGAGAAGCGCGGGGTGGGATGGGATGGGTACAGTACGGAGGTGTGGAGGTGACAGGAGAACAGCAGCAGCAGCAGGAGCAGCAACAGCAGCAGATAGCTCGCGGTGCATACATCCAATTAAGGAAAAGATAGAGTGGGCACCTGTGTCGAGTGACTTTAGTGTTTTTTCCTCAGCCCTTTGGGTTCTCCATCATTTGACAAAGGGCGACGTTCGTCGGACTGTCGGACTCGCGCTGCTTCGGTGGCCTGCTGGGAGCGAACAACAACGCAGCTTCGGGGCATACAGCAGGAACAGGAAGATGTGCGGGGGCGGGCTGGCGACCCGAGGAGAAGAAAGAAAGAAAAATCCCACTTTGTACATAAACCGTCGCCGACTACGGAAGGAACTGGGTGGTGGAGGATTGTCTATTTCGAAGGCGTGAACTGCGGGGCATACTCTATCTACTTGGCTATCCTCAGAAGCTGTCGCGCGGTGGTCTGGTGCGCCACATTGGATGTGGCTAGGTATGGTTGTCAACCCCCACGTTTCCTCATGAAAGCCTGGTTGTCATGCGTGCCAAAGTCGTAGATACATACCCTGTTGACAGGCCCTGCCAATCGAATTGGGGTTCTGTTGTGCTTTTAGTACATCGAGTGGCAAGCCGCAGAAGCCAGCGTGTGATTGGAGCCGCTGTGCCGTGCTTCGAGCTCAAAGGTCTGTTGCTATGGGGTTGTTATGCAGCAGATTGGAGAGAGAGGGAGAGGGGGGGAACCCGCAACGCTGTCGATTGGCGGAATGCTGGTGGTTGTGGCGATTAACGCGCCTCATGAGGTGAAGAGTTTAAACATTCGAAACCACCGCCTCGCTCATGAAGGTCCAGTCCAAGATCTACACGATGTTATCTCCACTGTGGAGTAACGACCCAACTGGAGCATTCGCTCTAGCTGCCGTCCATTCCTAGGCCTAATGCAACAAACAATGACATCAAAAAACGGTCAAACAACATGAATAAACATACAGAAACAGTGTAAAACAGCCAACATCCACATTCCGCACTGTACCTTATAAACCTCCGCACCTCCTCACCCCTTCCCCTCAACCAGAGCTCAAATGGCTAAACAACCCGCTCAACATATAAAATTCATCTACACAACCGTACCCGTATATGGCGTGGGCGTGGGAGTGGTCTCACCAGCGCTGTTTTCTGCCGGGGCAGAAGAATCACCATTTGTCTCCGTGGGCGCAGCTGCAGCTGACGGCCTATCCTTCCGCCTGTAGTAAAGCATCACATCCCCACTCGTCTTCCACACGTATGTTCTCATGGTAGCCAGTGACATAGTAGGCGGGACGACCTTGCAGATGCATCAGCACTGACCTATATGCAAAGACGGGGGACAAACCTGATCATGACAAAGAAGCTCCAACCAGTCCTCTGGTTTTGCGGGTTCTTCTCCCTCGGCGACGGTGGGAAGATAACCGGATGCCATGTACGGTGGTGCGAGATGCTCCGCCACGTATGACATAATCTTTTTGGCACGGAGCATGCGGTTTGCGTTTAGGCGGGCATTCTTCCCTTCGCTGTTGAATTATGAGATTAGGTGTACTTCCAGTGATGATGGGGATGGGGAAGCGCACCTTCCGGACTCGCTAGGGAGTACTGGTAATTCATCTTGCCATGGAACCAACACGAAACTGACCTTCATGGTTTCCTTGAACGGGATGCGGTTGAGAAGGATCAATTCTCCGAGCCACGCTGGGGCAACCCTCTCCAGGAGGTCCGCATCCTCGCCCAGACTACCCACCGTTCCACGGTATAGATCCGCCACGCCGCCAGAATCCGGTTTGTCCTCTTGGACTATTATAGTAGTGTTTCGTGGCGGCTTCAATACCGGTGTTTCAGTCGGCAGACTGGGAGTAATCGCCGTGGTGACCTGTTCTCCATCTCGGTCCTGATTTTCGTACATCGTTCGGATGCGTCTTATCACACCGCCCAGCGTCTCCTCGAGGATATCCGGCTTGTCAATTTCCTCCAAGACTGTTTGTTCCAGTGGCCTTTCGTCAGTGGTTGCCAGCGGTTTGGATCCGCCCATGTCTGTCGACGCGGACCGACCCATTTTCTTGCCCGCGAATGGACGCCAACCTCCGACGTTAAAGCGGGAACCTTTGTCTTCCTTTTCCTTCTCGGCTGAGGGCGACATGGGGACGGTGTCATCCAGATCACCTCCGGGTGTAGTACCACCGTTCTTTGCCGATGTCTGGAAAACACCGGCTCCTGATGAGAAGTAGTCGCCACTCTGTCGTTCGCCTGACCTGTTGCTGTTACCATCGTCCCAGGGAGTCGTAATGAAGGGAGCGGGCGTGGCAACGCCAATTCCCATTCCTGGCGTTTGGGGGAAAAGAGAGTATCCGCTGGGATTCGCCTTCCCTGTTGGGGTTGTTAGGGGACTACCGGCTGCCTCAATCATAGAGAAAGTCGGAGGCGGGAGCGTTAATACATTCTCCTTTCGTAATTTCTCACGGCTTTGGCGCTCTGATTCGAGGATCTTTCGGTGGTCTTCGTCGCGCCGAATTTCCTCGTCGATCAGGTTGCTGAATAGGTACCGCAAGACCCACTTGCCCATGTTGACTTGAATGTATTAGTGATGGAGATTGAATGGAGAGAAGAGATAAATGTACTTCTCTGATCGTCTCTAAACTCGAGCTTTTCCTCTATGGCCGCCTCGTCCACATACATCTCCGCATCAAAGCAGTAGTTCTCCTCCAATACGCATGCCAACCTCCCCGTACGAGTATCAAGCTGACACCAGTTCGCAATGGTGTCTGTGGTATTAACCTCCATGGCCACATCGTCCATGTGTCTTTCTCCGAACGATTTAATAGGCACACATTTCAGCAAGTCCCACATCACTACCTCTCCAGCAGTGTCGACAGTCAAAACCCGCCGTCTATCGTTGAGCAAAAAGTGCTTTACGAGACCCCGCTGGCCTTCGATGGTTTCGTCTGGAGATTCATTGTAGGGCACTGTGCCTCCCGCCTCACCCTCGAGCAAAGTCTCAGCCATCGACGCGTGCCGTACGCTGGCTGCCGAGTAAACGGTTACAGCATCTGGATCGCGGACATTCGATGGGAAGGAAGATGAGGATGACAGGCGCAAAAGAGAGCCAACCGGGATCGTACTCCGTGTTGGAGGCGATGGTGGCGAGACTGAAGTTTCGCTAATACTAGGGGCAGAGAAAGGAACCCTTGGACGAGAGCTTGCAGAGGAAGCCACCCGCGGCCTGCGGATATCTGTGGCGATGTCCAGGTCGGTATCGACGTCCAGCCAGCGGTTGATGCTGGAACTGGATGTTGCCGCCCACAAGTAATCACCTGCTGCAACGACTTTATTGATACCGTCTTTCTCTTGGCATACAGCGACGCATATCCCGTCTTCGATTTCGGCCACATTGCGGACATCCGTTTTGGCAACGAGGCCAGAGCGATCGCTGGAATGGAAGACCTCCAGACGTGGGTGTGAAGAGTGCAAGGACCACACACTGTCGTTATGCATGCTGAAGGTGTGCAGACACCGTCCTGCGGTCATGCTCCAGAGCTTGATGGTCGTGTCGGATGACGCCGTCAAAACCATATTGCCCTGATCACTGACCAAAATTGACCGGACATTGTCCGTGTGGCCGACAAACTTTGTGATCCGTTTTCCAGACCGTGGATCCCAAACCCGCACCACGCCTTCAGGCCCACCACTGGCGAGAACGTTTCCCCCAATTCCCAATGAGTAGATTGAACCTTTCGGGTTCTGGCCTTCGTCCCCGACATCGATCTGGAGCCGCTCTCCGCCTCCGTTCAAGTCCCAGAACTTGATCTTTCTGTCGAGTCCACCACTTGCTACCCATTCGCCATGTTCCTTCGGCGCCGCAAGACACTTGACATAGTCGCTGTGTTCTCCGATAGTGTCGGCCTGCTGACTGGTCGCGGAATGTGGTCTCCAGAGCTTCACCGTAAGGTCGGAAGAGCAGGACACAACAACTTCGTTCGAGTTGCAGAGCGCAAGGTCATTGACCCAATGCGTGTGCGCTTGAATTTGGTCGCGAAACGAATACGGCAAAGGAGTCGGTCGAGGAACGTATTCGGACGGTGGTCGCTTTTCCGAAAGGTCGACACCGAGATTCCATGAGCAGATGACACCGTCTCTGCCAGCCGTGTATCTGCATGACGCGTGAGCGACCCGTCAGTTCATCCCATTTGCCCACTGCTAACGCTTTCTTTCTTTTCCCTTGTCTGCGCATCCATTCTCTGCAGCTTTCCACTCGCACACGGCACTCGCACTCACAGAATACCCTGGCGCCCATCAATGGCAAGACTGTTGACACCCAACCTGTGGCCGCCCGGCGAATTCGCTAGAGGTAGAACTGCAGCGACGCGACGACTCGCGTGTCAGCCAGCCAGCGAGCAGCGATCGCAGAGTGCAGTTCGACAAACCATAGCTTATCCTCTGACGGGCTTTCTTGGCCATTGGGTTGTGGAATAAGCGCGGGGGGCGCGCTGTCAAAACGATAGCGATTAAGTAAGTGCGGAATCGACGGGGTTGACGATAGGGAGGATCTGGATCTCTTCTGCCGTTCTTCTTTTCCGTTGGATGGATGGGGTTTGACAGGTGGACGGTCAGCCCAGCTTCATGCGAGGCTCTGCAGGCTGATATGGTGCTTGTCGGTTCAAGGTTGCGTCCTTAAAGGTGCGACCACCGGTGCCAGTGCTATTTTGGAGTCGGTTAAGCTTGACTCCAGGCTTTAGGCGGAATGTTTGGTTTGCGGGGCAGCCCATGGACGAGGCAGCCCACGGACAGTGCAGACGATAGTGGCCGAGATTAGATAAGATCTGAACAGATTGGACCGAATGCACGAGAGCTCAAAGCCATCTCTTGAAGGTTTCCAGGAACTTCTACTGCATTCTGAACCTCTCTCTGACTTCTTGTTTTGCTGTAGACTCAGAAGGCAAACTTTGGTGCACGATATATCACTCCAATTTCACGCTTGGAGGCTGTGTATCATCTGGCTGATGGAATTTTGGCTGTGTATAAGTAGAAAACTTACCCATGAGCCTTTGGAGTACTTCACATATTGTGTACCTACCTCAGTACTTACTTGTTGCAACCAGGAATGAGGACTTGGAAAAGTGGTTTCCATCTTGGACCAGTGCAAACCGTACCTGGATCACGAAAGCACCGAAGCATGAAAAGCACAGCCTGTGTAATATCGATCACCCAAGGATCCAGAATCAGGGTCAACCATCCTCTTAATCAGTTAATTCAAAGACGGCTGTCGTTGATATCGACTGGTAATGGAGGCATTATGGTGGTCATAATAAGCAGTGATGATCAGCATACCGAGCTGGTGTGCGCTTTGCAGCATGAGGTTCTTCGATCCTCACTCGGATACAAGGACTCACAATCCTGAGATCTGCGGGGTAGTCTGGGTATCCCGTAGCTGCAGTATGTGAAGCCCGTACCAACACCGAACATATGAAGTTCGATATGTCACGCATACTAGAAAACCGCAGACGAACATGCTCTAACCGCCCTCTGCAAGCTGGCCCGTGCGCGGCCCGGGCGCCTATATCGTGGCGGTACGCGGTAAAATTGGAGTTCTGGCGGAAGATTGGTTATCGCCGCCAAGATGTCTTAGCACCAGGATGCCTCTCTAATTGGAGCTCTCTTTCGACACCACGCAAGGTCCCGCAGATGCTTACAAGGGGACGATGCTCGACGAGATGCCTCACTAACGAGCCTCTTCCTCGGTGCATCAAAGCTCACACCAAAAATGTTCCATAAGACGTATATGAAGGCAAATAAAGGGAGTCGCAATGCCTCGCGATAAACCTTCACGTGTGTTGAGAGGCACCGTTACATAAAGCTGCAGGGCAAATGTACCCTGTGCTCTTCTTTTGCTCTAACCCAAACCGTCGCACAAAGTGCCCGTTGCTCCCTCCACCACTTGTGAAATTGCTCCTCGCGCAATCTCCCTACAACACGGCACGATACTCTCTCCTATCACCACCCATCCAGACTCAACCTTCACCACTTCGTTCGATCGTAGGAGCTTCATACCTATTCGCTTTAATCAACCCACCTCGCCTTTCTTTCGACGCTTTCTGGCTTCATCCATGCTCCCAGATCCTACCATAGCTTGCTAAACCCCACCCCATTTCCACCAGCAAACTTACCGAACCGACAGCTGCAATCAAACCGCCGTCATGGACGGTCCGGTGCTGGTTCCCGCCAACAGTGGCCCACCCAATCCTGTGACACCGGGAGCTATGATCAGTGCATTCAATCCCGTTGTGCTTGCTGATTACCTCGCGGAAGTGCTTGCCGTAACTCTAGGTTCAAAGAGGTCGGATCTTGAAGCCCCCGGAAGCTTGTTTCACAGTGACAAGTACCCCGAGACCCTACAGAAACTCTCACGATATGCGACGGAGCCCGTAGTGGCGCTGTATGCTTCAAAAGATACTCTCGAGGCTGAAGAAGCGCTCAGTGATTCCGCTTGTGGGATTTCTCTTCCCGGCCCGCGCCATATCTCAAACTGACCCTGATGATGTAGCATCCCACTTAGGCGTTACGTCCATCCGCCATGCATACTCAATATCATCCGAACTATCGTCGTCAGCGTCGACGGTGGCCTCGGTGGCCTTCATCAAACGGCCGATCCCCCTCGACTCCGCCGTACCGCTACATGTACAGCTACAGATCATGAATCTTCCCGGAACACTGGCGCTCAGTGGTGGCGCGCAGGGCTCAGTGTCTCCTTTCGAAATTCTACATTCACTCGTACACTCGGCTCTTGCTCCGTACTTTGACGCGTACACCAAAGGACAGGAGAGTCAGATTACCGTGCGATCAAACCGCTACGCAGATGCAGAGGCCAAGACAGGTGTTCCGGTGACGAAGAAGAAGCTTGCCGAACTGGAGCTGTCGTTGCTGCATTTGCAACAGAACATCGATATTCCCGAACTCTTCCTTACATTACATCCTGTGATCCAGCAGGCTTTGGACGACGCTGCGGCCAAGGGCTCTCGGGCTTCTCTTGACCTGGTACCGGCAGAGTTGCTGCAAGACAGTTCGTTCCTCAACAATCTGCAGTCGACCGTCAATGCCTGGATCAAATCAATCCAGTCTATAACCAAAATGTCGAGGGACACGGAGAGTGGCTCGGCTACGCAGGAGATAAATTTCTGGCTGTCGATGGAGATGGCTTTGGAAAAGATTGATGAGCAGCTTCGGGGAGACGGCGTCCAGCTTACCCTTGACGTCTTGAAGCATGCAAAACGTTTTCTTGCCACCGTCAGTTTCATTGCTGATACGGGGCTCAAAGAAGCCACCGATCGAGGTCCACACTCCTTCTTTGTACTGCCCTTCTAGCACATACGTTGACTTTGTTTTGTAGTACAAAAATATAACCAGCTTATGCGGGATTTCCCTCTTGACGAACTCTTGTCGGCCACTAGTCTGCAGAAGGTCCAAGATGCAGTCGTTGGCATCTTTTTGCACTTGAACAAGAAACTCCGTATCTCGCCGTACCCAATCCGGCGCGCGTTGCCACTGGTGGAAGCTATATCTGGCGACCTCGACTCGCAATTGCACAGCCTTCTAAGCGGTCGCCGCCTCATGCACCTCGAATACCGCGACTTTGAGTCCCTAATGAACGTAGCCGAGGGCATCTTTAAAACTTGGGATGAAAATGTCAAAGAGTTCACTAACATCGCGAGAGATGTCACTCGAAAACGTTCGGAGAAGTTCATTCCCATCAAGATCCAATCCAGACATCTTAAGACACAGGAGAGATTGGCGTACATCCGTGCGTTCCGACACGGCCACGAGCAGCTGCAGCGGACCATCGCGAATGTCTTAGGACCTCAGAGCGGAGGTCCTGCTTCGGACGCTGCGGCTGTCATGGACGACATAGGAGATGTTGATGCGGTTGATGAAGTGGCTCAGGCTTATGCCGTGCTCAAGGATGTGGATGTTCTGGACGTGTCACCCGAGGGAACTGAGATCTGGATTGCAGCGGAGAACGCCTACAACGAGAGGACCTCCCGAGTTGAGAATTCCATCATCGCCAGACTGAGAGATCGACTGGCGACGGCTAAGACCGCCAATGAGATGTTCCGGGTGTTCTCCAAATTCAACGCGCTTTTCGTGCGGCCAAAGATCAGGGGTGCAATCCAAGAGTACCAAACACAGCTTATCGACAGTGTCAAACACGACATCGCCGCGCTACACGAGCGGTTTAAGCAGCAGTATGGTCATTCCGAAGCCCATGCCATGGCCCAGTTGCATGATCTTCCGCCGATCTCGGGTGCCATCATCTGGGCTCGCCAGATTGAGAGGCAGTTGGTTGCATACATGAAGCGTGTGGAGGATGTCCTCGGACGAGGATGGGAAATGTACCATGAAGGCCAAAAACTGTCAGGAGAGAGCCAGTCGTTCAAGAAGAAGTTGGATACCCGGCCTATCTTCGATTCCTGGTTGGCCGATGTGAACAGGCGCAATATCGCCATATCTGGGAGGTTGTTCAACATCAATCGTAACCGAGCTGCAGGCAACACCCTTGAGCTGGTGGTCAACTTCGACCCCCAGGTCATTGCCCTCTTCAAGGAAGTCCGGAATCTTACCTGGCTTAATTACCAAGTCCCACATGCTATCACCAACATTTCAAAGGAGGCGAAGCGGGTCTACCCTTATGCTGTGAGCTTGATGGAAACCGTCAGGACTCTGGCTCAGACAAATCGTACTATCTCGGAAATGTCAGAAGTTTCGGTCCTTCTCAGTGGCTATCAGAATGAAGTGCATTCCCTCATCATGAAGGGTGTACCGCTCAAATGGGAATCATTTGTACATTCATATGACCTCCATCTCAGACAATTGCAGTACTTGCCGAATGGCGGTGTTGACCCTTCGACTTCCTTGGCTGGTCGGGAAAGCAGGCATGTTCAGTTTGTTCGTGACTTCGCAGCAGCCGTCTCGATCCTGCAGGGCAAGACCGGTTCGTTGGCCACCATCCACGACACTATCCAAAAAGCCATGGCGGAACTTCGGACTTGTCCCTATGATAACAATGCATTCCAACACACCATCGACACCATTCAGGCGGCTGTCGATCAGCTGAACCTCGAGAACTATGTCAACCTGGCCCACTGGGTCGGTGAATTGAATCAGAAAATCGAGATGATATTCCTCACAAGGCTCCAGGAAGCCGTGGTACTGTGGATCGACATATTCAAAGGGGAGAGAGATGATGGTGTGGACAGTGATATCATCCGCAAGCGGATCAGTCGCATTGAGGACACTGGCATGGATGGAATTGTGAGGGATGATGGCGCATACAACCCCAAGATGAAGAGGCTCGTTCACGAAATAAGTATTCGGAACCAAGTCATCTATCTTGATCCTCCGTTGGAGTTTGCCAGGGCGAGCTGGTTCCTGCAGTTGCACCAGTGGCTCGGCGTGGTGTGCAATCTCCACAAGCTCAAGGCCAGTCGGTATGAAATGAACATTAATATCGATGCCAGCGAGGTGGAGATTTTCCATGAATTGGTATGATTCTTGCCCTCCCCGGTGGATGACTGCGACTGATGAAATTAGCCTGCACATTGTGCCCCAACAATTTCCGAGGCCTACCAGGCAGTGGAGACCAAGATCGGCGTGATTGCAGCGTATGTTGAGGAGTGGCTCCGCTTCCAATCCCTCTGGGACTTGCAGTCAGAGCAGGTCTATGACGCTCTTGGAGACAACCTTGGAAAATGGCTCCAGCTGTTGCACGAGATCCGCAAATCAAGGTCCACCTTCGATACCTCCGACGTTAGCCGGTCCTTTGGCAATATCATCATCGATTACGAGCAAGTGCAGACCAAGGTCAATGCGAAGTACGACCAGTGGCAACACGACATTCTCATCAAGTTTGCCAACAAGCTTGGAAACCGCATGCGAGAGGCGTACGCCGAGATTGGAAAGGCGAGAAAAGACCTGGAGGGGCAGTCCCTTGAGGCTTCATCAACTGCACAGGCCGTGGCATTCATCACCGTTGTCCAACAATCAAAAAGAAAGGTGAAGGCATGGGCACCCGAGGTGGAGATGTTCAAGCAGGGTGAAACAACCTTGACTAGACAACGTTATCAATTCCCTCAGGACTGGCTCTATGTTGATCAGATTGGCGGTGAATGGACCGCACTCAATGAGATTTTGGCTCGCAAGAGCAAAATCGTACAGGACCAGACCGGTATGTTATCATCTTGAATCCCAGCGGTGTACCGATACTTACAGTCTCGCAGATGCGCTTAGAGCGAAGATCGTCGCCGAGGATAGAGTTGTCGCGGACAAGATCAATAATGTCGTGGCGGAGTGGAACGACCAAAAGCCCGTATCCGGCACGATCCAGCCCGAGGATGCCTCCGCTACGCTCAGCACATTCGAAACCAGGCTGACGCAGCTCAAGGCCGAGTCGGAGATGGTCTCGAAAGCAAAGGAGGCGTTGGATATTGCTGCTGGTCCGGACAATTTGTTGACAGGCATTCTCGAGGAAGTGCAGGACTTCAAATCCGTTTGGTCGGCGTTGTCCACCATCTGGAAGAGCTTGAACGACCTGCGCGATACCCTATGGTCGAGTGTCATTACTCGCAAGATTCGACAGGGCCTTGAGGGTCTCATCAACATGACCAAGGAGATGCCCAGCAGAATGCGGCAATACGCTGCTTTCGAACACATCCAAAACGTGCTGCGGTTGCTCGTGAAGGTTAATCCACTGTTGTCCGATCTCAAGTCAGAAGCCGTCCGGGAGAGACATTGGACCAAGATCTTCAAGGCACTCAAGCCTGGACAGAGGGTATACCTCAGCTCTCTCAACCTCGGAACCGTGTGGGACCTCAATCTGGTAGCCAGTGAGCCCATCATTCGCGACATCATCGCACAGGCCCAGGGTGAAATGGCGCTTGAGGAGTTCCTGAAGCAAGTCCGCGAGACCTGGACCGGTTACGTTCTTGACTTGGTCGGATATCAGAACAAGTGCCGCCTTATCCGGGGATGGGACGATCTGTTTGCGAAGTGCAGCGAGAACCTCAACTCCCTTCAGGCTATGAGACACTCTCCCTACTACAAGGAGTTCGAAGACGAGGCATCTTCTTGGGAGGATAAACTCAATAGGGTACATGTGCTCTTCGACATCTGGATCGATGTTCAGAGACAATGGGTTTACCTTGAGGGAGTTTTTACCGGTAATGCCGATATCAAACATCTTTTGCCCATCGAGTCGTCACGATTCCAGAATATCAACTCGGAGTTCTTCACAGTTATGAAGAAGGTGTACAAGTCGCCGTACGTCCTCGATGTCCTCAACATCTCTGGTGTGCAAAAGTCTTTGGAGCGACTCGCAGAGTTATTGAACAAGATCCAGAAGGCGTTGGGAGAATACTTGGAGAAGGAGAGGGTTTCGTTCCCGCGGTTCTACTTTGTCGGTGATGAAGATTTGCTCGAGATCATCGGAAACAGTAATGACTCGGTGCGGATCCAAAAGCATTTCAAGAAGATGTTCGCCGGTCTGTCTGGCTTAGTTCTTGACGATGACTCGACGATCGTTGCCTTCACCTCCAAGGAGGGCGAAGAGGTCCGTTTGAAGAAGGAAATCTCTTTGATCAAGACTCCGAAGATTAACGACTGGTTAACGGCACTGGAGACGAACATGAAGTTGACCCTCGCCGAGCTTCTATGTGAGGCAGTCACGGAATTCAAGGCGATATTTGCTGCCAAGGACCTCGACATGGTCGCGTTCAAGGAGCACATTACCAAGTTCCCGGCCCAGATCGTGGTGCTGGCGACGCAGGTTGTTTGGACGACAGTGGTGGAGAAGGTGTTGGAGGAGGGTGGATCGGGGTTGCAGTTTTTGTACGAGCAGGAGGTTAAGGTCCTCACCCTGCTGGCTTCCATGGTCCTGGGTGATATGGAGGCTATTCAACGAAAGAAGTGCGAGCATCTCATCACGGAGTTTGTACACCAACGCGACTGCATTCAGAGACTGGCTGCCAAATCGGCTTCTACCGCGCAAGATCATCTCTGGCTTTTGCAGATGAGGTATCATTACTCGGATGAAGGGGACTTCATCAATCGCCTCTGTATCCGAATGGCAAATGCCGAACTGGACTACGGCTTCGAATACCTGGGTGTACCTGAGAGATTGGTCCGCACACCACTAACCGACCGCTGTTTCTTGACTTTGACGCAGGCGCTATGCCAGCGACTCGGAGGATCTCCATATGGTCCCGCCGGAACAGGAAAGACCGAATCAGTCAAGGCGTTGGGTGTTCAGCTCGGAAGGTTTACGCTGGTGTTCTGTTGTGACGACACGTTTGATTTCCAGGCGATGGGGAGGATCTTTTTGGGTATTTGTCAGGTTGGTGCTTGGGGTTGTTTCGACGAGTTCAATCGTCTGGAGGAGAGGATTCTGTCCGCCGTTTCCCAACAGGTTCAGAACATCCAAATTGGACTCAAGAAGAATATCGAGAATCCGGATGCGCAGATCGAGATGGTTGGTAGACAGTTGAAGGTGCACAAAAACACGGGTAAGTCTAACTTTATTGCGGATTTCTATGGTCACTGACATTTGCCAGGTATCTTCATCACCATGAATCCTGGATATGCCGGCCGTTCGAACTTGCCGGACAATTTGAAGAAACTTTTCCGAAGTGTAGCCATGTCCAAGCCGGACAAAGAGCTCATCACGGAAGTCATGCTATACTCCCAGGGATTCATCCAGGCCAAGGAGTTGGCCAAATCCACAGTACCGTTCTTCGACTCGTGTGCTCTCCGACTGTCAAAGCAAGCCCACTACGATTTCGGCCTGCGAGCTCTCAAGAGTGTGCTGGTCAGTTCCGGTGGTCTCAAGCGTGCAAAGATTACGGATGCTGGTGACAACGCTAGTGACGTCAAGTGGGAGGCGCAAATCATTGTTCAGAGTTTGAGGGAGACCATTGCTCCTAAGTTGATCCGGAGTGATGTTGAGATTATGAAGGAGATCGAACGCGAGGCATTCCCGGGCGTGGAGTATGTGCCAGGAAACATGAGCAAGCTGGAAGACGCCATCAAGAAGATAGCCGCGGAACAGAATTTCGTCGTCACCGATACCTGGATGACCAAGATCCTTCAGCTCTACCAGATTCAGAACATTCATCACGGTGTTATGATGGTCGGAAACTCCGGATCTGGAAAGTCTGGTGCTTGGAAAGTTCTCCTACAGGCTCTGCAACAGGTCGAGGGGCAGGAAGGTGTCCATCATGTCATCGATCCTAAGGTCATGTCAAAGGAGGCGTTGTACGGAAGTTTGGACTCCACAACAAGAGAATGGACCGACGGTCTATTTACCAGTATCCTCCGGAAGATCGTCGACAACCTCCGTGGAGAGGATACGAAGAGACACTGGATTGTATTTGACGGTGATGTAGACCCCGAATGGGTAGAGAACTTGAACAGGTACTGCATTTTCCTTTGTGGCTGGCTGGTGGACGTCTGTGCTGACATTTTCTAGTGTTTTGGACGACAACAAGCTCCTCACACTGCCTAACGGAGAACGTTTGAACCTGCCTACGAATGTGCGGATCATGTTCGAAGTCGAAACACTCAAGTATGCGACGTTGGCCACTGTCAGTCGATGCGGTATGGTGTGGTTCAGCGAGGACACCGTCACCTCCGATATGATGGTCACGAACTACCTAAAGTCTCTCCGCACCGTTGCGTTCGAGGATCTTGACGAGGACAACACTGTCAATGCTGGACAAATCTCGGCCAAGGCACTTCAGACCCAAGGACAAATGGCAAAACTGCTCACGCATCTACTCCAGAGTGGTGGCTTTATCATCAATGCCCTCAACGAAGCGCGGAAGTACAACCACATCATGGAATTTACGGATGTTCGCGCACTGAACACTCTCTTCTCACTGCTGAATAAAGTCGGCCGCACCATGATTGAGTACAACATCCAGCACGTGGACTTTCCCCTGGAGGATGAGCAGATCGAGGCTTTCGTTTCCAAGAAGCTTCTGACTGCTCTAGTCTGGAGTTTCACGGGTGACTGTCCCCTAGTTGATCGTGAAGCCTTCGGCCAGTATGTGAGCGGACAGTCAACCGTAGACCAACCCCCAGTCTTCGAAGGTGGCTCGCTCATCGACTACGACGTGACTATACCCAAGGCCGAATGGAGCAGGTGGCAAGACCAGGTTCCCAACATCGAGGTTAACACGCACTCTGTTACCCAGACGGATGTCGTCATTCCTACTCTCGACACGATTCGCCACGAGGAGATCCTGTACTCTTGGTTGGCAGAGCACAAACCTCTTCTGCTTTGTGGTCCGCCTGGTTCGGGTAAGACGATGACGCTGTTCAGTGCCCTTAGGAAGTTGCCGAACATGGAGGTTGTCGGTCTCAATTTCTCGAGTGCTACCACACCGGATCTCTTGATCAAGACTTTCGAGCAATACTGCGAGTACAAGAAGACACTGAATGGTGTTGTCATGTCTCCCAACCAAATTGGAAGATGGCTGGTGCTGTTCTGTGACGAAATCAACTTGCCCGCCCCGGATAAGTACGGCACACAGCGAGCCATCTCTTTCCTCAGACAGTTGGTTGAGCAGAATGGTTTCTGGAGAACCTCGGACAAGACATGGGTTACTCTGGACCGGATTCAGTTCGTCGGAGCGTGTAATCCCCCGACAGATGCCGGACGTACACCTATGGGACTTCGTTTCCTGCGGCAGTGCCCGCTTATCATGGTCGATTACCCCGGAGAACAATCCCTCAACCAGATCTACGGAACGTTCAACAGTGCTGTTCTAAAGATCATCCCAACGCTTCGCGGTTACTCTGAGCCTCTTACCAAGGCAATGGTGCAGTTCTATCTTGAGTCTCAGAAACGGTTTACCCCTAAGATTCAGCCTCACTACGTCTATTCTCCTCGTGAGTTGACTAGATGGGTTCGTGGATTGTACGAGGCGATTCGTCCATTGGAGACCTTGTCGGTGGAAGGACTTGTTAGGATCTGGGCTCACGAGGCCCTGAGACTGTTCGAAGATAGGCTTGTTGGCGAGGATGAGAGGAAGTGGACGGATGACGCAGCTCGTCGGATTGCTCTAGAGCATTTCCCCAACATTGACGAAGAAAAGGCGCTCAAGGGTCCCATCCTATACTCGAACTGGCTATCCAAGAACTACGTACCAGTCGACCGCGAGCAACTCAGAGACTTCGCGAAGGCCCGCCTGAAGACTTTCTGCGAGGAAGAAGTGGATGTGCCACTCATTCTGTTCAACGATGTCCTGGAGCACGTTCTGAGAATCGATCGTGTATTCCGTCAACCCCAAGGTCATTTGATTCTGATCGGAGTCAGTGGATCCGGAAAGGTTAGTACCCTCCTCCGACTTAATCTTGTATGCCCTATTCTGACGATGGTGCCAGACTACTCTATCACGCTTTGTTGCTTGGATGAACGGATTGAAGGTTTTCCAGATCAAGGTCCATGGTAGATATTCCGCCGAAGATTTCGACGACGATTTGCGAGATGTTCTGCGCCGATGTGGATGCAAGGGCGAAAAGATATGCTTCATCATGGACGAGTCGAACGTTCTGGACTCCGGTTTCCTCGAGAGGATGAACACGCTACTTGCCAACGCCGAGGTTCCTGGTCTTTTCGAGGGTGATGAATTCGCTGCTCTGATGACTGCCTGCAAGGAGGGAGCCCAACGACAAGGTCTTCTGTTGGATTCTCAGGAAGAATTGTACAAGTGGTTCACCCAGCAGATCGTCAAGAACCTACACGTAGTGTTCACGATGAATCCTCCCGAAGATGGTCTCTCGTCCAAAGCAGCTACGTCTCCGGCGTTGTTCAATCGTTGTGTTCTCAACTGGTTCGGAGATTGGTCGGACCAGGCGTTCTACCAAGTTGGTTCGGAGCTCACCCAATCACTCGACCTGGATCGTCCATCGTACCATGCACCCGACACCATTCCCGTGGCCTACAGAGAGCTTCCATTACCCCCGACTCATCGCGAGGCCGTCGTCAATGCGATGGTGTACATCCATTACTCGCTCCACAGGTTCAACGCGAAGCTTCGGAAGCAGCAGGGAAAGGTTACGTTCCTTACCCCACGTCATTTCCTGGACTTCGTAGCGCAGTATGTCAAGCTCTACAACGAGAAGCGCGAAGATCTGGAAGAACAGCAGCGTCACTTGAACGTGGGTCTGGAGAAGTTAAAGGATACCGTCGACAAGGTTCGGGATCTCCGTGTCAGTCTGGCGCAAAAGCAAGGCCAGCTCGAGAAGAAGAGTGCCGAGGCGAATGAGAAGCTGCAGCGCATGGTCGCCGACCAGCAAGAGACCGAGAAAAAGAGGGCCGCATCACTCGAGGTCCAGGCTGCACTGGAGATCCAGGAGAGGGTAGTGGCAGAGCGGAAGGAGGTTGTGTTGGACGACCTTGCCAGGGCAGAACCTGCTGTCGCGGAGGCTCAGCGCAGTGTCAAGAACATCAAGAAGACACATCTTACTGAAGTCAGGGTCATGGGCAAGCCTCCTATCAACGTCCAACTCGCCATGCAGTCTGTCTGCACTCTGCTCGGCCACAAGGTCAACGTTTGGGGCGATGTTCAGGCTATCATCCGTCGCGAGGACTTCATCTCTAGTATCGTCAACTTTGATAACGAGAAGCAGATGACCAAGAAACTTCGGCAGCAGATGCAAACCCAGTACCTGTCAAACCCATCGTACAACTTCGAGGCGATGAACCGCGCTTCCCAGGCCTGTGGGCCTTTGGTGCAGTGGGTGGAGGCGCAAGTCAACTACTCTGAGATCCTCGATCGTGTTGGGCCGTTGCGTGACGAGGTTACCCAGCTCGAGGAACAGGCTCTCCGGACCAAGGCCGAGGCGAAGGCCATGCAGGACACCATTTTCGAACTGGAGAACAGTATTGGACGGTACAAGGAGGAATACGCGGCGCTTATCAGTGAGACTCAAGCTCTCAAGACGGAGATGAAGCGCGTGCAGTTCAAGGTCGACCGCAGCGTGAAGCTCCTTGACAGTTTGTCATCCGAGAGAGTCCGTTGGGACGAGGGAAGTAAGTCGTTCGAGACCCAGATCGGTACGCTTGTTGGCGACGTTCTGGTCTCTGCTGCTTTCCTTGCGTACAGTGGCCTCTACGATCAGCAGTACCGAAAAGCCATGACCGACGACTGGCTCAACCACCTCCACCTTGCTGGCATCAAATTCAAGCAACACAATGCTGTGACCGAGTACCTGTCGACTGCAGATCAGCGTCTGGCATGGCAAGAGAACGGACTACCTGTGGACGATCTTTGCACCGAGAATGCTATCGTTCTGAACCGGTTCAACCGTTATCCTCTCATTATCGACCCGTCGGGTAGAGCTACAGAGTATCTGGCGAACGAAAATAAGGAAAGGCGTCTCACCATCACGAGTTTCCTCGATGACTCCTTCACGAAGCAATTGGAAAGTTCGCTGCGTTTCGGAAACCCCATTCTCATTCAAGACGCCGAGCATCTGGACCCGATCCTAAACCATGTTCTCAACAAGGAGTACCAGAAGACAGGAGGGCGTGTTTTGATCCAGCTAGGAAAGCAGGAGATTGATTTCTCGCCGTCATTCCGTCTCTTCTTATCGACTCGGGATCCCTCCGCTTCGTTTGCTCCCGATGTGTGTAGTAGGACGACGTTCGTCAACTTTACAGTCACCCAGAGCAGCTTGCAGACTCAGTCCCTCAACCAGGTCTTGAAGTTTGAACGCCCGGACGTTGATCTGCGCAGAACGAACCTCATGAAGCTGCAGGGCGAATTCAAGCTCCACTTGCGACAGCTCGAGAAGAGGTTGCTCCAGGCGCTGAACGAGTCCAGAGGAAATATCCTTGACGACGATCGGGTCATTGACACCCTGGAGACTCTCAAGACCGAGGCTGCGGAAGTCTCACGAAAGATGCAGGAGACTGACGGCGTCATGACGGAGGTTGAAACAATCACCAAGCAGTACCAGATCATTGCGAAGGCTTGCAGTTCGGTGTTTGCTGTTCTTGAGCAACTTCACCACCTGAACCACTTCTACCAGTTCTCTCTGCAGTTCTTCCTTGACATCTTCCATTCGGTTCTACACGATAATAAGAAGCTGGACGCTGAAAAGGATTACAACCGTCGTGTGGACATTATCCTGCGCGATCTTTACATTACAGCCTACCAGCGCACTTCGATTGGTCTTCTCCAAAAGGATCGAGTCACTCTAGCCATGCTTCTCGCTAAGGCGTCTACGTACGAGATTGATCAGTCGTTGATTGACAGGATCTTAGACGAGCAGATGCCTGGAGTCGACGTGTCGACTGAGACTGAGCGTAGAGATGAGGTCATGGTCCGTGCTTCACTGCTTCCAATCTTCAAGGACAGGCTCCAGGACGTGAACACCGCGGCGTGGGATAGATTCCTGGAAGAGGAAAATGCGGAAGAATATGTGCCGGTTATCTGGGACGACAAACTTCCAAACATCGAACAGCAGCTGCACAAGCTTCTCGTCATCAAGCTCTTCAGGCTGGACCGTTTCGTCCCCGCGGCCGAGCAGTTCGTTGCCGTGGTATTCGGAAAGGACATTCTCGACACCACTGGAGACTTGAAGGAGGTTGTTTCTCAGGTGTCTTCCGCTACTCCCATTGCTCTCGCCTCATCCCCCGGATTCGACGCGAGTTACAAGGTTGAAGGACTGGTGGAACAAATGCGCGTCAACTGTACAAACATTGCCATGGGTTCCGCAGAGGGTGTCACTGCAGCCGACAAGGCCGTCAGTAACGCTGCCTCGTCCGGATCCTGGGTCTTGGTCAAGAACGTTCATCTCACTCCTACTTGGCTTCAGTCACTGGAGAAGCGTCTCGATGCTTTACGGCCGCATCCGAACTTCAGGCTATTCCTGTCGATGGAAACCTCGCCAAAGATTCCTATCAACCTCCTACGTACGTCTCGTGTTCTCATGTACGAGCAGCCTGCCGGTGTCAGGGCGAATATGAAGGACTCTATGTCTTCACTGTCGACCCGACCTACGAAACAGCAGCCTGCCGAAAAGGCTCGTGTTTACTTGTTGCTCTCGTTCCTGCACGCTGTGGTTCAAGAGAGACTTCGATACGTGCCAAATCTGGGTTGGAAAGGCTTCTGGGAGTTCAATGACAGTGATGTTTGTAATCCCATAAACTCCTTTTGAAGTGTCACATGATTCTAATATCTTCTAGTACGAGTGTTCGGCATACATCATCGATACGTGGGTTGATCAAGCTGCACTAGGACGGACAAATATCGCACCTAGCAAGCTTCCTTGGGAAATGATCCGCACATTAATCACCGAAACATACGGAGGAAAAATTGACGATGAAGGCGATTTCGCGAAACTCCGGTCTCTAGTGCACTCGTTCTTCACTCCGGATGCTTTCAACTCGGACTTCAAGTTAGCCGATACCGAGACTCCACTATATGCGCCCGAGGGCGTCGGCATGGCGGAGTTTATGCGGTGGGTCAATGCTCTGCCAGAGAGAGAGCCACCCACGTATCTCGGCTTGCCGGCGAACGCGGAGAAGTTGTTGCTCGTCGATCACGGAAATGTCATGATCCGGAATTTGGAGACCGTTACCGGGATGTTGGAGGAAGGAGAGACCATGGCGAATGCGGCGTGAGGCGGTGCGTTTGATGCGAGAAAGGGGCAGAGTGTGGCGTGGTAATTCGGAAAGGGTTTCTTGTGCGGAGTAGTGGGCTGTTGGGCTCTGGTCGCTTGCTTTTGGTTCGGGTAGTTTTGTGCCGTTGCTTCTACTTCATTTCTTTCTCATTCGTTTTCTCGTTGCGGATGTACATCTCTTGCTGTAATTTCTTCACACCTTGGAGCTCGGCTGTAGGCACAGTAGACTTTCAAATGGAACAATTTCAGCTTGTAACTACCTCATCCATCCCGTGCCCGTTGTATCCATCATGTTCCATCGTATTCGCGCCGCTTATCTTTCCGGCGCCGGTCGGTCTTGTCCGATCTGGGTCGGACATTTGTCGGACCGCTGTTCACCGGGTTCATGTTTCGGGGGAAGTCGTGTGCTGGCGCTTGGCTTTTGCTCGTGACCGAAGACAAGGTCACTGCAGTATGAGGTAACGGGTAGGTATAGAGAGGACTCGCCACGCTGCCTACGCTATGTACTCTGCCAGACCTTCTTCCCAGAAACTAGACTAAATCTTCAACTTCAAGCAACACCACGCCTCCACCACACTTCTCCACTGCCATTACCAACCATCGACCCCCTATACCAACGAACTCGCCACTCCCATCAGCGAATCTACATACGCATACCACATATCCAGACCGCAAACATGTTGTCCTGGGTTACGAAAGCTGCACAGTCGACGTATGTAACACCCCTCACGAGCTATTGGAGGGGGTGGAGGGGTGTGGTGGCGACAGATAGGGTCGGACAAGATAGATAGCATTCTCTGACACTCGCCGGTTTTTTGTTTGTTGCTTTAGACTATCTGCCGTCGCCGGCACCGCCGAACCCATCTATGGCCCCGAAGCGCTCCAGTCAGTCGCGAAGCAGGAGGACCTGAACCCGAAATACGAGGTCACAGACGACGATGTGAAATGGCAGGCCCTCGAGAGCACATGTGCCGAGACTCAGACTTTCTATACCGAGACCGACGGCGGCCACTTTGTGATGCTTCAGATTATTTATTCAAATGTTTCGTGCGTTCTTCCCCTGCCTTGTGTTGAGAGGGCGAGGGCGAGGGAGCAGTAGAGCTTATACGATGGTGTATGTGCAGCAACATCCACATCAGCGCCCAACTCAACGTCAAGGTCTTTTTCCCCGATGGAAGGGTCCACTGGTCCGCGAAGACCATGACCGATTATGCCTTCGACCCGACGTTCCGGAGCTTCTTCGCCGGCGAGAACGGCGAAGACTTCAGTATTATCCTGAATGAGGCCGGTGACTCGTACCATATCAAGTCCAGGCTCGACCCGGAGGTGCTGGTCGATGTTACTATCGATCGTAAGGTTGCCGGCTTCAAGGTCGGAAAGGATGCGAAGACGAACTACGGAGATGATCCTGCCAACCCGTGGGGTTGCATCCGGCATATCTTCTGGCCCAAGAACAGGGCGTCCGGCACGGTCGAGGTCAAGGGAGAGAAGGTCGATGTCGCCGGAAAGAACATCTTTGTGATGGCACTCCAGGGAATGAAGCCCCACCACGCCGGTACTTCTCTCTCTCTCATCTGGCCGGAATATTGCTTATACTCTTGCCCGTGACCAAAAGCTTGCAAGTGGAATTTCATCACGTTCCAGAGCGACAACGTGGCGGCCATCATGATGGAGTTCACCACACCTCCGTCGTACGGCAGCCAGACGGTCACCGTTGGCACAATCTTCAAGGATGGCGTGCTACTGCAAGGTACCACTACCGGAACCGTGGCCCACACGGCTACCAAGATGGACCCTGTTACGCAGTGGGAAGAGCCTACCGCGTTTAAGGTGGTCTGGAAGGGGAAGACCCAGGACGGCAAGGATACCGAGTCCGTGCTAGAGACCGACCTGAAACCGAAGCTTGACTGTGTGGACATCATGGCGGAGGTGCCGACCATCATCAAGAAATTCGTGGCGGGTGCTGTCGGGACCCGGCCGTACATGTACCAGGTAGGCCCCTCACTTATCCACTCACTCACCCCACCCCATGCGATGTGAATGTGTGCTGACCGACTCTGTAGTACCGGCAAGAGGTGACTCTGAAGATCAAGGTCGGGGAGGAAGTGACTGAGGAGAAGGGAATGATGTTCTCAGAGGCCACTTTCATCTCTTAGATGTGCCGTACGATAGCGGTTTGAACTGTATGTACGTTTTGCTATTGCGTCTGCGCAGTGTTTGTTGTATTTGCTTGCTTTTGCTTGCCCGTCTTTTTAGTTTCCCTCGCTCACGATGTTTTTCTTGAATTGCTTTTTGCAGGACGATATGACGACACGAGTGCTCTACTTTGTTACTCGGCCAATCTAGGCTCATATGGCTGGCTTTGCTTTTTTTTTTGCTTATAGGCATTCTTATAATTGCTACTACACCACTCTTCTTTGTCTGTAACTTGGAAATAATAATTGGATTCATTTTTGCTTAAACTTTGAACAGGAGCGGGCATCGGGAAGTATCTGTCAAAGGCTATCGTTAGTGGGCGGAATGCGGAGATGCCGAGCCCGAAACTCGCTAGGACTCTAGGTTTCGCTCGCTCGTTCGCTCGCTCTTTCGCTATCGCGTCGAAAACGTGATGTTCGCTTAGATATGGTAGCCGGAATCCTAAGCACGTGATCCCACAGGGCAGCGGGACCTCGCGTCGCCTCCCATTTATCCTCTCCCTCCCCCTCCCTCCCCGCGCCACCCCGCAACACGCGACTCACGACATCCACCACCCATCACTCACCACCACCCACTACAAGATGTCCCAATACAAGCGTCCGACGGGCGGAACGATGTTCTCACGCGACCGGCCGGCCTCTGGTAGCGCCGGCGGCGGCAGCGGCCCGACCAGCAGCAGCGCGGCGAGCAGCAGCACCGGCGCGGGCGCCATCACGAGCGCCGGCGGCAAGGTCTTTGGTAAGGATATGGGCCGCGGCTTCAAGCGCGGACCGGTGCTCAAGAGGCGGCGCAAGCTGATGAAGGATACTATTCACGGCATCACCAAGTCGGACATTCGGTGAGTCTTTCCTTCCGTTGCTGGGACCGGTGGGAGATGGGGAAGGTGGGGAAGGTGCGGGCTGATATGGTTGTGGACACAGCCGTCTGGCAAGGAGGGGCGGCGTCAAGAGGCTTTCAGCGGAGATCTACGATGAGGGCAGAATTGCGCTTAGGGATTACTTGACCAAGGTAGGTGTGGTCGCATCGTTGGTTGGTTGGTTGTGAAGAAGGGAGGCTGATGTGCTCCTCCAGGTCCTTAGAGACTGCGTCATCTACTGCGAACACTCTAACCGCAAGACTGTGACGGTGTTCGATGTGATCCACTCTCTGCAGCGCATCGGCAAGCCCGTTTACGGTATGTTACTCTCTTCCTCAGCGAGTGAGCTGCGCTGACTTTGGGGTCGAAGGATTCGGTGCTTAGGTAAACTTCCTTTGTCCTTTCTTGTCTAGCGTTCGGGTCACTCCAACTGCGATTTCTCCTTTCCCCCTACCTTTCTTGAACGGTCCAAACATCTGGTGTGCGTTTTCCTAGGTCTCTACGTGTGTGTCTTTTGCTTGCTTTCTCCATGGTTGCGCTGTTTTGTGGACGAGTTTTCTTGTTCGGTCATTGGCGTTTGCGTTGGTGTAGGTATTGCTTCGATTTCGGGCCCTCCATAAGGAGCGATGGTTCATCTGTTCGCGCATCAGTATGCGGGTGGGTAACGATTGTGTTGGATGATGTCCGCTGCGTGGCCGAGGTTCCGAGGACGGCGCAGCAGCAGGATACTTCTTACCGTACAAATGCTGCTCAACGTGCTGTATGTTGTGAATTTAGCGTGTCACCGACTACGACTCGTGGCGTGGACAACGTTCCCGCAGCAACCTTCGCGACACCTCGCTGCCACGCCCACCATAATCCCGAGTCTCCGAGCTTCCAGTCGAGTTTGGATATCGAGCTCAGCTCAGCTCAGCCCAGCTCGCTATCCTTGCCCGTCAACCTTCCCCACACATACCTACCATACGATGTCCGCCCCACCCGCAGCACCACCCGCAGCACCACCACCAGCACCAGCACTCATCTCTCAGCACACCACAGCATCATCCTTCCTCCTGAGCGCGCTGCACTCTTCCACGCCGTGCACACTGCTAATCTGCAGCGCGCGCGATGTATTCCGACAGCGCCTCTCCCCCTCATTCGCCGCTACGCTCCCAACACTCGCCCACCTCCGCGGCGGCCAGCACACGGCCGTGGTCTTCCTGCCTAGCATTCTGCACGTGCGCACGTACCTCGCCTCCCTCTCCTCCTCCCTGGCACATGGGGCGGGGGAGTTAAGAGTCTGGGGCCTCATCTCGGCGCACGCGGAAACGAGCGAGTTCTCGGCGCAGGGGGTGGGGCGGACACTCGCGGCGCTGGTGGAGGTGGGAAGGCGCGCGGGCGCGGGCGTGGTGATTGCGGAGGAGGGAGAGGCCTGGTGGGAGACGGAGTTGTCCGTGTTGAATGCGAGTGCCAGTGGGAGGCTGGATAGGTTGGGGGTTGTCGCTGGGAGGACGGTGGGGCTGGGGAAGGTGCTGGGGAGGTGGTTTGATTTTGAGGAGGGGTGTGAGGGCGAGGGGGTGGAGGGGGAGGGGGGAGAGGAGCAGGAGGAGTGGGAGGGGGAGAGTGATGGGTTGTGAGGCGGTGATGTTCGTATTCGCGAATCGGGGGGGTGGGACACTCTACTGGTATCTAGCTGTGTAGTTCAGCTACCTAGAGCGATGCAAGGCATGGCGCATGGTTGAGACTTGAGTTCTGGGAATAAATCCCTACATGACCTACATAGACTCGACATAGATTCTCCATGGAGCCTAGAGTACCTGTCCAATGTCTACCCAGTCATGATGCATTCCCCTCCGGGCCCCTCGGGCAGTGGCGATGAATCATCATGAGCTCAGTACATCACAGATTAGGTCCTCCACCAGCCTTCTCTTTACGTCTTTACGTCTTTACGACGAAGTTCGAACATCCGGAGACTCGGACTCTGGGCATCTAGATGTCGATTAGCTGTGGGAATTCCTCAGATATAGTACTGACTTGGGCACCTGGGGCAACTGGGACACCCCAGGCACATGCTACCTATGGTATGTATGATACATACCGTATCTATCTGCGGAGAACAATCGATAGCGATACCCACCTAGATAGTTGCCTCCGCTCTAGTTACTGTTTACAGTAGGTATCTCCCGGCTCCGTTTCCTTTTTCTTTTCTTCACGTTTCGTTTCGCCGCGTTTTCCCCTCCCCCCACGTTACGCAAAGAAAAGAAAGGAAGAAAAGAAAGGAAGAAAGTGAATTTTTCCAATTGATCCGGGGCGGTACGGGTGGGTGGGTTTGCTGCCGGCATATCCGACCCGGTGGGTGGATGTGGATGTTCATGCAAGGAAAGCGGAAAGAATAGAATGCACGAAGCGGAGCGAAGGGAAGGAATATCATAGATATGATCTGTTTGTATGATGGGTACATATAGGTGCACTGCGCGGGCTTGCCCCTCTTCTTCAGCTGCTTCTTCAGCTTCTTCTTTTTTTCGGAGTATTGGGAAGGGGGGAGGGGGGAGGAGGGGAGGGGGATGCCCCACCCTCCCTCCCTGCGTAATGTACCTATGGTAGGTACCTGCTCCATGCGTACATCAGATGTGAGGTCACTACTACTCTACACACCTAGGTGAAACGAGATGGAGAGGGCAGAAATGAATTGAATGGAGATAACTGTGAAGATTCTGGAAGCGTGGCTGATAAGAAGAAGAGGAGTTCGATATCTACGCACGTGTGTGAAGGAAGGAAGGAAGGGAGGAGGGGGCGAAGGGGCGAAAGGAGAGCACAGAGCTTGCGCACGAACACACGCACGAGCTAGAGCTCATCTCTGCTCCCATCATCATCAAACCGTCGTCGCCGTCGACGTCGTCCGTACTTACATTATTTACTGCACATCGACGCTAAGCTGAGCAGCTTGCTCTAGAATAGATATCGTAGCTCTGCATTTTTCATGATTTTTCTTGCTTTCTGTTTGCGGATGATGATGTCTTCTTTGCGTTTCGCCTGCTGTTGTGCTATCCGGAATTAAGGCGGATATAGGTTAGTAGGCAAGAAGGTATTCTCGACTCGAGACCGTTTCCCGCACCGGCAACGGGACCGGAACCAGTAGCGGCAGCCGCGCGTCAATAGGCACCGGTAGTGTGTTCTGGCGTCTGAGTGGTGGGCCGGCGGAGAGAGTTCAGTCCGAGCTTCCGTAAAGTGTGCAGTGCGGTGGCTGAGAGCTTGTGCCTGTGCCTGCCTGTGCCTGTGCTTGTGCTTCTGCCTGTGCTCATCGTGCTCGTGCCATTCCTTGACGGCTGCTGCGATTGCGTGGACTGATGATGATGGACGGATGATGAACGGGTGGAGGGGATGAATTCGGCGCTGGGTGAATTGCAATGGAGGATTTCGAGGGGGTGGGTGGGGAGGGAGCGAAGGCTTTTCTAGCATGACAGTGGTTCGGAGTCGGCGAGACAGCCGGCCAGCCAGCCAGGCGAGGCGAGGCAGCGCTGCATTTCGTATCCGACCCGTCGTATCCGTTCTCCTTCTCAGTTGCGTTGCGTTGTTGCGTTGCGTTGCTTGACTCTTCTCCTCACAACCTCGCCGCCCACCCACCCCCCAAACACCCACAACCTACCACTCCTTCCCGACCCACTCCCTTCGAGACACCAATCTAACCAAACCAAACATTTCCCTTGCTCTCGCCTCCTCTTCTCACTATTCGCGACGATCAGCTCTCCAGGGAACATCCCATCCCCACGCTCCACACTCCGTCCGTTTGTTCATTGGGCCAGCGTGAGAACTACCAGCAGCAGCAGCAGCCCTCTCCTCCCCCCCACACTCGGAAGAAACTGGATCCCTTTCCACCCGCACTTAGTCACATCGATATCACCATACTTTCGCACCTACATACCGAATACATGAACACCATCTTGCATCGCCCCCCCCACACTCCTCACGCATAAGGCTTCCCGCGACTGCAACTGCGACTCCGACACCAATCGGGGATCAACCGCCTCCGCTACTGCCACCACTACTGCCACTACTGTTACTATCACTACTACTACCGCTGTCACAGTCTGCTCAAGACGCCGATAAGTCAGGGATTATACAGCGGGAAAAGCGCGAACGATATTAGAAACGAAAGGAGAAAAGATAGAGAGAGAAGCAATGGCATCTGAAATGAGCAACATCACGAATGGAGGGAGGGAGGAGCTGGCGGAATTGGGAGGAGCTCATAAGAAAACAACCGTCCACTTCAGCAGTGGAGAGCCAGTCCGGATTCCAGTTTCAATCGTTTCGTCGGAGCTTGAACCGGGACCAGATGCAGATGTTTCAGCACAGCATCATCGACAACAGCTAGACAGACTGACGGATAGTTTGTCGGCTTCGCTGCAACAGCAAAGACTCACGCACCCGGACTTTCAGCCTTTCTCCCTGCCGCCGTCCCGGGTGAGTTACTGCACCCCTCATCCCCCTCCACCCCCCCCCCCCCCCCCCCCGCGCCCCTCGTGCTCTCGTATTGCATCATTCGGTGCCGCATTATGCCGGTGACCCATGTGCGTGGGTGCGCGGCGTGCGTGAGCCGGAGTGCGGTCCGGAGTTTGCTATAACATTACCTCCCCCCCACCGTCATCCTATTTGGGATGACTTCAGGCTGACCGTTCGACTCCTCAAAACTCTAGGCTCCCTCAAGAGACAATACCATCACTCCGGATTCACCTCGAAAGAACATGAACTCCCCGCCATTGACGCCCGCGTCGACTCAAGATCGTCCGCCGTTCCGCCAGTCTCGGTCCGATGACTATCGTTCGACGCTCCAACCATCACGGCACCCTGGAGCCGATCCGAACACAATGACCCCTCAGACCTCTCCACCACGGTTGGGCACCGGGACGCTGACTCCCAAAGGCCTCGTGTCTGGCACAAATTCACCTGCCTCTTCGAGACCGGTATCGGCGCATTCCGTGCAAGGCCGAACCCCCACATTCACTATAGGGCCGGCGGACTTCACTGTATCGTCGCCGTCGGAGTACGGAGACAGCCCGGGGGGTACGCCTACCGGATCCGGTTCTCGCTCGGGAGCTACCACGCCCATCCACCATCACCCTCCTTCGCGGCCATTCACACCGGCACCGGACCCAGATGACCCTTATGCGCGACACAAGAGGCCCCCTCAGTCCAAGAGGGTGGAGGATATCGAGCCGCGGTTCAAGTTCTCTAAAACCCGTCAGAGTCACTCCAGCACGAATCTGTCAGCGATGGGCCATGAAAAGGACAAGAAGCATCACCACTCGCACCTATCCCTTACCGCGCTGGCCAAGGGCGAAGACCGTGGTCTCGGATCGAAGAAGTCGTCGATGGGCGATCTGAGGAGGTTCTTCAAGGGTACTAAGAAGAGGTCGTCGTCACCGAGCGCTAGCTCCACCCATAGTTCGAAGAGCTCGACGCCTGGGGGAGCTGCCCCGTTCGCAGACGACCAAGGATTGAACAAGAAATACGGAAAGTTTGGGAGGGTGTTAGGATCGGGAGCTGGAGGCTCGGTGAGACTGATGAAGCGGTCGAGTGACGGTGTTACGTTCGCCGTCAAGGAGTTCCGCCCCAGACACTCGTACGAGTCGGAACGGGAATACGCCAAGAAGGTCACTGCCGAGTTCTGTATCGGCTCCACACTGCACCATGGAAACATCGTCGAAACGCTGGACATTATCCATGAGCGGGGACGTTGGTATGAGGTCATGGAATACTGCCCGTTCGATCTGTTCGCTACCGTCATGACGGGCAAGATGTCGAAAGAGGAGGTGGCTTGCAGTTTCATGCAGATCGTGAGCGGTGTTACATTCCTGCATTCCATGGGTCTTGCCCACAGAGATCTCAAGTTGGACAATGTTGTCATCAGTGAGCATGGCATCCTCAAGATTATCGACTTTGGCAGTGCAAGTGTCTTCCGATATCCATTCGAGAACGGTATCGTTGAAGCACACGGTATGTTTCATCCGTCCACGAGTGCTCGTCAGATACTGATATGTTTCGATAGGCATTGTCGGCTCCGACCCATATCTTGCGCCCGAGGTGTGTAACGAGCTCAAGTATGATCCGCAGCCAGCCGATATCTGGTCCCTCGCCATCATCTTCTGCTGTATGACACTACGCCGCTTCCCGTGGAAAGCTCCGCGCCAATCCGACAACTCGTTCCGCCTGTTCGCCGCCACGCCCGATCCGGTGTCCGCTTCAGCAACGCCTGAGATTGAAGGAACTGCCGCAAACCCGTCGCCGAAAGATGTGCAGGGTGCCGGAGCCGGACCCCATGCGCCCAAGGGCCCCAACCGCTTGCTTAGGATCCTGCCGCGGGAATCCCGGCATATCATTGGACGTATGCTGGAGCTTAAACCGGAGAAGCGGGCCACGCTGGAGGAAATCTGGAACGATGAGTGGATCCAGTCGATCGACTACTGTCGGCAGGAGCAGGCCACCATTATCCGCGCCGGCAACCACACGCACGTCCTCGAAAGCCAGCCTCAAGATACCAAGGAGACTGCGCGCAAGAAGAGCCAGGAGTCTCGCAAGTCGACGAAATAGAATAGCGTTCGGTATTGTGTGAAGGCTCTTTCTCCTTTGTCGTCTTAGAGTTGCAGCGGGTCTCCTTCTCGTTCTCATTTGTCGCTTTCTGGTATGGTCTGGCTGTTTTGGGACGGGGGTTTAGATAATTTTTTCCTTCTCATTTCTCATTTCTCTTGCGTACAACATCTTTGGTATTAGATGATTGGTGCAAATGATGCATCATGGTGGGGGTTTGGTATATGGTACACATTCTTCACTAAGATGAGAACTCTTTTCATTGCATTTCATATCCTAGTGTTTCTGATATCAGTTCTTCTTTTTCTTTGCTTTGATTCTACCACTGTATATGCCGTTGCTTGGGAAAGGGATTTCGTTTTTGTATGTAGATGTGTGTGTGGGTGGGGTGGGATGGCTCGGGATAGAGGAATCTACTATTAGATGGATGATTTCGTGGCGTGGATGTCGAATCATGGAATATCACACTTAGCCACGACCCATTGCCGAAGCAGACATTGGGCCGAACCAGGATCGAACACCAACCGCGACCCAACTGTATCCAAGATGACCTCTCCGCCGCCACGACCACGATCCGCAACACCAGAAGTACAATCGCAAACATGGCCGCACATCACCTCCCCGCCCCGTCTAGTCGCCAGCACGGGCACCACCTACAGCGGCAGCATCGCCGCAACCTCGGACTGTCCCACCCGCCCCGACGCGTCCGAAAGTAACCTGTTCAAGTCGCTGCAATGGTGCGCATCTTTCCCCCGTAACAGCTGGCCGATATAGATATACTGACTTTCCGGGCCACAGGACCTCCGACGGCAGCACGCTGCTCACACACTCCGAGGACGGCGGCCTGCGGACCTTCATCCTTCCACCAGACATCCTCTCGCCCACCCTCACGCCCCTCACCCCCTACTGCACCACCTTCCTCCCGCACCGCATCTACGCGACCGCTCTCTACCCCTCCAGCAGCCTCTCCACGCCGTCGACACTCCTCTACCTCGCCTCTTCTCGCGGGGGTCCAATCCGGCTCCACTCCCTCCTACACCCCACCCTGCTCGCCTCCTACCCGCTAATAAACGCGCACACGGAATCCTACCTCACGCCGCACTCCCTTCTCATCCCGCCGCACCGGCCACACACATTTATCGCCGGCAGCGCCAGCTCCCTTTCCTTCTTCGACCTCCATCGCGCGGGCAGCGCGCCCGTGCGCACGCTGCGCACGATCCCGACGCGGAGAAGCCCGGCGACGACGGTTACTATGAAGGGGCTGATTACAGCGCTGGCGCTGGGGGGTGGGGGTGGGGGTGCAGGTGGGGGCGTGCTCGCCGCCGCGACGAATACGAGGCAGGTAGGACTGTATGCCGGTGATGGCAAGGGGGAGGTCGTCGGCGTGTTTGGCCTGCCCAAGGAGCCGAGGGGGGAGGCCGGTGGTGGCGTTACCCAGCTGGAATGGAGTAAGTGCGAGAGGTACCTGTTCATTGCGGAGCGCAGGAGTGAGGTCGTTACGGTCTACGATATTAGAAACACCGGGCGGCGAGTGGGGAGTCTGATGGGCCGTGGGGCGGCGACGAATCAGAGGGTGGGGGTTAGTGTGGCGCACGCGCTGGGGGGCGAGGTGCTGGGTGGTGGCATGGATGGGATGGTCAGGGTTTGGGAGGGGGAGGAGGGCGGGGAGGCCGTGGGGGGGTGGAGGGCGCATGAAGATGTCGTCACTGCTGCCGTCGTGCATCCGTTTGGTGAGGTCGTCGCTACGTGCTCTGGGTCGAGGAAGACGTTTGGGCTGGGCGGGGGGAGGGGTAGTTGCGGTGGGGGTGGGAATAGTAGTAGCAGCAGCAGCAATGGGGATACAGATACAGACACAGACACGGATGCACCGCCGTGGGACAACAGTCTCAAGATTTGGGAGGTTCCGCGAGCACACACGCACTCGTCACCGGAGGACAGAGAACCATAGCCAGTCGGTGATGGTAGAGCGGGGAAACATATTGTACAGATCTCAATCCAACCCTCTCGTCTCAATTCCTCATCTCCCCCGCCGTGATTTTCTGTACACCCTCCGTCGTCCATCGTCGTCCATCTTACATCGCAAAAGAAACGCCATTCACAAATGCTTTTTTTCCACCTCGTATCCGGTCTGACTGAGTGTGCGTGCGTCTACTCGTTGATCTTGGCCAGGAGCCTGTCGTGTCCCATCAGCCCACCGCACTTCGCCGCACCTCGCTGCACAGGAAGAAGAGGGTACTTACTCGTGGTCCCGGAAGATAGTGTACTCCTCATCCCCAACCTTGACGGGGCTTCCACCGTACTGCCATCACACACACACATATCAGCCTATGCCCTTTCCCACGCCCTTTCCCTTGTCCCATCCCCCACCCATCCCCCATCCCCTCCCCATCCCCATCCCCATCTGCGCCCCAGGAAGTACTCACAGGCGGAATCAACACCCTATCGCCGGGCTTGACGGAGACGTCGATGCGCTTGCCGTCCTTATCGGTGTGGCCGGGGCCGACGGCGAGCACACGCGCCTCGCTCAGCTTCTCGACCGTGCTCTCCGGCAGGAAGATTCCCGACGCAGTCTTGACGTCGGCCTTGACGCGCTGCACCAGGATGCGGTCCAGCAGCGGCGCCAAAGACTTGATGTTGCGGAGGGAGGTGGCCTGGTTGCTGGGTTAGCTGCTGAATGGTGGGAGTGTGAGGCGGGGAAGCGGGGGAGGGGAGGGGTGTACCATTGTGTGTTGCTGTGGGGTGGTGGGTTGGTGGTGGTAATTGAGTTGTGAAGTTAGAGTATGGGAGAGGTAGAGTGCAGATTGGGAGAAGAAGAAGTAGTAGTTCGCTCGCTCTCTCGGACCGAAGGTAGGATAACCAGAACCTCGCATCAAAATATTCTAGATTCTTCCACCTTGCATCCGTGCCAAGACGCCAGTGCATTGCCGAACTCCCCTCGCACTCGTCTCCTGCCGCCGCCCGCCGCCCGCCCACAACATCTCACCACTCTGTTAAAATAAACAAAAACATAAAAGCAAAAAGCAAGGTATCTCATTGCGCATTAAAAATAAAAAAAAAGAGTTGCTCCCCGGAAAAGTACAATAGCGAATCCAGCTGGCCATACATTAAACCCATATCATCACCGAAAGAAGGTACAACCGTTCACTGCGACGCCGTATGCATCATCTGCTCCAGCTTTGTCATGTACAGGTCGATATGGGCGCGCAGTCGGTCGTATTCCACCTTCGCCAAGGAGTACTCTTCCTCCAGCTTGCCCTTGAGCTCTGCCATCTGTGACGGGACCACACGAGTTAGAATAAACAAGTAGTACACATCAGAGAGGCACTCCCGTACCTCTTTCTGCTTGATGTCGGTCTTGGAATTGATCTTGTCGATCTGTCGGTTTGTGGCTGAGCGCTCCTCGGAGAGCGCAAGGTACTCTGCCTTCAGCTTCTCCATGTCCTCTTTGGTTGCCTCCCGCCGAGCAACCGCTTGGTTCCTGGCCCGTGTAAGCTTCTCCTCTGCATTCGCGAGGGTTCTTCGCAGACGCTGGACGGATGGTGGTTAGCCTCGCATGTCTTCAGTAACGTCGGATACAAACACCTCTACCTCTTCGTTCCTTTCAATCTCCTTCACCTCGGATTCCTTGTTGTGAAGTTGTTCCTGATAGCGTTGCAACTTGCGTTGGCACTCCTCCATTCGGATCAGTTCCCTTTGACAATCCTCCATGAGCTTGATGCAGTTCCCAACATCCACCTCGACAATCGAGAAACTATCCGACGACGTTTGTAGCGCGCGGCGCTGTCGTTCCGCCGCGTCCACCGCCTCCTTCTCGCGGTGGAGCGACTTGACGAGATCTGTGATGACAAGCTGCAGCTGTTCCGGTGAATCAACAATGTAAGGCTGAAGCTTCTGACATTCTTGCCGGTTCGCCTGGATCAGGTACTCCTGGTCCTGGAGAGCCTTGACGAGCAATTGCTTCTCGTCCTTAACCTTCGTGACCTCATGTGCCAACACGTTCTGCTTCCGCCCGAGTTCCCGGAGTTCTTCCGTGAGCTGCTTGTTCTTCGCCTTGGCCTGGTCGAGTACGGGCTCCTCCCGCTTCCGCTGCGCCTTCATGTCGGCCACCCGCTTGGCGAGCAACTCGTTCTCGTCGTGCAAGCGCTCGATCTGTTCCCGCGTCTGTTCTCCGCGCAGCAGCAGCGCTTCGGTGTGGTCTGTCTTCCCGCCGCGGTACCTCAAAAAGTTAATCACGTTAGAAAGGATAAACTTCAGCCGCTCGGTCTCGGGCTTTGTCAGGTCGTTGAACGAGAAGTCGCGGACGCCGCACTCGACCATCAGCGCCAGCAGCGACGAGTAGAACGCCGTGACCATGGCCGAGTCGTAATGCGCCTCGGGGTACTCCTGCTCTCCCGTCGCCGCCTGTATTATCGGCTCGACGGACTCCCGGCTGACGCCCATAAGCGAGTTGACGAAGCGCTCGAATAGGTACTGCACTCGCATCGGCGTCGGCTTGTTCAGGTCGTCCATCGTGAAGTTGATGCCGAGCTCGGCGAGACACTCGATGATGTCGTTGGTTTTCTGTAATGGTGAGCGTCCACTCCTCAATGCACTACCCCGAGGAAGGCTTTTGGTCCCTACGAGAATTAGATCGTGCTCCAGCTGCTGCTGCTGCTGCTTCTGCTTCTTGTTCACCATTGACCCCGGCGTCTTGGGATTGTTCCCCTGTGACGACCGGAACATGTTGCTCTGGCGAGGGTTGAAAGCCATCGCTCGTTACTCTCCGCGAGGGCGGCCGTCTCAACAACAAAAGATGGTGGGGCTAAGATTGCAAGGTGCGTTCGGTGTCTTGATTTCGCGGTGTACGGTGTGTAGCTACAGGCTGTCCGTGTTCGCGTTGTCTCTGTCGTGGGCGCGGTAACTATGGTGTAGTGGGGGTCGATCGATTGCGAAGCGTCGTGTCCGGTGGTTGTCCGTTACACACACCTGCACGACCACGCCAAGCGTAAACAAAAACACCAAACCCCCGTCGCATCTGCCATCGCAACCGCGTCGCGGCTAGACGGTCAGGTGACAGCCGATGACGTAATTCGATAACAAGCGGCGACTTCACTTGTCGCATGCAATGAACGACGAGTACCGTAGGTGCCTACCCGCAACCACAGACACGACGACCACGCATTCTCCTTGCGAGCGGGTGCGGACATGGCTACCTACCTGAGTACTTGCCGGTATCGTCGGACAGCTATATGTATGAGCGTCAAAGTGAAGCCGTGATCCTCAGTGGGAGTTACCGGGCGGGGGTTCCAACTTCCGCCTCTACACTAGGTGCATGCGAATACAGGCAGAAGTGGAGGCCGATCTCCTCGCGGCCTTCCCCGCAGATCGCTTCGTACCCGCATAGGGGTGCCTGGTTGGGCTGGTTTCTCTTCTCCACTCCACTCTGTCTAGTGCTGCGCTGTGTCCGGACTGTGGAGTTTGGCTCCCCCTCGGGATCCTGTAATAGATCACCACAGGCACCGGCAACGACAAGGGCTGGACTCGACGGGAACCAGAACTATGCGGCTTCACTCCATTGTGAACACTGAAGCCAACTGCCATGTACCTACTATATGCATATCTGCGGAAATGTCCGGGTCCAACGTGAGGAACAATCACAACGCCGTGCTCTGGGGATTCGGGCTTTGTTCGCTGCAGCTGGCCACCATCCACCAGACACAGCCGAGGCGGCCCGGCATGAGTTCGCAGCGGCCCTTGCTTAAGCGGCGGGATTCGCGCCGTTGATTCGCTATCGGCTTCCTCCGGCTCTCCACGGATGCAGGAGCACTGGCGCGGTGGTGGTGGTGGCTGTGGCCTAGGTAGGTACCGGTATGTATTGCACATAGCAACCCCATGTGGCACAAAACTCCACATGTGGCACAAGAGTGTCCTCCCCAAAACACTGGCACCGGCACTCACATCGAACTGGCAGTCAAACGTTGCACGGAACGTCACGAGGATCAATACTAGCAGTATGATGACCCACCACATAGTAACGATGATGCTGTGCTCTGCTCATCCTGGGAGCTTTCGATCCCAGTCCCGGAAGACACTTACCAGCCTGGTCGGCCTGTGAATGATCAAGGCAAAGGAGGGACTAATCCCCCAATCCCCCCAGTCCTTTCTCCCCTCCCCGTCCCTTCCCTCCTCGTCTGCCCTTTGACTTGTCACCAGCCCCTGCCTGCCTACATCTTACCTCTATCCCGCTACTACTACATACCCCCCATCAAGCCCTCAAAGCCCATTGTCTGCTGTCCTCCAACTACATTCCTCATATTACCTCCTACTGTTATTCCCATATCCCACCTATCCAGCACCTGACTGTCCTTCCTCGAGTCTGACCCACCACCTGATCGAAATGACCGGCTCTCACCTCATCCTCCGTCCCGCCACGACCAAGGAAGTGCAGTACATCCACGACCTCAACTCGTCCGCCTGGGCCGGAGATCTAACCGTCGAGGCGTACCACGCACGGGAGCGGACGCTTGCCTCCACCCCGCTGACCCGCAACGGCGGACTGAGTGCCTGGGTCCTCGTGAATCCGGAAGCTCCGCAGGAGGTCCTCTCGTCCTGTGAAACCATAAAGAAGCATGCTTTCGTGTCGAGGCTGCCGGTCAATGAGGATGTTGTCCCGTCGGTGAAGCAGTGCACGGTCCATGGCGTGGGCAGTGTTTTCACGCCCGTCGAGCATAGGGGGAATGGATATGCGGGGACTATGTTGCAGCTGCTGGCGGAGACCCTGAAGAAGGGGAATGCTGAAGGGTTCAGTGTGCTGTACTCGGATATTGGGAAGGTTCGTTTCTTTGGTTGACCGGGTGGTTGACTGGTTGGCTGGTTGGTTGGAGACGTGCGTGCTGACCGCAAACAGGAGTTCTATGCTAGGCTCGGATGGCTGCCCCACCGTTCATCGCATCTCGAGTTTCCTGCAATTGAGGAAGCCGGTGCCCACACCACCGGTGTAAAGTCCTTGCGGTCGACGGATGTGCCCTCTCTCTGCGTCAAGGACGTTGCAGCCCTCACAGAGTTGCTTTCCCGGCCACACCCCAGCGTCGATACACGGATTGCGTTCGTCCCAGACTACCAGACGATGGAGTGGCACTGGACACGCGAGGAGTTCGTGGCGCCTATGCTTAGAAAACATATGGACATCAAGCCCGAGATCAAAGGAGCCATCACTGCCGACGGTAAGCGATGGTTCTTATGGAACAGGGACTTTGGGAAGGGGACCTCGCAACTGTACATCCTACGCTACGTCAACCTGTCTCGTAGTCTCAGCGACGTGGACGAGGAGAACCATGTGGCAAGACTATTCCGAGCGGCCGGTATCGAGGCTCAAAAATGGGGCCTCCAGAAGGTGATCATGTGGAATCCGAACGAGATCTGTGTCCGGGCGGCGCGAAGGGTGGCTGGGCCAGCTGCGCGGGTCGTCGACAGGGAAACGGACTCGATCTGCTCGGCGATGATGCACTCCAGACAGCAGGGCAGCGGGCCGGAAGAGGTGGATTGGGTTGCCAACGAGAAGTATGCCTGGTGTTGATATTTCGGACTTGCCTCGTCTTTTCCACTGGATGTTCCTTCTTTCATTGCCCCATAGGGTATGGTGTTTTGGGTATCTGGTGTTCTCGGTGTTTGTATTTTGATTCATACCGGTAGATTCATTCATCGCCATGGATCCGCGCTCTTGATCTGGGATCTGCCTGAGCGGGGGACGGGTGGATAATGTGTTCTATTATACCATACTTGCACCGGCGTGGGGTCGAGCGGCGTATTGTAGGCTTTATTTTTCGGGAGATGGATAGGATTGGATGGCGACGGATGAGGGAATGCTCTGGAAACATTGATGCAGATGCAAAGAGTGGCTGATAGCTGAACTTGAGGCAATATATATGAGTACATGTGCCATGATATTGGCTTTATTTGGAGTGTTTTACTGTGACTCGCACTCTCTGCGGTGTTGGCCATGGTGGATAGTGATCGGTTCGATACGACGAGTGGTAGTGGCCGCTGGCTGACGCGGGCTAGCTGGCTGAGAGAAAAGCAGGTGACCAGTGAGGTGGCGAGCAAAGCCGATTATGCCATGCGGGCCCTATATCTTGCAAGGGACTTCACCGCAGATAGGCCGCCCCTCCGCTCTGGACCTCCGAGGTGGCGTTTCTGCTGCTGCTTTAGTGCGATGCCACGCTGCGGCTGCAAAGTCGGCGAGTATTGCGTGTGATTAAAAGCGGTTGTTGGGGGCATCGAACACGAAGATGTGGATGAGTCCCGTCGGTAAACGAAGTCTGCAGACTCCAGAGCAATCTGTTTGGTGGTTGTTGATCCGGCCCTTGCGGCAGTGTTTCTGCTTCTTCTTCTGCTGCTGGGATTCGTCTCTTCTTCTCGTCTCTTCTCATCGTATTTTCTTTTTTCTCTTTTTTTTCCTTTTCTTTCTCTTCAGAAAAGAACGGTGGTTGCGTCTCACTCCGAGTTCGACTATTCTTGTCGCGGAGATTACTATCACTCAGTCACTGCGACTCTATTACTCGATTCCCGGACTCGACACGACAACGACAACCCAACCCAGCTCAGCCCAGCCCGCCCGCCAGACCCAAAAACCACCACCACCACTCCCACCACCACCACCTATTCTGCGTACTACCACTCCACCCAACACCTAAAACTCACTACCACCCCCAAATTTCAAGCTCAAGCCACTCCAGGTTGAGGACGGGAACACACCCCCAAGAAACTCTACCACCCTACATACTCCTCCACACCCTCCCACCCACCCAACCCAAACTCAACCCCAACGGCATCTGATACTCACACTCGTCGCCTTATCGCGCGGCGTCTAGAGTACAGCCGCGTTACTCCAGTCCATCCGCTTCGACGAAGGCATGCCGGGGAAGATCCTTCTTCCTTCCGCCGACGACAACTCAATACGCGATATGTCTTCCACAACCACGAGTACGGCGGCTATGGCCCAGTCGAATCCGCCCACAGATCCGGCGCTGTTGGCGCCGCCGCCCCAGCAGCTCGCAACGTCGGTCGACGCGCAGGATCACGATCGGAAAGATGTCGGCGCTGCCGATTTGGCCGCTGCTGCAGCTTCGTCGGCCGAATTGGTCAGCCGCACCGTCGCTGCTTCCGCCAACGACGAGTTCCTGCAACAGCTTCAGCAACAGCAGCAACAGCAGCAACAGCAGCAACAGCAGCAACAGCAGCAACAACAACTGCAACTGCAACAGTCAGAACCCACCCAGCAGACAGCGCAATCCCATCAGGTCGTGTACATGATGCCACAAGTCCAGAGTCCACAACTCCAACCGTCGTCGCAACCCATAACCCCTTCCGGCGGCGGCCAGGTATGCAGGTAATATAATTTCCCTCACCGCAATCCTCCAAGTCGGGCTCGTAGGTCTGACTTTCGCCGTTTAGTAACTGCGGAACTACTCGTACTCCACTGTGGCGTCGCGCCCCCGACGGAAAGACCATCTGCAACGCCTGCGGCCTCTACCAGAAGGCTCGAAATCAATCGCGACCGACGAACCTGAAGCGACCGCCGCATACCTCCACCATCGCTGCCATCCAGGGCTCCAATGGCGCCACGTATGTTGCGGCTGATCAGGTTTCCTCGGGAACGTGTCCGGGCGGGGGCAGCTGCAACGGGACTGGTGGTGCCGAGGGCTGCAACGGGTGCCCCGCTTACAATAATCGCGTGGCAAAAGCCGCGCAGCTTACGATTCCGCACTCTGGTGGCTGCGGGGGCGGTGGTTCCGACGGAGGTGCTGCTGCTCAGGCAGACACTACGATGCAAGGCACGACTCCAGCGACTGTTCCGTCCCCTTCGCCTCAGCCGCAACAGGTGCAGTCTCAGGTACAGACGCAGCAACAGCAGCAATCTGGCGGAAGGGGCGGATCGCCGACTACCACGGTCGTCGTGGCTTGTCAGAACTGCGGTACCACCATCACCCCGCTTTGGCGTAGGGATGAGAGCGGTCACACGATTTGCAATGCTTGCGGTATGTCCACTTTCTCGACTTTGACTGGTTGCTCTCTTTATTGGTATCAGATGCGGTGCCGTCACCCTTGTTATCGGTCCATAATCAGATGATCGGATGGTGTGGTGATCCTCGCGAGTGAGTTAGATTGCTGACAATTATATCGCGATCCCACAGGCCTGTACCACAAGCTCCATGGAGTGCATCGTCCCGAGGCTATGAAGAAGACCATCATCAAGCGCCGAAAACGGGTTGTTGCTCCCGCCAATGGAAACTTTCCGTCCAGACCGGCCACTGCTGTCGTTACCATTTCACAGCAGGCCCATCAACATGGTCCTTCCGCCGACGGATCCCAGATTGACACCGAGATGGGTGGGATGTCCATTGCTTCGCCCACTCCAGCGCACCGTAGTCAAATCGCTGTGGATTTTACGACCCCACGTCCTTCGGCGTCGACATCGGCGGCTCCTGTGGCTCCTATGCAGCAAAACAAGGAGCCAAACGCGGCTGGAACATACGAAAATCCCCAATCCAGGCAGCGCAAACGCTCCCTGTCGCAAGCTATGGACGCTGATTCCCCAGATGGAAGAGGCCACCAGTCCATCAGCTCGATCCTGAACAACACCCATGCCGGCACTGGTGGGGATGTTCCCATCGAGCCGAGTCTACTTGCTCTCGGGATTGTTAACAGTGCCGAATTGAGCCCGGACCAGAGGCGTCAGCAGCTGTTGGAACGCAAGGCTGCGATCGAAAACGAGGCAAATAAACTCCAGAAGGCGTTGGAAATCTGCAACGCCGAAATCCAGAAGATTGAAGAGAGCAAAGACGCGATCACGGCAACAAATAATGAGATAGTGGCCAGAGCGGTCGCTGCAACTGCCGCTGTTGAGAATTAGGGGTTCCTTGACCTCTGGTATGAGCATCTGCCTGAAAATCTAGGCTACGGAGATGACCATTTCCACCGCCATGCTTACTGATCTCCCACTACCTCTTTTACATTGCATATCTTACTTTTTCGCTCTTGCTCGATCTTCTTCGTTACGTGTAATGGATTGGCGCAATTGCAACCTGACACCACTCTGGATTCTGTTTCTGTTTCTTTTATTGCTTTTTCTTGGATCAATCAGAAAAGAAATGCGGATCGATGGAGGATGTGGTGAAGGCGGAGTTGGCTGTGTTTTTTGCTCTCTTTTCTGCTGGGTGTAATGTTTGTTCTGCGTCCACGTTGCTCTTTTCCTTTGGCGTTTCGAATGCACTTGATATGGGGATCAATCATTTTTTTTGTTTATTCTTCACTTTATCCCCTCATGTTTTCTCGACGATTATCCCTGTGTTTGATCATCCTGTATGTACATACAAACGAGATATTCTTTCTCGGCCGGATAGATACACTGCTGCGACAGTGGTGGTCGCAAAAGACTGCATGGGATATCACTCGCCGTGAAAATCCGTCCGAGACTGGTCTTCCGGCAGCAGAATTACTCTACTCCTTCTTTCCACCCTTCGAGACTTCCATCAATACCCTCCTAGCAAGCTCTTCGTTGCTCGCAAACGGCGCATTAAAAGTACCGGGCAATCCCTTGATCCTGTACGAATCTGTTCCATCATCATCAGCACCACCCTCGCCATCCCCAATTTCCCAAAGAAGAAGAAGAAGAAGAAGTACTCACTCGCATTATCCTTCGCCACGCCCTTCACCCCTTCCTCCCCCGCCTCCTTGACCACTCTCGCGAGCAAATCCCTCCCCAGCCCACTGCGCCTATACCTCAGCAGCACCGTCCACGCCCACAGCTCGCCCTGCCTAACCACAGCGACACCAACAACCTTCTCACCCCACGTGGCCACAACCGTCTTCGTCCCCTCCTCCTCCTCGTTTAGCACCTCTATCCCCTCGCGCCCCATCCTCTCCGCCTCCTCAAGGTACTGCGCGCCCTCCATGCGTATAGCGCTCAGGATCGCGATGCAGACGCCCGAGAGCAGGATCACGGCTGTGGGGATGTTGGTGCGGTTCAGGTAGAAGACGAGAGAGAGCAGGCTGAGCGAGGGGAGGAGGAAGACGGGAGAGGACAGGATTGAGCGGGATAACGTCTGTCGCTGCTGCGCGATCGAGTCGGTTATTAGATGCAGTGCCGCGGCGCGCTCGCTAGCAGGGCAGGGGTGGAGGGAGAAGGCGGGGAGGTTGGACATTGTTGAAGGTTGGACGGTGGATTGGGGAATGCCGGAGCGTAGATGGGAGGGAGAAGAGAGAGAAGAGAGAGAGAAGTTTTCGGTGACGACGTATGGATGTAGAGTAGAGTATGTGTGTGGCCGGCGGTCAGGATCAGGACCGGAGCCAATCCCAGCTGCAGCCTTAAACACAAGCTTTCCAGCCTACCTGCCGGACTCCCGGGATCTTAGTTAGAGTAGATACGGTTGATACACACATACGAAATTCACGCGCGCGTGTTTCCGCCATCCCCCACCACGCTCCCCCCTCCCCACCACCCCACTGCACCACAACCGCCGCAACAATGGTCCGCTACAAAGCCCGCTACCTGCTATTCAACATCCTGTACCCGCCGAACACCATGTCGCCCTCGACATCCACACACATCGACTTCCTCGCGCCGACGCCCAGCGTTTCGCCCAGCGAGCTTGCGGCGCTGATACGCGACAGCCTGCTGCGGGAGTTCGGTGACCACGGCGCGGGGATCGCAGGGAACCTATCCGGTATTGTTTTGTTCCCCCTCCCCCTACCGTACTCTCTGCAAACCCTCCGCCGCTGGGGGCTAATGAGAGAATGAATAGTGAAATACTTCTCCCCCGTCACATCCACCGGCATCGTGCGCGTGTCGCGCGAACACGTCCGCCTGGTCTGGGCGGCGCTGACGTATCTGCCCGAGGTGCGCGGGAAGCGGGTGGTGGTGCGCGTGGTGCACTGCGCGGGGACGATCAAGAAGGCGGAGCGAAGGGCGGTGGGTAGGGCGGGGAAGGAGGTAGGGGTCGTGTTGGAGGAGATGGAGGAGATGGAGGGGCTGGAGGACGGGTGGGATCAGGATATAGAAGAGGAATAATAACTAAAACACCCACACCCACACATACCCCATTTTTGGTGGTGGCCGCGGATTGAATGTCACTATGCGCCAACGTTTGTAGTCCGAACTCCGGACGGCTACCTTCGACCGAGGCCAGCACCTTGATCTCGACTCTATAGATCGAGCATAGGCTTTCCCTTGTACTTTCTCCCCGCCCTCTCCGCCGCGCGAAACATCAGCTGCGACCCGTGGAGATCGAACACCATATCCTTCCCCTTCCCCTTCTCCCCGCCCATGTCGACCACAACTCTAAAAACCGTAAACTCCTTCGGCACCGCTGTTGACCATTAGCCGTATTCACCCCGCATTCACCCCATATTCGTCCCGGGGGTGGGGGTATACATTTAACCGCATCCCTCTCCGTGACTATAACCACAACGCCCCTAGTCTCCTTCACCACAGTCCCCCGAATCCCAACACGATCCACCGCCCTGGACCTAACGATCTCGACAACCGCGCCGTGCAGATCCGCGCCCGCCAGCCTCTGCGCCATGACCGTAGAACCGCTCATGGCCAGCCCGCGCGCATACCCCGTCCACAGCTCACGCAGCGGCGCGAACGTCGCGTGCTTGAGGTCCTTTGGGAGGGCGTGGACGGCGAGCGCGCGCTTCTCGCGCGCCGTGAGCGGCTTGATCCTGTTGGTGTTGGTAGGCTTGGGCGCACGTCGGAGGTCGCGCGCGGTAGGTGTGCTCGTCGTAGGCGTCGGGTGCAGGGCGAGCGGCTTAGGGAGTTTTTCGGTGAGGATTAGCGCTGCGATCGAGGGCGGGTTGTGTGCGACGAGGAGCACGTGCGCGTCGGCGAGGGAGGCGGGGATCGTCGGCTTGGGTGTGGGCGTGGGCGTTGACATGGTTGTGTGGTGGTGGTGGAGGAGTGGAGGAAAGCGCCGGTGGAGTGCTTAGTGCACATGAAATGAGCTATCGTCGGGGCTGACGCGAGTTCACGTGCCCACCTTTATTCTACGCGAAAGGTCGCGGACTCGTGGCCGAGTCATTCGTTGTGAAAAGTTACAAGCTCATATTACCACCATAACCCTCCCTCACCACCACCACTCCGTCCAAACACCTTGTTCGCAGCCCACTCAATGCAAATAACTAGCCCTACAAAAGAATAGGACAAGACACAGTGAAGAGGCATTTTAATCTGGAGTAAACGAACAGAATCGAAAATCCGGACCGTAATTGAAAATGAGAACGCCAATTGAAAAGAAGAAAGAAGCCAGAAAAAGACCACAAAGAACACGGAACCTCAAGCGTTATGGTACAGTACAGTAATGACGGAAATTTGTGCCGTAGCCGGTTATAACTCTTCGTAGTCCATGACTTGGACAACGGAGGTCTTGGGGCTGGGAAACTTCTCTTTCTTCCAGTTCACGTACTTGTCCAGCAGGGCAGGCCCTAGATAAATTAGCAACCCCGTATTCAGCAGTATTGGGGAACTCACAGGCACTCTCCTCAGAGTGTTCCTTCAAGCTCCAAGAAACACCCATATTGAAGTGGTAAAACTGGTCATATTGGTCCCTTGTGATGACAGCCACCGGCCTAGGCTCCGTAGTGATGAACTCGACGAAAGCGTTGACATGTGGGAACTCGCCGGGCGTGGGCATGCCCGCGGCAACGGCTTCGCTCGGCTCCCAGTCAAGATTGTAGCGTTTCTCGTCAAGCAGGACCTTGAACAGCTCGCCGGCAACCTCCACGTCGATGTTCTTCGCGTTCTCGGGGCGGAAATGCTCAAAACACCACTTGTAAAATGGCTTGAAGGCGGGGTTTGGCTCCGGTTTGACGCGTGGGCGGACGGTGTCTAGGAGGGACGGGAGTTGAGCGAGGAGTTGTCCGTTCGACTTGACCCTGTGGCAACCATCGTCAGCAGCAATCCACCCAAAGAGAGGGAAGTGAGAGAAACGTACTTGATGGTATTCATGAACCTAGTAAACTCCTCCTTGGTGATACTCATGGGCGTAGATACCTGGCACTTGTACATGATGAAGTAGAGAAACACTCCCTCTGGGTGAATGCCTAGATCGCTCATCCATTTCTGAGCAGACTCCGGGTCGAGTTGGCCAGAATCCGGATCTTTCGCGCACACCTATCGTCAGCGCAAACACTCAGCAGCACCACCAACTCAATAGATCATTCATACCAGCATAAGTGTCAAACCACTTCTCAGTACTGTTCCCCTTGATCACCACCTTCTTCGTCGTCGTCGACTTCTTGGCAGGCGTCGACTTCTTAACTACTGGCTTCTTGACTTCTACTGCCTTGTCCACAGCATCCATTGTAGCCGCCGTGCGTTTCCGCTGTCCGTTCGTCGCCGTCTTCGGTGCTGTTGTCGGGGGAGGAGTAGGCGGGGGAGCTTCTGCTGCCTTGCGTGCCGACGCTCGTGTGGTGCGGGCCTCCCCAGGCGGGGCGGTCACCTTCGCTTTCTTCTTGGGAGGCATGCTTACGAAGCAGCTGCGGAAGAGGCGGAGGCAGACTATTTTGCCGAGCTGGAGGTGGAGGAAGAGAGGTGTGTAAGAAGGTGCACAACAGAGCTGTAGGTCGTGCTGTGAGGTGAGATGAGTATGGGAACTAGCGGGTAAGTGAATAGCTTGGAAGTCGGAGGAGGGGTCGAGCTGAGCGGAGGGAGAGGAGTTGGGAGCGAGTTGTCGGTGGGCGGGAGATACGTCGTGGTGGTAGGTAGTGGGAGTGCGTAGAGGATGTTCGCGCGTCTCAGAGAAAACACTTTCTACGTGACTGGTGCTCGGAGCAAGAAAACTGACGGATTGGAGGAAACCGAGACAAAAAAGGAAATTATCAAACCGATCAAACACCAACCCAGTCCCATAGATCGCATTGCATACTCCATACGCCAGGTCGATCCTCACGACGCGCCCCGCGAGTCACCCCAGTAACTAGCCTCGGGAGCCGAATCACCTGACCTCGAAAAATCCAGCAGAGCCTCGCTCACTCCCAGTCTCCCACCATGCACGACCCGAAAGCAACCTCACTCACCTCTCACAACCACAACCACCACAATGGCAAAGAAAGCGATCCAAAAGAACCAGATCGTTAAGCTCATCGTCGGCGCGGGACAGGCCAGTCCCTCGCCGCCGGTCGGTCCAGCTCTTGGATCCAAGGGAGTGAAGTCCATGGACTTCTGCAAGGTCCGCTCTCTCTCGCCTTGCCTCGATTCGGGAGTGCTCACCCGCGAATATAGGAATTCAACGCCCGCACAGCCCACATGACCGCCGGCACTCCGATACCCGCGCGCATCACCGTGCGGCCCGACCGGTCCTTCCACTTTGAGCTGCGGACACCAGCAACCTCATGGCTTCTCCTCAACGCTGCCGGTGTGGAGAAGAAGAAGGGAAAGCTGAAGGGCGCGAACACTCCCGGAACCCAGATAGTCGGCTCCGTGAGTTTGAAACATGTCTACGAGATTGCGAAGATCAAGAAGACGGTATGATACCCGGGGAGACGAGGATGGGTCGAGAGAAGGCTGGGTGCTGATACGTGAGGATAGGAACCGAGGTTGGCGGGGTTGTCGCTTGAGGGCCTCGTGAAGAGCATTCTGGCACAGGCGGATACGATCGGAATTGAGGTCAAGCCGTGAATGTGGACCGAAATCGAATGTATCATAGAATATCTCTACCGTACACATCATCATCACCACTCACTCTCAGCTTGAAAGGGCTGGAATGGTATTGGTCTGAGATAGTCTTTATGTTGGCATTCAAGCTCCAGCACAATGTTCCAGCCTGACCTACAGGGCCACAAGTGAAGTGCCCACCCACCCACCGGTACTCCGAGCATCCCCCACCGCTCACCGGTACTCCGAGTACTCCGAAGCAAATCTCGAGCCCCATCTTAATCCGCAGCCCAACACTGATCGTGAGCAACATGGCACAGGAACTCTTATGTCCTCCCTAAATATATCCCGGAAGTCTCTGAAGCCGGTGGTCAAGACGATGGTGCAATGTAACGTATAAGAAGACCATCGTATCTGGTGGGTTTCTATAGGTCAGGGTGATCACTAAGTACGATGTCGAAGACTACTACAGCAGGTATGCGTGAAGAGATCGTGCGTGCAGATGCTTTGTGCGTCGAAGTTGTCGGATCTGATAATCCGTATATACGTCTTTTTTTGTGGGGGAGCGGGGACCAATGTGGTGGGCTGTGGGGTAGAACTCCGATGGCGGATGGAGTACTACTGTACTAGTGAAATCCATATTCACCGGAATCAATTCCAAAGACTAGCATTACACCTTGCACCTATATATTACATTTACGAGTAGAATCCCGGTGACGACATTGCCAGTATCGTCGCCGCGATGAGGGAAGATGCCTACGAATGTGCTATTCACCTCGTCCTCTGGACCTATTTCACTGATAATTACCGTAAATATACTCTAAATTCAAGAATGGAGATAGAGTATAGTAGTACCTAGACCTACACGCCAACCGGGTGGTACCTAAACCAAATAGGTACATCATCGCACCTGCTCACACCACCCTCTACACCCCCTCGCACATCTGTGACCTCGCCATCAGAAGCTTGTACACTGTCACTGCCTGGGGCGGCTGCAACACTGACGTTGCACTAAGAGCTTGGGTCACGCCGTCTGGGGCTAGTTGACTACTGTGGTCTACAATTATTCATCAGCCGGTGAGAACATTCACCATTAAACTTGCAAGGTTATCGGGCGTGCAGTATATGATTGCTGTTGTCGATAGGGCTGGGAATTGGCACGCAGCCTTGGGGTTGATGCAGTTGCTAATTACCACACTAGTGGTGCACTCGCCGCGGTGAAGACTGCTTTCGGGAGGAGTGAAGTGCTTCCGCACCTTCGGTGACATTTCCGAGAACGGCTTGTACTGAGAACAGCTTGTACTGAGAACGGCTTGTACTGAGAACGGCTTGTACTGAGAACGGCTTGTACTGAGAACGGCTTGTACTGAGAATGTGGAGGAGGGGGAATGGTACATAACAGTTATACTTCCAGCCGGGAAGGCGCGAGTGGAATGAGAGGTTTCAAGCCGACATTTGGTGTTGGTTAGGAATGTGATGACTACCAAGATGACACCTGGAACAGTGATCACGGAGAAGAATGGTAAGGACTTTGCGTGTTTTATGACAAGTTTTAAGGTGGGGTGTTGGAGAATAGGAAGGGAACGTGATGGTGTCGGTGAAGGGTTGATGATTCTGATGAAGGGTAGGTAAGTGTGAACAAGTTCGTGTACAAGGTGAAGGAGTATTATGAAGGATTTAGGGCCCGAGGGTATGATGGATTTAGGGCTTCGTGTTGGGGCTTAGGGCTTAGACATGGGGTTCGGATGGTGGTTCTCACGAGGGATGACGGATGTTTCATAGGTGGTGGAAATATTAGGCATCTGCAGCAACAATCTCGAGCGGGATCGACTGACCTTCTTCTACTTGTACTTCATCTCTTCTTGTTGCTGTCGATAAGGTATCGGGACGCCGCAGCAGCGCTGAAACAGCGGATGACAACAATGACAATCACCATCGCCGCTACCGGTACCGGTGACCGCTCCGACAGATCATCGGATCGTCTCCAGAACATCGTTGCCGAATATCCGTTCTTGTACTTCGTATAATAGTGTATAAGTGAGCCTGCCGTGCGCAGAAATCTCATTCTTCAGCTTCATCTGGTCTCTTCCGGGCCCGAGATTCCCTCGCAGGTGATCTGATTGTCGAGTAATGACCAAAAGCATCCTCTTCGGCAGATATAGGATGTGCCTGTATGATATCATAGCGTGGCAGCGATATATTCCGCAGTGCAGTGGGGCATCAATATCAAACCGAAGTGTTGCTGCTTGCACATGGCTACGCTCACGCTCACTGGCCGTGAGAGTGGGGATATGCGGACTGCCGTGGGTGGGGAAGAGCGGCGCGAACACGGTATCGATTACCGCCTGCTATGTGTCGGGTCGGGCCATGTCATGTCATGTAGTCTCCCGCGTGGAGAGGTATAGCGAGTGTTCATGCAGTGGTACCGGTCAGTTATGAAGGTGTTTCATGATATGTGGAAATTTTGCGCCATTGGAACGAAGTGGATCCTATGGGCCGAGGTGAAAATGCCGCTCATAGCTGAATTTATACTGAGAGAATTTGTACCGTAAACACGGATTTGAATGAGCCCAAGCAAACGTGTCCCGTTCCAGTTGTGCCATGCGATTGCATGCGAAGTGGCATTGCTATATGCCCCTTGATATTGTACAATTAACGAAAATATGCCTTGCCCTAAGCACCCTCGACCTTGACCTTGACGTCCATCCTCAACTCACACTCCTCCAAATTCAAAAACCAACTTCCTGCCACTCATTCTCTCTCTCCCCCCTCTTTATCACCCTCTGTTCTCGCCGCTCCTTACTCCCTCAAACTTCTTTCCACTCCACTCATCCTTCCTCCCACAAATTTTCGATACCCAAACCTCCCAGCCGACAGTTTCTCTTCATCTACGCCCCACATCTCCCATTCTGTCCCCTCTTCAAGTCCCCGGATTACAATCGATTGAAACTCCAATCTTCAGTTGAGCTACTGCCAAACTCCAACGATGAAATCCCAACTTCTCTTCGCCCTGCTGGGAGCCACCTGCACCTTGGCCCATCACATGGTCTCCAATGTTTGGATCGACGGCGTGAACCAGGGAGCCGGCACCTGCATGCGTACTCCCCTCGATACTTCTCCCATGACCGATATCACCGCTTCCACTATGGCCTGCAATGTCAACGGCAACAGGAAATTCGAAATCACTTGCCCTGCGAATGGTAGTCCCCACCCCTCCGAAATACGTCCCCAGAATTTCCGACCGAGTGAGTGCTAACGTATCCGTTCAGCTGGTTCGACTGTCACTATCCAGTGGCGTACTTGGCCCGACGGCAGCAATGATAGCCCCATTGATGTCTCTCACCAGGGCCCATGTGCTGTGTACATGAAGAGGATGGGTGACAATGGTGACGGTGAGGTTGCTGGAGGTGGTATGTCTCTCAATTCTTTCCTTCTGAATGATGAGATTCTGATGAATGAGCAGGATGGTTTAAGATTTGGCAGGATGGATTTCGCGACGGAGAGTTCTGTACCGAGAGACTGCGCAAGAACGGTAACAGGATGGTCGTCAAGATTCCCGAGGACTTGGCCGGGTATGTTATTCTCCTACCTGGTTGCAGTGGTGATCTGAGCGTTAATGATGGTGCAGAGGTTACTACACCCTTCGTGCCGAACACCTTGCTCTTCACCAGGCTCAGAGTGTCGGTGGTGCTCAGTGGTATGTTGGGTATGTACATCGAATCTATCCAACCCGGTGGTGGATCTGAAACTTATGAACATAGATGTGCCCAACTCTTTCTCTACTCGACCGGCGGAAACACCAAACCCGGCAACACCGTTTCTATCCCCGGATACGTCTCTGCCCAGCACCCCGGCGTTCACTACGACTATTGGCTCAAGAAGGGTGCTGGTTATAAGATGCCTGGACCTGAGCCATACGTCAAGACCAATAGCGGTGGTGGCAATCCCATCAAGGTCCCCTTCACGCCCCACAAGTACGGCGAGTGCTTGGTCAAGAACGCGAACTGGTGTGCCGTTTCTCCTCCCGCTCACAACAATGAGGTTTCTTGCTGGAAGGTCAGAACCCATTTCAAAGTCATTCATTGGCCATACCGCTAATCGAGGCAATAGGCTTCCCAGAATTGTTGGAAGCAGCTTGATACTTGTTACGCCGAGGCCCCTATCACTGGTAACAAGGGCTGCAAGGAATGGGAGAAGAGGTGTGAGAACTATCTGGTAAGTGAACTCGGTCCTCTTTGGCGTGCACGAGCTTACGTCCAGCAGACTGCCTGCCATAAGTGCACCCAGAATGGCTGTCAGGGCTCTAAGGTGAAGAGGGTGAGGCGTGCCATGCGTGGACACAAGCGTCGCCATACTCACCAGATCGACACCCTTGTCGAAGCCCTTTGAGCAGTCAGTACCTGCATCTCGGCGGGGAATATTGCGAATGTTCTAATCTTACTATCTTTGTTTTGAGTACTTCTTGCCTTGCTGGTTGCTTAAGGGATTAGGGAGGTGCAGAGGAATGGGGATCACGGAGTTTGAGGGATTCCTTTTTTTGTTTTCTGTTTTTCCTTTTCCTTCTTCCTTTTACCCTTTTTTTCTGTGTTTCGTTTGGCAGTGGTTTAGTGCGCAGACTGGACTGGGCTATACGTTAGGGAGAATCATTTCACATTTTCATCCAAGGGGCCCACTCAGGTTGTGATACTATCAAATTGGGCTCCGCACCGCCGACTGTAGTGAGATCACCGGAGCACCGGTACACTATCCATGGCTCCGCAGTTTAGTCCAGAACTTGGTGTTGATAATCATAGACATTGCGAGGTGAGGATCTTTAGATTACTTTTCTATCTCACAAAGCATTAATCCGCAGTAAAATCACAATACTTTGCCAGCCCAAAAATATACGAATACAATATCCCCCATCATCACCTGTCCTGGGTTCATTCCATATCCTGATCCTCATCATCCTCCTCACTTTCCTCCTCGCTCTCACTTTCCTCCCCCTGAGCATCCACCTCTTCAACCTCCTCGTCATCATCCCCCAACGGCCTCTTAGCAAACAGCCCCAGAACCTGCTCAAACGCAACGTGCACAGCACCCTGCTCGTACGTCTCGAAGGCATCGAAGACTTCTTCGAGCTTTTCTCTTGCCACTACCTTCTCAATCTCCGCCTCTCCGTCATCAACGTCCATAGCGTCCACCTCGCCGTTAGTGTCCGCAATGTACATTCCCGAGAGCGCACGTGCAGTTTCCTCATCAGCCGCTTCAACAGTTTGGCCGGAAGCAACGATCGAGGCGACGCTGGCGTGGGAGGCGAAGACGGGGGTGAGGTACTGGATGCGGGCCTGGGTGTCCACAACAAAGAAGCCTTTTCCTGGACCCGCGGAGCGGAGAGCAGAGACTGCGGACTCGAGGTTGTGGATGCAGGCTGGCGTGGGGTCGGCGACATCCTTCCAGACGAGTATTTTGCCGTGGTTGCTGCGCTTATTTGAGATTGTGGCTGCGACGGCGATTGTGCGTTCCTTGTGGTCGACTGCGAGGTGGAGAGTGGGCGCGAACAGGGCGGGTAGGAGCTCGGTTATGGTGTAGGACCATTCCACGCGGCTGTGCACGAGGTTCCAAACTAGAAGCTTTTGGCTGCCGGAGGCGACGAGGTAGCGGTCGATGATGGCGAGGCCGGTGGTACGTCCGATTTGCAGTCCGCCGAGGGTTTGGCGAATGCTGCCGGTGGTGGGGTCGATGAGGTGGATTAGAGAGTCCTCGTGGCTGCCAAAGCCGGCGTCTGGGGAGGAGACGGCGAGAACGGAAGAGTCCTCGGAGAAGGCGACGTTGCCCCAAGATTTTTGGGGTTGCTCGGCTTCGCCAGCGAGGACAAGGGGAAGGGACTCGCCTTCCTCGTGGCGTCTTTTGGTAAAGTTGATGGATTTGCGAAGGCCCCAGGTAATCTGGTTCTCCGGGGCTGCGGTAGCACCGGGTCTGGCACGAACCTTGGGTTTCCAAATCTTGACGCAGCCATCGGCACCGGCGGTAACGAATGTATGGCCGTTCGGTGCAGCGATCAGGTCGAAGATGCTTTCGGTGCCCATTTCTTCTGGAGAGGGATGCGGCGAGTCGACGCGAGTAATCAGTTCCCATTCCTTGCGAGCTTCACTCCATCGCCAGAACCTGAGGAACACCTCCCGTTTCCGCTCCATGTTTAGGCTCTGTGAAACTTCGTCGCGCTTCGAGGGTTGCCACTCGTCCACCGATGCAAGCCAATGGCCGTCACTCGTGGCAGCAAGGAATGTAATGTCCGGCTCTGAGATGAACGCCTTGTCGGGTCCTTGGTTGAGGATCGTAGCATTGGTCCTTGTCAGCGCTTGCCGCGATACGTGTCGGTCTGAGTATGTATCAAAGGTCTGGAGGTAAGGTGACGATGCGTGCTGATCAAGCTGATTCGACGGAGTGGCTATGAGGAGGTTGTTGGCTTTGGTAGGGTGGAGGAGACAAGGAACGACGCGAGACTCCCGGTTCCGTCGTGATTGCGCATGAGATTGGATTCCGGCAATGTTGGCTTTCGGTTTCAACTCTGAAGTCGACAGGACCATGACTGAGTTGTCCGACAAATTGACGGCGTAGGAAGCGCCCCGTGGAGAAACGACGATGCTATTGATACCTGCGCCCAGGTGGGGGAGGAACTGCTTGTGCCCAGTCTCAAGTTGCCAGATAACCAAAACGGTCTCCGTGCCTCCAGAAACGATGTACGCTCCTAGAATTCATGTCAGCGTCAAAAAATACATCGAGTGACTGCCAATGACGGAACAGTGGGGGGGGGGGGGGTTCGGGACGTACCGTCGAGTGCAAACTTCACCGACGAGACCGCCATTCTGTGCCAATGGAGCTTCCTGGGAGTGTGGTCCGTTTCTACTTTACTGTACTTGATTACATCGTGCAACACATATAGGGCACCCGCGTTGTCACCAACGACGATGTCGCCTCTGCGTCGTCCACCATTTTTCTTCGGCTTCTTGCTCGTTGCCATATCCGAGACTTGAATGTCCATGCAAGTCAATGGATTGGCCATCTTGTACACTCTCGGCGCATGCCACTCAGTACCCTCCCTATTGAGAACTACGATCTCTCTCGCGGCAATAAGACAGACGGCACGTCCAGCGTCCGCAGCATGTAATCTGGTAATATTGTTTCTGGTCGAGTAGATCATCGCCTTCCCGCCGACCTTAGGCCCAGACAGCGTAACACGCCAAACGGAATAGCTGTCATCCAAGAGTTGCGAAACCGCGTAAACAACCTCCGATTCGGATGACTCCAGCTTCTGGTCCGGGCAAACACACACATGCCGGAGGGGGCCCAATGCCAGCTTCCACGGGTTGCCGAACTGCTTGCCAGTCGTCAGGTCGTAAAGGTAAAGCTGCGAATTCGAGGTTGCGATATAGACACGGTCATCCGACTTCGGGTCGATGAAATACGAAACAACATGCTCGGGTGTCGTATGGGCCGAGTTTGATGCCTGCACCGTGATCGTGCGAACTAGGAGCGATGTTTTTATGGAGTATATTTTCAGCGACAGCGCCTGGGCCACCAGCAAGTGCCTATTTACCGATTTTATAAGCATAGATTCAACTCAATGACGGATTTAACTTACTTCTCATCTTTGGTAAACACCGGATCGAGTTTCGCATAGCGACCACCAAGAAACGGTGAGAGCTTCCAGTTGGGTGCGGGTGTGGGTGCGAGTGTAGGAAAGCTTTCATTCTTCGTCGCGATCTCTCCGCTCCCAGCAATACCCACTTTCCCTCCTGCTCGAGGGAAAACCTTCCTCTTTTTCTTCTTCTCGCCTATCGACTTCTGTGGTACTGTCGTAATAGGCCCTGTAGGCGCAGCGCTCGCCGAGTTTCTGTTCACAGCCTTGGTAATCTCTGGCTTTGAGCCTACACCGTTGGGAACCTGCGGCTTTGATTTCGACTTCAGCTTCGGCGATTTGGCGGGTACTGCAGCATTATCGGAAGGTTGCTTCTTCTGTTTCTGCTGTTTTCGCTGTGGGGCGGCATCTTTCGTCCTGATCGCCAAAGCCTTTCCCTCTGCCGGCGCGGATACAGGCGTGGTCATTCTGGCTGCCTTCCCGTAGAGCGACAATGAGGGCGGTAAGTGAGAAGCAGTTCCTGGGTTGTGATGGTTCGTCGGATTGGGGGTCGCCGAGTGGTTATAGTTGGTCGCTCAAGAAGGGTTTCAACTTTGAAGGTTCCTGACGACTTGAAATTTTTCGTAAACGCGCTAGTGGGGGGAACGAGTCGAAGACCACGCTACTGCAGCCAAGCCCCAATCCATCCGCCGCTTTTTGTGGCGGCGAACACCAACAACGCCAGAATCGTTTCTTGCAACGAACATCCTCAATTCAACCCACCGAGCGACGCGATTTACGACCCACCACCACGACAAAAACGAGAGAAGACTATCGTTACGTCCGTACCGTATACCTTCGTCGTTCGCCGTATTTCGCCAGCTCCAAAATGATCATTCCAGTCCGCTGTTTCTCGTGCGGGAAGGCACGATATATCCTACCCACCGCCGCAGTCACAGCTTGTGCTAACATGCCGCTCAGGTCGTCGGAGACCTGTGGGAACGCTACTTGAAGCTTCTGGAAGACGGTGTTGCTGAGGGGTTCGCTTTCCGATCCCATGCGACAACGGCGCACTGACTGAACTGAATCCAGCGATGCGATGGACCAGCTGGGTTGCAAACGGTACTGTTGCCGTAGGATGTTGATGACTCACGTCGATCTCATTGAGAAGCTACTTCGGTTCGTACAGCCCCCCTTCAAGCTTTGGAAAGGACAGACGGGTATTGACGTTGCTGTAGTTACAACCCTGCCGACCGAAACCGCAACCGGTGATCACGCACCGGACCGATTTGCTGTACGTTGTTTTACAATAGATGAAATGTCCGAGCGATCATAATGCAATACTAGCCATTGGCTGTCGTTTTCACGCGTGGGGAGGGAAGGTAATCCGGAGGCTAGACGGCATGCACACGATGGTGCTGGGAGGATCCGGTGTTGACAATTCGCATTGTGCCGGGTGATTTGAGCATGACACAGCTACTCTTGTTTTCGGCTTGACTCTAAAACTTCGTACTCCGCTGCAAGAATAGTGGCTGGCAGGCTTTATGGATTAATGCTCCGTCTTCGAAGTTGTGATGCTTTTTGCGAGTGCAAGAGCAGGCAATGGAATGCTCGCAATATGGCCTTGACTCCGCTGTCCTGATACAAATCGTACACCACTTCATGAGCCTGACCCTTTCGAACTACCATCACTCCTTGGATTTCCGCCGATCCAGAGATTCGAGGCTCCCCCTCGCAAAGTCCCAAGCACCCAGGAAGATCGCTCCACCTATCGAGATCCAAATGACTCTCGGAGTGATTCCCTTGAACAGCGCTCCAGTTCCTTCCTCGGCAACGATGTTCTTGAAGGTCCATAAAGCCGATTGTTTCTATTGACGTGCATCATTGGCATTGCGATTATTTCAATTGGAGTTTAAACATACCTGTTTTGCCAACATCAACCTCGTCTTGAGCACGTCCAGCGGCGTGGTGGCGGCAGCTGCGATAGCTCCCGACACGCTCCCAAAAACGGCACTCTCGGCGGGGTTTGCCTTCCTGCCTTTGGCCTCCCCTCTCCACTCTTTCATGGCCTCCCACAGTGGAAACTGAATGACCGTGAACGGGATCTCCCTCATGATCGTGACACCCCAACCCCTGTAGAGCTCCTTCCAGACCATGACTGCCGAAGTATTGGCGGTGAAGATGTGTCGCAATGCCTGCCACGAGCTCGCGAACTGCGACGCCTGTGCTCGCTGCTTGATCACCTCCGTAGGGACTCTAACAGAGCATGCTGCGATCTCACCGATTGATGCGGCAAGCATGTGGGTTACCGCGGCCGAGGATCCGGTTTTCTCGCCGTGACGGAGAGTCGTTTTGACGTGCTCGTAGGTGACAAAGAAGAGAGCTGCGCCCGGAGCCGAGCCTGCTATCACCGAGCCAACGCCTTTGTAGACTCCTGACCAACCGCCATTCTTGAAGAATCCTCCTGCTGATTGTAGCCGCGTCTTGAGGGTGTCGAGGGGGTACAATGACAGATCGACGGCGGTGCCGGCGAAGCCACCAGCCTGCCCCACTAATTTCAGAATCGTGCTCCGGCGGGCCGAGGCGGGGTAGACTTACAATCAGCGAGCGGACGTACGGCGAAGCAAGGATCGAAGCCGGCGACGAGCTGGCGGGGGCGGTCGAATAGTCCATCTCGAACAGGCGAGCAGGATATCGGTGGCAGTTCGGTTTCGTCACAATCTTTTTCTTCAACGGGTCCTGCTCGTGACTCGGTCCCGCTGCCATGCAGGGATCCCAGTTGACATTCGCTTCACCACCGCCGCACGGCTTGCCGAAGCCGGACCTAAAAAGTGACGACCCCGGTTTTTCGTATTTCAAACCCTTCTACCAAGCAATGAAATTCTCTGTGCGACGACGAAGACTACTACCTCTATCCCAGCAAGACGCCTCTCCGACGCATGAGCTTTCGGAATCTCATTCAGCGATTCCTTCTGCCAACAGGGAAGCACAATTGGCAGCAGCTGATGGTGGGAGATGAAGAGTTCCGGCGCCGCTTCTACCACCTGTGGAAATGCTATCCTCCAAGGATTGGTACCTCCCCCACCAACATTCGACCTTGCCTTTTCCTTTTTCCTCTTTACTTAACCAGCTAACAATGGCTTGCGTATGATAGGCATTGCTGTGAGCGGCGGCGTGGACTCCATGGCACTCGCGTGGCTCACAAAATCGCTTGCGGAGGCCGAGAACATGAAGGTCCACGCCTTCATCGTCGACCACGGTGCACGACCGGAGAGCGCAGAGGAAGCACAGAAAGTTGCCGAGATCATGGCCGGCTACAGCTTTCAGCCGCACGTACTTCAGCTATCGTGGGGACCAGAGGGACTCCCAACTGGTGGATTCGAGACGGCGGCACGGACGGCTCGGTACCAAGCGCTTGCGCAGGCATGCGTGGAGAATGAAGTACGACACGTGCTGCTCGGCCACCATTCGGACGATCTGGCGGAGACAGTGATGATGCGGATGATCTGCAGCAGTCGGGCGGAGGGTTTGCGGGGGATGAAGCACATCTCGCGGATGCCCGAGACTTGGGGGATTTATGGGGCGGACGAGATAGAGATCGGACGGCCGTTCCTGAGCGTGTCGAAGGTGACCGACCTTTGCTTCTTGGGGGAGTTTCTACGGTGGGCGAGGACAGCAGCAAACTGACAGCGCACGCAAGACGCGGCTAAAGTGCACCTGTAAGGTGGAGGGCGTTCGATGGTTCGAAGACCCTACCAACAACGACCCCTCGTATACCAGGCGCAATGCGATCAGGAAACTGCTGTCTACTATACCGCCACGACTACCGAAAGCATTGCAGAAGCCGGCATTGGTGGAGATGGCGCATCGGGTGGCTGCTCAGGACGCCGCTGTGACGAGGAAAGCGAGGGAGGTTCTGGCGCTGGATTGCGAAGTCAATGTCAACCAGAGTACTGGCACATTACAGATGATGCTGCCGCCTACCTATACAGGTCTTGGGTTGGGACTGGGTCCGAATGATCCTGCTGGTGCTAGGATCATGCTCCGAGTGTTGACAGTAATCGCGGAACGAGTAACTCCCTTACGGAAGATCAAGCGGAAAAGCATGATCAACGTGCTCGCAAACATCTATGAGAGAAGCCCCCGGGAGCCCATACATTTTACAGCGGCTGGCTTGTCCTGGACGAGAGGAGCGAACAAGTTAATCTGGAGCCTGCGGCGGGTACCGCACACACATCGGGCTAGAGCGGAAGCCACAGTGGAGTTCGACACTGAGCCGCCGAATCAGTGGAGCGAGTGGAAGTTGTGGGATGGGCGGTGGTGGATACGCGTTCAGTCGCTGCGGAAGGAAATTAGAAAGGTGGTGGTGCGGCCACTGGCACCAGAAGACATGAAGCAGTTGCGTGGTAGGGTCGAGCAGATCGGGATGCCGTGGATAATGGAGGAGTTGGCGAATATGGGGCCAAAAGCTCGGTTCACTGTTCCAGTCATTGCAATCGAGGAACGTAGCCCTGACGACTGGGAGGTCATCGACGACTGGCTCCTGATCGGTCTGCCGTCTTTTGGCGTAGATCTGATGAATAGAAACGGGCCATATGTTAGTGATGGAAGGTTGGTGAGATGGAAGATATCATTCAGGAAGCCGATGTGAATCGGGTGGGGAGTGTGGGAGGGTAGGTCTCTCACGCCAAACATTTACACCAGAGCTTCAAATTGTACATAATACCCAGTACTTACTCGAGTACCTACATGCAAATATGGAGAGGCAGGGGAGGTTATCTTGTGATGTGGAGATGTACGATAGAGGGTAAAAGTTGGAAAGCATACCCGGTGTTTCTCGAGAATTGAAACTGCTAGGACATCTTCAACCGAGACATGAGGTGCCAGGCTAGATTCAACGAAAACATCATTGTGATGGTTTATTTCTCGTATGGTATCAATGGAACGTACTTTAGAGTAATCAAGGAAACCCTATTACAAGAGGGGTAAATCTCAGGGCTCGTTTGGATACGCCCGGTTTTTCGAGAAAAAAAACTGAGCAAACAAAACTAAAACTGTACGGCTCCGGCGATGAAACGGGAACTGACCTCTGGTGACCATAGACTTCCCTTAGATGCGGGAAAGAGAAGAAGGCGGGGCTACAATGTGTACTATTAAAGTTCTGGTGAAGCCTATTATTCAGACTTATGGCTGAGCATAATAGTGCTGGAGTATCGTGACCAACGCATTGCTGCGACATAAAGTACACCGTGAACGCAAGTCTTAGACGAGTGGCTGATGTAGGTAGTTATCCATTTACAGTGCACCATAGTAACTGAGTACTGAAACCTCACAGTAAACTCCCGGTATTCGTCTATCATGAAAGCTATCGCTACACACAGTAGATTTTACCCTCCCTTGTTTACCCCACAGCTACAGAATTTAGGTAAGTACTTTCTATTCAGCCGCTTCTGGGAACTTTGAAACGATTGGCAATCACGTGTTGGGCTAGTCCCCGATTGACCTGCCAAGGCGCTATTGCTGCCACAGGGCGTGCCTCATCTTGCCCAAGCTCGCTTCGTCGCGCCAAATGACAAAGACACCTCCAACTTCCTTCAACTCACTTAACCACCTCATACCACCACGCTTTCTGCAACACAAATATAATACGACCCCGTCGCCACCAGAACAACGCAAGTAAACCATCTACATCCATCAATGTCATCGTCAGATCCAGTCAATCCCGACTTCGGCTCAGACGAAGAGGAAGATGGCGATCTTGACACCTCGCGCGACGTGAAGGAAGCCGAAGGTCAACCAGCCGCCACCGCCGCCGCGCCTGCGGATGAAGACGACGAAGAGGATGAAGATGACGAGGAAGACGAAGAGGACGATGAAGAGGACGACGACGTGGTATGCGCGCCTAACTCGCTTTGCTTGTTGTCTATGGTGGTCTTGTCGGGCTCTGCTAATCGCGATTTATTTTCTGTATCTTACAGCCCCAGCGCAAGCGCCGTCGCAGATTGAACCACTTCTTCGATGACGAGGCCGAAGTAGACGACGATGAGGAAGAAGTCGACGAGGAGGAAGAAGAAGGCTTCATCGCCGACGAAGAGCTTCCAGAGATCAACGACCACAGAGAGTACCGCGAAGAGCACCGACACCGCGACCTCGACCGTCAGCATGAACAGCAGCAAGCCGAGGACTTAGAGGCTATGGCCGAAGAATTGAGGAATCGCCACGGTCGATCTAAGAGAGGTCGTGGTCCTGACTCCGGACTCGTACCCCGTCGGCTGTTGCTGCCTTCCGTCCAGGATCCCAACATCTGGGGAGTCAAGTGTCGACCCGGAAAGGAGAGGGAGGTCATTTTCTCGATCGTCAAGAAGATGGAGGAACTGGAAGGAACCAAGCGCCCGATGCCCATCATTTCGGCTTTCGAACGAGAGGCAATGCAGGGATATATATATGTCGAGGCCTATAAGCAGAGCGACGTTCTGGAATCACTGACCGGTATTTCGAATGTCTACCCACGGTCTCCCATGATTCTTGTGCCGATCAAGGAAATGCCGGATCTACTGAACGTCATCAAGTCTGTGGAAATTATGCCTGGTGCGTGGGTTCGCTTTAAGCGTGGAAAGTACCAAGGTGATCTAGCCCAGGTCGAGAACGTTCTTGCGAACGGCCTCGAAGTTCGCATTCGCATGATGCCTAGGCTCGATTATGGCAACAACCTGGACAGAAATCGAGAAGACCCGAATCTGCCGCCTGGCCAGAAGAGGAAGCGAGTGGGTAATTTCAACAAGGCCAATACCGTCGCTGGTAGACCGCCGCAGCGCCTCTTCTCCGAAGCCGAAGCCATAAAGAACCACGGGAAGCACCTGAGCAAAGGAACGACCTCTAATAATGGTCGCAAAAATTTCACGTACATGGGCGACGAGTATGAAGATGGTTACTTGGTCAAGGATGTTCGGCTCACCTTCATCACCACCGACGGCGTCAACCCGACACTTGAAGAAGTTACTAAGTTTGCTTCGACCATTGACGAGGGTGCAGAGACGCTTGATCTTAATGCTCTGGCGCAGTCTCTCAAGACCTCCGTCTCGACGTACCAGGTCGGTGATACTGTTGAGGTCTACGATGGTGAACAGCAGGGTATGATCGGAAAGGCTGTTAGTGTGCACGGGGACATCGTCACCATGGACGTTATCGAGGGCGACCTGAAGGGTAAGAGGTTGGAGGTTCCGTTCAAGGGCCTGAGGAAACGTTTCAGGGAGGGAGACCACGTCAAGGTGACTGGAGGCCGATTCCGCGACGAAACTGGTACGGTTGTTCGCATTCTCGAAGACAAGGTGACCTTGGTCAGTGGAGAAGAGAACATGGAAGAGATCACGGTTTTTTCCAAGGATCTCCGCGAGGCCAATGAAGGAGGAATGTCCACGTCGTCTAAATACGATTTACACGACCTCGTACAGATAGAGTGAGTCGCAATATCCTTTATATATATGCTGCAACTAATAATGTGTAGTACATCGACCGTTGGGTGTGTCATCAAGGTGGAGAGAGCTTCTTTGCGAGTTCTCGATCAAAATGGCGACATGCGTGTTGTTATTCCATCACAGATCGCCGACAGGATCTCTCGTCGTAATGCGGTTGCCACCGACCGCAATGGCTCAGAGATCCGCCTCGGAGATACGGTTAAGGAGGTTGCCGGTAACACTCGCACGGGAGTGGTCTTGCACATCTATCGTTCATTTGTTTTCTTGCATAGCCGCGAGATCACCGAGAACCACGGCGTGTTTGTTTGTAGAGCGTCAAACGTGGCGACGATCGTTGCCAAGGGAGGTCGTGTTGATCAGGCCGCCGGGCCGGATCTTTCGAAGATGAATCCCGCGTTGTTGAGGAACGGAGCTAGTGGTGGTAGCATGATGCCCCCTCCGAAAGTGGGTGGTAGAGACAGAACGATTGGCCAGACCGTCACAGTTCGGCTCGGTCCCTACAAAGGCCTCATGGGAATCATCAAGGACGCCACGGACCATACCGCACGTGTGGAACTCCACACCAAAAACAAGACCATTACCATTGAGAAGATGAAGTTGGGCTTCAGAGAGTATGTTACTATTTGAGCCCTTATTGTAGATGCTGGCTAATGTGAAATTTAGCTCCATCACTGGCTCGATCAAGAGCTACCAAGACTTTGCTCGTCCAGGTGGTCGTGGCGACGGTGGTGCTGGCAGTGGTGGTGGTGGATTCCGGACCCCAAGTGGTGCAAGCACACCTAGCTGGAACAGTGGAAGCAGAACCCCCCAGATCGATCATTCAGGTGGCAGAACTCCTGCTTGGATGGCTAGTGGCGGAAATCGGACACCCGCGTGGATGGCCAACAATGATGGAGGACGTACGCCCGCGTATGTGTCTGGTGGAAAGACTCCCGCTTGGGGTGGCGGTGATGGAAGCCGGTCGGTATACCAGGGCAACCGAACTCCTGCGTAAGTCTCGTCTGCTCCCCTCAATCCTACTTTTTCCCCTAACAACGGTGATAGTTGGAACCCGTCGTCTCGAACCCCATACATTGCGGACTCGGAGCGCAGTGCCTGGGACGCCGGATCCAAGACCCCTGGTCGACCTTCGGTCATCGATTCTTGGGCTCAAGAGTCCAGTAACTCCTCAAGCACCACAGCCCGCACCCCAGGTGCCTATGGAGCTGCGTCTCCAGAGTTCCTTGCTCCGTCGTTTTCGGCCCCAACTCCCGGAAACCCGCTGTCCGCGCCCACTCCAAGCGCACCCACCCCGGGCCCGATTTCGGCGCCAACGCCCTCTGGTTGGGGAGCTGATACGGCCCCCACTCCAGGAGCTAGCGGCGGATATGGACGCGGCGGATTCCCAAGTACTCCTGGTACTTGGGAGATCGACGACGAGGAGTAGGTAGTGTGTGTATGCGCGTGTGTGTGTTTGCTTGTGTGTGTGTTTGCTTGTGTGTGTGTGTTTGCCTATGCCCTGGGCTAGAATTGGGGCGCTTGTTTTCATATTCTTTTTTCTTACATTTTGTTCATTTTCGTGATTGTAAAGTTGGCGCATAATTTCCTACAACCAAAATTCTCTTCGATACGCGCATGAGTCAACATAGTCGTTGGTTCCTATTTCTGCTGCCTGAATGACAAACACACATTGATTATTAACCAGTAAAAGCTTATGGTCTAATGAATATGCAGCCAGACGATGGGGAAGTATAATCATGAGAGGCATAAATCCAGTCCTCGCTGATGTTCGGTCACTTTCACTCTTACTCGGGAGTCAGAATTGGCTTGTCTGTGTCGTGAGACGGGAGGGTTGATGTGTTCTTGGTGACTTGCATCCACATCGTGCCATTTGATTGTAGATGCCAGTCAGCAATTTCTCTCTTCCACCCACTTTCCTTATCCTCCTAACAATATTCACCAGGCTAGAGAGGATTACGACTGATGAGCAGTGAATGAGTGGTTTCTAGAACGGGTTAGTTGATGCTGTTTGTATAGAGACACATGAGCTCGATGGTGAGGTGGGGAGGAGATGGGGTATGATATCAGGGTTTCTAAGGGTCTGTGGGAGATAGAGAACTTGTAGACGCCAGGGAAGAAGGCTGTGAAGACTGGCGAAGATGTAAATGTGAAGAGGCAGAAATGGGCCGAGTGAATGCTCGTGGCTGTCAATTAAGGGCGAGTTTCAACTTGCAAATACACGGTACGGGGACAATACGACGGGGTCAATGGGAAATAAAACGATAAAACACTCAAGGTGGCCATGAAGAAAAATCATACACCGGAGTTCGAATACAGAGGGAATGGCATCTCTCCGATATCCCAATCCTATCTGACCTTGAGTTCCTGGTGGTGTTTTGATCACGCTCCATTGTGGACGTTAGACGACCGTTAAGGCCCATAGATGATAGCCATCCACATGGAAATCACTCGGGTAATCATCACAAACCCCTTGTCTCGGAACAAGCACCAGGGCAGAATGGCAGAGTACTACCATTGAGGTTTCAGAACATCTAACAGTGAGATTTAAGAATGCTTGGGAACAGGCTTGCACTTCACCCGATATACAGTTGACAGTTTCTCCCAGCCGATGATCCGTCGTAGAATGACCTTCACTACCAAACACCCCAGGGTAATCTGTAGATTTTAAGGGTTGGGACCGTCGGGTGATGTAGCATGTATGTCTGTCCCCCTGTTGTGCCATGTATACGTAACTCCATTGACAAGCAACAGTGCCATAGCTATGGAATGACCTAGTCGGCTTCCGAAATGCATGAGGATCTACAGGTTGACCCCAGATCTCGGCAACACTATGCGGTACATATTCAACTACATATGTACGCACCGCAAATTATTAATATATCGGTGACGACAGCCGTTTGACGCGACGGATGGGATGACTTATGTAATATCGACGGTTTGGAGTTGAGGTTCATATTATGGATCGTTTTTACCGGTGCGCTGAGAACGTTGGGACTTGGGAGTTAAATAGGCCCTCGAAGTCGCTGGATTTGGGTGTGTGCAGGAGTGATGGGCAAGTGTTGAAATATGTCGGTCATTTCGGTATTTGTGTTTCTCTCGCTGGCGGTGGGTATCGTGCGTGGTCATGGCTTCATCTCTGGTTTCTATATCGATGGGAAATAGTTGGACTTCTCCCTCCAACATTTACGGTTATTGGCGACTGGATTGCTAATGTTGAGTTCAAACAGCTATCCAGGCTTCAGTCCTTACTTTGACATCGTTGGAAACGAAACAGTACTCCCTCCGTCCCGGATCGCGTACTCGATCGCCGACAACTGGCCAGTCTACGATGTTCTCTCCTCCAACATAACCTGCAGCTTCAATCCCCTGCCAGATCCACCATCACTGGTAGCCCCGGCACGTCCGGGCTCGGACGTATGTAACACCCCCTCGTTCCTTCCTCCCGCTATGTATACTCGTGCACATTCTCACACACACCGGCAGGTAACAATGATCTACACCGAATGGCCGAACAACCACTTCGGCACGATCCAAACCTACATGGCCTCGTGCGGGACGTCGTGCACGTCTCCCACCTTCAACGTTAGCATAGCGCCGTTCTTCAAGATCGCCGAAGACGGTCTTCGCAGCGACGGCACCTGGGCCTCTGACGAGTTCCTAGCCAACAACAGCACGTGGACCTTCAAAGTGCCCACAGACCTGAAGGACGGCTACTACGTCGTGCGGCACGAGATGATCAGCCTCCACGCGGTGGAAAAGTACGGCGCGGAGCTGTATCCGCAGTGCTTTCAGATCCAGATCGTCGGAGGGACTGGTACGCGCGAACCGGACGGAGTCAGGTTCCCTGGTGCCTACGCCCAGAAGGATCCGGGCTTGACGTACAATAGGACGACGGATGCGGGGACGCCGTATGTGAGTTGTGTTTTCCAGGGCCTCTCGCCGGGAATTATGCTGATGTGGGGTAGGTTTTTCCGGGGCCGTCGTTATATAATGCCCCCAGCTGATGGGGCAATCGTGGAGGAAATGCTCGGCACGGACTTGCTGCGCATGTTCACCGAGAAGCTCGTAATGTCACATAGCTGTGTCGCTACATATTTGAGCACTCCAAATTCTCCATTCATCGATAAGATGGATTGTTTGTAAATTCATGTGAAATACATACCTAGTATTGGTTCATAGATCAATACAGAAGGGAAACCCTTCCACCATACACATGACCGTCATGGAAAATCACACGGCCTGTTCGGTGTTCACTATTGTATGGAAACTCACGATACCAACAATAGCATGCCAAATTCTCCGACCTCATCAAAAGCATATATACCCGGTGACTTTTGCACACGTACGTAATCTCTTTATTCCCGACAGCCACTGATCGTAAGTATGCACATATATACGCATTCCGCTCCCGCGGCCTTCCTCAAGCACCTCCCGTGCCGCATCCGGCTCCGGCTCCGGCTCCGGCGGGATCGGAGGGGGTTCGTGGGGACTCTGGGAGGGGCCGGGGCGCCGCCTCGCAGGCCCGAGAGCCCGGATCGGCGGACGACCCTACTATATATGTGTATTACCGTTGATCCTGGGTCGCTGACGGCCAGTGAATCGGGATACCTACGGTCCGGCTGGATTTTCAGCATTTGCTGGAGGCAGGATAATAAACCAACGTACCGGTCTTTGCTCTAGGTACTAGAGGGGAGCGAGAAGCTTTGAGCTGGGAATTTGGAGGTTGGACTGTTTTGAGATTGCTGCCACTTCATAATTGAATTCAACTCCAAAAGGAGAATACATAGGAGAGAGCTCGATGTGCAAGCGGTATGTAATTAGCAAGTTTCCCCAACTCCCTCACCGGAAGGGGAGAGAGTGGAGACCCTCGATTCAACCAGCCGGCTATCCAAGTGGCGAGTGTATGTATCCTTTGAGCGTCTTCTCGAGTGAGCCTGCCTACTTTTTCCATACATGTAGATGTAGCCACGTTGCAACGAGTGATGTGCGTGTGCCGATTCTTAGTCCCTATCATGTTGCGTCACTCGACGGAATTCCGTGTGCGGCCTTCTTCCATCGGATTTGCATCTAATGTATAGCCATGATCTAACTACGTCGCATGCAACTAATTAATGATTAAACGAAAACAAATGATTTGCATCTGATGTTCTTTTTGTTCGCTTAGTGACGACCCTATGTGCAAGCGATGAGTTGGAAGCTGTGGGCGGGGGGAGATCGATTGGATGCAAGTAGCAAGGGTTTTAAGGTATCTAAGGACTTACTTCTTACATACTCCATTCCAACAGTTGATACACAGCGTTTACGCATGATCTAAGAGCATATACACACACATATGGCGGCCAGACTTCTCAACCTCCGACCTTGCACGGTGCACCATCAACCTACATACCGCTGAAGTCTGCAATCGAGTCTCGACTCCACAATCGCAGTCAACGCAGTCACACAGTTGTCGATCGCGGCCTTAGAGCTCCGAGCGGCCGGTCGTCGAGGGGTTGAGGGACCCGACGAAAAGCCGATTAGTCTCTACTAGTACTTCCTGTGGGGCATGGTGGGGGTGTTCTCGATCCGTCTGGCCGGAACCAGGACTCGTGCTGAACTTCCCGTCTTGGACATCACTCTCTCTCTCGAGTTTCGTCGAACTAGACGGATCGAAGGCCGGTCTCATCCGTTGCAAACGCTTCGGCCGCAAGGAACTATCCTCTACATACATTCGACCTACCGGTCTCCAGAGAGCTTCCCTCGGGTCTGTAGGCGATGTATCGAGGCGGATGTAACTATGCAGTTACTCAACAAGATATCGGGATCCACGGCAATAATTTTTACATCGAGCATCTAACCACCTATTCCTTGCGGCGTTGAAATAATCTCTGCGTCTCCATGATTCGGCACAGGCTTGCTGTGAAGGTGAGCCAGCACGCAGGTGCAGATTTTAACCTTGGGCTAACGACAGGATTTTCGACAGGCCTAGTTCTACTAGTACATGGGGAGGCGAAAGATGGCGCACATCTCTGGCTCCGATAGCCACTCTACCGAATCACGACATCGAAATGGCTCGAACACTGCGGTCGAACCAACGACGCTGCCTACGATACATAGCGGCCGACTTACACGGTCACGTTCATCAGACCCAAATGCCCTGCAGCCGGCCGTCGATGTCCCGCGTACCTGCTCCAGTTGCCCTAGGCGTGCGTCGACACGGTCCACTTACTGGAGCAAGCAGCTTCCGACTGCCCACAAATGGCATGTGCAGCACTGTCGGCTACCTACCTGTGTACTGGCCACGTCACGAACATAACGGCTTGCAATAGGTACTACTTACACATGTGTCTACCCACGATAACGACGACGCATCTCGGCCTCGGAAACGGATCATCTTCCCAGAACCAACTACCGATATTGTCGGTGAAAAGTTGCACAAGTACGCACGACAATCGGAAGTCTGAATGCTTCGCTGCAAGGGCACAGCTACCTATCAGCAAATACCCATACCTATCCCTACACAGAGTACATTCATCGCTCGGTTGTGGCTGTACGTAACTGAAGTGCGGATAGTGAAGATACATACATCTCGACTCTAGATAAAGAATATGAGATGCCTCTGAGACAGCACCTCGGCAGCCTAGTAATACTAGTATACATGATTGGTCGCTTCAACTACACTCAAATCCACCACTAGTTACTGCTGGTCCCCAATCCTCTAGCAGCCGGGACAGCGGACGATCACGGTCACTGATTGATGCTGCGGGACACCGTTTTTTTCTCCGTGCATGCGTTGTGGCGAATAACACCGTACCGTCGACCGATGCTCGTCGAATGGAAGCCCTAAGCGTCAATCCGTACACGCTATCTGTAGATATCCAAGGGCCGTCCCGGTGTCATGTGGGCACAACACAAAGGACTCGCGCGAACTTCCTTTCCTTAAAGCTGTCGCAATCGTCCTGACTTTCACGACCTTCTTTTCCGTGTAAGCCCGGTACCCGGATAGATAGTTCATATCCTCCGCACCCCCCCCCCCCGCAGCTCTGCTATCATCAATCACACCTTGTGGAGAAGAGACCGCACCATAGTCCATCATGGCCCCGTCAATCACCCTCGAGAATTCGCCGCCACAGCCGACCGAATCCACAAAGAATACGGTGCCCTCCAGTGCAAAGCCTCGCTTTACACCGGGTTACACTACCCCCGAGCCGGTTCCAGAGAACTACGAGTTTGAGCACCTCACTCCCAGCTTTCCGGATGTCTCGTGGCCTGCGTTGGAAGAGCTCCCTTACACCGACAAAGGTCTCCTCGGTGATCCCGAATACAAGGACCTCCTCGCGGACGCAGCCGACTGCTTCGACTACAACCACAACATCGGCACAGAAATCCACGGCGTCAGTCTCAAGACGTTGACGGATGCGCAGAAGAACGATCTTGCGCGGCTGATCGCGTTCCGGGGGATCGTGGTGTTCCGCGATCAGTTCGACTTCAATGAACACGACCAGCTGGAACTCGGGCGGTACTGGGGCACGCTGCATAAACATCCTACGACTGCGATTCCAAAGTCTGGCCTGGAGGAGGTGCATGTTGTCTATGCGGATGAGAAAAGTACCGATCAACGGGCGCTGTATACGCCCGCCCATCTTTGGCACTCGGATGTGAGCAACCTTCTGCAATCCTTAGAGACTAAAAAAAAGCCTGCTAACCTCACCCTAGGTAACCTACGAGATCCAGCCACCCAGCTACACCTCTCTCAAGCTCTTGACCGGCCCGCCTCGCGGCGGAGGCGGCGACACTCTCTGGTCAAGCCAATACGGCACCTACGACCTCCTCTCGACCGGAATGCAGACATACCTCAAAGGTCTGACAGCACTGCACACCTCCACCGAGCAGGTCAGAGACTCAAAAGCGTTTGGCCGGGCGTGTAGGAGGGAAGCCATCACCACCGAACATCCGCTCGTCCGGACGCATCCAGTCACGGGATATAACTCGTTATTTTACTGTCCGGCATTCATCACGGGTATCAAGGTATGTAGATGGCGTTGCCAGACCCAACTAGTATATGGGTGTGCGCGGAACTGACTAGGTATTGCAATGAAGGGAATCCCGAAAATAGAGAGTGACGCCATCCTGAGGCATCTCGATAACGTCATCGTGTCCAACGTCGACATCCAAGCGCGCGTCCAGTGGCAGAAGGGAACGGTCGTGTTCTGGGACAATCGCAGCATGGTAAGCTAGCACAAGCTCCTCCTCCTCCCACCAGCCAGAACTGATGCTTTCGCACCACCAGAACCACACGGCAACATATGGCTTCGCCCCGCATCGTCGACATGCGATCAGAGTAACTCCTCATGGTGAGCGCCCAACTCTGGATCCGAATGGAAAGTCGAGACAGGAGGAGATTAATAAGGCGCTTGGGAGAGCGCCAATCAATAAGGATGGAACCGGGCAGTCGAACTTTAACGATTGAGATGGACAAAAACGGGGAAGGTACTTATGTAGGAACTTACCATCCGTACTTTGGAAATGCGCTCGTTTTAGGTCATATGGAGCTGCACACGTGCTTTGTTGAGTTTAAACTGTACAACCAAGCAATCGAGGAATGAAGCAAATGAGATGGGAGATGATGGTGACCGCGAATGCGATCGCCGGCTAGTAGATCGGTACATACGCCATACCTTCAATATGGCCAAGTATTTAAACGCAGGTAATACAACAACGAAAACTGGGAGTGCGTCCGCCTCTTCGAAGGTAGATTTACCCTAAGCCAGTGATCGATTATGATCGCAAGAGACACAAGTAATCACTCACGGAAACGTCTAAACACCTTCAGACTTCAGTTATTTTACGGCAGTCTTCGATATGAAATGAAGAAGCATCGCCATACCAGCGGGTCATACTTTCCCATGCCATCTTTTGCACTCACGGCCATGGCGGCTGCCAGAATTGCCCGCAGAATGCTATGCGCGAGTTACAGCTAGGCATGCATAGGATCGGAGTCTGGCAATGGTAAGGTTTGCCTATGTACTTACCGAACATCAAAGTTATGCATATTCCGGACCGGGAGAGGTGGTTAGAACGTGTCCTGGCTCCTCGTTACTCGTAAGCTTATACTTCAGACGGACCTCGTCGTGCAACCATACCGGTATCCCACTGTGGTGAAACTACAGGTATGTAAAAACGCAGGAGAAGTCCAGCGAAATGGAGATTGGATCCTTCGTTCATGTTCTGTTGTCACCACAGAAGGAGGTTGGGTTCATGGTGACTGCCCATAACTCAGTCAGCCCATGGAAGGACTGCAGCTGCAACTATTGTCATGTACCAAGGTGGTATCTGTTTTGTAGCCGCCGCTGCCGCCGGCCAACTCACAGCCCTAACGTCAGAAGAGGGCAAAATTTTTGTAGACATTAGCTCATGTAATTCCTCGAGAATTTTTCCAGGCAAGCGCTGAAAGGATTTGGTTGGTTGCGGAAACAAGAACACCGCCTTCACAAACACAGAAAACACACCGCTTTTGCACCGGGACAACTACCTCTGGGAGAGCGCAAAACCTATCCTCCCCCACCGCTTCGACCTCTCCAAGGAAATCCTACCAGCACCGCAACAATGCCCTTCACTGGCTCGATCCCCCGCCGCCCAACCGAGCTCCGCCTCACGATCAACGACATCCGTGTCGCTCCGGCGATAGACATGACCTACAAGCCGTCCAAGCTAGTAGCCGACTTCTCCGCGCTGTTCAAGAAGCACTACTTCAGCTCCTCTGGGCACCCAATCATCTTCAAGCTGCAGTACACGGCAGCGTCGGGGCAAGGTCTCCGGCGGATCCCCGTTCCCTTCTCGGCGCTCGCCACGTCCTCGGACACACGCACCAGCTGGGCGGAAATGAAGACGGAGATTACGCACTTCGAGAGCCGCAGCGAAGCGCACACTGCGAACCCCGCTACCAGGCGCTGGCTGCTGATCATCTGCTTCCGCGCGTGCAAGTGCTTGGGCTTCGAGGGCTACCAGGTTGCACTGAAGATGCCGCTGATCCTGGGCGGGAAGGTCGTCGACCTCACTGAACTCGACGAGCTCGAGTTTATCAGGACCGTTTTGAACCGGACCCCCATGGGTGGACAACCAATTCCGTCGCCGCCGGTGTTCGCTGGGAGCTTGGTGCGTCGCGCGCCGGTGGCGAACGGAAATGGTGCTCATAACGGAAATGGTACTCACATTGGAAATGGCACTCGCAATGGAAATGGTACTCACCACGGCAGCGATGGAGACGTGTTCATGAGCGATCGTTAGGATGGGGAATAGGGTTCTTGGTGAGATCATGCTGGATGGTACTTCGATAGGATAGTGAGAACAAAGCCCGATTACCTACCATGTGCGGTGAATATTACAATCTGCCCTGATGGAAGCCTTCTGTGATACAGTGATGTGTACTACCTTCAGCGAACGAGCCCCAAGGACAAGAAACCTGCGCCAATACCTAGAGAATTCTATCAATGCTCTAGCCCGGGGATATATACCTCGTACTCCTGTAAATATACATACACCTACTCTTGTAGTTAATCACAGAAAATCAAGAGACTGAAGTCCCGAGATAACGAGTGATTGAAAAAGTAAACCGAGTGATTTCCACTGGCACATGCCGACCTACCTAATATGTACTGCAGCTGTTCGCATTTCAGCGGAACCATAACCCCACACCCCACCACGGCCACCACACCACCCACCATGCTCCCTCTCCTCCGCCGGCGCCATTCCACGCTCACCACGTCGCTCGACCGGGCCAAGCGGCTCGCAGCGACCCGCGCCGTCCGCGAAAACTTCTCGCCCGCGCACAACTACATCGGGATCGGCAGCGGCAGCACGGTAGTGCACGTAGTGTCGTCGCTGCTGCAGGTAGCGACGGCCAACACGACGTTCGTGCCGACGGGTTACCAGTCGCGGAGCCTGCTGCTGTCCGCGGGGCTGCGCGTCGCGCTGATTGACGAGGTGCCGCCGGGGGCCATCGATATCGCGTTCGATGGCGCGGACGAGGTCGACCCGGCTGGAAACTGTGTCAAGGGCGGAGGCGCATGCCTGCTCATGGAGAAACTGGTCGCTGTCAATGCTGGGAGGTTTGTGGTTGTTGCTGGTGAGTAACATATCTATGAACCGGGGAGATGAGGGATGCCGCCGGCTAAAAAAAAATACCGCCCGCGGGGCGGTAAGTAGACTGGACGAAGATCTCAACAAAGCTCGGGGAGAGATATGCTCCTGGCGTGCCGGTTGAGGTGCTCCCTGCCGCGGCATCGTACGTGATGTCGCGGTTAAGAGAGCTCGGCGCAACGCCGGTGCTCAGAAGCGGCGCTAAGGCGAAGGCTGGTCCATGTGTGACCGACAACGGGAATTTCATCCTTGATGCCGCGTTTCCTGGGGGCATTGAGGTGGCTGATGCCGCAGCACGAATACGCGGGATTGTGGGCGTGGTTGAGCATGGTATTTTCTCGGATGCAGATAGAAAGGCGGACGTGGTGTATTATGGGATGAAGGATGGAGAGGTACTCGTTCAAGGAATAATACAGTAGGTGGCTGAAGAGGGAGACATTCAAACAGTAGTAAATGCCTAAACTTGAAGGACGCTCTATTCTGCTGGCGTATAGAACCACAAATATATATAGATATATCCAGTCCAAAAAGTCCAAAAATTAGCCGTTCAAACAGCCGCTTCGAAAGTCTTCCGCTCCTCCGCCAGCTCTCCAGAAACCCGCGCCACAATCTCTTCCGCGATCCTTTTTGTTGCCTCCACATCTTCCCTACTGGCGCCGTGTCTCAGTGCCCCATCGACATGCCACCCCACCTGCAACGGCGACTGAATCGCAGTGAGAGCTGCAATCATTGCCAGCTCGGTTTCCGCAGGCCCCAGGATCCCATCGTAGGCATACACAGGGCCGTAGATGAGTGTCATACAGAAGTAGTCTTTCATCCTCCTGTATCAGTAAATCATCCACACCCAGCAGAGATAAAAAAATGTTTACCGAAGTCAGGATGAAGTCCCTTCAGCAGCGACCTGACCTCTTGTGCCTTGTCTCCATACGTCTCGTCGAACAGCTTGACGCCCTTGTCGTTCAGCGTCTCTGGCGACAGGGTATGTGATCTATCCCCCGTCGCTCCACCCCTCCATCAGCGAACCACCCCGCAGTTCCCCACGAAACCGTTCATACTCACCTCCACGGCTCAGCATCCTTCCCTCCTCCCTCCTCCTCCGGTATAGCCTTCACCACCTCCGCCAGAGCGTTGATCATCCTCGGCATACCGTACAGCACGCCGGTTTTGAACAATGCTTCTCTGAACGCCTTCGTCATCGTCGTAATGCCCGTGCCGCTATTGGAGGAACGGGCGTGCAAATATACAGCCAACACATCTTGTGGTCTACTCTGCGCGGCGAACGCAATGCCGGCTATGTACGCGTACGGACTGTTCTTTGCGAACGCCGAGGCGGCCGGGAAGAGTGAGTGGAGGTGGGATAGGAATTTCGAGGAGGCCATTATGGTGGAGGGGACTCGAGAGCGGGGATCCATCATTCAAGTGATTGAAGGGATGTTTTAATACGGATAGCGGTCGGTTGATAGGCTTACTAAACACGAACCTGGTTACTGACTACGGTATGGATCGTCATTCATGATCCGGGTTTCGGTTATTGGAATGGTTACACAAGTCATATTGGAGACGTGCTGATGAATACCGCAATCACTTATAGTAGAGGCATATCGCGAAGCTTCTGCTTCATATCCATCGCTAAATAGTTCGTAGAACCCGATGTAACACAATAGCATGAGCTCCCATGCTGACGCCCTAGTACTCCTATAAACATGAAGAAAATGGCGATTCCTACCACCTTCTCGCACCGCGTCCTCGTTGAGGAACAAAAGCTCCGGGGCCCCTAGCACCCTGCATCATGTTTTGGTCATAGCCGCCATACGCTCCCATGGCGGCAGAGGGTCCCTGTGGTGGCCTACAAGATCATTAGTCAGCCGAATGGGGCTTGTGGAAGATGGAGACTCACATTCCGCCTCTGCCCATCCCATAAGCTGCATCCTGACCTCTCCCGTCGAATCCCTGGCCGCCCATGTACATACTCGGATCCCCCATCATGTCCATACCCTGAGCGCCCTGCTGGCCACCAGGACCTTGTGGCGGCACTCCTTGAGCGCCAGCACCCGGGCCGCCCGGCGCCTGTTGCATTCCAAACCCGCCCGCGCTCATCATCGCACTCATATCGCCCATCTGACTTGGATCCATACCGGGCATCATTCCCATACCCATCCCCGACATCATCATCATCTGTTCCATCATCTTTTGCGGCGAGAACTCTTCCCGCAACCCCTCCTGTTTCTGGCAATACGCCGTCCACGTGAACTCGTCAAAGCCATAGTTGAAATAGTCAGTAACGTCGGCGCCGGGTTTCCGCCACGGCTTGTCGGTCGGCAATAAGTCTGACTCCATGGGAATTTTGTTGATCGGTGTACCGTTGTAGTTGGGTGTCGCATTGATGTCGAGTTTTGAGGTCGCCACAGCCGGCGCAACGGGTACTGCCGCAGCCGGTGGAGCGGGGGAGGTCGACGGTGAGGGTTTTGCGATGGCGGCGGCAGCGGAGGAGGGTCGCGCTGATGCAGTGCGGATCTGGTTGTATCGTTCAGGTCGTGGAGGAGGCTCCGGCCGACTACCATCTTTTCGTTCGATCACCAACTCGATATCCTTGTCTCCATGTCAGCTCCGGTTAGTCGCATTGGGAGGAAGAGCGGGCAACACAGTACATCCTCGTCATCAGAAACCTCGACCTCCTCCTCTTCGTCCTCTTCACCTTCCTCTAAGTCATCCTGATCGGCTTGCACCGTGGGTACTGGAGTTGCAGTTTGTTCTGGCTGTGCTGGAGGGGGAGCCGCAATGCTGAGCCCGGGAACTGGTGTGGAGGTTTGTGAAGGTATGGTCTGGGCGGGTGTTGACGAGTGATCGCCGTAGAGAAACTCGTCGTCATCCTGATCCATAGCGCTCATCATAGTGTGGCTCCGGTGGTAGTGGTGTTCAGTGAATTGGATGTGTGAGTTGGATCCGTTTTCGTTCTGTTCTGTTCGTATATCGTTCAATGATGTGCTGTTGTGGTAGTTGCAAGGTTGAGGAACGCGTTCTACCCAGGTGGGTTTAGAGCTGGCGTTAGTTGGTTTAGTCAGCCGTTCGTCGCGTGTGCCCATGGCCCGCCTTCTCACTTTCTTCCAGCCGCAGCTCCGCGAAACGCCGCCAAGCCGCTAGAGCCGCTCGGAAAGAGAGACTGACGCCCATTCTTGTCTTGCAACAACACGACCACACCACCACCCAACTACATCCACCACTCTGTCCAGGAAACTGCGGTCCTTGACTGAAAATCAGCCTGCGCGTCGCTCTCTTTCTTCCCCTCCGGATTTTCTAGCCGATTTCCCCTCGCCAAAAGTTCTTCATAGTTAATTATGTCTCTATTCGGAAAACCCGCCGGCACACCGTAAGTACTCAGGCACGAAGCGCGTAAGCTTCACCAGCTAACACTCATCTCAAGGGGGACTCCTGTGGGGAACCTATTTGGCGGGGCTTCGACGACTCCTACTGCTGTACCTACCGGCGGTCTTTTCGGTTCGACGACTCCAGCAGCTCCTTCTGGCGGTCTTTTCGGTTCGACGACTCCAGCAGCTGCCTCTGGCGGTCTCTTTGGTTCGACGACTCCTTCAACTGCGCCTCCTAGCGGCGGCGGTCTGTTTGGGTCTGCGACTCCGGCAGCTCCTTCCGCTGGCGGCCCTGGCGGAGGACTCTTCGGCTCGACGACACCTGCTACTACATCGGCACCGTCGGGAGGACTTTTCGGTGCTGGCGCAGCAACGACGACTCCCGCAGCTCCTACGACCGGGGGTCTCTTTGGCTCCACAACGCCCGCTGCTCCAGCTCCTTCTACCACAGGCGGCGGTCTCTTTGGATCGGCAGCTCCTGTTGCTGCCGCTCCTTCCACAGGGGGCGGCGGTCTCTTTGGGTCGGCGGCTCCTGCTGCTGCTGCTCCATCGGGTGGACTTTTCAGTCCCTCCCAGGCCACCAACACAGCTAACACCGGAAGGCCGGGACTATTTGCTGGCGCTGGAACGACGCCTGGTTTGGGCGGCACCCAGCAGCAGCAGCAGCAAAATATGGTACCCGCGGCAACGATCGACGCAAGCAAGCTCACACCCACCACGCGTTTCGGTGATTGTCACCAGTCGGTGCAACAGGTGCTCGAGCAGGTCGAGTAAGTTTACATGCGCACACCTCCTCTGACTACATTCTAACACCATGCAGAGCAGAGATTGAGAGCCAGATCAAAATGTCGAAAGACCTCGCTGATCGCTTCTCGGCCCACCGCGACGCGCTCGAGACTATCCCCGTCGATGCCAAGGTCCTCACCCATCGCCTCGAGGCCACAATATCATTCCAGACATCCGATCAAGCCGCAGCCGAGCAAGTGCGGGCACAGCACGAGGCCGATAACAACGCCGCACAGCTATCTATCCGCACATTAGACCTTTTCCGCTTGCCGCATGCCCAGCGCTCACAGTACATTCAGCGCGCCTCTACATACTCTGCTCCGCAGCGAGAAAACGAGATCACCGGCAACAAACCAATGGTTGCGTACTTCAACAAGCAGGCGGATGATATGGACCACAAGATGCAAATGATCACTAGAATTGTCAAACAGGTGGAGGAGAGCCTGGGCAGTGTGGAGGCGCAGGCTCTCCAGGGAGCGATGGGAATGGGTGTCGATGGGCGAGACATCACTGCTGTCACTGGTGGTGTGACTGGTAGGCAAGATGCAAGGAGGCTACACAGCACTCTCAGGGAATTCAATGATGCTCTGCGTGGTGTCAGTGGTAGAATAGTCGATGCTCAGGAGGCACTAGAAGCTCTCAAGGGAAGGCGATGAAGTTGTTACATACTGGTAGAGAAAGGGGATAATGATGTTGCCCATGCTGCAAACTGCGTACCAAATGATGGCAGAAGTTGTGCTGCTGCAGTTTCTTCTTTCTCTGATTCTCTTTTACCGTCTTCAGCGTTCCTGCATTTTTTGTCTGTTTACAGCTGGGGTTTCGCATGTTATTTTTCGTATATGGGTTTCTTTGTCTTTATTTGAAGTTTCCTCATAATGTATGACTAGTCTGGAGATGTACAGTACAGTATGCATGTATGTACTTGCTCAGGTACGTAGGATGGTCCGGCAATGTTGCATGGAGATAATGGCCGACTCACGTCACGGGCTGTCACTTCCCGCCAAGACGGCGAAACGCGTAGTCCAGTCCGTCGCGTCTTCCTGTTGAACTCGTATCTCGATACAACCATCCCACGAAACCATAATGTCTTCACAACCCAATTCCACAATCATTCCGTTCTCCATCGCGCACGAGCAACAACCCGTCCGTCTAATAGAACTACCACCTGCAATCCTCTCCCTCATAACCTCCGATAATCCACCAATGTGTGTACACCTTTCATCCATTCATTTCCCCATCCATTCTCATACCTTTGTAGCCTAAGAATCAAAGCCGCGCCCACCTCCATAGCCACCACGCACACTGGTGCAACCGCAGACCATGCCGTCCTCTGCACCGCCGACAAAACCTTCGCTCTCCGTCAAGTCCACAGCTCCAACACATCATTCCTCCTGACGCCGTCGACCTCCGACGGCGGTGGAGTGACCGCCACATCCACCGTAACCTCATACCTCGAACTCCTTCCCGTCACACCAGACACGAAATCCCTGCTGCGGCCACTGCTGCTGCCGTACCCCACCACCAGCAGTGGCAGCAGCAGTAGCGAGGGCAAACCCGGCATGTCAAAACACCAGCTCCGCAACAACCTCCCGGTATCCGACGCCGAGTTCGAATTTGCGTGGGCGGAGCTCTCGGCGTTCGAGTACCACAGCTCCTCGTACATTTCCACAGCCGAAGGCCTCCTTTCCGCGCTGAAGGAAGCGTCCACCAACGCCGCGGCCAGCGGCATAAAGCTCTGCGCGCCGTTCCAGCTCACGGCGCTAATCGACGAGGAGTGCGAAATCCCGCCGGCGCTGGTCGAAACGGTCGTGGCGCGGATCTGTGAGCGGAGGGACGGCGGCTGGGTGCTCATGCCGGAAAAGGCCACGCCGGTCGTGGGCCGCTGGGTCCTCGAGGAGTGGCATGCTAGTGGTAAGACCGATATGCTCTATGTCTCGTTCATGTCCAGGTGGAAGGCTGCGGTGCCGATGGAGTGTAAGACGCTCTGTAAGCTCGATGTCTTGGAGGTCGGTCCTCCCCTCAAAGCGTGAGCGTAACAGGCGGTGCTGATACCCAAGTAGGATTGCCATGAATTGCCGACAAGAAATACCATCCGCTATGTGCCCGCCGGTGTGGTGGCGGCGGAGGACGTCAAGGCTTTTGAGAAGGCGGCGGCACAGGCGGCGGCAAAGAATAAGTGGCATGAAAAGTTTCGGAAGGGGAAGAGGACGTGATGAGCTTTTTCTGCACAACTTGATATTTCTAGGCAATCCAGCACAAATCCTTGGTAACTTACACACACAAATCAAGTAAAATGATCAATTATGAGCGACCCTTGTGTTATGGCCAACTATTTGGTTCGATCGGGACACCGTAGTTATGCATTACCTATACTCATCTCAGCAGAAGTGTATAGCTCCAAGAAGTCCAGCACCCAAGAAACCCCTCCACGAAGCTTCTTGCGTGACGGTGATGAACCACTAAATCTGAAGGACCGACAGTAACGTGAAAACCCTCTGGCCTGTCACAGGTATCACTCGTATGATACCTTCGTTTCGTAGGCTTGAATGGGGTATTGTCATTGATTAGCGCCTTCGAACCTCCATATAATGGGAATCTCAGACATCCAAAGACCCACGTTTTCTGGCTGGTGGCTGACGCCGGTCACTTTCTCGACTCAGTTGTACTATCCTCATTGAGGTACCTACATTTCAATCATTGTTGAACCTAAAAGCTCTTCGTAATAGCTAAGATGTACTTACTTTCACTGGTATGAAATTCCTATGAGCCACTCCAAATTATGTGTCAACAAATTGTTCCTGCACCATCAGCCTATCTTTAACCCTAGCCAGCACCCTCTCACCCACCAGCCCCGCAAACCTGGCCCTCCTCTCATCGTATCCCATATCCAGAAACGCCTGGATCCCTCCTAGAGGCCTACACGTTTGCAGCAACACTTGCGCAGCCATGGCATTGAACCCCACCTTCCTCAGGAACACCTCCCAGCCACTCTCCTCCTCGAACAACCTGTGGCCGTGGCTCTTCATGGCGGCAATAATCCACCGCACCGCTTCCTCGTCAGAATCGCCCACAAGCCGGTGCTCAACTCTGCACACGGCCTCAAGGGAGACGGCGAATTCCACAAACTTGCTGAGCCCCTTGGCCTCGTTGGCACTCTGCGTTTTGGCCGGAACGCGGATCAGCAGCTGCAGGTGCTCGTATCGCTTACTGACCTCGATGATGCGCGTCTTGATGTCCCGGCCGTACTCGATTGGCGGGTTTCCGCCTGGAAGGGGTGAACTTATGCTTAGGCGTCGGAGGGTTGTGAGGATTAGGCCCCTCGTTGGGGACAGGATCATGTCGGCGTCGGTGACTACCATCCGTCCGCGGCTCTGGCCAAGGGTGTGCACGTCACCGATCACGGCTAGGAAGTCTCTCTCGATAAAGCGAGCTGCTGGGTAGAGTGATTTGATGGATTTGAAGATGTTGCGCTCGGAAAGGAGCGTGGTCGAGACTATAAAGTCCGCTGGAGGCAGATTAGCAGGAGGTATTGGTGCTGCTGGGTGAGATAGCTGCGTTGACTGCGGTGGTGCCGGGATCAAAGGTGTCATGGCTTCTGGACGGGGAGCCATTTTGACTGGACGAGGTGGTGGTGGCATCTGTGCGCGAGAAGTATCCACGAGGGGTGCCGGAGTCATACCTCGGGATCTCATGAAAGCGTCCAGGGCGCTGGCAGCAGAGAAGCCATCGAACGTAATCGTATCTGCTGGTTGAGCATCTCGCGTAGCAGCCACTGCTGGTCGATGCTTCTTCTTCTTCTTGAGCAGATCTTGGAACGAATAATCTACTGGTGGTTTCCGCTTTCGCTCCGGCGGGGCCATGCTTTCGACTTCAGCCATCTGATTCTTTTCGAGCACCGCATAGTCCAGTACTTCAACGGTATCGTCGCCTAGGTTCAGCTCCACTAGCGAGTCGAGCAATTCCTGTTCGGCGGATGCACAATCTTCAGTGGTCACCAGGAGGTGCTGTATAGATCCCTCAGTGTCCTCGATGTTTTCACGAGGTACCGCAGCATTTTTTCGGGTAAACGGCGCCCAAACCATGTCGATCTCGATGATTTTGATGCCGCGCCATTTTTTCTTCGCAAGGCCAGCCCAGCCGTCCAAATACCGCATATTCTCCATGTCGTCTCGCGAGATCGCCCACGGCAGTTTTGGGATCGAAAAGTCCATCACAGGCACTTCGATCCGCATCGTCGTGTCCGCTTCCTGCAGTTGCTCTTGGGCCAGCTCTCGCTGTAGCTGCTGGACGTCCGCATGGACAAGGTCCTTAAGTTGAGTTTGGGATGCTGAATCTTCTTGAGAGGGTGGCGGCAAAGGCTGGATATCGGTTTCGAAATTCGATGCGAGGCAGGTGCGTCCCACGGTATGCGGTGGAGTTAGGGGTACTTCCAGCTTGAGGGCTTCGAGACTCGGAGGAGTCTTCAAAGGCGATGAGTGGATTGGCGATTTTTCGACGAAGCGAGACGGTGACGGACTGTGAGGTGTCCTCAGTAGAGAGTCCTCATCCATCATTTCCTTCGTCAAGGAATTCACAAACTCAGCATTGGTCTCTGCAAGGAGTGGCTGAACACCAAGGCTCACCCAATCTAGAGCCGGTAGCTCTTGAATTCCTTGAGCTGGAAGTACAACCAGAGGTGGGCTGAGTGGCTCGAGGATGGGTCGGCGGATACTGGTGTACTAAAGAGTCAGACAAACGACGGCAGAGGAGGTACATGGGTAAATAATCTCACTTCCGAGTGCAAAACATCGTCAAATTCAAGCTGCTTCGGTTTATCACAGCACTTCTTCAATAAGTTCCGTACTTCAGCCGGCATATCTAACTTTTCGGCGCGCAACTTCTTCTCGAACTCCCTCACATCGCTCCGAACCTGTGTTGACCACTTCAGCCCTTCGTCGTTCTCCTCGCTGACCTGAAGTGGCTCGAAATCCTTGATGTCATTTTTGGGCTTGGGGAGGACAAAACCATCCCTCATCAACGGCTCTTCCAAACGCAGGCGCTCCGAGCGACAGAAATCCTGCGAGAGAAACTTCTCGCCTTCGGCCAGACCGAGGGTCGCAAGCTTTAGTGTCGAAGCGATGAAAGACAGCGTCTGGTTTTCGACAGTGATCTTCTCAACAAGAGCACCATCCGGAATCCGGAGCGACTCGATATCCGTTTCCTCGGCGGACGAGAAGTCGAAGGGATTGCGGATATCGGTGACCGGAAGAAGCGGAGACAGCTTGCGGCAGAGCAATTGGGGATCTTGGTCCAGGTGGTTGATGAGGATTTCCTCGTTCCGACCAGCTTCTAACAGACCCTCCACTTCCGCCCGGTACCTTTCCAGCTCGTTGCTCATCGCTCGCGACATTGTGTTTGCGATGGCTTCGGTGACGATTGCAAGTTGAGGGTGCGTGCTGGTAGTGTAGCCCAGCGGGATGGATCGACACGGCTGCTGCAAAGCAGATCTGTGGAGGTGTGTGACTGTGATGGATATCCCCATTACGGAAGAGCGTACAGCGATGTCCGATTTAGTCCATCGTCCCGCAACCCATCTCAGCTTTCCCGTACGCCGGCGAGCACTCTTTTCCTCGGCGTATGGAATAGTCGATTCATCCCCAGTGGTGACACTGCCACTATCACGACGACTATCGCCCGCCCCGTCTGTGTATGTAGAGTGCCTATTCCCCATGGGTACCCCAAGATGAGATCAGAACTCAATATAGTGAATTTACCTACTAAACGAACCAGTACAGCGGATCCGCTCGTTAGACGAGGCTTTCGCTTTGCCTGGGGAGCTACATAGACGATCAGATAGATTTCGTGTCTCTGACCGGTCTGGTGCGATGTTACAAGAACGTTCGCGAATTTTCAAGCAATTTTGTCATCCACGCACCGGAATTCGGCTATGTAGATCTCCCATTGCGCTAATTATGCCGGAAACGGAAACTTTCCGCCTCAAACGTCGCACTAATTACTCGACATATCTCGAATGTTCTAGAGATCCCTGTCACAACACAATATTCCAGCAGCCTCGAGAATACTCCAGTACCACTCGAACGAATTACAAACACGAGATATCACGTCACCTATCGTGACTCCTACGTGCCTTCCGACGGGCATAAATACCCCCCGTTGAGGTCCACAGTTCCATCCCATCATCATCGAAAAACACAAGCATCTCTCGAACGAACAGCGAAAAAAAAACATCCACATCGATTCCAAACCCAAACCAATTCTACAACCTCTACTCCAAATCAATCGCAATGTCTTTCATCAACGCTCTCAACGATCCCCTCTTCCGCCTTCTCCTCGACCAGGACTCCACCAGCAACCGCAAAGCGTTCGCTCCCAATTTCGACGTGCACGAGACGGCGTCCGCGTACATCCTCGAGGGTGAGCTCCCGGGCCTCTCGGACAAGAGCGCCGTCAACATCGAATTCACGGATAGCCAGACCGTGGTCATCGCCGGCAAGGTCCAGCGCTCATTGCCATCCGGCACCGCCACCCCCGAACAGCAAGTCGAGGAGAAGAAGTCCGACGAAAAGAAACCCGAGAACGGCGAGGGTCACGTCAAGAAGCCCGCGAAGAAGGATCTCTCCCCCAAGGTCTGGGTCAGCGAGAGGAGTGTCGGCAGCTTCAGACGCGTGTTCAGATTCCCGAGCCCTGTGGATACCGACGGCGTCAAGGCGAGCTTGGAACATGGAATCTTGTCCATGACCGTACCCAAGAGGAAGGCGGAGAAGAAGAGGATCTCGATCGAGTAAATTTTGTGCGGGACGGGTGGAGAGAAATGTCTTGGACGTCCTTTGTCTGTCTCTGAGGTGGTTGCATGCTGGGTGTTCTTTTGTGCATTGATGGGTTCGGCGTAGCTCAGTATGGTGTTCTATTTTCTTATCTTCATTCCTTAATTGTTCTGTATAACATTAGTATGATGTAGGTACTTCATTCAGAGTACTCTACTGGTGGTGCTTTAATGGAAGCAGTTATGTATCAAAATATGATTTCTACAACTGTGACCCATTGTGAATATAATATCTTCACTTGTGACGCCCTATTCTTCTTGACCAGGCTCAATAAATCTTTTCCTAGCCATTTAATTAGGTCTGCATACATGTTGTAGCCTGCCAGGAAAATCTACTGGTTTATAAATGGGCCGGCCCCTTGGCTAAGTGGCTGGTTATCACACGAGGAGACCTCAAATTCCTGCCGAAAGCTGCACGCCAAGATCTCGCCACATCAGAATCACTCGGGTAGCACGTCATGGATATAGGCAGTTAAGCGCAGACCGGAACGTTTTGCACATGCAACGCGCTCGAGTGCATATACATAGCACTTCTCCACAGCTTCCCCAATATCAACCATCCAAGCCACCTTTACTGCTACCGCCAGAAATGCGCCGATCCGACGAGGCCCAGGCGTTCATTTGGGGCGTGTACATGGCCGTGCAGGTTGGGCTCACCAGAAGTCCATGTTGCTGCTGCTGCTGCGCGCGCGCGATCGGTTGCTGACGTTGGGAAACTCAGGAGATCCCGCATGGTACCTATCCGCGCGCATACACGTATAGTACGCAATGGGATTGATCGCTGAGATGCCTAAAGGCAGAGTGACGACGTACGGCCACATCGCGAAGCTGATCGGAAAGCGTGTGTACTCTACTCTACATACTCCATCCCACCACACGGTCAAGCGGGTCACTTAACATCTACGTGTAATCTGCAGCTCAGTGTCCTCGGTGGGAAGAGCCCCGCGCTCCACGCGCTCTCTTTATTTCGAGGCCGCCACAATCGAGCCGAGCCTAACGTGTGAACCCGCTGCAGACAAGTCGGCCAAGCCCTCAAGCATCTGCCGCCGGCGTCCACCGCGGCCGATAATACGTACCATACGGGCAACGTGCCGTGGCAGAGAGTGATCGCGTCGGATGGAACCGTGCCGAGGCGGTCAGTTGGTGCTGTCCGCTTAGGCAAGGACGAGAACTGATACCTATGAGTAGAGATGACCCCGGCGGCGCAGCAAGGCATGCACAGGTACTCAGGGACGAGGGAATCGAGGTAGGCACGAAGGCGGATGGTAGATTCATGGTCGATTTGGAGGTCGTGGGATGGTTCCCTGAGGTTCTTCCGAGCGAAGAGGACGAGGAGGAGGAAGGGGAAACAGCATGAGGGAATCACAAGCGTCAACCTTAACATACGGCGGGAATAACCCCCAGTGTCCATCCCCGCATCGCGCGGGAATCCTTGGTAAATTGGCCAAACCTGCCTAATGCGCCCACCACTCGATTCCATCCCGCACACACACAAAGACATAAGAAAGCCTAGGACTCGCAACAGAAAAATAACAATTATTAGCCTGCCACTCCACTTCTCGATCGCGACGTCAACCAGTGACCGACGCTGCTTATATAATGCCATGCCGTCCGCGCTATGCTTATTAACTAGCGGCCGTTGAGCGAGTACCTACTCTAGTTAAGCTTATGTCGACGTCGAGTGGAAGCTCTAGCCTTCAGGGAGCTGTGTCTGCAGCGTGTTTCGGCGTGGAAGGCCTGCAGGTATGTAGAGTATTGGCACGCAGTGGGCTTCGGTCGCCGTTTCGACGGCCTCTGTCTATCTCCCTAGGGTACAAGGAATGCGAGTCTGCATGTGAACTGGCTATTAGTACAAAGTGCGGCTCATTTGCACTAGTAATTCAGGCTTCTGCTTGTAAACCGGCCTCTTTTCCTCATGACATACAAGTTGCAGTATTTATTTGGACGAAGCCGGGGCAGTAGGCGTTTAGCAGGACGTGGATTCTCGCCTCCACGGCCGGCAGCGTAAGGCTTGTCACGTGAGACTACCGAGTGATATCTAACTAGTGCTCCCTCGGTCACTCCAAAAACAAAAACAAAACAAAAACCATCACCACCCCCGGTCGGTGGCTTGGAAACCCCAAGAGCCGAATACAAAGGTTTTTCACCCGGGTTGAACCGGGAACTTCCCTTCAACTCCCCTCGCCGATTACATGGCCTAGGTAGACCACTAGACCACGCGGGGTTTTTTCCGTGCTAAAAACATTAATTCCATGCTTATAATCCTCAGTCTGCATGCCAGGAGCAAGTTCTTCGGCCGGCTCTGCACCCCAGATCATATGATGGTATCCGTCCCGGCTAGATACAAAACCATAAAAACCGACGTCGACCATACATACTAGGCGCATTCGGCCACACTGCTCCACGTAAACAAAATTGATTGACAATGCAGGAACGGTCATACATACATATGACGGATCACCGGAGTTGAAGAAGTGATTGCGCACCCATGGGTTTAGCAATAATTATGACCACTGGGCAGGCGGTTTCCTACAAAACCAATCCGCCCACCAGCAGCAGCCAGTCAGCCGTGTTGCGTCCTGGGGAATCACTTCAAGCGAGTTGCAGTAATTTCCTAACTTTCGTTATATCATTCGGAGGCTGTATCTTCCGTCATTATTCTGGAGTCTGTTTTGGAATGTGAACACTTCCCATTTCTGGTTTATTTTTGTTTTTGTTTTCATTTTTTTTGTTCACAAATTCAGTGTGAACATAAGCTGGGGCCTATTTATATCTCTCTTTACATCCCCCTCTACTATATATCTACTTTGCAACTATTAGTTCTAGTTGGCGTATATCCCTAATCACTGTCAGGCGCGCTGGTGAATGCGGGTGCATACCCTGTCACTCGCACGTTGTTTGATTTTTCATGCCGATATCGAACGCTAAATAGTCGGACCTTTCCCTTCTCTACTTCCGTTCTATCACTTTCACTCGGAGGGTTGGGCAGAGAGCAATAACGAACCCGTATCGAGCTCGCAGCCAGTGGTCGGTGACAGCGGGATGAAAACGGATATGTATCTGCGATGATCTACCTATTGAGGTCGAAAGCAATGATGATTAAACAAAAAACAAAAAACCAGTCCCGCCGTAAAAGCTTCCTATTACACATGTGAAAGCAGGATATACTTGGTATTATATTCCCCTGAACCAAAAGCCAAAAAGCATCAAAAGCATCAAAAGCCCAAACTGCATCTATGTAATCGCACACAAACTCCTCAGCATGCTGTCTCCATACATAACATTACGCACCGTCCCTCATCCATCCATCCATCCATCCATCCATCCATCCATCCATCCATCCATCCATCCATCCATCCATCCATCGATATCTACCCAAAAACTGTCCAAAAACCTATATCATCAATCTCCTGAGGCCCTCCGCGCCGCCGAGCAACCTAACACCTGTGACAGGACACCTGCCGACCCTAGCTTCGGCGCCGTCCTCCAGCCCATCCTTCCCGATGCCATCCTGCACCCACCTAAACACGCACGGATAGCAAAAGACGTAGCCCGTCTGCACAGCAGTCGGGTTCGTAATCTCCCGTTCGCACACGGGACACGCGCCCTCGGCCTCGGGAAGGATCTTGACGAGGCTCTTGGCGACGGCGTCGTCTTCGGGGATTTCCTCGTCGACGTGGACCGGTGGGCGCACAGGTTTTGGTGGGGGAAGCTCGATGGACGCGGCGGTTTTGGCAGATAGTTGCCGTGCGAAGTCAGAGGCGTGCCACCATTCGAGGAATTTGAGGAAGAAGATGGATGTTGGGAGCAGGACTTTGAGAGAGTCGAGAATCTTGGGGAGCAGGATGCGCGTGATTATTGACGGCGTCAGGAGCGACCGCGCTGTGAATGGGGCGTTGGAGGATTTTTTGCGTGGGGCGGTGGCGGCTTCAAAGGCGCGCTGTGGTGGGTCAGCATCATGGTAGGTAGTTAATCAGATGGGGGGTGTGCATACGTGGTCGGCTTCGGTCAACCGTCGCATTCGGATGCCGACCAGGAAGTCTAGAGGACTGTGGTATTGCGATTTATCGAAGAGGTAGGCCATGTTGAACACGAGATTGGACCAATAGTATATCGCATTGATGTGGGGGTATACGGCTCGCAGGAGCGCCTTGAGGTAGTAGACGAACTTCTCGCGAGGTGTGGCCTACATTTCCCGTCAGACATCGCGTACACGAAGGAGAATTGAAGGGGAGAGGGGGCAATACGGTATCGGAGAGCTCATCTCTTCGGTAACCCGAGCCCAACACGTTTGCCGCCGCACCACCGGCAAAGTTCTCATACGCATCGTCGAGCTTGCGCTTCAGATACGGCACGCCAACCTACCCGCCCATCAGCATCACCACCACGCACGACGCGTCAAAAGGGAGCACACGTACGACAACGAAAAGACTCTTCCAAACATCGCCCCTCTTCAACCTGGTGCTCTCTGCGACAAGCTGTGGCACAACCCTCTGCGCCCTCGGCACCTGCGCAGCAATAACCCGCTCCCTCTTCAGCCCGTAAAAGTTCTCGGTGAACGACCCGCCCCAACGCGCGAGGTAATGGCGCTCCACGAGCAGCATGAGAAGCGCGTACACCTCATCGTAGCGATTGAAGATGCGGATCAGGTATCGCGGGTGGCGCTGGGTCACGACGCCCAGGAGGTAGCGTAGCGATGGTTCTAGGAGCTCGCGTAGCTGCGTTTCCGATAGTAGCTCGAAGAGCGAGGGCTTTCCCTCGTCGAGGCCGCTGATGTTGGACATGAACTCCATCGTCGTGAGTAAGGGGGACGATACGAGGGGTGGTGGATGGGGACGCGGTTGGGTGTGAAGTGGTCGGCAAGGTCCTACGGTACGAGACTGGGCCACGGGTGCCGAGGTAAGTTGGGGGGGCGTTGCTTGCTTGCTGTCACGACGTGGACGGTGGAATCACTAAAGGCAATGGGAATACTTGGCGCTCAACGTTTCCCGGCGGCACGAGGGACAGACAACGACAAGAGGATCGGAATGTATTGTGACAGGTTACAGCGGCATTCGGGAATTTTGATGCTGCCGTGCCAATCATCACGGGTAGTCGACATGTGTTACGTACAATCGAAGGATTTCCACAACAGACTTACCGACTGCACGCGGCACGTCACTATAGGTAAGTATCTAGTATGCGGATGCCCGGCTCAACCGTGCACTCCTTTCTGCTTCCCAATCCATCAGCCATCACTTTTACGTACCTGTCTGTGTTTCTCCGAACTCCATATCAACAAGATGCAAACAACACTCAGGATTCCGCAGCGATCGATTTAGCCGGCCATCCAACTTCTACACCACCTCTCTGTTCGCCATCCCTCTTTGCTTCGAAATTATTGACTTATGATTTATGTGCTTATCACGTACATACACTTCTATGTAAAAAAAAAACTGAGAATAAAAAGGAAAAAATAAAAATAAAAAATAAAAATAAAAAAACAAGAATTTTTAAAAGTGAAACCAGTTCCTTCTCCAATCCAAAGACGAAAATACGACTGTACAAGAAGTAAGCTCCCATCCCTTCGTATGACTGGCCAACTCCATCTAAGTCACCCCCAATCCACCAATAATCGGATGGTGGAATGGTATCCCCGTATTCTTACATACGCCAAAAAAGACCCACAGAGCGAGTATACCAGACTCACACCAGCATAGTACAGCCGTGACGACCAAAGAAATAGTCAGAGATCTCTAAGCCAGCACTGGCAATTCCTTCTCCCAGCCGTGGTAGGCAAGCATCTCACGGAAGTACTGGCCGTACCACTCGAGGGGCTCCCATTCGTTGCATCCCTTGTGACAGTGTTTGGCCGGGTTCGGCGAAGGCTTGCGCATCGTGAAGTGAATCAGCACTGCCTCATCCCAGAGCTTGTCCCATGTGCTGCGGTGGAATTGGTACTAATCCGGAAGGTTAGCTACAATGTCTTCGCATGTGAATACGCAGGGACCGTCAGGGAGCGGCTTACCATGACCAAGTTGAAATTGTACTTGTACGGCAGACCAAAGTACCTGAACTTGTAGTATGCGTTTAAGAAGGCCTGATCCGCATCGTTGGGCGAGTGGTAGTTGGGATCCGACATTTTGGGGATCATGTCGTTGAAAGTTTCCATGGAGGGCCTGAAGACGACCACACCCGAGTTGAAGCGGTTATCGGTGAGAATATTCCACCAGACGTCGGGGGCCGCAGCGAATTCTCCGGGCATGTCCCACAGCTCGGCCAAACTTCCCTTACACACCACGTCGGCATCGATGAACAGGATCTTCTCGTATTCGGTCCAGCTCCACAGGTGCAGTTTATTGAGATTGTGTCTGTGCCAGGGCCGGATCTTGCCGGTATCGACTCCTTGAAATTCCAGCTCCTTCGCCACACGCACCGTCCACCCTGCCTTCTCCAGTCGAGTCTTGTTCTCCGCCGTCACGCCGTCCTTCTCGTCTTCGCGCACCAGCAGCACCAGCTCCGCATCCATCGCCTTCAGGTCGTTATGCTTCTGAATCGAGTACGCCAGCATCACCGCCAACGACGTGAACGAAGCCGTCTGCACCGATGAAGTGATCGCATATCTCGGCTTCCGCGTAATCAACTTATTCTCCTCGGCGTTAAAGATCTCCTTCGTCCGCGTCACCGAACCAGCGCCATAGTCCGCGATCGACTGTAACGTATTGGCCGAAGATGGTCCGCCTACACACATGACATCCGTTAGAGTTCTTCTTCCTTGCAAGCTCACAACCAAACCAGACCGAGAGACTAGAAGACCGGAATCACGAAGTGGGCGGAATCTCACCGAATACAGTATACAGGCCAAAAAACACTACGACCAGCAGCAGTGCTGGAGCAATGATCCGTACCCGCGCCATCCCTTATGTGTTTCGCTTTTATCGCTCGGCCCACCACCAGCAAGACGGACAGGATCTAACTCGGCCGTTCGTGCCGTGTCGCAGCGGTATAATCTATCGATCGGCCGCACAACGGAGGGGTGCGTAGGTCGTATCGGTGGTGGTGCTTCGAGAGCTTTGCTGTACAGTACAGTACAGTGCGGACGACCCGGTGAAGGAAAAAGAGCGTGGGTTATGGAGTCGAGGTTGGGTGCGAATGAGGTCCAAGGAGACAAGTGTTAACAAGATGTAGTCTAAAACCGGAAAGAGGGAAAAGATAGAGTCAGTCAGTCAGGTCAGTCAGTTGATTCGTGCGGGAAGAACGGCTGTACGTACGTGTAAGTTCCCGACAACGCCGAGTCGAACTTCCCAGAACTTTGTGTGTCTTGGTGGCCAACCAGAAAGGGGGCACGGCGAGGCGCGGCGCGGCGGCGGTTTCGAATGCCTGGATGGTGCAGATCCATCCCTCCACCATCCCCCACATCACTTCGGAATCGCCGCACGACCACCTCCTTCAACCTTGCCGTCGTACCGACAACAAATAAGAGAAAAAGAAAGGAGACTTCTCCTTCGCTCCCGCGATCACCATCGTCCAATCGGACAGCGAAGATTCCCTCACGTTTCGGATAGGTACTATCAATTCTCTTACTTACTCACCTACAACTGCAGCACCGCAGCTTGGCTAAGCGAGGTGACGCGGCTGAAATTTGGATGCCCGATTTGTAACGAGAAGCAACTTCCAGGGGAAGTGCTTATGTGATTACTACACATAGTAGATAGTGCACTTGGCTCACTGCATTCACCATCACTCGAAAGGGATGGCTGGGCACGAACGCGCGCAGGCGCATGAATTCAGAATCCTTTTACTCTACATACTCTAACTGGGGCTATTCTGACTCTTGATAAACATGCTTATCAAAGTACATATCATAGGTAGATCGGAGGATTAAACCTTGATAAGCTTCGCTAGAATCGCTACGGATTCGGACCAGACTCCAAAAGACTTGTGACGATTGAAGCATCCGTTGCAATACCTAGTTTCGTCCACTCTAAAAAGTGCAATACGGAGGGAAAGCTTATATGTACGAGAGTGGGACAGAAGCAGGTAGAGTAGACAGGTTGCGACTATCACCATACTAGGTTATTCACGGGATATCACTCACTGATCCGTACCCTTGTCGATCAATCGAGAGTCGCGATTGAGGAAAATCGACGTTGCGGACTCGCCGAATCACTTGATAGCCTAGTTAAATGAGGCTGTACAATGGGTAGTGGCAGTACCCATTCGCATCCCCTCTACCGGCCTTCATTGCCATCGGTGCGGGTTTGGTATTACCTAGGCGGGCGAGCTTTCCGCCTTGCGATCACAGTTGTTGGCATCATGTCCACTGCCACGATTCATTTTGAGTAGTCGCATACAAACACCACTTGGAAACTATCTGATCCCGCAATATCGAAGTATTACCCCCCCTCAGGCTCATCCTCCCCAAGCCCTCCCACCTCCAATCCCCCATCACCCATCACCCTCCACCGACCCCCATCCTCCCAAAATTCCTCCCCCTTCCCGTCTCCCTCCCCGTCTCCCTCCCCCTCCCCCTCCCCCCACCGCCCTCCTCCTCCTCCTCCCCATTCCCTCCCCACAAATCCTCTCTACTTTCCGCCACGCCCACTCCCACTTCCACCACCACCACGTCCACGCTCCCCTCCCCAGCCGCCCTCCTGCTCCTCATCCTCCCCCTCCTCCGTATCCCCCACCAGACCGCAAACGTTGCCGCCACGCCCACCGCCACCCCGCCCAGCATCACCGCCGCCCACATGTACATCCCCGAGCCCGTGGTTGGTGTTGGCGATGTCATCGTTTGAGCTGCCTTCTTTTCTGGCTGTGAGCTACCTTGAAGTCTGGCTGTGAGGACTCTGGAGCGGACGGAGGATAATTGGGCGGTGCCCCGGGGAGCCTGGAGGGGGGGACGGGGTTTTGTGTGGATGGGATGCGACGGGAAGGGAAGGGAAGGGGAGGAAGAAAGCGAAGGAGATGGGGAGGAGAGGAAAGGGAGGAGAAGTGAGGAGAGAAGGTGTGGTGATACTCACGGACGGGAACGCGCTTCCCCGACACCGTGATGCCGCTATGCCGCGGTAATGGTAGTGGTAGTGGTGGTGGTGGTGCGGAGGCTGCGGTGGGGGAGGTTCCACGCGGCGGTATATTGAGGGGGGAACGGCTTGATTGAGTGTTGGAGATTAATCATGTCTGCAGTACTCTATTCTACCTACTGCCCACACGGGTGGACGGGGAAACTATCGACAGTATACAAACAATACTCAAAGCATGTGGTCTTGGAATAGGGAACATGTTTTATACAGACAGGACGAAGACAATAATGACTGCTTGGCGCAATGGTAGCGCGCGGACCTCCTACTACTGGACAGTCCGAGGCTGTGGGTTCGAGTCCCATGGTGGTCGATATTTGTTTTTGGTGGCCTTGTTGAGCCCGAGCTCTTGGAGGTGACAATTTTTGAGGACGACGTCCCTGATCGATCACTCCGCGGCACCAGTGGGTAAGCTATGGTATAGTATATGGCCGCGAAGACCACGCAAAGTGCCATTTCCAATGTCCATGCTGTTGCAGAATGTGGAATCGCGAAGGGCAATGGCTCTGATTGACATACACGCCGCGCTCGAGTGAGACTGAATCCGTCCACATCAATTCGGTTCGCTACCATCACTCGCCAATAGTCAGAGCCAGAGCCAACGTAAGTACTCTAACTACGGCGATTCGCAAGGCAAGCTTGCACAGCTCCAGCCCCAACTCGGAAGATAAGTAACTCCTGCACCTACCGTAGGTTGGTGGAATCCTCCCTCGCCACGCGGGTGCTGGATTTCGCAAATAGTCCAGAGCCTTCGAGCTCTCGCTCTCGCTGGTGAGTTGTGACGGGTTGAAATTCAATCCGTGCCGATCGCACATATCTACTTTCGCGGGGGGGGGGGGGGGGGGGGGGGGGGTGACTGGAAGTTTCTTTTCTTTCTGCTCTCGCTCGCCGTGCGATTGAGCTCCAGTCTCCAGATCGATCGATTGTTCAAGTTACACACACAGGTCGTCACACACAGGTCTCGTCTCACGAGTCGCATCGGGTTCTCTGGCTATGGCTGGCTATTGCGCACCACAAGGTTTTGTGGCTTTTCCCCGCCACCACCACCACCGGAACGAATATGACATCAATCCACGTTCCAATCCAGAAAGAAGAACACCACGAGCGGCATGCATATTTCGTGGCTCCAGCAGAGTGATGTACCGAGTATGGTAACAAATTCTTCTTACTTACATTAAGTACCGTATCCCCCCCTCGAGTCTCGTCGCCCCCAACGCCGAGAAAAGAACAAAAGCAAAAAAAATAAAAAAATACTGGTAGGCAGCACTGCACTGCACATCGCCCAGAGGGAACGAGGCCAGAAAAAGAAAAGAAAGGAAAAAAAATTTATGCTTCCATCAGTCCGGCAAAAGCAAGCAAGCAAAAACGAGAGAGCGAGATCAGGAATACATCCGGACCACGACCAGCTCCGCCTCCGCCATCAATTAAGTAGAGTACGTGAATACCGGTACATATCACATCACATCATATCGTTGCGTTACTTTCCAGAGCCCACGGCGTCACGTCATGTCATGTCGTGAGTTTGGTTCCGGGCGTAACTATATGCCACCACCTTTCGTCACGCCATCCATCCAATCAGCTCAGCTCACACATATCCCCGTCGACGTCCACGTCCACGGTCCCCACCACCACCATTGAAGGAAGGAAGGAAAAAACATACCACTGCGCTCGGGACTGCCCAAGGCGAAACTCGGGACCGACGCTGCGGCCGCGTTGTTCCGAGGTCGGGTCAGCTCGATGGTTTTCGACAGGACTGTGACGGTAAATAGCCCTCCTGCCAGCGCGGAGAGGATGGGGAGGGTTTTGGAACTGGGGCGCGTGTGAGTTAGCGGAGGTGGGATGGGTGGATGGGTGGATGGGGGGAGCCCGGGGGAGCCCGGGGACGGGGGGAAGCATACGCGAGGGCGGCGGCGGCGGGCATTGCGTTGGGTGGATTCGTGGATTGAAGGGATGGAGGATATGTCAAGTGAAGTTGAGTATAAAGGCGTCTGATCGTCAAGTACTTCTTAAGTATGAGTACGGTGAGTGTGATGTGATGTGATGTGTTGAAGACGTCGAGGACGGCAACGGCAGCGGCCGGCGGCCGGTCTTTAAAGCAGTGAGAGCCCTCGCCTTATCCCGCCCCACCACCGCCAGCAGCCAACCAGTAGTTACGCCAGTACTCTACGCACGGACGCCAACCGCTACATGTATTCATGTAGGTGACACGAGACTTTTTTTCCCTCCCAAACCTGAAATGGTTCTTCTGGGATTTGTGGAGGCGGGTGTGGAGGTGTGGACGAGGTTGAGGTGGTGGTGGTGGTGGTGGTGGTGGTGGTGGTGGTGGTGGTGGTGGTGGTGGTGGTGGTGGTGGTGGTGGTGGTGGTGGTGGTGGTGGTGGTGGTGGTGGTGGTGGTGGTGTGCCGCCATGGTGATCATGCAAGAGCTTCGTCTAGAGCACTATGTAAACTATGCTGCGTAGAGTAACTGGGAATTCTGCAGCCCAGAGTAGAGTGGCTCTGCTTTCTGCATAGGTAGAGGTGGTAAGGTGATGGACGGAGGGCCGGGGAGGTAACTTATGGTGCTTCACACATCCCAGCTGCAAGCAAAAGTACCGACCGACTGCCAGCCTGCCAATGCGCACACGACTCACGCTCCAGGCCCTGCCCCCCTCCCCCCTCCACGAAAACCAATCCGCCTCCATCGCACCGTTCTCGGGATTAGCTCGCTCACAGCGCATGTCCCACCGTCCAGTCACCACCGTCCCACGAACCAGCCATGGCGAAATGCCTTATCGACGTCGACGTCGACGCTCCGTTTCAACATTCCGCCGCAACGATAAGCGATATACAGCACTCTAACTAGGGACGGAAAGAAGCGGCTGGGATCGGCTAACGCTTGTGCGTGCTCGTTTGTTTCCGGACCGTGGTTTCGTGCGGTTATGGCTGCCGATAGTGTGAATATCTAGAGTAGTGTGGCGGGGAGGGGGCGAGCATGGCGTGGACTTGGAGTACAGGTACGGTGGCGCAACCAAGTGCCTACACACAGTAGGGAGGGTGCTAGCCAAGAAGCAACGCCCCATGTGATCGCTGTTGTATAGAAAAGTAGACCACACGAGCGGGCTGCGAGCTGCGCCATTCCTCCATGCATGCAGGTTGCTGGCGCGGAAACAACTTGCAAGTGCTGATTCGGAGGTGGAGCCTCGTTCGTCGAGTCTAATCCGTTGTGATTACTGGCTTGGGCTGCTGTGGGTTAGGCTATGAAGTATATGAAGTGTACCTGTGGCAATAGGTATGACACTCACAATGACAATGCCAGCTCGTATGTAGAGGATTCTCGGGTTCGCCGTGGCGGCTTGGAAGGTCCTTCGCGAATTGAGCGACTACTCTACCGACTGCCGTGCGAGCGGGGAATGGTAATGCATGCATGGGTGAAATGAGTGATGTCTATGATCGTGGGACATTAATGGGTATGTCCGGCCAAAGTGCCAGGCGAAGCGAAGAGAAAAGCCATCAAATGCTCGATTGCAGACTCCAACATACTATGCATCCTCCCACCATAAACCCCCCCCAAGTGCTCAATTACAGACTCCAATCTATCCTATGCATCCTCCCACGGTCCCGCCATCAAACCCCAACCTACACACCAGTACTTCAACTACCACCGCTCATCCCAGAAATAATCAAGATCTGATGGGTCCTCCTGCGATCAACCTCCTTCTTCAACATGACCAGGACCGTCGCAACGACGAGCGCCTCATCGACGCCATCACCGATGACCAGCGCGCCACCATTCCCCGCCCACGTCCCTCCACTCCCCTTCGTCCTCGTCTCCCTATTCCTAACCAACTCAGCGACCTTCCTCCTCGCGGCGCCCTCACCAATGTAAAGCACTAAGACCTTCGTCTTCAACAGCACGCCATCACTACTGGTAACCGCAGGCCTCATCTCCTTCTGGTAGACCCACTCGCAGCGCTCGCCCTTCCACATAAACGTACAGTCCCTATTCATCGTGCAAAACCTGCCCACGCGGAGCGCGCGCACCGTTTCCTCGCCAATAGTGAGGACGGGGGACCTCCTTTTTCCGGGACCAAAGAAGTACGTAGTCCGTGCCACCTCCTCCGCCGCCCCCGCCACCCCCGCCGCCGTCATGGCCGTCAACACACACGACCCCGACGACCGCTTAAACCTTACGGACTGGTATGCGGGCACGGAGTCGCGCAGGATCGTGGTGGTGAGCTCTTTCACTGTCAGCGGGAACCGCAGCCAGGGGATCCCGAGCGCGTTCACGGTCAGCGTCGTGCGCGGCGTGAAGAAGTGCGGGCCGTCGTTGCCGCCGCTAACGGGTGGGTCTGAGGGTGTGCCCGAAGATGGGAGCGTGAGGGGCTTTTCGTCCGTGGTTACGAAGGCGGGGGTTTTGGACATTGGTGGGGGTGAGGGTGGGGGTGGTAGTGATGTGGCTGTGGCGACGATGCTGATGTTGATGTGACTGTTGATGTTGCAGTTGCTGCAGATGTTGCAGTTGTGGTTGCAGTTGCTATTGCTGTCGATGTTGCTATTGATGTCGGTGTCGATGCCGATGTCGATATTGCTGTCGATGTTGCTATTGATGTCTGTGTCGATGCCGATGTCGATATTGCTGTCGAATGTCGATGTTGCTGTTGCCTTGCCGTTCGATGAAGTCGAGATTGCGTTTACCAGCGGCCGGGGAGAGGTGGGGTTTTATCTTTGAACAGCAATGCGGAGTTGTACCAACCCAGGTTACACGGAAGCTGAATAGGAATACGAGAAAGCTGAAGGGAGAAATACGAGAAAGCTGAAGGCAACGCGAGGCAGTGCGAGGCAGGCCGCCGTGTGCGGCAGTGCCAGTGCAGCGAATTGGATTTCGGGAGACGAGATGTAGAGTACTCTACAGTACAGTCAAAGTACCGTACCGTGCCGCGACGATCATTGCGATCATGGCGATCGTGGCCGCGCTCTTTTCCACTTGTTCGCTTGTACAAATGGTGACACTGCTGTTGATATTATACCATATCTCGCAACACGGGGTCAGTATAAGCAACAAAATTAATAACACATTGGCCAGGCTGCCAGGCTGCCAGAGCAATCATGCGGCAAGGCACCTCGCAAGTCTCCGGGCTCCAGTCTGTAGCTGTAGTTATCAGCCAGGTGGTGTATGTAGGAGCCATATGTCTAGAGTAGGTATCGGAGAATCAGTCGGTCGTGTGCATATTCCGATCTCGACTCGCTAATCAGCGTCACCATGCACAAATCACACCCAACGTCGAGTCACTCTGTGTGATCCACATGATCCGTGTGTAGGAATATACGAATCACACATCCCACGGCCCGGGTACCCGTAGAATCTTGGAAAAGAAAAGACACACACACCCGCCAAACGAAAGCAGAAGCAAGAGAGGAAGCCATCCACCGTCCTAACCGACCAACCCAACGCCTCTATCCCATTTCAAAAATTCATCAAATCTGCACAGTCGTAGGTATCAGCATTGTTTCCAAGAACACATCGTACTTATGTAGCGACTTACCTCTCCCAAACAACGCCCTCTTCCCCCAATCCATCGCCAGCAGCATGCGCGTGCGCGCACTCACAGACTGCGCGAAATAAACGCTCCTCCAGAGGTACAGAAAGATGAGTCCGCCGCCGAACGACAGCCCGCTGATCCCGGTATCGAACACGGCCGCGTTCCCGACATACGCCAGACTCCCCAGGTGCTTATACACGAATGCCTTGTATACAGCGTCGTCCACGTCTCCATCAACGATGTCGTTCATTTCCAGTCCGGGCGTGGCTTGCGCGAGCTTGTTGAGTTTACGCGCGAGGTACTGGCCCTGCTGGTGTGCGCGCTGCGCAGTGGCGGGGAGGGAGGTGAGTTTCGAGTCGATTTTCTCGAGTAGCTTTTTGAGCTCGTCGAACTCGAGGGTACCCGAGTTGTCCTCGTCGTATGCTTCAAAGAGCTTGTCGAGGCGCCGCAGGTGGTCCGTGGTCTGCGGGAAGCGCTTGCGGATCCGTGGGACAATCTTGCGCCATTGGTCGAATGTCAAGCGAATCGACTTTTCGTCTTTGATGCCTTGTTCCCATGCCACGTGCTTGAGGAACTCGGTGATGTGGCTGGTGATGTTGTTTTGGACGGTGGAGCAGTCGCCAATCGCGTAGACGTCTCCCATGGGAGTTCCCAGTAGCCTCAAGTGAGAATCGGTCTCCAGCGCGTGCGAGTTCTTCTGCACATCCAGTAATTCGGCAATGCGTTGGCAGAAGTCTGTCTGAGCTACGCCTGTCGACCACAGACATAAACCGAATGGGAGCTCCTTGGTGATGATTTTTCCTCCCTCTTGCTGGGTGAATATCACCTTGTCCTCCTCGATCTTTGATACCCGTGCATTTGTCAGGACGTCGATCTGCTGGCGTGAAAACCGGTCTTCGGCATATCTGCTGAGTGCCTCGTCGTATGTATTGAGGATGTGTGATCGAGACTGCACGATATGCACTGATACCTCGTTTCGGAGAATTCTTGGGTACTATAGTTTACGTCAATCAATAGACACACTTAAGGAAGCATAGGAGACCGTACCCTCAATGTGAGATCCTCGTTCAGCATGTCAAAAAGCTCTGCAGCAAACTCGACTCCGGTAGGTCCACCACCACACACCACAAACGACAGCAGTCTCCGCCGCTCCTCATCCGTAGTTGTCGGCAAGCAGGCCTGCTCAAAATTCTCAATGACCTTTTTGCGTATCATCCTAGCATCATTGACGTCCTTGAGGAAGTTGACATGCTCCAATCCCTCCACGCCGTGAGTCCTTGTCTTAGAACCTGAGCTTCCATCAGCAATAGATCTTTCGCACTAGCATTCGCCAATGTTACCCACCAACTCCAACTATTAGCTTATCATACGGCACGTAAAAGCTCCTGCTCTTCCCATCCGGGCCTATCTGCGAGACCTCCACGAGCTTCTCACTAAAATCCACGCTTTCCGCATTCGCCTTCAAAAAGTGTGCGTTGATCTTGCCCGTGATTGAGCGAATAGGTTCTATCAAGCTACGAACCTCGAGCGTTCCCACCGTCGCACTGGGCAACAGCGGCGTGTAGAGAAAGTAGTTACTCGGCGAGATGACGGTGACATGGTAGTTCTCAGGATTGATGTTCTTCAGTAGCGCAACCGATCCCCACCCGCTGCCCAACACCACCAGCCGCGGCTTATCCAGTAGCTTCTGCGCCTCGTCGCCATCGTCATCGACCTATAATGCCCCGCATCAGCAACCACAACACGGCAACCATCGAAGCACGCTCACCAAAATCTCCGCAATGGGCAAATTCTTCGGGCCGCCCCTGCGCGGACTCAACGCCAGCTGCGGCACCGCAAGATCACTCTCGTCCGCCTCATCCTTGTACGTACTTGCATCGTAGACGAAGAACGCAACGATGGCACCACCGATCGTCAGTGTCGCGAATCCGCAGAACGCAAACGTTTTAAAAAGTGCACGCGCGAGTTTCGAGCGTCGCTTCAGCGGTTTCTCGTCCCCTTTGGTCGCTAGAACTCGAAATTGCGGCTTCGGAGTGCGGACGGCGCCGAGGAGTGGGCTGCGAACGATCGTGGGGCGCAGAGACGACAGCGTGGTTCCGCGGCCGACTGTCGTGTGCACTCGAGCGACTGCGGGCGCTATTACGCGACGGGTGGACACGGTCGTTAGTAGCCGCTGTCGTAACATCGGTGATATCTGCCGCTGTACTGGTGAAAACTGGCAGAGTAACAACGAACGGGCTCAAGCGATTGAATGAACGAGGGAGGAGGAAAGATCAGGTAACTTTGGGCGGGTGGGCGGTTGGACGGCAACAAGCAAGCAGTCAGCAGAACGTGGACGGTGGGACATGATCCAACGTGTGACGTAGTTGGGTTAGTTATGCGCGACAGGGCCATCCATATTCATTAGGTATTCTTCCTTCATGTGCTGCCCTGATGTTGACAACATGAAACCAAAACAGATATGCCGTTCATTTCACTGACCAGTAGAAACAGCGACTGGTAGTAACCAGTGTTCAAACAGGATAGAATCTAGATACTGATTCGCGGGGTTTCACCTTTCCAGCTCAAAGTTCAAAGTTCAAACAGTGGGGTGCCTCTATTTATAGAATTGCTTATGCCCTCGCTTCCAGCTTGGCAATTGGCATGATACCGGTATTCTACTATGCCAACTGGGCTAGACAAAGTGCTTGTGTTGGAATTCGGTGACGATCTGCTGTCCCTAGAGTAGAGCCGCTTTTCTAACTCGTTATTCCATCCAGTGGATGAGGCAGCTGGTGTGGGTAAAGGCGAGTGCATTCAATGGCATGTTCTAGCCCAGTGGTAGAAAATATCAGTCTATATGGGCTGGTCCATCTACTGTCGTAATCCTATGTACCCACTGGATAGAACACATGTTTTATCTGCAACATGACGGGCTATCAGAGACTATGACTCCTAGTAACGCATTTCGATTGAGCGGACACGATTACATAATCTGACTGATCGGCATTGTAAAGAAGTTGTTTCTAAACAACGTGGGCGTCTGAAGATATGTGGGATTAGCGGAGGAGTCTACTCTGTGCAACATGAGTACTGTATAATCAGGAGAAGGGGGCAGGGTCTATGGTATCGATATAGCAGATAAATGGGACTTCTCGGCCCGCACATCAAGAATTATCCATTCGGAAATGCTCCCGAAAGCTTCACAGATGACATTTTTCGTTGACCCCAATGATCTAAAACCCCGCCAACCATGCTTGCTTTTCGTACTCCAACATAAACATCCAAGTATTATACAAATCCAGTCAATTCATCTATCAAGCTTGCTTCGCCTTTTTCTTCAGACTCCGAACAAGACTCTGTAGCTCGTCCTTCTTCGCTACTGGCTTCGCAGTCTTTTTCCGTTTTCTCTCCCGTCCATCCTCGTCTGGTGGCGCACCAGCGGCATCCGTTGTCGCCGAGTTGCTGGCAACCCTCTTCCTCTTCTCCTCCATCAACTGCTTCGTACCGTCTGTCTTTACGAACCGAGGATTGGTAGGATCGATTGCGAAGGCATGCCTCTCAAATACAGCCTTGAAACGCGGGTCCTTGACGTCCATCTGGAAGTCTTCTTGCAGACCTTCAGTCTCCTTTAATGGCTTCCTGTGCTTCGCCTTCTTGACCTTCTTCATCTTGTCCGCCTTGACAATCTGCTTCATGTCAAAGTGGCTGAGCTTTCTGCCGTCAGGACCAAGTACGTCCTCCTCCATGAGAAGCTCCAGCTCAGCGCGCTTGGTCGCCTTCTCTGCTGCCTCCTTCTCCTTCTCTTCCCGACGCTTCTGCTTCTGCGCCTTCTTGAGGGCGGCGTTGGACTGCTCAGGCTCGTCGAAGAATGGATCATTGAAGCCCAAGTCCACTGCAGCCTGATCTGGTTCTGCTTCGGCGGCAGGCGCAGCGGCCGGCTTCTCTGCAGCCCCGTCCTCACCTGCTCTACCGGCTTTCATCTTCTCCTTCCTCGCTTTTCTGCGCTCCTTCTCCTTCCTGGCGTAGGCTTCGATCGTGGTTTCCTGAAGCTCAATCACCGGTTTGCCCTTGTCGTCCTCATTGAGTCCAGATGTAAAGGTGACCTCCACCTCGCCAGTCGGCTCGCTCTTGCCCTTGCCGCCGAATGTGAGGCCGCCTAGTAACGACCGGTATTTTTCTTTCTTGCTCTCTCTCTCGTAATCTTCTGACTCGGAGTCGGAGGACGCAAGGTACGCCTTGAGCTCATTATCCTCAATATCGCGCTGCGAGAAAGCCTTCTTTGCGATTTGTTTCCGCTGTTGGTCGTCTTCGTCCCATGTCAGTTTGACCTTGGAGTGCTGGAGAGCCTGTTTCAACTGTCAGCACTGAGTCGGACGCTATAAAGTTCGACGTGATCTTACATCCGTGACGAATTCGGCAGGTGTGTACTCGGTCGGGTCTTGCGAGCACTCATCGCGTGGTTTGTCGTCTTCGAAAGTGGTCTCATCCGGGATAAATCGCAGGTCAAAGAAATTCGCCGTGGCCTCATACTCGGCGCCATCACAGTTGTCGTAGATGTGTTTTGCCGTACGCTCAGAATCGCACTCGACTACTGCATAAAAATACCTATTCCGCACCTATAATCAGCGCCTCGTCATCCGAATCCGTGAACAGCATGGACCCACCGCAGCCGCTCTAATTGATACTGCCGTAACTTGGTACTATCAAATTCCTCTCCCTTATCCTCCTTGACGATATTTTTCTCGGTAACCTCCTCATCATCGTCGGACACTTCCGCCTGCTTGTCGTTCCGGAAAATTTCCTTCGGCGGCCCTTCCAGTTCCTCGCGCTCCATCCGCTCCTTTCCAAACTCCGAAGGAAACACCGTAACCCTTGTGACTCTTCCACCGGTGGGAGTAAAGCTCGCAAACGCCTTCATGAGATCCACCGCGCGCACATTATCCCAGTCCAAGTTGACGCACGCAAAGCGCTTGCTGACTTCTCCAGTCGGCACCTCCGCCCTCGCCGCCGCAGCAACATCCTCCTCCATCTGCACTTCCAGATCCTCGTCGTCGTCGCTCTCGCTCTCGCTGGACGAGGTATCGACCATACCCTCACCACGCGCTGGATCGAACCTAACGCCGCCCTCCTCCTCCTGCTCATCCACCTCCCCCTCCTTTCCTTCCCCCTCCTTCCCCTTCCCCTCCTCCTCCTCCTCCTCCTCCTCATCCTCAAGCCTATAAAACCTCGACAGTTCCGCCTTGGCATTCTGTTTCGGCAGCTTGCGCCCATACCGATCCACGCGCGCGGTGGAGGAGAACTTGGGATCGCTGAGCACGCGCTTGAAGCGCGAGTCGAGGGCGACAGAGGTGTCCTGGCGCTTTGGAGGGGCGAACCGCGGGTCGTTGTGGATTACGCTGAAGCGGGGGTCGTTGGTTACTGGCGCGGTGTCGCGCGCCAGAGGCCGCGAGGATGAGCCGCGGGGTTTGGATTTGGGCGCCATGTTGTGGTGTTGTTTGTGGAGGAAGTTGCGCAGTTCGATCACTGAGGGATCAGTTGGTGGGTTGGATGAGGGCGGCGGCGGGCGAGGAAAAATTTGGAGCCGCATGCAAACTACTTTACCAGGGTCGGGATTGACTATCGTTAGTTCATTCATAGCGCGGCACTCGACTCTTAGCTCCTGCACGAGCCGGCTTCTTGGATGCTCCCCCGAAGACGGACAGAGGGCTTATAGAAACTAAAAAAAAAATACTCTTTAGAATAGATAAGAGATGCGAGGATGCCATAGAATGATGAGCTTGCGTACAACTTCCATGTATGTACGACTTTTTGTTCCGACTTCGTAAATCTGTGGCGTAAGCAAATCCTATGGTACCCGTCCTGGATAGGATGAATGGGTAACAGAAATTCAATGGAGTCTAACCCCTCTTCCTCCGCCAGCCTCATGAATAGGGAGTGACGAACATCGATAGCCCTTGCAGAGTATGCTGCCGTCTTGATAAACTAACTCTAGGGTAGGGTTAGACTCCGTCACGGACACTAGATTCTTAGAGTACTCTACGATATATTCCACACAGTCCGGTTACGGTATCATTCTTTGAACCGCTTGGCATGTACATAGGGAGGGCTCTGCAGTGTCTCACCGTTTTCGTCGTTGAAGCTGAATGGCGGCTCAAGCTTCACAGAACGTTGGGGTATCCATTGTGCTTCAAACTTTGCAACCATAAAGTGACCGGAAGTGAGAGGGGGAGGGAAAGGGAAAGGGGCGGCAAGATGAATGGCAGTGATCTCGTATCACCCTGTAATAATATGTGGTAGCGATACATACCACCCAAGTGTGTTGGCGTGGATTGTGATATATTAGCTCGTCTCAACGCTGATTCCAGTTGAATATTAACGCGGCGTCACTCCCATTTTTCGGGGTTGATTCCAAGTATGTGTTCCGTCACAGGACTCTGCCACTACCATTCATTCTCCCTCCTTTCTCATTATACAAATTACAGCAGCATGAATGGAACTCTCAAATCCGACTCACACTCGCATCCATTATTCACCCCCACCCCCTTCCAATTCTTTCCACTAAATACCCAAAGCTAAAGCTAATATACACACATATACGCCACACCCAAGCACACCTAAATACACACTAAACACACAAAAACAGACTAAATACACAGATACGCCACAACCTAAAGAAAAAACGCCACTGAAAGAAAAACACCACCCTAAAATAAAAGCCCCACGTAACGCCACACCACCATAGCAAACCATAGCAAACCTTACCCACCCCAAAAAAAAAACACCACACGTATACGCCGACGGATTACGCGGATGAAACCCTGATTTTGTCTAATCTAACGAGTAGGTATCCGGAAAAAAAAAACTCATGGTCACTACCGTATATACCGTCTTTCCAAAGACCGGAGTGAAAGAACAAAAAAGAAAAAACCCAAGTCCATGTACAAAAGAAAACCCCATAAGAAAAGAAAAAAAGAAACCAAGCTTTTAGACGATATGAAAAAAAAGATCAATACTCCATCCAATCCACACACACACTTAGAGCAGGCGGGACATGCCAGCCTAACCCAACACCAAAGCGAGCAGAGCCATGCGGCAGTACAAGCCATAGCGCATCTGTCAAACACCAGTCAGTATGTAATGGACCAATCCGGGAAGTGGAAGGAACTTGCCTGTCTGAAGTACGCAGCCCTCTGGTCAAAGTCGACCTCCTCGCTGATCTCGGTGGTTCTGGGGAGCGGGTGCATAACAATCATGTGGCTCTTGGCGTGCTTCATGACCGAGTTGTTGACGATGAAAGCGTCCTTAAGACGTTCGTACTCGGCCAGGTCCGCGAACCTCTCCTTCTGCACACGGGTGCAGTAGAGCACATCCGAGCGGGCAATGATCTCCGGCGTGAGCGAGCTGGACTCGGCAACCAGCGAACCGCTGCTGACCAACTTGGCACGGACATCCTCGGGCATTCGCAACTGGGGAGGAGACACCAATTGAATGCGAACGTTGTAGAGCTGGAGGAGCTTCGCCAGGGAGTGGACAGTACGACCGTACTTGAGGTCACCCATGAAGGTGATGGTGAGGTCGTTCACGGTTCCGAGCTCCTCACGAATCGTGAAGAGGTCAAGCATTGCCTGGGTGGGGTGCTCGAGACTGCCGTTGCCTATGATATTTGATTAGAATACTGCTAGAATCATTGCGAGAATACCACTTACCACCGTTGATGACCGGAACAGGCGAGAACTTGGCAGCAACAGCCGCACTAGACTCCTCAGGATGTCTGAGCACAACCGCATCACCGTAGCAAGCAAGAGTGCGAATGGTATCCTGCAGGGTCTCTCCCTTCTGCAGGCTCGAATGGGCCGCGGCAATTGCCACAGTCCGTCCTCCCAGACGCTGCATGGCAGCATCGAATGACGCCGAAGTCCTGGTGGAAGGCTCGAAAAACATGGTACAGAGAAGACGGCCCTTCAGGACGTCAACAACACCCCAGCGCTCAACGCCAAGCCTGATCTCGGAAGCCACAGTGAACAGGTGGTGCAGATCACGACGCTCGAACTGGTTGACGGACAGGATGTGCTGACGCTTGAACTTCGAGTCCTTGGAGAGGAGCGCAGCGAGGGCAGGTGACACAGTGGGGTTGACAAACTCCGGGTGCAGCTGCAAGTTGGGCAGCTCCAAGGACGGGGTGAAGCCAGCATCGGCCTGGGCCTGGAAGCGGGTGCTTGCACCGAGTCTGGGGCTCAGAAGAGAGCGGATCGAGGGCAGCTCGGTTTGCGTCTGCGCGGGAGGAGACGAGATCTGGACCGGGAACGAGGCCGACCAATCCTTACCGAGAGTTCCATCGGAGGTGAGGCGTCCATCAAGGGAAACGGTCTTGCCCTGGAAAACAACACGCTTGACGACAGCCTTGAGCTGGCGTCCCGCAAGAGGAGACCAGTTGGCACGCTCCTCCGCAGTGAACGCTCGCCCAATCTCAACCTCGACCGATGAGTCGGGCTGGTCGTGGAGATCGAAGATGACCTTGGGGTTGTCATGAAGGCGGGCGGTGATGTCCTGGAGCGTCAAGCGGCCCTCGGAAACTGCAGTGAACAGCAAAGGAAGGGCATCGGCAATTCCGACGGTTGGCGAGGGCTTCTGGTCGGTAGCGTGCGACAGCTGGTAAGGAAGACTTCCCACCGAGAAACAGTCGATGGAAGCCAAGTTCTTCCAGAGCGCGGCCTGGTCCTCCTCAGTCGGGAGCGCAGTGCACTCAGGATAATCCTTCTGGCTCAAGAATAGAGAGTACACGGCAACATCGCAGGTAACCTTCAGTCCCTTCTCCTTGGCCAGGGTGATCAACTTGATATCATCCTTGGTGGTAACGCTGGTGACATGAACGTTACGGCTGTGGAGGCTGGCAAGCAGCAGGATCGAAGCAAGATCAGTGGTCTTTGCGTCGGTCATGATGGGCTTGTGATCAGGCCAGACGTCGAAGTGCGAAGTGACAGCGGCAACCTTGTTGATGTTTCCAGACAGGTGGTTGAACGGAATGAAGAGAGATCCGACCTTACCGGTAAGCGCGCCGAGCTGCTCCGAGTTGGACGAAGTGGCAGCCACAGAGAAGTTGAAGTCAGAGTGAGCAACCGAGCTGTTCTCGAGGGCAGTGTTGAGGGCAACTGCATCGGTCAAGCTGTTCTCGACACCCATAGGAAGGACTCTGATCATGGTGAAACCCGAGGCAACGGATTCCTTGGTAACCTCATCAAAGTCACGGCTTCCGTCAATCGCTAGTCCGGGCACGAATGCGGCAATGTTAACAAGTCCGGGAAGGATAACAGTGCGGTGGCTCGACTGGGCATCAATGGAAGAGATATTCATGGAGTAGTGTCGGGAGATCGCCTCGATGAGCAACTTGGCGTTCTTGACGTTCGTGACCAGCGGAGTGTGGTAGTCGACAGCCATACGTCTGGTCTGGTAACCTCTGGACATGTACGAGGCCGGGCGCCTGAACCGGTTGGCGGAGGGCAGATTGATGTAGAGATCGATCAAGTTGTTGGCCAAATGCTGCGTCAACGAGTACTCGGACTTCTGGTCATCATCAGAGAGAACCTCGAGGTACTGGACCGGAACTCCGTGCTCCTGGATGAAATCCGCAGTTCCGGCAGTGGCGAAGAGCTTGTATCCGAGCTGGTGAAGCTTCTTGATAGAAGGAAGCAGCTCCATCTTCTCCTTGAAGGAACCGATGGAGAGCAAGATGTTCTTCTTGGGCAAGCGGAAACCGGTGGAGATGAGCGCCTTCATGTACGCCTCGTACTTGTCGCGACCGAAGCAAGCAACCTCACCGGTGGAAGCCATCTCAACACCGAGAACGGGATCTGCACCAGACAGACGCGAGAAACTGAACTGGGGAACCTTGATACCGACGTAGTCCTTGGGGATATCGACGGTGGGGTAAGGGTCAACGGGCAAGCCCATGATCGCCAGAGTAGCCATCTCGATAAGATCAACACCCAAAACCTTGGACACGAAAGGGAAAGATCGGGAAGCGCGGACATTGCACTCGATGACCTTGATGTCGTTGTCCTTGGCAATGAACTGGATATTGTAAGGTCCAGTAACGTTGAGGGCATTTCCAATCTTGCGGGTGGCTTCCTCGATCCTGCGGATGGTCTCCGGGTCAAGATCCTGAGGGGGCTGGATCAAAGTGGCGTCACCAGAGTGAACACCAGCGTTCTCGACGTGCTCGGAAATGACATGCATAATCATCTGTCCGTCCTTCGCAACAGCGTCCATCTCGATCTCCTTGGCGTTCTCGATGTACTTGCTGATGACAACGGGGTGCTCCCTCGAGACATCGGCTGCCTGCTGGAGGTAGCTGGCAAGATCGTCGACGGAGTAGACAGTGTTCATGGCGGCTCCAGACAAGACGTAAGACGGACGGACCAGCACAGGATAGCCAACCTTCTCGGCGAACTCCCTAGCCTCCTCGAAGCTGGTAAGCTCCTTCCAGGCAGGCTGGTCGACCTCGATTCTGTCAAGCATGCGCGAGAACTTGTAACGATTCTCAGCAGAGTCGATCATCTCGGGGGAAGTTCCCATGATCTTGACGTTCAGGCGGTGCAGCGGCAGAGCAATGTTGTTGGGAGTCTGACCACCCATGGAGATGATAACACCGCTCGAGTTCTCGAGGTGGTAAATGTCGAGGACGGTCTCGATGTTGATGTTCTCGAAGTAGAGCTTGTCAGCCTCGTCGTAATCGGTCGAGACGGTCTCAGGGTTGTAGTTGACCATGATCGTCTTGATCTTTCTCTCGCGAAGCGTCCTGACGGCGCGGACAGCGCACCAATCGAACTCAACCGAGGATCCGATTCTGTAGACACCAGAACCAAGAACCATGACTCCATGGTCGTTGAAGTCAATATCGTGCTCGACACCGTTGTATGTCAGGTACAAGTAGTTCGTGTAGGCAGGGAACTCGGCGGCAACGGTATCGATCTGCTTGACGAAAGGCATGATCTTGGATTCAACCCTGATGCGACGAACAGCGTTCTCGTTCGAGCCCCAGAAGTTGGCCAGCTGCTTATCACAGAAACCAAGCTGCTTGGCCTGGACGAAAAGGGAGCGAGGAATGGTCGCATCGGTGTACTTCGTCATCTCGTTTCCGAACCGAGAAAGACCCATGAGCTTGTTCAAGAACCACTTGTCAATCTTGGTCATCTCCCAGATCTTATCCACGGAGTAGCCCTGCTGCATAGCGTTCGCGATGGCGAAGAGACGCTGGTCCGAGGGAGTCTGCAACTCCTGATCGATCGACATGAGAGCGTCGGTAGCGTTGAAGCCAGCATTGCTGGGATCGGTCGCTCGGATGGCCTTCTGGATAGCCTCCTCGAAGGTTCGGCCGATACTCATGACTTCTCCAACACTCTTCATCGAAGAGTTCAGCAATGTCGAGACACGGGTGAACTTCTTCAGATCCCAACGGGGGATCTTGACAACGACGTAGTCCAACGAAGGCTCGAAGCAAGCGACGGTCTTCTTGGTCACCGAGTTCTTGATGTCGTTCAGGGGGATTCCGAGACCGAGCTTCGCGGCAATGAAGGCAAGGGGGTATCCAGTGGCCTTGGAGGCGAGCGCCGAAGACCGGGAGAGACGGGCGTTGACCTCGATAATGCAGTAATCCTTCGAGTCGGGGTTAAGAGCATACTGGATGTTACATTCACCGACGACTCCGAGGTGACGGATGACATTCACGGCTGTGGTCCGGAGCATGTTGTAGTCATCGTCCGAAAGCGTCTGCGAGGGTGCAACCACGATGGAATCACCAGTATGGATACCGAGAGGATCGAAGTTCTATTGAACGAGTGAGTAACTGTGCCACTGTTATTCAAGGGGGAGTGATGAACGAACCTCCATATTACAGACGGTGATGCAGTTGTCCTGGCAATCGCGGACAACCTCATACTCGATCTCTTTCCAGCCCTTCATACTCCTCTCGACGAGGACCTGGGGACTGGCGGAAAAGGCCTTGTTGCAAAGATCCACAAGTTGCTCCTCGTTGTCGGCGAAACCACTGCCCAGACCACCCAGAGCGTATGCAGCACGGACAATAACGGGATATCCAATGTCCTTCACAGCAATAACAGCCTCCTCCACGGTCGAGGCAGAGGCCGATTTGGCGCATTTCTCACCGATCTCGTCCATGGCTCTGGCGAAGAGCTCACGGTCCTCGGTCGTGATGACAGTGTCGATAGGGGTACCAAGGACCTTGACACCAAGTCCCTCAAACTCATCCTTAAGCTCGATACCGACCGACAAGGCAGTCTGACCTCCGAAAGTGACGTAAATAGCGTCGGGCTTCTCGTGGACGATGACCTTTCGCACAAACTCTGCCGTGACGGGCAAGAAGTACACCTTGTCAGCAAGACCTTTCGATGTCTGGATGGTGGCGATGTTCGGGTTGATGAGAATGGTGTAGATTCCCTCCTCCTTCAGCGCCTTGATGGCTTGACTGCCAGAGTAATCAAACTCTCCAGCCTGTCCGATACTCAAACCACCAGATCCCAGAATCAAGACCTTGTTGACCTTCACCCTGGGGTTGACCTTCCTGTTGTGCTCGACCTCTCCTCCGGGAATCTCAACAGGCTGCTTCAAGGCGCTCTTGTCCACCAGTGTCGCGGCGATAGCATTCAAGAACACATTGAACAGGAATTCGGTGTCCCGGGGTCCTGGTGTGCTCTCCGGGTGGAACTGTACACTGAAGAAGGGTCGCTCGGTGTGGTAGATACCCTCGTTCGAGTCGTCGTTTGCATTGACGAAAAGCGGTTTCCATCCGTCAGAAAGACTGTCTGCATCGACCGCGTATCCGTGGTTCTGGGAGGTGATGTAGCATCGGCCCGAGATGATGTTGGTGCAGGGGATGTTGTGTCCACGGTTACCGAACTTCATCTTGGATGTCCGAGCTCCAGCCGCACGGGCGAGCAACTGGTGTCCGAGACAGATACCAAAGACGGGTGTGTTGGCCGCCTCCATGCACTTGCGGAGCTGCTCGACCGTTGTTGACAGTGTGGCTGGGTCACCAGGTCCGTTGGAGACGAACAGTCCGTCGTAACTACCGGCCTCGGAAAGAATATCGTGATTCCAGGGCACAACCTTGACTTCCACACCGCGGCTCAGGAAACACCTGAGCTGGTTGTACTTCATACCGACATCCACACACAGAACGCGGACAGTCTTTCCGTCTGGCCGCTTGAGCGCAATGTTCTCCGGTGGTGAGAATACCCGGGGTTCCCGTATCGACACTTGTTCACCTTAGTCCACAGTCCTGAGCAAGATGAAGAGGAATAGCTGGAATTACCCTCAGCGACGAGATTTGTCTTGTTGGGATCTATCCACTCGATACTCTCAAAGTCCTCACGCCAGTCGCCCACCGGCGCATCGCCAATCTCGAGACTAGTGACCGCAGCAGGCCTCTCTTCCTCGACTTCCTTGCCAACTTGCGGCTTCTGGATCAACAGTTTTCCAAGCATCGAACCCTGCTTCCGGATCCTTTTGGTCAGAGCTCTGGTATCGACACCGTAGATCGCCGGCACGCCCTGCTCCTTGAGCCAAGTTCCAAGGGAGCTTGTGGCCAGGTAGTGACTGAACTCCTCCCCCGCGTACGACGCCGTAACCAGTGCCGCGACATGAATCTGGTTCGCCTCGAAGTAGGCCGGGAGTGACTCGAGCAATTCGTCCCGAGCTTCCCGCGATGGCACACCTGGAGCAACCACGAAACGCCACGGTCAGTCGCTATTCACCCTCGCCCCACCAATCTACCAGGACCGGAAAAAGAATCCCACGAACCATAGTTTCCCACCAAGGGAAATGTGATCACCAACAACTGCCCACGGTACGAGGGGTCTGTAACGGACTCGGGGTAGCCGACCATTCCTGCGTAGCGGAGGAGTAGGAATCAGCAACCCCACACACCCATTGAAGCTTATTACATCGACAGCGAGGAGCATATACCCGTCTGGAACACCAGTTCTCCAGATACGCTCTTTTCCGCGCCGAAAGAGTATCCCTGGTACGCGCTGCCATCCTCCAACTCCAACGTTGCGAGGCGCTCTACTACAAGCTTTCCGTCGGGTCCCACGGGCCTGGCTGTTACGGGTGGGAAAGGTCTCGCCGCTGCCACCGCCGTCTCCGTAGGCTTTCCAGTACTCAATCCGGCCATCGTGGGTTTCAGAATGCGCGGGGGGGGGGGGGTTTCTGAAAGGGATTGAAGCGGAAGGAATGAAAGGTGGGGGAGGAGGTGGAGTTAGGGAGGAGTAGTAGTAGTAGTAGAAGGTTCCTGACAGCGGGGGACCCGGGAGTGAAGATGCGAGAAGGAAGGACCTTATAGCAGCAGCAGGACCAGATCTGCGGTGCACCACGCTCAAGGAATTCGAAGAAGGAATATGTATGGAGCAACCAGTCGGCAAAGGGCGGGGGGCGCAGCAGGTTTGAGGAGAGAGAAAAAAAAAACTACGAAACGAAATGGCGAAAAAGAAGGTATAAAATTTTCTGGTGGGGCAATGATGCCAAGCTCTATGCAACTGGGGTTCCCTTAGTGGCTGGCTGCACGGGTCTCACTTGGGCTTGAAATTACGGCAAACTGCCAAACGCCATCGACGAGCGAAGACATTTTGCCAGGGGCTGTACCAGAAGACGGGGTGGAGATGGGCGATGAGGACGTGAGGTGCGATCTCACGTCCAGCAAGGAAGCGTGGCGTCACCCTAAGAAAATAAAGGTGGAAGTGCAGGCTTGGAGGGGAAGAGTAGGCTGAAAAGATTTGATGCAACGCGATAACTAATGCAAGGGGATCCATCTGATCAGATCCAAGATCTCTTGAGTGATTCCTGGTGAAGCACCAGTCATTGACCGTAGAGGGTGGAGGCACTCGAGCAAGTACAGATGATACTTCTTGGGCGGAAGTAAGATCCCCAGATGTACATACTCTACACCCGGTTGCATTATCCTCTTTACCGCGACCATCACGCAGTTCGGAAGCAAAGGGGTTTCACAGACGCCGCATCAAGTTGGTTTTTCTCACCGTTTCTCAACTTCGTTGGTGTTGAAATCATTGTTGGTTTCTCGAGTCGCCCACTGAGGAGTCACAATTTGTTGCGCGAGTGAGTACATACTACCTAGAAAGTCTAGGTACTCTATTTTGGAGAGAGGGCTCTGGAGTCGTACATAGCCTGTAGGCCGCTCGGTAGGCGGTGCGTGGGGACGGCCCAGATCATGAGCTCCAAGCTTCTTCCTAGATGGCGCTACCATGCCCGCGTACTTCAACGTTACCGTGTGCCCTCAAGTGTCCACATGAACTCAACTGCCACCTGGGCCGCCATATCGAGGCCTTCCTGATTCCTTCGGCGTTTTATATAAGAGCACTCATACATGAGGATGAACCTTGGGGAAAGGTATCATCGGTAGTAATAGCATTTCTCGTCATGTGAAACGGTGTGTAAGTACATTCAGTGGTCGACCACGACAAAGACTCAAGAGACGAAAGCGACGAATGAACGGAGGAGAAAGTGGTGCGGCAAACATGCAGGCGGTTTCGATAGGGTCCCGTGACTCACGTTTACGCCCACGGGCCACAAAGTCGCGGTCGTCCTACTCCTACTACCGGTAGTAGGCACAGTCGGCGTGGATGCCGCGCCATGGATCCATACCTCGACAGCGGAGTCACGACGGCCTTAGTTACATACCTCCGGTTCATCGGAGCAATTGTGCGGGTGCGGCCGCCGATAACTATCCGAACCAAGTATCGACTGCAAGGGCGAGGCTATGTAGCCTGTTGGAACAAGATGTGTTCCTCCGTCAAGCGAGTACCTGATGCTCCCAAAAGTCAGCAGTACCATGTGTGTACAATTCGACCGTAGATTCCGAAACCAGCATCAGTTCAAGGTGTTCCAACTTCCATAGGAGGCTGCACTGCCTTCGCAAGTTCACCATGCCCCGAACTCGAGCAAAGCGTAGGTATCCGGTCTCGAACCGCTACTCTTGGTGTGGATGTACATAGGTGCGGGATGCGCGGAGGTAATGGACGAGGTGAAACCTAACTGCCAGTGTCGGAATTTCGAAAACTCCACATGACAGAATGGCCGCACGTTCTGCTGCTCGCACACGCTCCAAAGTTAGGAGAAGAAGAAGAAGAGGAGGAGCAATCGTCAGGAATAGAGGATGGGTCACGCCGGGCGTTCGTGGGGACGGAGGGGCTCCGACAACGGGGCTTGGCTCCACGGCAGCGCAGAGAAGGGTGACTCGTGGGTAAGACTTGGAGGAGACAAGATTTGGATGTGTGATATGATAGGTAGGTGCCATGATACCATCGATGTTACAGCCATGACCGGGCGGCGGGAACGATCGAACGATCGAATACCGAACACCGAACGATGAAACAAATCTCCAAGTAGATTCCACTGCGAAACGAGGACTCGCTTTTCAGTGATGGCGTGCACATGTAAAAAAGTAAATACCATACCATATGATAGGTGGTGGGGCCCGGGGTGGGGCAGATCCACCAAGCGGCTTCGCGGCTCTGCGGGGCGAGCTGCGAGCTGTGCGCTGCAGCGAGCAAGGAGTGCACAGACCACGCAGCTGCGCTTCCCCAGGACGCATACATACGAATACTCGATACCGATTGGTCACTGGCACACCCGAAGAGTCACTCCCTCCCTCCTTCGCGATCGATATCTAAACGCCTATCTACATACCGTACTCTATATCTATCAGAGTCTGGGGTGGGCCCCGATCAGAAATGGAGATGAAGAAGAAGAAGAGGAAAATAAACAAGGCCGCCGCGAGGTATCGCTCGGAGGCCAGAATGATCACTTAGGGACGGGGTTTCCGCAGCTATGTGCGCACGAGCGGACGAGAGGCCGGCGGGGAAGTACTATACTAAATAGTGTGCTTCGAATCAAGAGAAGCTCGTGGTGGCTGCTACAGTTCAAGAGTAGAGTAGAGAAGCTGGCAACGGGTGAAGAGAAAGAAAATAAAAACCTATGTAGAGAGTGCTGGCCAGGCTCGCCATCGGCAGGTGATAAATCGGTAGTACTGTGGACTTTCTCGAGAAAGAGGGCGGGCGGGCGGGCGGAAACTGTGATACAGTTTGCGAAAAGAGAAAAGAGAGGGAAAAATTGTTGCAAGACCAAGTATTGTCTGTTGGCGAGATGGCCAGCGACAGCAATAACTATCGCAAAGCTGCGGCTCCTGTTCGCGGCCTTGGTGGGTTGGTCGACATATATCGCTCACCGTTGAGCTGAGCCGAGTCGAGGCGCGGGACCACTCGTTTTCGAGCTCGTGAAGGGGGATTCCATCATCCGTAGCTAACAGTTAGGTACATGGCAGCTGCTCTGCCAACGTCTCGAGATCAATATACTTCATACCGATATAGTTGTTAGTTACTCCACACGGTCGAGCTCGCGAAGGCAATGATGTACCTAACTACCACAGGTGCCTATTCCACCCTTGAGGAAGCTGGTTATGATGACGGACATGAGACTTCATTTACTCATGTATGTACTCCGCCTCCGTGATATCCGGGAGCGATGGACGAGGACGAGGGGTGTGGGGGAGCGCCATCGCCTCCGTTGCGGCGACATCTTTCCTTTCCGTTGATCACGGCCGCAGTCGAGGTACTCTAGGTACCCACATGGTCTCGTATCCCTCGAGCTTCCCGTGTTGGGCGGCGGCGGCGGCCATACCGAGGATGTCTCCGGTCGGGCGGTCTGCTGCCGCTGCTGTGCGTCCGCGATACCTGATTTTGTGGTTTTGATTATATGCACGCACGTTCCTGATCTTTGGTTCCGGTGAGTGGAGGCGAGGCGAGCGACAAGGGCTTGTTGCGTGCGGGCGGAGGAGGAGGACGGGGATGAGACGAGGACGAGGGGGAGGGCGTGGACGTGGACGTGGGTGATGGTTGAAACGGCAACGGCAAATGTCGACCTAATGGACTACATCCCACAGCCAACATCTGCAGATGACGCTCACAGCACGCAAGGCGAGAGAAGGAGGAAGCTGCTTTCCGTTCCTCCCGTTGAAGCCGTTCCACGCGCACCAACAGCAGTCCGGCCCACGTCCGTCGTCTATCGCCCGCTCCCACGCCCTCCCCCATGCCCACGCCCCACATATCCAATTAAAGCACAATCATAGCAACAATCATCAACGGCGATCCCCCTTCTTTGCTTTCTCTCCTGCTTTCTTGCTGCCTGCCTGTGCCCAACCATCCAACCCCCTCCGAGCACAGTCGAGCTCCCGCGTTGGTGGTGCGACCCAGCGGCAAGGAAAAAACTCTCAAACTTTCCTTATCGCTCTGGTGGAGTTACCTGTTTCGCTACTCTTCTCAGCGACATTCTTATCGCGGCTACACCGCGCACACAGCTGCAAAAAAGATATCAGAGGAAATCCAACACCGCGGGAGAGAGAGAAAGCAAAGAAAAGAAAAAAGAAATTTGCATCGCCACAGCCTGCCCTGGCCATGGACCAGGCACAGGTACCTACATGGCGTACGTCCTGCCGGTGTGCCTGTAATGGAGTCGAGTCGAGGAAGAAATAAATATCTACAGGAGGGAGGCAGGATATAATCCACTGCTTTTCTTCATCCAGGTCCCCCAATTCATAGCTCTTACATTCCAATATCTCTCTGCTTGCCTGTCTCCTCTTGATATCTCTTCTTGCACCCTTTGCTGTCGTCGCCGTCGTCATCGTCGTGCTTCTCGACAATGTTATCGGCACTTCTGCACCCGCGGATACGCCGCCAACGTTCAAATTCCGCCTTCTCGTCGTCTGGCTTCAACTCTCCAAACGTGAACCGAAACGACTATCAGTCCTTCGGAGAGGAAGAGGAAGAACATTCGGCCGAATATGAAGACAGCGAGCCCGAGCATTCGACAACTCTCTTACCCATCTTCGCTGCCGATCTTGGTATGCATATCAACGGCTACATGATGTACCCCAAACAATCCCTGCAGGAACTGATTGGCTCCGCTTCGCAGAGTCAATACCAGTCTACAACCTCGTGCACACCATAAGGGACGACGTCCAGAGGACGCTGGATACCTCGCTCACATGGGACCAATTGCGGTCGCCGCAGGTTTCGAGCTTCATCGTCAAGCCGGTCTTGGGCCGCCTGCTGCAGATAGAAGGAAGGCTCTCGAAGGGAATCATCTACAGTCTGATGGCCAACTGCCTGCAGTTCAGGAAAGAGGCCGAAGAGAACCCTAGGAATGCCGCGACTTCGAAGACCAGAGCTCTGCTGTGTGAGCTGCTGGCCATCAAGTTCTTGAAGGAGTTCTCGGCGAGAGAATTGGTACATTCGACCAACCGATCTCTGCAAAACGAGGTGCTTCTGGCTAACACGATAACCCTCATAGATCGACGCACTGAGCTATGATTTCTATCCGTTGCAAGGAATGGAACAGACTCTGTCCGCAGATCAAAAATCCGGGGCGGCGGCACAAAAGCGATCACAAACCGCAACTGCAAGTCGTATCTCGGCCTTGGAAATCGCAATACGCGCTCAGGTAAGCCCCAGAACAAGCCCTTCAACGCGAGAGGGATCGCACTGACATCGGACACAGGCAAAGAAATTCATCGCCAATCCGGTGGTCATCCAGCACCTTGAATCCATCTGGGCTGGGAACATCGTATTCCATTCGGCGTACGACCAGCTGCACCGTGATGGAAGGCCCATGGAGCGGAGAACCGCCACGATTTATGATGGCAAACATGCCAGCCTCTTCAAGCTTTCCAGACTGAGGATCCCCCGATATCGACACATCTTCTCGACTTTTTCTCTGGCCATCTTGTTGATTCTGTGAGTAGTATTTTTTGGAGTTGATGAGATATCTGTATCTGACTTTATGCAGCCACCTCAAGGTCCTGATTGAACGATCTTATACCATCACTCCACTAGAAGTGTTGTTTTGGTTATGGTCGTTCGGGTTCATGATAGTATGCTAGCCAAGATCCCCCCATCAGCCGTGAAGGATACTTACAAGTTTTCCAGGATGAAATTGCAGACTTCAACGAGTCCGGGGTCACACTATATTTCCTGTCCATGTGGAATGCCTTCGACTTCATCATCTTCTTGCTGTTCATGACGTAAGAGGCCTCCCACAGACAAATATCGAGGGTTTTGGGGTTTTGACGCTGACATGACTACAGTTTCTACGCACTGAGGATCGTCGGGCTTTTCATGCCGGACGAACGGGACTATATCACCGACTGGAGCTTTGATATTCTTGCTTCGTGCTCGATCTTCTTGTTCCCACGAATCTTTTCTATTCTGGACCATTACCGCTACTTCAGCCAACTGATCATTGCGTTCCGGTTTGTGCTCTCAAATAGGCTAGCTAAACATACGGAAGCTAACAAATCTCCAGTATTATGGCGGCCGATATGATTGCTCTATTGGTATTGATAGTCATCAGCTGCTCAGGTTTCTTCGTGGCCTTCACGTTCAGCTTTGCCAGGGAATATTCGTCGGCACAGGATGTGTCGTACGCTCTATTCCAGATGGTGATGGGATTCACACCTGCTGTATGTGTATACCAGTGCATATTCTCTGGACCATCACTGATATTTTGTGCTCTAGGCATGGGAAACTTGGGACAACTACAATGTAAGATTCCCCATCATTAGACAGCCACTCGGACATTACTGACATGGACCGCAGGCGTTGGGCAAATTCCTTCTGGTGGCGTTTCTGATCATCTGTCATTTTTTGATCGTCACCATCCTCATCACTGTTCTCACCAACAGTTTTGCGCAAGTGGCTGCCAACAGCGTCGAAGGTAGCCTGTCCAGCTCTCCCTGCCACGTGCAATGCTGACTCTGGATTAGAACACCAGTTCCTTGTGGCCGTGAATACCATCACGCTGGTCAAAAACGAGGCCATATTCACCTACCTTGCACCCACAAACATCATTGCCTGGCTTCTTCACCCACTCCGCTATGCCATGCCATTCCGCCGCTTCGTTCGGATGAACAGGACCGTAGTCAAAGCAACACACCTACCTCTATTGGCCGCCATCTACTTCTATGAGCGCACAATGCTGCGGAATTCCACCTTTGTACCTTCGGACGCAATCTCAGGGAGGAACACGGGCTCCAAGCACACCATGACCGCCTTCAAACCGCGCGATGAAACTACCAGTCTTCTGAACCCTGCGGTGAAGCGGTTGCGCCGTAAGCAGTCGGTAGCCTCCAGTACCCAGCAGGAGCGTATTCTCGAGCAGGTGTTTGCGCGGCCATTCCGAGGGACTACGCTGCAAGGCGAACAAAGCGACGTTGACGGACAGGGCGACAATGTGGATTCCTGGATGAACACGGTTCTTGCAGCTTCCCCGCCAACAGAAGCCGAGGGCTTCAGTCGAGCGAACATGTTGAAAAGGGGACTCCGACGAGGAAGGGGAGGTCCCCAACGATTCAACAGCATCCGTGACTATGGCGCCATGGTCCAGCGCACCCATCTTCCTCCTCGGGATTTCTCCATGTCTCGGCCAAAGTCAGATCCCGATATTTCCAAGGGAACCTACAAGGAAACGCTCGACGTCCGCACCGAAGACGATGACGCCGATAATGAAGCCAACTCCGTGGACGGCGACGCCGACGGCAACGAAACAAACGAGGAATCTACGCACGATCGCGACCAAGATCACGACGAGAAGTTCGACCTCTACTCCTCCGAACTTTACAGTATCGACATGCCCTCCAGTCCCCAAGTTTTGGCCCCAGGGCCAGCGGAACACATCGCCTTCCTCGCGCCGCCCCGCAAGCTCCGGCCGAATCGCCATCACGAGCGCACGGGATCCAACAACACTATCCTCTTCAGCCCGACCCCGCTCCTCCGCCGCCGCGACAGCGCCTCCTCCTCGTCCCCCTCAGACACGGAATCATCCTCGGCAGTGGCACAAAAGCGGAAGGCCAGCCCATCGGGCCGGAAATCGCCACCGAAGCTTGCGGTATCGCGCCCGCGCCCGATCCCGAGTTCTTCTAGACGCGATATCCACTCTACGCCTACGCTCACGAACATCGACGCCGATGAGTCGCTGCGCATGGTCCCGTCTAGCTTTGCAACGCAGATGGCGATGGCTACAGGCGCAGACGCAATGCTGAGCAAGCTCGTCCTCGCGAAGATGGCCGCGCTCGAGGAGACCATGAAGGATCTGCTCAAAGAGGGGAGGAAGGCGAGGAAAGCGGGCAGGAGGGACGATTAGATTTTTTTTTCTTTCTTTTTTTTGCTATTGTAATATGTATCTTGGAGTTAGGGGGAGGGGGGGGGGTGTTTACGGGGTTTGATTTCTCCTTCTTCATGCTCACTGTACATATGACTGTATGACTGTATCTATGGAATCTTTGTGGCGTTATCTTGGGTGGGCCGGTGGCCGGTGGTGATAGATGGGATGGGATGGAGTTGTCGAGTTTGTTTTTTCCTTTTCCTTTTCCTTTTGCTTCTCCGTTCCGTTATGTTCCTTTGTTTTTCGGCTGTTTCTTCCGATGATGGTGATGATGATGATTTGTTTTCCTTTGCAATAATTTGTACTCTCGATACATTCTCGCGTGTAAATAGAAGCCGTCCAATCAGTGTCTACTAGAAAGTGTAGAACATCCGTATCATACTTCCTCAAGTCCAGACTCCAGTCCAGCTCGAAATCCCCCAGACGTCCCCAGCTGCCGGTCTCCTCCGAGACGTCGAGCTGTGCAGGATGTCTGACCACCACCTCACCACCTCACCACCGTCGGAAAAAGGGAAAAGCAATATCCGTCGTCCGTCGATATCCCTCCTCCTGCTCCTCCTGCTCCTCCCTACAACTTCCGCGTCCGGACGCCTGGACTGAACTCTACGTCTGAGGAGGCCTCGCAGCTGCCGCGAGAGAACAATCCACTCTGCATAGACACTCTGCATAGATACTTTACTCGGTATACTATCGTATCGCCAGCGCAGCGCGTGCATGCAGATAAAGAGCCAAGAGTGAAGCGGACGGACGTCTCTGACGAAATGAACGACCGACCCAGACCTTTCTTCGCCGCCTTGCATGAATGAACAATCCTCCTCCCTTTTTATGTACATAGACAGTAGACGCTTAGTTCGTTGGTTATTCATATCCCTTATCTATGCTGAACTTATCCTTCCAGAGTCGAGTCAAGAAAGAAAGACCCGCCGCCCTCCCCGCATGGTTATTACATATCCCAGCCCTGCATATGCACCCCGCACGCACTGCGCACCCCGCGCACCCATACACACATCCATACAAACATCCATACCAACAGCAACGCCAGCACTCCGCTTCCCCGCTTCACTGACGGGTGGCTTCTGGCTTCCGTGATAGGCGTGGAGATTGCGGGGATGGGATACGTTTGGAGGTGGGCGGTATGGAGGTGGAGGTGGGCGGTATGGAGGTGGGCGGAAGCGGGTTGGTGGTTGCAATGGGTGGGTGCGTTGGAACAGAGGGATGGAGAGAGGGAGGGAGGGAGGGAGGAGGATAACTATGGGAAGGGGGGGGAGGACGGATGCGCGATGACGGGGTGAGCTAATTGTTAGAGTATCTGGCTCGTTTGTACTATGTAAGATGTAGGTAGGGAGTCTGGGAGTCTGGGAGTCTGGGACGTCGAGCTGGGGATCAGGAGCAGGAGCAGGAGCAGGAGCAGGTTCGTCTTTCACATGTTGAAGGTATGTAGGTAGGTGGTCCACTGCTATCGACGCGGATTTGGATGGTGTCGTCCACCACCACCACCACCACCACCACCACCACCACCACCAGCGTCACTGCGGCCTTCAAAAAGAATAAAGACGAGGAGGAGGAGGAGGAAAGAGGCTGGCTGATGGCTGCTGGCCGAAAGCAACATTCCTTCCACGACCAGATCGGTTCTCCGTCCCCAGACTCTGGGGACGGTAGAGTAGGTGTGGTTCAGAGAAGTAAGTATCTAGTACACGCACTGTGCCCAACTCCAGAGCCACAGATCCGTTAGGTCACAGAAGTCTGAAGTCTGAAGTCTGAAGTCTGCCGGAGAGAGAGAGCAAGAGAGGCATACCTCCCCTACTATACATCCAAATCAAAAGCAGCACCGGCGACAAGCCTTGCCTGCCCTTCTGGCGCGACATCTCCCTGTCCCTCTCCCTCCCCCATCTCCCGCTCGTGTACCCAATGCCCCTCCCAATTCCACTTGATCGCCTCATCGCCAACCGTGTACCACCCCTCGGTCAGCGCGCGCCCAAAGATCTCCGCCGCCCTGTACCCCACAGGTAACACCTCCCCAAGCAGCGCCTTCACGCACGGCTTGCGACTATGAAAATCCGGCACGCCGACGAGGACCCTATCCCTCACTATCCCCTCCCCCGCGCCTACACCCCCACCCCCCCTCCGCGCAATAACAAGAACTTCATACGGCCTCCTCTCCCCCTCCCCCGCCGCGTCCTCCAGGTTTACAACCGGCCTCCCCTCGCCGGTGACCTTAACCCACACCCACTCCGCCAGCTGCGTGCATCCCCAGCCATCCAGCAGCTCGTTTAACCACCTCCTCACGGCAGTCGCATTCGTGATCCACACCGCGAGCAGCGCGCCATCGACGAGTGCGTCCTGCAGCCTTAGCCCGCGCAGCAGCTTCACGATGCCAAACCGGTCCGCTGTGCTGTAGCGTCCCGAGCGCTGCGCGGACTTATTCGGCCACGGGGGGTCGAGGAGGATCAGCTCGCGAGGACCGAGCGCGGCGGGGAGGTCGATGGATGAGAGCGGGCCGAGGAGGAAGGACGAATGGGGAGGGATGTGGAAGCGCTTTGGAGGGGAGGGGTGCGAGAGGGTTAGGGTGGTCCAGGAGGAGTGAGGGTTCGTGATAGGGACGAGGTAGAGGTCCGATACATCGGACAGGATCGTCTCCCCGGCGGAGAGGAGGAGGGGTGAGCCGGGGGCGACGGGGGCGACCGGGGTGAGGTAGCAGAGGTTACCGTGGAAGTCGAGTTCGTGTTGAGGAGGCGGCGCGGTGTGCCGTGGGGCGTGGAAGGTGCTCGAGGGGGGGAGCGCGGCGAGCGCGGCGCGGAGCCGTGGCAGCAGGCGCTGGTGCGTTTCGTCGGGTTTTTGGGGACGTTTGGAGGTGGGTTGCGGGAAGGGATGCGCAGGTGGTGATGAAGACCGTAGGATGTGCCCCAGTGGTGAGCTGTGCGATCGGGGGATGTCGATTATCGTGACCGTCGGCGGGGAGCTGCTGGACATTGCGGAGTGGGGGGCTTCGGCACGTGGGGGATGGCGGGGCAGGGGTGTGCTCCAGCTCTGTTAACTCAATTCTAGATACCCAAAGGACAGGGCCCCAGCTTAATCACAGGGTATCACTATAGTACACCCAACAAGTCTATCCCAACTCCGAACAAAAATACAAAACAAAACAAAGCATTGCAAATGCCAACATCATCCCTCTCCTTGTGGTAGCTCTCTATTTCTTGGGTATCTGCTGGCCCCTCTAGTTCTTACAGCCCAAGCCAAGATCATGCATGATGATTCTGTGTATGGCATGCATATCGGGGACTATGCGGCGGCGCGGAGCAGGAATGGCAGGACTGAGACATCAGTAACATGATCACTCGGATAGGCACCAAAGGTAAGACATTATCATACCGTTCGAAATCCTGGATGTCCAGCTCGGCGAGAGCCTCGCGGAGATCGTCTTCGTCTTCGGTGGCCGTAGCGGCGTCCTGGGGAGGGAACTGGGCTCCGTCGTCGTCGTCGTCGTCGTTGTTGTTGTTGTTGGCCGTAGGCGAGTCGGCGGAGCTGGATGGAGAAGTATGTACATATCAGCAGCAAGGGAATAGCAAGATGGAGGGAGAGAGAAACAGAGATGCCGACCTCTTCCTGTACTTGTCAATTTCGTCGATCTCGGGCTTGTCGATAGCAGTAGCCGTAGTACCAGCGATCCCTCCACAACCCCTCTCACCATCCTCACTCGCCGTAGCAGTATCCACGGCCTTCGCACCTTCGCACCTTCACAAACCCACAATCAGCCATCACCATCACCGCCTGCCACAAAAGCCGGATGCACGCACTTCTCTCTCGGGGCCCTCTGCACATCAGCTTCCGCCAAGGCCACCTGTTTGCGCTCATACTCTCTGTGCTCACGCAGCCTGCGCTCGAGCTGCTCGCGCAACGCCTGCGCGCGACGCAACTTGTCCTGGAAATTGTCCTGGTAGATCGGCTCATGTTCGGACTGCCTGGAGGAGATGTGTAAGCAATAACAACAACGACGACAACGTCTCGGGCTGCGGGCTGTGGGCTGTGGGCTGTGGGCTGCGGGCTGCGGGGCTGTGGGGCTGTGGGGCTGTGGGGCTGTGGGCTAAGGGCGCACTTCTCGTCGGCGGACTTGTCGAGCTCCTGGGGGGCTTCGTTGGCAGCGTCCACACGAGGCGGCGGTGCATCTTCGCACGTCGTGTCTTCGTTTGCTTCCGTGGGCGGCATCGTGGTGGGTAGTCAGCATGAGCTGTCGGAACGTGGAAGTATATACCAGGTATGTATGAGGTATGAGGTATGTAGCGGCTTGCGTGAGAAGTGGGTCTACGTTCTGGAAGGCGGCGGACACGGGAAAATACCTAGCTAAGACGAAGTTGCGGACCGCACACGACTCGGCGGTCCCAGGACGGCAGGAAGTGCGGTTCTACCACCGTCCGCCGTTTTCCAACACCGCGCATTTTTGCGAATGTGTAGGACCCGAGGTGTTCCTCTCTTGTTTGATCGTTTGGGTAAGTGGGTCGATCTCAATGCACCAAGTTCTGGTATTGGAGTTGGGCATTGCCAGCAGAAATGGCGGCGGCGGCGGAGCGGAGGGTCCGAATTCATGTGATATGCGCAACTGTACTATACTCATCGGCCACACGTGGAAAGCTCCTGCTGCGGCTGTGCCATGCACTGCGGCTGTGCCCGTATAGTTATGCCCGGCTACGCTACACCACAGTGAGGTGACGAGGCAGAACGGGCGAAGCTCAAGCGTATGACAAGGCCCGCGAGCCTTCTCGCTGCTCATTCATTGTGATACATACCTTGAATTAAACCCAATGCTGTACTTCCAACCCATACGTTCGGAATCACTCAACAACTTGTGCCTCTTCCAAAGCTGGCCGCGCCATTGATTGAATTCTGAGGAGTTCTGCGCCTCTCGGTCTCGGATCGAGTGATGCCACATATAACTAGGAGCGTAAACATCGCCTCGCCGAAACAGCCGGCCCGAGTATGCAGAACAGACTTTCCACGGCTGTGTGTAGCTCTCAGTCAGAGAACTTTCTCGTCGGCCCTCCTCCTTCTCCGTGCGATGTGGTGGCTTAAGTGAGATGCACACCACTGTGTCTCAAGTTGATGTGGCTGCTGTGACGGAACTGGCATTGCACAATGCACCGCTTCAGGCTAATGCGATCTTCTTTCATTGCTCCTCTGGCTGGCTGGCCCGCGTACCGTTCATCGGCGCAGAAGTAGTCAGTATGATATTACATACTTCGTGGAAAACATGACCGCTCCTGTTCAGTCTTATACGATGCAGGACGAGTGCAGGATTACTATCACCGTCAATCACCCGCCGATCACCCCGAAAATCCCCCCCGCCAGCCCGGAATCAACGGAAGTTCTACTTCTTGTTTATACATTATTATGCACACTTATACACATTAACCCTACCCTCACCACCTCGGCCGCTGCATTTCCGTCACGTTTCTTTGCGGCAACATAGCTCCGACAGGCCTCTGCATCGCCTCCAGCTCCAACGGGTTTACATCCAGCTCATGATGCCAGGTTTTCGTTTCTAGCTCATGTCGATTCTGCACTGGGGTTCCCGCGCACTCCGAAATCGCCACGGGCGGCCAGCCCTGGGGGCTCATCAAGCCGACTGACGGATCGCCGCCCACGCTGCCGCCCGCGACCTTTTCGCCGCCGTCCTCCTCCTGCCGCCGCCGCCGGCTCCGTCGCATCAAGCAGAATACCCCGACCACGATTGCGATGAAGCCGAGCACGCCGCCGACCCCGGCGCCGGCCGCGGCCCCCGTGCTGATCCCCGGCGAGGCGGCCGCGCTCGCCGAGGCAGCTGCGGATGTGGCGGATGTCAATGTTGGCGCCTCGGAGGACGCCGGGCGCTCTGTCGATGTTGGGCCGGAGGAGCGGGTGATGGTGGAGCGCGACGACGCCGTGGCGTCCGACGGCGCGACCACCGCTATCGCGGTCACTTCGATGGTCGCCGTGAACCTGGTGGAGCTCATTGTCGAGTCGAGTGTCGACGGCGAGGCGCTCAAGGGGTTCGCGAATAGCGCGGTCTTCAGGAGGCACAGGCTCACTTTGTTGAACTCGAATTCGCAGTCCTCGTACACTTCGTCGCAGCACCACTTGATGGTGCCGCTGTTGCACTCTTTCTTTCCTGTCTGGCACGCTTGGCCCCAGCCCCAGCAGGAGGCGTCTGGAGGCTGTTAGCACTCGCTCACTCGCTGCCTGTGTCGAGGATGGTATGATGAAGGGGCGACATACCGCCTGGAGGACAACACCACACCATGGGATCGGCGGCGTTGGGTGCGTATGCACAACCACCGTACGTATCGTCCTTACCGCCTACAAAACGAACAACGCACACGCCGTCAGTGCCGATCGCTTTCGCATTTTGATTTTCCACCAGCAGGAGTGAGAAGTGGGGAGGGGGGAGGAGGGGAACCAACAATCATTCCGCGTCAGATTCAATCCTTCGTACTCCATCTTGCACGTGTACTCGGAGCCCGGTTGGGACCAGTACTCGATATTCTGTTTCTCTGCTACGGTGATCCATGACCACCACAGTATCGCGGCCGCTGTCGTGGTGTAGAATTTGAGGAATGCTGGCATCGTTGGGCTGAACGCAGAACGCAAAACGGCAGAACCTTGGGTTCGATTGTTGATGACGGGGGTGAATAGCGCTTTATAGCGACGGTACTTTCCTTCCTTCCTTCTTTCTGTCTCTGGTGCCTGGAGAAGGGGGGGAGGATTCTGTGTGGGATCGATAGATACAGTAGGGAGAACTAGGTAAGTAGGTAGGCAAGACATATGTAGGTGAGTGGTTAGTAGGTTATTAATATGCAGTTCATTTGCCGCCGTCCCAGACTCGCAGCACGAAGGGACGAAAGCACGAAAGCACAAAAAGCCTTCTTTCTTTCTTTCTTTCTTTTGTGCACTCCAAGGGATCCCTATGTCTCACCGATGCGATGCGCATGTGTAGTGCGATCGTGGCTGGAGACTGGGACTGGAGATGGGTAGAGTATTCCGGGTATGTATGATATGTACCACCACTGAGAATTTGATGTTGATTCCGAGCGCACAGCCTGTCACTGCCACTCCCCCCCCCTTAACCCACTGCTTGAAGTCTCATTTTGACTTGGATTCCTTCGCGTATGATATTACCTAGCTTACCGCGCAGCATCTCCTGCTTCATGTCGCGAAAATGTTCTCGCTGTGTCGGTAATTACTCTAGCCCACAGCCGGGGGGGAGTTCCCGCCATGAGTGGGAGTGTGATGTGAGTGTGTTGGACCTTGGTACAACTAGTAACATAGTATCTACATACTACCTACCTACATAGATGATAGTACAGACATACTTACAGGCCTCTTGGATTGCTATAAAAAGACTCAGGGCTTGAGCGTTTCTGCAGCCGCCGCTGTGTCACAGTGTCACTCTGTGGCTGCTCTGCGGCATGGCATGGTCGGTTGGGTGCAAAGTGCAAAGTGCAAAGTTCAAACAGTGCAGTGCAATGCAGTGCTTCCCCCACGATGAAGTTGTCCGGCTCTTCGCCACGAGGACAAACAAACTACATATCCCGTTGAATACACACTTACCCGCAGACTGGTCAATTTTCCTACGTGCGGGGCGGGGGCGGTCACGGTGGCTGGCTGACCGCTGGCTCCCCTCCTTATCGTGGACGGTGGGACCAAGACTTGAGGATGCAACTACAGAACCCCTCCAGAGTCTAGACAGCCACGTCGATCGGCTGGCGAACATCACTCCGCATGCAGTCAAGCGTTTCAGCATTTTTCTGCTCGCGTAAACTGCTAGAGCGAGTAGCAGGTCCTTGGTACATGCTAGGTACATACCCTACAGAATCATAATAACCACCACTGGGATCGCAGGTAAGCGTATCTAGAATTCTAGGTAGGTACTTGGTTAACCGTGAAGAGGAAATGCCATGTTTAGTATGTACATTCTGAGTATAGTACTTGGGGTCTTGGATCATAGTAGTAGTGCCTTGCAAATTACAAGCAGCCGAAGTGGGCCAGGCCTGGGGGATGTGTAAGGGATATCTCATATTTAGAGTAACTTCAGACATGTTATCGGGAAGCAGAGAATAATAGTAGCAGTAGCAGTAGTATCACGTCTACTCCAGCACGGCGTACAGTACTATACAATAGTAGATACTTATAGTAAGTAGTACGGTACTAGGAAGTATCTAGGGTGGTACAATGGTAAGTAAGGTACTCGGCTCCCGATCGGCCGAACGCATAGCAAACCGCCCGCAACTGGTGTCCAATCTTTCTCATCGCATGACGAACGAATGCCCGCTCGGCCACCAAATACGGTACAGTCATCCCGAAGTATGTACATATCTACCCGGAAGCACATGCCTATGTACCGTACGATGTCGTCCTTCCAATTCCCACGGCATCTCCACAGTAATCCTGCCGTGCGCGGCGTGCATACATATCCACCTACATATGCTAGTATGCAGTACTAGGAGTACTAATGCCGAAGGTGCTCGCAGGATATATATGTAGAGTATTACCGTAGGCAGTAGATATCTCGTGGAAAACACGGCACAAGCCGAAGTGCCTTCCCTCCCGACTCCGGCAGTGGATGGGATCGATCAGGCCTCCCACCATATGTATGATTCCACCCCTAATTCCCAGCGAAAGACATTTTCACCCCCCCGTCCCTGTCGGCTTGGTTGAAGTGGGTGAGTGGGTGAGTGGTTGCCTGAACTACTAGTAGGTACTGCGTCTGGAGGCATTTGCTTTTTTCGCCTATGAGTGGAGGAATGGAATTGTCCTTTGTACATAGATACAGTACTTACCAAGCGCCTTATGTTAGGGGTCTGCTTCAGCCATCAGCGCGTGCCTGCAGCTATAGTAGAGTACTGGTACACCTAGTACACCTGCATACACGCAGACCTTACTCTAATCTAGCCCCCGCCCCATCAGGTTCCCACTCGCTGGGGGTGGAAGGGATCGAGTTGATCGAGTTGTGGTTACCACTGCCGCCACTGCCACCAGTGCACCCCCACCGGGCGGTCGAAGAAGGAGGGCGGCCGGCCACGATGGACGCCAATATGTATTGTACATAAAGTGCATTGCCGCCGCCTTCTGCCTGCGTGGCCCTCTGCTCGACACAAGCAAATAACCAACCAAGCAACCAACTAGTAACCACTCTTTACCGAATCATGTACGCCAAAACAACCTTTTGGACTGCGGCCGCGGCGGCGCTCTTCCAGCTCGCCATCGTGAACGCTGAGAAGCAGACGATCGAGTACACCTTCACGCCCGGCGGCGAGTTCGACTGCAATGCGGGAGCTCTGAACAGAACCTGTACGTGTACACCGTGTTGCTCGAGGCCTGTTCTCTGACTGACTGACTGACGTGGTATAGGCGGTCCAGGAGATCCGTACGGAGGCTGTGTCTACGCCCCTGAGGCAGAGACCCCGAGCTTGTGGTGCTGTCCTGCTGGCGGTATGTCTTCCTCCCACCATCATCCGCACATTTTTTCTCTTCCGACAGCCGCTAATACTGACTGACTATTCTAGACCTCTCCTGCTGGGGCTGGTCCACCGACTGCAAGTCCGGATCGAAACAATGCAAATCCGACGGGAACAGTAAGCCCTCCCGTCCTTTCCCTCCCATCCCTTCCCATCCCTTCCCCTCCTTCTCCTCCGGCACTAACCCCCCTCCCCCTTCAGCCTGGTGCTGCGACGCGCAATACGAAGAATGCGAATACACGGGGGGCAAGGTAAACCTGTGCCTTCTCCGTCAGGACGTATTCCCGAACCCGCAGGCGGAGCTGCCCGCCAAAAAGGAGTTCGGCGACAAGCTCGACGCAGTGTCCACCAAGATCGTAGTCGACGTCGCCGCGCAGACGTCGAAGCCTTCGGCGAGCTCGGCGTCGAAGGGGAGTTCGGCGACGGCGACGGCTACGAGGTCCGGCGCTGTTGCGAGTGCGAGTGCGAGTGTGAGTGTGTCTAAGGGGGACGATGAGACGTTTACGAGGACGCGTTCCACGTCGTCGGCTCCGGGCAGCGCTGAGGCGACGACGGAGGATGCGAGCTCCACGGCGGCTGAGGCGACGAATTCTGCGGCCGGCGAGGTGACTGGATCGGCGGTGCCGGAGGTCTCGACTGGTGCCGGCGGCAGGAACGGTGCGCAGATGGCGATGCCCGTGGGTGGTGTGCTGGTCGGGTTTGTTGTTGCTATGCTGGGTTGATCGGAGCAAGTACGGCCGAATGGCAGGACTGGACGGGACTGGACGAGTATGTAATTTGTAATTGAGAGATGTGTACTTAGATAGCGGTTGCTCTGTATTCTACATTCTGATACTTACTATACTATATACCTATACGTCCGCGCAATGGCATACCTAGGATGCAGTTACCGGTACTGCTCGCGCATGTTCCGAGTTGTAACACGCATAATGATGCCGATGGCGCAGTTGGGCCGATCCCCATCCCATCCCATCCATCTATCTACAAAACATCCAGGCCGACCGTCCCAGTGCCCACAACTCTTTTCCCGATCCGGTCTTCGCTATCACATGCGGTAGTAGTGGACATCAGTAATCCCATACATAATGTATCACTCGTCCCCACCACCACCATCACCACCATCACGAAACAAAAACAAAAACTAGGTAAGTGACATCTACTATAGACCGAGCTCCATCGAAATAGAACAGATGTTTGCGGCGCTCGAGCATCGAGGGGGAGTTGAGATAGCTGCAGCTGCAGGATCGGAGTGGGGTGTCTTCACTTCACTTCAACGGACAAACCCAGGCGAACTGATTGATGTTGGAGCTGGTGGCCGGGTCGGGTTGAGATTATGTGCTACATCACTCACTATAGTACTCAACAACCAACCGAGCACGGCGATTTGGCACTATGTATGTGCGGCTTGCATCTTTGCCCCCCCTCCCCCCCCCCCCCCCCCCCCCCCTCAGGGTGATGGAGCCGGCCTGGGGATATAATTGGTGGTGGTGGGAGGAGAAGTGAGCTTACAGTGGCAAACGACTCACCACGGCCTGGTTGGGTCTGACAGATGGAGGTATGTAGCCACCGTGAGCGCACTGTATGTAGTGTGTGTAGTGTGTATGTGCGGAGGTTCGAACTCCTACATACATACAAGCCGAGATAATAGTTGAGGAACGCAGAATTGCCAAAGATGGAAGCAGAAACTCCAAGAGACTCTGGGGAGGGGGTAACCCTGTGGACCTGAGATGGAATTCACGTACGTACGTACCGAGGAGGAGGGTGCATGTAGCTATATATGTGGCTATGCTGTCGCATGGAACAACAATTCCGGACTGCGGAGAATGGAAGGGACACAACACAAACACAAAGTACATTTGGGATACATAAAACCAGGCAGGAGGAGGCCTATGCACTCTACGATGCAGAATGTGCTGCTCATTGGATTGTAAGGGCACTACACTACGTATTTGTTGGTAGTGTTGGCAGTGAACGCCGGAAACAGCATCGAGTGTTTAACGGATGCGCACTGTGGCTGCAATCAAGACTCAAGAGGATGGCAAACCCAAACTCTGGCCACAAGTCGGCGGCCCCCCTCCCCCCCCCGGGCAGATCTTCGCCCTTCCGGCAGGCAGGCAGGCAGGCAGGCAGGCAGGCAGGCAGGCAGGCAGGCAGGCAGGCAGGCAGGCAGGCAGGCAGGCAGGCAGGCAGGCAGGCAGGCAGGCAGGCAGGCAGGCAGGCAGGCAGGCTACTATATATAGACGTATTCTAGCAAAAATTGACTAGTCTAGTTGGTTGAGTTGAAATCCGGTGGTGCCCTCAGGCCCTGCCCTGCCCTGCCCTGCCCATGAAGGAAGGAAGGAAGGAAGGAAGGAAGGAATTGAAGGCAATGAGAAGGCAATGAAGGCAATGAGACTTGAAGGCAGATGAATGGGCGAAACTGGCAGCGGCGGTTGAACTTGACCCCCCACCAGCCACCGGCCACCAGCATGGCGGGCGTGGAATGGAATGGCTTATGTACTGTACCATTGACAACCCACCACCCCACGACACATGCTCACCTATATACCTGTCTCATTGGGCTCATCTGATCTGTCCAGGCATCTGGATTGCAGAGAATAAGAAGACGTGGAAGGAAGTAAATGCTTGCCTAGGCATATTTACGGATAACCAACCCAACCCAAATTCCAATTTACAATGCCAAGTCAAGTTGCCGCCGCGTGCAAGTGGCGTAAAAAAAACCCGGCCTGACCCCACCCACTATAGTCGCATCAAAGTCAAGTCAAAGAAGTTTACTGCATCCATATAGGTATTGCATACTATATTTGGTGTTCGCCGTGGTCTACAATGGCTCATAGATGCGAAATAAAATTGATGACCCCCCCCCCCCCCCCCTCTACATCGAACCAGACACTTACAGCGTTCGAGCCTCAAATGAGAGCCTTGATATCTGCAATTGCAGGATCGGGATCGGGATCGGGGTGTCTTCACTTCACTTTCTTCACTTTCTTCAACTCATCAAGAATCAAGATCTCAAGATCGGCCATGGGTTCGGGGCCCGGGGCCGAATGCAAAACGATGAAGCTCCACCTGAAAAGAAAAGAAAGATGAAAGGAAAAGGAAAAGAAAGGAAAAGGAAAAGGAAAGGAAAGACGAGACGTCGGGATACTCTACCATGTAATACCGTGTCGTACTTACTCAGGTACTAGCTACCCCATGCGCGGATGCTGCCGGAGGTGGAGATGGAGCTGGAGGTGGAGGTGGAGGTACTCTATCCACCCCTGACCCAGAGCTTGAGGTCCGGGACAGCCCATCATCGTGGCGGTTTTCTCCGCAGCTCCGCATCTCCGGTCGGGTCTCCCGAGTCCCGAGTCCCGTATGTAGTATGCATCCTCCGCCCCGTATCCTCTGCCCGGTATCCTCCACCCGATATCCCGAAGAACCGCTTCCTACATAGGGTAGCAATCGCATCTTGAAATGCTCCGTATTCAGACCATTCAGTCGTGTCGATACCTGATCACCACCACCGTGATACTTACCCCGAGTGCGAGCCTGACGGATTGACAACTACTCTGCTTACTTGTAGTGTTCAGATCACTCAACCCACCTTCATACCTTCATACCTTCATACTACATCTGTCGTAACCCCAACGAGCGCCACAACACACAACACACCACGACGAAATCACCATTCACCAGTCACCAGCACCCGTCATCCACAATTCGAAAAAAGAACGCCACACATCCATGAATTCCGCGTGCCTCCAATCCTCAAATCGTCGGCCCCCCTTCCCCGCCCCCTCCCCCAGCCGCCATATAATATAAGTAATTTTCCCCTTACACCATCCATCACACCCCTCCCCCCTCCCCCCGCGCCCCCAGTCCAGTCCAATCAAATCCTCATCCTCGCCGGAACAAAAAACACAAAAAAACAATGGAGAGAAAGAGAGAGAGAGAGAGAGAGAGAGCGAGCTTCATCATCGACATCATATGATAGTAAAGTGTGAGTACAAGGAGCAAGATGCAAAAGGAATCACAATCACATCATGTAAAGTTGTTAGTAACAGGAAAAAGAAAGAAAGAAAAAGAAGAAAAAAAGAAGCAAAAGCGTAATATAGCAAGCAGTTTGCAAACAGCGCATCCAAGAAATGCAAGTTAAACACACACAGCACAACACACAACACAACACACAAGATACACGGAAGAGACGAACAGAATACCAAATAGTGTCGTATCATGTACATACCACCGTCGCTATCCGCTCAACTCTTGACTTTCTGGCAGCCCATCAAAATAGCAATACTTTAAAACGAGATAAAGCAAACGATTTAACGCTACAGGCCACTTGTCAGTTCGCGTTCGCTGCTACGCCAGATGGTCCTGCTGGTAGCACTCACCCGTCCACCCCGTCGACCACCACCGTGTCCACCACCGCCACCCTGCTGCTGTTGCTGCTGCTGCTGTTGTACTTGCTGCTGCTGTACTTGCTGCTGTTGCTGCTGCTGTTGCTGCTGCTGAGGGAACAACGGCATACCGCCGTATCCATATCCGTTCATCAACTGTTGAGCGACGAGGGGATTGAATCCTGGCGTGATGCCCATTCCTCCGAGCATTGGGCTTCCCATTCCAGGTGGCGGCATGGGCGAGTTTCCTTGCGCTCCCCGGAACTGATCACCACCCTGCTGACCGTTGAATCCGGCTACACCCGGCATACCAAAGAACCCAGGTCCTCCACGTCCGGCCGCCATCTGCTGCTGCAAGAGCTGGTACTGGAAGGCCGGTGATCCGATGCTAGGTGCGGCAGCTCCATACATGGAGTTGAGGTTGATCTGTTCCAAGGCCCTCAGAGTTTGCTGATCCAACTGCGAAGCCTGGGGAAACTGTCCGGCCGCGGCCGAGGCGAGAACGGCAGGATCGTACATAGCCGGAGAACCACCGTAGAAACCCTGTGCCTGGACGCCATTGTCACCCATGGTGCGATGAGTGGGGGTATTGGCGTTGCTGCTGGTCTGCTGAGAGTGCTGCGAAGAGCGGCGTTCACTGGGAGTACCATTGGCGCTAACATCACGCTCCTTGCCAGGAGTGGCGTTGTTGGCGTTACGGGTCGACAATCCAACTTCATCCATCAAGCGCTTGTATCCCTGGGGCGGGGAGGCCTTCAACTTGAGCAAAACATTTCGAACGTTCTGTACCACTTCCGTGCGCATCGATTCCTCGAAGAACGGCGTGGTGAGAACCTTGAAGATGAGGGTCGCTCCGCATTGATGGTCCTTGAGAATGTCCTCCAAAACCTTGTCTCCGGGAGAGAAGAAAAGGGCCTTGAGGATGGTATCGCGAGCCTCCGGTTCGTTCTTCTGGTTGATCACCTTCAGGACGGTCAGGTAGGCTACCTTGTGCGTGCAAAGATGGACCAAGTGAGGGACCAGACGAGGCGCAAGCACGGTTCGACGCTTCGGGAAGTTGCAGGTGTCCAGGAACCAGGTCAACAGCAAAGCACCGTTGGCGTTGGTCGCCAACTGGACACTGTGCAGGGCGATGGCGGCCGCGAGCATGCGTTGCTGAGTCTTATTGGCATGGTGACTCTCCAGACAAGCGCGCATGGCCCTGGATCCGAATCGGCCCTGAGAGATCTCCCATATGCGACTCAACATGGTCTCAAAGATATAATCGTTGTACGGAGTACCAAAACGGAGACAGCACTGAAGAACATAGTTTCCATACTGGTCGAGGAATAGGGCGACCGTGTAGGGCCTGAGGCAGTCGGTAATTTTATTCATCTGTGCAGGCGTCTTCGCGACATCGATGATCTTCTGACCAGCCCAAGTACCATTCTTGTCTGCAGGGAAAGTTAGCATCAGACACTCTAGGAACAATATACAGAGAAGCACTTACGAACACCTATTTCAGCTAGATGGGGGCCAATCTCGACGAGCATCGTCTCTTTAATCTCCTCGGAACAAAACTCAAAGAGCTTCTGAACCACAGTGTTTCCAAGGTAGTCGCTAGACAACTCTGCAACCTCCGGCAGCATGGCAAGGGCAATTTCCTCAATCTCGGATTGAGAGCAGTTGCCGTTGTCGATTCTCTTACGAATCTCGCGCAACTTGGGTGCATCGTGTATGCGATTGTGGCTGGGCTCGGGGATAGTCGGGATCTCGGGCGCGAAGTCGTTGAATCCAATGGCGTTTTCGATGCATTGGGCGATCTTATCGACATCCTCCTTCTCGGCGCCAAATTCCTCGACAATCTTGAGGATATCCTCCTTAAGGTCCTGAAGTCTCGGCAACTCCAACTCCATGGTCCCGGAACCACCATCGGTGCCGTTGACGCCGGTGCTGCTAGCTCCCTTCGACAACGGGATTCCGCCTTCGTTCGAGGCCTCCGCATTGGGGCCCGGACTCGGCGATCCATAGGCTCCTCCATTGGGAGTAGGGGTTCCGTTGCTTCCAGAAGACGACGGCTTCGCAAAACCGATACGAGTAGGTCCGGCACCGGGGAAGATTTCTTTTCCGTTCAGCGCAATACGGGCCTGAATGGCGTGTTCAGTGGTGGTATAATTGATAAATCCACAGTTCTTATGGGTCAGGACACGAGCCGACTCGACGGTACCGAATGGCTGGAAAATATGGACGAGCGAAGTCGTAGTCGTGGAAGCCGGGATGTTGCCCAGCCATAGAGAACGAGTAGGTCCCTCGAGCTGAGATTCTTCGATGGAAGCAAGTCCACCTTCTCCACTCGACGGCCGTGGGTTCATGGCAGCAAACTTCAAGGCCTCCAAGCTGCTCGAAATATCAAAGTACTCGTTCCGAAGATCCGAGGCACTCGTCATGGAGTCAAGCTTTGACGGTGTAGCGAGGTAGCTCTTCAGACGGTTGGCGGGTGGCGAATCGAGAACACCGGCGGTACGAGCTCTGGGTCTGCTTGGAGTCGGCAGGCTGTTCATGCTGTTCATACTGTTCATGCTATTCATGCTGTTCATGTTCATGTTCATAGCGTTCATACTTTGCAAGTTACTAGCATAAGCGGCGACAGCCAATGCATGTGCATGCGCCTGGGCTTGAGCGGCCATGGCCCCAAGGTTACCACCCTGAGGAGTGGCAGTGCCGCTGTGCTGACCGCTGTACATGTGTCTCGATTCCTCCTCTTCCTCTTCGTCGGCAGCATACTTCTCCTTCGCATTGACGGAGTATGAACGCATGCGGTTGAGCCGCTGCATTCCCGTGAGGTCGGTAAGGAACGGTTGCATCGCTGCCGCGGCACGCTGGCCCTCCATCAGGATATCCAAGCCGGTAGGTCTAGCCATAGTAGCCCTCGAGGTCTGGGGGGTATCGACGAGTCCAAGATAGTCCAGCGTCCTGGGCGCCATATGAGAACCTTCGTCATCCTTGGAGAAGGACGAATGAGCGGGCGATGATGGAATTTGCGGCAATCCCGAGTTCGTGTGGCTTCGTTCGCGGGTCTGGGACCAAGAGCTGGCAAATATCGAGGGACCGAACGGGTTAACGTAATTAGTACGCGGCGGGATGTTGAGCGATCCGGATCGGAGCCTCGACTTGGTCTCGGTGACGGATGGCTGCAGTTCATTGATATCGGTGGTCTGCGGAGGATTGGCCTTGAAGGGACTCGGCGCGGGCGACGGTCGGCTCGTGGAGGGAATGCTTGCGATCGACGGGGGAGTGGTAGACATGCCACCGGGAGAGAACCTCGATGGAACCGTTCCGGCGCGAGCACGGCGGATGACAGGTGACTGGAATTCTGTGTTCGTTACGGGGGTTGGTTCGGGGAAGCCATTAGACTGCGGGGACTCGGGTATGATGTTCTCGCGATCGCGGAGCGACGAGGACGAAGTCCCGGTTGACATTGGTCCCCAAAGACTCGGAGGCGCGACACCTTCTTCCACCTGGATCTCGCGAGCTCTATTGCACAATCCAAAATCACGTCAGCACAAGTCTCGTCATCCGCGTCGGACCGCTGGCGCGGAAACCCTACCTTTTGGAGAATAGCCGACTGCCAGCCGAAGCCTCGTAAGAAGGGGAGCCTGCCCCCATTCTTCCGTTGTTCGCCGTGTTGCCCGCGTTGCCGGCGTTGCTCATGATGCCGTTCGAATTGTAGCGCGAGGGGTTCGTCGAGGAGGTCTCGGTAGGGGAGGAGTTGGCGGTGTTTCTTCCGGAGGACGGAGCGGAAACGTTCTGTGGTGGTTTCAATTTACCCGAACTGAAATCAGAAGTAGTCGACATTAGGAATTACACCTGTTTTTTCGTTGGCACGGCCTCAAAGTCAGCACAATGACATTCCCGATATTGTCGCCACTTTCACATCCACCACCACCGCCGTCTTTTCTTCCTTCCTTATCTTTTCGACTCTCGTGAGGGAAGCGATGACACGGGGCAGAGGGGGGAAGTGTCTGGAAGGGAAGAGGGATTGACAGACCAGTAGTAGCCCCGCCAGGAGGGAGACTTGCTCGTGGAGCAACGATAAGATCGAGTACCGGAATCGAGATGTATCCCCTTAAGAAGAAGGGATATGTGATTTTGTTCGAGCGGGAAGGACAACCTACAGCGCCAAATTCGGTTGGGAAATAGAGAAAGAGAATGGAGATAGTCGTAGATAGTCGGGAGGGGAGGAGGAGGGGATGGCGGTTGTTGTTACGTATGGGAATAGTGTGTTGGGGTGGATATTGGGTAGCGGTGGTGCGGGAGGGCGAGAGAGGGAGAGTTGAGTTTGGCCTCGTTGCTCTCGCTACTGTTGCTGTGTCCGGAAGTGTCGCCGCTTTTCCTGGCAAGTACCGAAGTCGTGCGTTGGGTTGCGTGAAAGTGAATACCTTCTGACTTCGAGCCTCTTTCTCTTACAATGGGGCCTCAACGACTTTTTCGACAACCAATCAACGGTCAGTCTATCACTCCGACAATAACCAACCAACAGTTCAACGCTGGCTCTCCTCTCGTCGCAGATTATGTGAAGGTGGATGTGTGCTGATTAGATTCCGTGAAAACGCAGCTAGGCGTGTGACGCTGATTGAACGATTTCTTTAGTTATTACGGCTGCGGTCGGGGCAAAGGTCGTAGAGATTTGGCGCTGAGCGGAAGTAATAGAGTGAAGGAAGCAAGTAACTACGCAGCCGATGCGGGATGGACCGTTAGACAATGATTGAGGCCCGGCAGATGTCTATATTGTGCGCGAATATGGAATAGAAGGAAGGAGAGGAAGCGGAGCGGGCTTGAGGAAATTGATGGGGGGAGGTGGGTGGAGGGGGAGCGAAGAGGGGGGCGCGGACGGGGGGAGGGAGGGGAGAAGAAGAAGAGGGAAGAAGAGTGGAAGAAAGTGATGGGCAGAAACTACCCATCTACTTTACACAAATCATCTAAGCGGCCAAGGGTTCTCCGCGTGTCGAGTAGAACAGGTACAGTAGAGTAGAGCACTGTACTCTACTTCCACTGTACTCTATCTACAGTACGGTACCGCAGGTACATACGAACAAGCCACTTTCAGGTACGGGTGGAGCACAGACACAGTGAGGATCTTTGAAGAAGCACATGTGTCCCCGGGGCAAGGGAGGAAGAGTGGGGTGGACAGCTTATGCGTCGATGGATATGTATGGAGGTATTGTTGCCGGGACGATGCGCGTGACTTTTGAGCAGGAACGACAGCAAGACTCACCTAGCAGATTCCGGGCTCTGTCGAAGATAGCGGGATCGGGTTCCAGAGAGCCGATAAAGAAGGGACGTCGTGAGTGGGGCAGCAGGAACGATACGAAACGGCCGCGGCGTAGGCGGAGGGAGGAGTCACAATGGTTGCGGATTGAGCGGGGGATGTGGGAGTGCGACTGCGACTATGTAGATATACACACAGGGCCTTTAACGGTGAATTAAAAGGGTGCTTTTCGTGTGGAATGAAATGCTCCGCCGAATATGAAGAGACAACTTGAAGGTGTCAACGGCAACGCACAAGATGGCACTGCTGCTGAAGAGACCTGGGCCGACGAGAAGAACGGAGAAGGGAGAGGGAGGGAAGAAGGGAGGGAGGAGGGGAGGGGAGAAAAGAGGACGGAGTTGAGGCTGGAGGGGAGGGGAGTAGAGTAAGAGGGGAGGGGGTGGAAGGGGAGGAAGGGAGGGGGAGGGGAGGGGGCCGTCCAGGAGTTCAGGGCCGGCGGAAAGAGATATGGTGGTGGTGGGACGGGGGCGACGGGGATGAACGGCTGCACCGTTTCGGGGTGCCACTGATTGCAGAGTACTGGTACTTGACTTCCACCCGGTCGACATCCCCCTCCCATCCAAGACAAATCATTCGCCTTCTAGAGCATCTCCCCACCCACCGCAAGACCGCCGCTGCGGCCCGCAATGATTGGGTTGCATCCAACCCCCTGCCGAGAGGGAAAGAGACACCAGGCCGAAGAACATCGACGAGAGGTAAGCACAAGCCCGTTGGATTGGGTTGGATTGGATTAGGTTGGGCTGGGTGGAATTGGGTTGGGCAGAATTGGGTTCAGCAGAACGCTGATGTCCGCCTCGCGGGGATGGAAGTGGAGTTGCTTTGCGTGCCCCATGTCCGTGGGATCTGTCTGGTTGCCGATGCACGTCGTCCGCCCGTGTCAGGGCGCAGGGAGCGAGGCAGTGGCGTCGGCGGCACTGTACCTGAATATGTAGAGTACGTACTCCGTTTCCTCTGCGAACGTTTATTCCTTCTGACTTTTCCCGCGTGGCGATCCGGAGACTTTCCGTGCGGAGCAAAGTATATTATTGTGCGGAGTAGGTAAAGCATAGCATTTCACGGTGCGAAGCATAGTTTCCACCCATTTCACGGTAGTATTGCCTTCTACCGTTCGGAATCCAACCCTGACCTGCATAGAGTACAGATCGAAGGTTTGGTCCACCTAACCCTTCTCCACAGCCCCCATTCGAAGCTTCAATACGCATCCAGGGTCTTCCTGTCAAAATTCCGAAAGTTTAGCCACCGGAAAAGGTGCAATGCCCAACCGTCTCGCGCCGAATGGCGTAGCGGAAGCTGTATGTGTCCCTCCGCATCGTACTCGGGAGCCGCTCGGTCGAGTCGTCAAAGCTTGAATATAGTACAATACATAAAGTGTCCCCGCTCCACGGCCGGCCATCCACTACCTCGCATCCGAAAGTTTGACATTTCGATGGGCAGGCTCTGACTCAACCGTGCCGGCAGTGGCCCCATCCGCCCGGCGCCCGCCCACGTGGGGAGTAGTACCTGGAGTTCGAGATGGATGGATGCGCGTATCATGTGTTTGGATGGATGGGTATCCCCAGGGAGGAGAGGAGAGCTCTGCTCCCCAAGCAGAGTACCTCGAACGGTGAAGTACGTACCGCGTACGCACACTTACGCCAGCGCACAGCGACGGGCGAATAAGGCTGCAAGGAGTGCTTCGCAGCCGCTACATACATAGTAGAGTCCTTCTCCAACTGGGATTTCCCATTCACCCACACCCGACCCCGAGCGAACACAGAAGTTCTGGCGTTTCATTGGTAGCCAACTGTGGACGCGGGGATGGTGGCGGTGGTGCAGGAGGTCCTCAGATGTTTCAGGTTTCAACCAGAGGGGAGGGAGGGAGGGCTCATGGAGGGAGTTCCCTCGATTCCTCGAAGCTCCTCCGAACGAAGCGGATAGCCGCATTGCCTGATCCTCGGCTGGCTGGCTGGCTGGCTGGCGGTGTGGCTGCGCACCCAGCGTTCGATCGACCGTTCGTTCGTTCGTTCGCCCAAGCCAGCCAGCCGGATCAAGCCGTCCTAAGTCCTAACCTCTGCTTGAAACGCAAGTGCTCGATCAGCCAGAGTGGCCCCTCGTGTGTTTTAAATAAACAACTGCCCAATCCAATCCCTCAATTAATTGGCTGTAGGCTGTCTGTCCGTATGTAGAGTATGCTGAATGGTAGGTAGAGTAGGTAGCACCGCCCTGGGACGTTTCCCTCCCTTGCCCTTCCTTGCCCCACCCCGTACTCTAGGTACCTAGAGCACCAGTGGTGGTGGTGGGTCGCAAGCCTCGCTTCCACTTGCATGCTCACTCGGCATCGCGAACCGGCAGGTCCCCCGTCCCAGTCCCCGTCCCCTTCCCCGTCCCCCATCCCCCGTCCAGCAAGCAAGCGCCCACTCGCCGCAGGATCCGCAGGGCCCGCCGTGTCTCACAACCTTCCTTGTCGTCGTAAGCTTTCTTTCCCGCACGAATGAACGCAGGCCCGGCCGGTGAGGGTTCCGTAGGTGAGGGCTCCGTAGGTGTTCCGTGAGGCTTCTTGCAGATGGGGGGTTTGTTTTGTTTTGTTTTGTTTTGTTTTTTCGACTGCGAGCGAGCGAGTGAGCCCGTTTGGTGCCTTACATAGAGGTACATAGAGTAGAGTAGAGTAGAGTACTACATGGGGGTTGGCTGACATGCATTTTTTATTCTGAGTGCCCCACGGGCAAGCAGGCAAGCAGGCAAGCATACGCGTCCCAACTCCCCAAGCTCCCAAGTTCCCAACCGTCCAACCGTCCAACCGTCGCGAACTTGGAACTCTAGAGTCTATGTACGTACATAAGGTAGTACGTACCGGCGACCGCTGCTAGTTATGCTAAACTGTCCGCTGCTAAACTGCCCGCGCCGCCGCCGGATCGATCGGTCCGTAAATAGCCTTTTCCCTCCCTCCCTCTAGAGTTTAGATACCTAGGCTCTGAGCCTGAGTCTGAGTCTGAGTCTGAGTCTCTGCACTCTGCAACTATGCACCTCGCAACTCTGCAACTCTGCAGCCGGAAGTCAAAGTTGGAGGTCAAAGTTGGAAGTCAAAGTTGAAAGTCAAAGTTGAAAGCTCCCACCCACAACCACTGCAATCGAGCCGGAAAGTGCCGGCCGAATGCCGCAGTCACGGTGTTCACTCACTATTCGTTAACTTACCCTGAAGTTTGAAGTTTTAACTCTGCGCTGAGCTGATCCGCGCAGGTCACCGGCTGGCACTCGCGACGACTCGAACTGTTCGGGCCAATTTCCAGCGAGCGAGCCGGGAGGATATCTGGGTAAGTATACATATACAGGTAAGTATAGGCTGGATCACCCATGCCCCTGCAGTAAATCATCATGGTCCTACAGTTGGCGAGTAAGCGGAATTGAAGGTGAGGGCTGGAGGCAGATCGGTGGTTTTGATGGTATCGTGTGGGCCCGAACCTGGCGGTTATACAGGTACGTATGCCTCTCGACTTTGGCCCGTACACAAAACATAGGTAGCTCCACACTTCCAGTCTGGTTCGTGTCCTGAACGGAGTACGTACCTGAGTTGCCAAACATAAGGACTTGCCTGAAGACAGAAACCCCGTCTTGAAACTCGAGATGGTCCCAGGAGCTCACCACCATTACCACCATCGCCCCAGAAACGTCTATGTATATCTATATGATTTCGTTGCAATTGGATGGTTCTTGAGATGCTTACTATTCGTAGGGATCCTGCTGATATATGAGGTAGGTAGTACCTACTCTAACCCTGGCGATTTCTCGCGGCAAAATGTGAGCTACTACGGTAATAGAGATGGTGGAGATAGTAGAGATGGTAGAGATGGGAGAGATACAATCCCTACATAAGTACCGAAAGTTTGACTCCGTTCTATAAAGTAGTAAAGTCAAAGACTCAAAGCTTTGCAAGCAATTCGTGGATGGATGGATTTGGAGGCTGATGTCACGTGAGTAGAGTTTCGTCTGATCTGTAGATGCTCAGTGGCAGTACATAGACGGGGTTTTCAACGAGGAGTTACGAGGCAATTAACTAACTGCTATGGGCGAGTGACTTTGATATGTCATAGTAACCCCAGGGCGCCACAATTGACTCCACATTTGCGGCACAGCGGAGCAGGGTTCAGCTTTGAGGACATCGAAACGCCTGGTGCAAAACAATCCGGCCTCGTGTGTATCATAACTACCCTTTGATTACTATTTCGCACCTACCTACTCCAAATAAGTAGGAGGTATGTAGGAAGGTAGGATGTAGGTGGGATGTAGGTAGGATATAGGTAGGATGTAGGTAAGCTCCTTGTCAGGATGGAAATCGGGACTCGGGAGTCCTACGTATGTATGGAAGGTATTTTGCTCAGTCATAACCACGGCTCGAGGATTTTTCGAATAGTGTGTTTCCATATCAAGGTGGAAGTTGGCGCGCCGCCGCCGTGATGGGAGTTCAAGCTGGGACCTTTGTGTACATAATCCCGTCCACGGGCTCACACGTTTTTTCAGGCTCAACTCGTTACTCGATCCCGTTTTCGGGCCGGAGGTCGCAAGCCAGTTCCGAAAACTTTCGTATTTCCGAGAGCCAGTCCGCGAGATGAGCAACAGGCTATTGGGCAATACGGTCAGAGCGAAACCGCGAAGGGCTCTGAGGCTCAGACACGGAATTGCAAATACCTATCGTCATTGAAATTTGGAACAGCTATCGATTGAGGAAGAAGCGATGGCAAAGTGTATTGCTATTCTATCTGAGAGTTAAAGTACAAGAGAATGGTTAAACATTTCCGGTCTTGGTGGGAGCGGTGGGAGCTGTAAGAGTCCCGTCAAAACCAAAATTCAAATAATGACCTTTTCGCCGATTTAAAATTGAAGCTTTAACGATGATACTATGTTAAGTCGCTATACATGGAGGTTCAAACTTCACAGGAATCTTTCGAACGTGTGTATAACTATCCGCGAGACGGATCATCGGCCAGTTGAAGGTACGCCGCAAACGCGTGGCTTATTAGAGTAGCCTTTCCTGATAACGGCGAGAAGCAGACTCAAAACTTCATCAGTAGGTTTGATCCTTTAGAAGGGAAAGGTCAAGAGACGCACATATATATTTCGTCAGTTGGACGAGACTCATCCCCCGGAAAATGAGAACACAAGCGGTACTTCTGATTGACTTTCTCAAGGGATGATATGGCTACTTTCTCCGCCGCCTTCTATTCTTCCCTCCAGAGTCCCTACTAGGTCGGTAGTCCTATGTACGGCTACGGAGAAGCCCAGCCTTCGCACGTTCCAGAGCAATGCGCATCTGAGGTGTGGAAACGACCAGGGCACCAGGGACTGGTAGCTCGATCTCGGATTTATATGTATAAAAGCTCTCGCGACCAGAAAACGTAACCAACGCGGACCAGGTTACCGTCGTAAAACGTCTGGACTGCAGTGCTGGTAGCACATCCCATCAAATCCCAGCAGATGAGCGGGTTTCCGGTGACGGCAACTCTCGACTACCTCTAACTATGCGGCAACACCAATGCGGAGCGCCCCGTCGGAAAGCGCAAATTACTTTTAGACGGCACTCACGGGCAACTGGGACTGGATTCAGTGTTCGCCATAGTCCAGTCCGGACTGCAGTCGGGACTGGTCGGACTGTTAACTTCTAAGATCTGGCCCAGTCCGGTCCCTTGGATGAACTGCGTAAAAGTAGTCCGTCCATCCGTCCTGTCCATGGATTTCGTGGACTGGGTACGGATTGCAATCGACTGCAGTCCGTCCTGTCCTCGGTTTTTTTGGAATAGTCCGTCCGAACACCGCTCCCGGATGGGCTGCCAAGATACAGTCCAATCCAGTCCAAGGCTCGGGACGGAGGGACTGGACGGGATTATGGCGAACACTGACTGGATTTCAGTGGATAGGTACATCCGTGTGGTGGAAGTGTTTGGCGGCATCGTCTGTCACTCGACACTTTGGGGCCTACGTAGCCCGTCAAGTCCTGTCCTGGTCGCCGGAGGACTACCGGTAGTAGGTAGTCCATCCGGTCAACAATACAAATCTCTGCCCGATACTTCGCAGTCCAGTCTACATAGGGCGATGCTGAAGACAATGTAGCGAGGTAGCGCGAGCGGGCTTTTTCGTTCGTACACTGTGTGTACGCATCCTCTGCTCTCCAAACTCCAAGGTACATAGGTAAGTAGCGAAGGTAGCACCCACCCGGCAAGTGCGACAGATCGTGTCGAGCGGAAGGCGGCAACCGGCAGCGGTATATAAAGCAGGACAGTTTCGTAGGGCTGGACGGTATGTACATGTGTAGGGATGTCGGAATGCGGCACCCAATCGGGGACATAATAGGTGGTGCTGAAATATCGGTACTTGTTGGACTTCCCGGTGGCGTTGGGCCTAGGTCTGCATACATAGAATTGAAAAATCCCGTGCATGGTGTTCGTGGTTTTTTCCGCTGACGAGAGGAGGGTTTTCGCGATGAGCGGCGGCGGCGTTGCAACGTTCGGCCAGTATTCTACATAGTCCGGTCCAGTCCGTCCAGAGCCATAGACGGGGCTGGAATACATACATCTAGTCCGTCCGGATGTGTGTGTTGGACGGACCAGTCCAACACACCAGTAAGGTCGAACGGGACGGACTGCAGTCGACTGCAGTCGGCTGCCAAGACTGGTACAAGGCGACAGGAATCACAAGAGAGAAAGCTCCGCGGCGGATTATCGGTGGTTTTAGTGGTTGATGGTTGAGGGACGTATGAGTATAGTAGGCACACTGGATGAAGATGCCGCGGCGTTGCTGGTTCTAGAGTCTAGACGAAGATTGTGGCGTAGCTTTGCTGGTACTGCAGTGGACGAAATTCAACACACGATAGTGGGAGATACTGTCATATTTGATGGGGTAAGTGCTGGGAAGAGTGGCACTTTTTTTTTCAATACCTGACTGCAGTCGACTGCAGTCTAACCCCGTCCAGCAAATCGGCGGACGGGACGGACTACTTTCATCGCATCCTCCAAAAGGCATGGGCGGGACTCGGTCTTGGCAGCCCGGCCCGTCCAGACTGCGGTCCGGACCGGACTATGGAGAACACTGCGTACGGCTCGAGCTAAACAGTACAGATCGTTGGAGGCAAGCGAGATATCTCATCCATCATGCGGTAGTGACATAACCACAGATATCACTCGGCGACTACCCATGCTACCTAGAATGTGGTTCTTTGAGTTTGGATCTTCCGTGCCATTACCGCCCGCGATAGTGTTAGGGCTAACAGTTCTCCATTTGATCAGGCCATTCTCGACAATGGCCGGGAGATCTTCAGACAAAGCCGTTCTATCTCCCCTCGCACCGACTAACCCCCGGTACCGCATGTTTCGAACCAAGCAGTTTGAGAGTGCATATGAATGTCTTCGGGATACCTTAGGCGATATTTACTATAGTAGCAATTCTGCAGCAACGATATTTGAATTCTGAACGCTCCCGGTCGAAGATAGCTCAGGCCCTATGGTCAGCGGTCACGTTTCCGGTTGTAGTCAAGTCACTGTCATATCACTCGCTCGCTTCTCGACCCCCGCTAAAGTTGCAACTCCGCCCAAAGCCAATCTCACTCAGTCTCTCAGAACGTATTATGCATCGAATTAAGTATCGAAAGCCACCCAGTATAAGCCATACGCAAGCCCGCAAGGCGCCAATACTTTCGTTGGTGCATAGTACCAGAACCTCCTCCGAGCTCCCGATATACAAGATACACAAGTACGCATGAGCCTAGACCATGCCGGGCCTCCTACAGATACGGATCGTCAGCTGCCATTTCATTGCATTCCCACCACCACCAGCAGCACTCGCTCCTTTGACCGTGCTGGGTGCAATGCTTATGTATATACATACCTCGTCGAGGGTTGGACCTTGAAGATAGTCGAGGGCTGGACCTCGAAGATAGTCGGCGGCATCCAGGCTGTGGGCGGAGGCGGAATCGCGTAGGCAAGCTGAGCCGGAGCCGGATCCGGAACCACGCAGCTGCAGTTGGTGGAGTCGCTGATGCTGTCGTATTCCATGGTCTCCTCGTAGACAATCGTGTCGCGGACGGCGTTGCGGCAGGTGCGAACGTAGCGGATGGCGGCCCACAGCATGAGGCCCACAGCGATGGTGGTGAAGAGCAGGATGAGGAGGATGCCTTGGTTGGATTTCATGGTCGTGGTTGTTTTTGGGTGGTATATATCGTGAGGGGAGATCGTGGGAGTGTAAAGCGGGATGATGAATGTTGCGGACGGAAGAAGAAGAGTTGTCGATGGGGTGGGATGGGGGAACCTTTGTGTTTGTGGATTCTTGTCCGTGCGGCGTCTTCTGTCGTTCCCCGTCACAGACTTCTACCCAAAGTGTTGGCACTACCGTACCTCCTCTCACTAGCCCTCACCGTTTTCCATTCGAAATATTGACGTTTCCGAGGAATGATCTCCGATAGGGTAGGGCATGAAGTCACACAGCTATCCATCCAGATTTCACGTGCTCATATTCTCAGCGTACACGACAGAAGACAAGCGTGGAAACAACACAACATACTCGCTATCTAGCATAAGTCTCCCGCCGGCAGTCGATACTAGTTAAGGGCGGTGACGAGAGACCTAGCACGTCTCCATGACTCGGTAGTCCGGTTTCCTCGTGGTTTCAAGTTTGCTTCCATCCTCCCCGGACGTCGTGGACGTCGTGGTTTCTTGTCCGCTAGAAGCTTCGATAGCGGCGAGAGATAATAGCCATGTGTTCCTGATATCTGCCAGGCATATCCCACGTTCCAAGCTTCTGTTTCTTGTTTGATCAATAACTACATGACACCCGTCTAGATCATGGCAGTATACCGCATTTCAAGCGATTTTTGGTTTTGATCATCATTGAATTCGACCTTAGTAAATCATGGTAGATTACATATCTGTTTCCACCCAGCTTCCACGAGGTCAATACCGATTCCCCATTGTTCTCCGTCTCGGGTCTGAGTCTTATAGCGGCACCATGCGCAGCGGGCGTCTGGGCGGCTTGTCGTCCACTGGAGGCACTGGTCTGTCAGGCAGTGTCCTCTCTTGAGTTGGTTGAATGTGGAGGCTAGGCGCTTGGGGGCCATCGCTGGAATTGGGTCAGGTCTCGATTGTTTGCTGGTGGTGTTGAGGAGTGATAATGCATGATATTACTACACTCAATGCGTCTGCCAAGCCCCGCGTGAGCACACAACCTGGCAGCTCTAGAGCTTTTCTTTCTCGTCGTTTACACTAACTCGACACACCTCCAACACACAAACGAAGAAAAATGTCGATCGCCTCCTCCCTCGATGACGATGATGACACTCTCTCCTCCGTCCCGCCCTCATCCCCACACTCCCCCGCCTCCCACGCCTCGCATCCACCCTCACAATCCCCAACAACAGCAACACCACACATCTCCCCCGCGGCGCTCCCGGTGCAATCCCTCGTAGCCGGTCGCGAGCGCCGCTCCAACGCCGGAAACCTCCTCGCGAAGCTCCTGACGCAAGAAGCGGACGCGGACGACACGCTCTTCCTCGAGGACGAGGACGACGTCGAGTTCTCTGTCAAAAAGGAGGATCGCGGGGACGACGACGATGTGCTCATGGACAGCAGCAGTGACTCTGACGAGGACGCGGCTGAGGGGGGGGAGGAGGGCGAGGCGGAGGGCGAGCGGGAGATTGTGCTAGCCGAGAAGGAGGCGCGCAAGGCGCGCAAAAGGAAGGCGGACGATGCGTTCATGAAACCCAGGAAGCAGCCGGCGCCGAGGAAGGAGCGCAGAGTTACGATCCGCGAGGGCGTGGCAAGAGTCAGGCTGCAGGATGAGGAGCTGGAGGAGGCTGCAGCGGAGGACGCGGATGAGCTCGGCGATGCGCTTTCCCGCCCGCGGAAGAAGAGTGAGCGCATCTCCTGGGTGCCCGAGTTCGTGGCGACGAGGGCGTCGTCGCGCACGCTATCGCTACAGAACAGGAGCGAGACTATGCGGCGCTTGGAGGAGAGCGAGAAGCGCCGGTTACATACGATCGCGCTGATGGAGCGTGCGGCGGCGAAGAAGGAGAAGGTTCGGCCGAAGCGGGAAATGACACAGGAAGAAAGGTTGGAGGAAGCGAAGATCACGGAACGACGGAATCGCAGGAGTCTCTTTTCTTGGGAGGAGACCGAGAAAGCGAAACTTGAGGAACAGCGGGAGAGATTGGCGGCACTACAGAATAGGAAATTGGCTGGGCCAGTGATTACATATTGGAGTGGGGCGGCGGAGTGGAATGCGGAAACAGGGCGACTGGTCAAGGTTGGGAGAGGGCTGGTGCAGGAAGTTGTCGAGGTTGAGGCGCCGGTGAAAAAGAAGCGGCTGACGAAGAAGGAGAAAGAGGAGAAGGAGAAGGAGAAGGAGAAAGCAAAAGTACAGGCCGGGGACGAGAAAGTTGCAACACGGACTGATGCTACAGCATCGTCCGAAAGTGCAACAAGAATTGATGCTACAACATCGTCCGAAATTGCAACACGGACTGATGCTACAGCACCGTCTGAAAGTGCAACAATAGTGGTGAAGGGTCCATCATCACCGATGACATCAGCACCGCCGATCATAAGGGCGCCCGATCCGGCTGCGAGTACAGTTACGGCAACGTCTACAACTACAATATCCCCGAGAAAGGCCGCCAGTAATTTCCCTGTATTTGTTGACGGCGTTGCCGAAGTTGTTGTTAAAGAAGATCCCGCCCTTCCGGAAGCGGTTCCTTCGGTCCCTTCGATCCCCCCTCTGGAAACAACCACCCCTCTGGAAAAAACCACCTCTCTGGAAACAATCACCCCTCTGGAAACAGCCCCTTCAGTGCCCGATGGTAAGACTCACCAATCATCACCACCACCACCACCGCAAGGGATACCCGGAACTCCACCACCGCCTCCACCACCCAACCAAGTATCGGCGCGCAATTTGATAGTGCTCGAGAACTTTGAGCCCTCAACCGTAAGAGACAAGGCCAGTCTCGTCAAGCTCCTCTGGGGCGAACAGACCAGGCGACTCGGTGCGTTTAGCTCTTCCCTTCTCTTTTTTTCCCATCCATAGTTGCTACTCCGTCTCCAGTGCATCTCCTCGCTCTTTGATCCCTTCCGTGCATCTCCTCACTCTTTGATCCCTTCCGTGCATCTCCTCACTCTTTGATCGGGGCATCCCATCACTCTTTGATTCCCCTTCCATGTCTCATCGCTCTCTGTCCTCACTGTCCTCCTGTTCCTTGCAACACTCCTTCCCATTCTCTCCGTCGCTCTTCTCCCTCATCACTCTTCTTCCTCCATCACTGTGCCCTGCCCACACCCGATGATAGTTGCTGATTCGATATATGATGTGCAGCCACGGCACGCCCCTACTGCTTCATCTCGCAACAGCCCGCAAAGTTCCGCGACCCAGCCACGGGCATGCCGTTCGCCAATCTCCACGCATACCGAGAGATCCGACGGCTACTGCACGGCGAGGTACGGTGGAGCCACCTTCTGGGCGCGTACGTCGGCGAGGCTGGGGCCGCGGCAGCGGGAGTTCCCGAGGGATTTTGATCGAAACGGGGATGTTGTTACCGGCAGGGCTTGTGTAGGAGGATGAGGAGGAGGGAGGTCCTTGACTTGTGATGTGCTTGTGACTGACGGACTCGATCATGAACCATGGGGATCGTCGATCACAGCGTGAGGCAGCGACTGGCAGCGATATGCAGCTGAAGCAGGCGGAAAGATGGTGTACATGAGATCTGGATCCGAACTGGAGCAGCGGCAACATATCATCAGCAGACAGGCCGGGATTCGGAGGGCAGGACAGGGAGTGAAGCAGCGAGCGTTATATTTGTGTTTATTCTTGGAAGTGCTTTTGAGTTCGTTTCTTGTGATGGGCTAGGAATTTTCCGATTCGCCCTGGAGCTTTGGTGGTGGGGTTAGGTATTAGGTTTAGGTTGAGTACAAGCGAAAGAAGGAAGGAAGAGGACGGAGGAGGGCAGAAAGGGCGAAGGGGGCATGTTTAATATCCATAGTTAACCCGAAGCTTTCTTTGGGGGAATGATGCCTTGCCCGTCGGCGTTGCTATCTGCTGCTTTCTCTCTATCTTTGGTGGTGGTTGGGGCGCGGCAACAGAGATCGAGGATTGATGGGTATCATCGGTGGTAGGACGTCGATGATCGAGATCGCAATACTTCGAGCGACGTTTCGATTTGACTTCCCTGGAACTCTGGCATCTGCCAACTCTACTCGACCAGGCTGAGCTGATCTGACCCGCCAGTTCTGATCACATCCACATCCACATCCTCTCCCCTCCACCCCCATCTGTCACCGTGTGCCCGGTGCGGTTCGGCAATCTTCCAACGATGGTGCTGCTGCTGCTGCTGGTCCTCGCTACCTACCTTACAGAGAAAAGCCCGATTCTACAAATTCCTGGATCAGATCTGTACGCGTAAGATGTCTGATGGAGAGTTATTTTGGGTGCTGGCGGTTTCTGCCTTCTCCATCCTGCTGGGTGTGCGTGATAGAGTACATAGCAGTTAGTTGGGTAGTTGGGTATTCCATCGCATCAAGTAGCATAGGCATGTAGGCAGCATAGCATAGCATAGCTAAGATGTAATTATGTAGGTATTTCGCGCAGAGCTCAGCTCGAGCTCAAGCTCTTTCCTTTTTGTCTGTTTCTTTTGTTTCTTTTGTTTCTTTTGTTTCTTTTGTTTCTATCTACAGAGTCGAAACGCGAATCCCAAACCTAAACCCATAAACGTATGCATGCAAGCACGCGCGCGAACGCGACTTGGAGTTGAGCTCAAGTTGAGGTATTTCGTTTCTGTTGATGCTATGCTATTAGTCCCGCCCCACCACCTCCACCACCGCCACTACCACAACTGTTTAGTGAGCACCTAGTGACTTCCCAGTCCCAGTGCGCTATTGGACAATTGCCATTGCCATTCGGCCTGCGCGAGATTTAGTACAACGTGCGCGCGCCGTGCGCCACAAGGCGCAATGGCGGGGAAGGGGGGGGGGGGGGGGGGTTCATCCTGTCCAGCGCCGAGCGCCCGGCGCCGGCTCGTTGGAACTTGCGTGTTGCTATTCTTGCCACCCCGCTCCGTCCCGGTCCCGGCCCACGCCGTCGAGCTCGAAGGTCACGATGTCGGCGGTCGCAGTAGTACCTAGAGTAGTAGTAGTAGTAACTATTACCTACTAGAGTATAGTGGTAGTAAGTTGTAACTACTGTGGCGCCAAACCAGGACGGTGAAGCCCTACATGTGTTACTACGTTACTACTACCGTGCGTACGTACGTGAGTACATACGCAGCGCTACTAACTACATAGTAGGATGTAGGATGGCATGTGCGAGAGCTTGCGAGTCGCGATAGATGTACTCGTACATACAGATAGACGGATATACAGATGTACAGACAGACAGACAGACAGACGGAGACGAGCAACGTGAATGTGAACGTGAACGTGAACGGGTATCCGCAGCCCCCAGTACAGCCCCCAGTACACAGTCCAGTACACAGTCCAGTACAGTGCGCCCCCCCTCGTTCGTTTGTTTCGCCACTGCCACTGACACTGGGGCGTTCGTTTGTTTGGCGGGAGCAGCGGGGAGAGAGGGGGGATGGGGGATGGGGGGGTGAAGGGTGAGGGGTTTTGGCCACACACACACCACCAATCCCTCCCATCCCTCTCATCCCTCCCTTCTTACTCACACTCACACACCACCCTTTCTTACTCACATTCACATTCACTCTCTCACATATACGCCATTCACTCTCGAGTAGGTATCACACTCTCGAGTCTCACACTCACACCACAGCTGATCAGTAACTCTAGTCTCCGGATGGACCATCTGCTTCCGTGAAGTCGTGCCTCCCGTTCTAGTGTATAGTATTCGCCCTACGCAGTTAAACCGGACGCCTCAGGAAGAGTGTATAGTAGACAGCAGTAGACAGCCACGGAGTTTGCGGAGACCTCGCGGGTGCTCTAGGATGGGATGGGATGTGGTGGGAGCCTGGGGAGGGGAGGGCAAGCTGACTCCTCCTGCTTGCTGCTGCTGCTGCTACTCCTGCTCCTGCTGCTGCAGAGGTCGGGGCGGAGGTCGGGGCGATATCCCGTATCCCGGGTGGTGCAACTACCTACATACAAACCGTACATACATGAAGTACATACACACATTAGGTACATAAATGAAGTACTCTACTCTCTACATACTCTGGCAGTCTGGGGGCGGCGGTGTGGAAGGAAGGAAGGGAAGGAAGAGTCATGGTCACCATACCGGTACCGGTATGTAGCTATCACGGAACTCTTGGTCGCTCGTCGTGCTTGCTTGCTTTCGTGCTTTCTTGCTTCCCGGGAAAGAAAGAAAGGAGAAGAAAAGAAAGGATACGACAGAAGATACTGCACTGCACTGCACTGCATTGCACAAGCACAGACACAGGACAAGCGCAGGACAAGAAGGACAAGATGTGACATCGCCCCTCGGCCTGGGACTGGTCGCGATAACCAATAAATCTAACCGACTGACCGCCTGCCCGCCCGCCCTTCCCGGAGCAGGAGGAGGACGGGAATCTAGCTTCTCTTACCTAACTATCATGCCTGCCCGAGTACCCGGCTGTCCATCGATGATGAAACGTGCGCGCGCGCGTACGGTATATCGTGGACATTATACATATATTATACATGTGCACTTACTTACTTATGGTAGGGTACGGCGCGGTACGGTACGGCCACATAGCCGAGGTCTCTCGACGGGATGGAGAGGGATTGAGTGTACCATATGTGTCGCGGTGCTGGTGGCAGTGGTGTTACTGGTGGTGTTACTGGTGAATTGTATCTTCGTATCTACTCTACAAACCTACAGCATCTATCTACTATCACGGTATCACATCACGGTACCGTACCTATCACGGTCTTTCCGTCCGTTGCGCGCATCACTGCCATGTACACACAGACATACATACATACATACATCTACCCTACTCTACTCTACTCTCTACTCCGGAGTACTCTGGAGTACTCTCCCAAGTGAGGTTCGCCTCGGATGATCCCCCCGGCTGTATCGTGTGTATCTATGTACGTGGGTGAGTGTGGAGTGACTTTCCCGGTGTTCCCACGTATGTACGGGTTGTCATATCGCGATTGCGGATGTGTCGCTGATATAATGTGATGTGATCTGACGGACATCCCCCGTCCCCCGTCCCGGTCGTACCCATCCACCCATCCCTCATGTATGCCGAGGTAGCGTGACTAGGCGGGTGTGCGGGTGGAACGGAACCAAAGAACGTCACAGACGCGCTCATTCGGCGGCAGCTTCGGAGCTTCCCCCCTTCTCTCGCGTATATATCTAATCGTATATGATCCGATCGTGCGAGCGATCGTGCACTCTAATAGACGTCTAGAGTAACTAGAGCCAGAGACGCACAGACGCACAGACGCATCGCGGGGTACTGTATATAATAGTTACCTGGCTTATGTAACTTATGTATGCACTGCTCAGAGATCCCCAGGCCCCAGCACCGGCAAAATAAGGGATACCTGTCCTTACGGTTATTGCAAGTACTGCACGTACTACAAGCACTGCAACTATGTATATAGTAACGCGCCGTGACGTCGTGACGTCTGACGTATCTGACGTATGTATCTAGAGCCCATACATACATACATACCATATATCTGGCTTTAGGGTACATCACACATCATACATCACACATCATACATCACACATCATACATCATACATAGCCAGGTATGTAGGTGCGTAGGGGCGATAGATGTGACGGATGTGCGATCGACGCCGCATCCGGGAAGTGCAGAAGTGCAGACGTCGCATCCCTATCATACATAGATGTCGCATCCCTAGGCGTCGCATTCCTAGGCGTCGCATCCCCAGATGTCGCAGATGTCGCGCGTATAAATACATCTGCCTCTGCGTCGACGACGTCTGCGGCGCTGCGTGTGCGTCTGCCTGTGCTTGTGCGTGTGCGTCCCCCGCAAAATCGGATCCGTGGAAACGTCTCGAGATGCGTCCGTCCGCCTACATATCCATGCCATCCATGACCATCCTTGACCATATGTACCTACCATCGGCCATTATTTTTCCCCAGACGTTACCATAGACACATAGACGAAGGAGGAAAGACGTGCGGTGCGGTGCGATATCCTCGCATCGTATCGTATCGTATCTACTCGACTCCACTCTAACGCGCATGTCGCATCGAAGCAATACAAGGCAGGGCGT